AACATGGCTACTTTAGCATTTCAATCATTAGTGAATGATCTAAGTTCATAATTTAACACAGCACTAGTACAAATTAAGTATCAATTAACACATCATCAATTAAGTATATGACTTCACACTAATATAACGTAATAAATTTTCAAAAAAATATTTTTTTAATCAACAAAACTAATGGTATCAACACTAACTCTTAAGGGTAATTATTACATGTCAAAAACCTTATATTGCAAAAAACTATTATATTGATACTTAGTCTATAATTGTGGTCAAATTATTTAATAGTAATTTTTAGAAATCTTGATGAGTTCTAAATCATACTTATAAAAAATTCAAAAACTCATTTAATAGTAATTATGTTACATTATTGATAAGTCTTTATTATCATGAGTTATTAATTAGTAAATAATATAGTTTTAGCCTTAACTCATGAAAAATAAACTTATATTTATGTTAAAGTGTGAAAAGTAGTTTTCAGCTGATTAATGTGAATTTTTGGGTAATTATGTGATTTTATATGAATTTATATGATTTGTATAATCTTACTTTTGAGATAAATAAAGAAAAAGAAATTCAAATAAAAATATAGTGAAATGGGGGGGACCCGCCAGCTAGCCGAGCCCACAAGCAGGTTGGAAGTGTAGTCGGAAAGGAGTCACAAGCAGGGGCTCGAGCGGCTAAGACCGATAGGGGCATGTGTGTGCCCACTCTCCTTCTATGTCACCAGTGGCCAGCTGACTGTGGGGTAAGGAGTGGTTGTACACATGCAAGAAAGAGACTTGATTGCAAATGTAATATTACTATATATTCATCAGAAACTTCGGCACACAAGCGATGTGAGACTAAACTTGCGTCACACCTTCTCCGAAAAGGGCAGGCAACCAGCGCAGGCAACTAGCACGGGCAATTCGCGTCATATTTTTTAATAGATTATCGCGACTTTCTTGTAGATCGCCAGTGAAAGATTAAGCCACCATAATCGCTAGATCATCAGTGAAAATCTTGTCAATGCAATTCATGGAATATTATTACTAAAATTGTTGAACGATTTGCAATAAAAGGATCGCGAATCTATCAAGTAAAGCATCTCTGATTGATCGATGAATAAACTATCGTCGGGAAGAGGACAATCCATTGGGAGATGAGTCGCCACCTCCTGAGAGCATACTGGATGCGATGAAGAACCTCCTCTTGCTATGCGGACCTGAGGATGAAGCTCCCTAACACGTGTCCCACCACCATCCAGCTCCTCTCCTTCGAGTGATAGCTGCCAGAGAGCCACAAAGTCGTCATTTTTCTACTCCACTAGGTGACAATCACCGGAGATGATTCGACGACCCATTTCATTGATCTCTAGACTTTGCAAGAAGATCTAGAGATTACCCACGTCATCCTTGTCTAAGGAGAGCCTTCGAGACTATGGACATTATGTGACGATCTCCTCGAATACTCAAAATTTTAGTGCATCGCCGAAACATCACTACTACAATACCAAAACTCTGTTTTCTTGCTTTCAACTTAATTTCTGCTTCATTTGGTGATAATTTATGTGATTTAAATTTACCAAGATATATTTTATTCAATTACGATTCTTTTGGTTTTTACAGATCTTAATTTGATCAATTAAATCATCTATAATCGTTTATATAAGAATCACTAGGTAAAACTTTATTTTTGTCTAATTCGCGTTCATCAGGTGCTGACATCATCTTGACGTCTGCACCCTTATTTCCCTTTTTTGTGAATTTTAAATATATTTTCTTTTCATTTCTTAGTATAAAATTCATAGAAAATAGTTTTCTTTAAGTAAAATTCTGAATAATTACCAGATATTATATTACATCCCTCTGATTGACTTTAAAAATTATAACTATTTTTGGATGTTTGATTGAATTATAATTGATATATTTATTTAGAAATACTTTTAAATATCTAAAAATTCATATTTTCTAGTTTTATAAATTTTAAATTTGTATAATTTACTATACAACGACTAAGTCACATCAATTATCAACCTCCTCAATTGCTATAACATTTGATATTTAACTTGAAGTAAATATCTTATAAATTTTCTATTTAACTTAAAGCTTGTGTGAACTTTATTAAAACTTTCTTAAATTTTTTATTTAGTTTAATTCATTATACACATATAAGATTTGAGTTTGACAAGCTCAAATTCAAAGTTGATATATTTAATTTTTAACCAATCACACTCATCATAATAATATCAGAAATGTTTCAACATTAAATCATACTTCAATCATGATAATACGTAAATCATTCTTTCATTGTTACTATTGGTGGAATATTGGTGTAAATCATGATACTTATCAATTGATAAGTAGTTATGCATATCAAGGATATGGCTAGACTATGTAATTTTTCACTACAATGAGGAGCAAGTGATCTACATGTTAGAGTCTGACTGAACTAACCATTGGGGATCCTCATCTCAAGAGAGAAATATTTATGAGCAACGACTGACCCAATTATATTGTTGACGCAAAATTTAAGCTTAGAAAGACTCAAGATCAATAAAGAAGTCAGTCGTATCCTTTTCAATCAAGAGAAGGTATAAACAAAAATGCCCGTTGATAATTGTCTTTAATAGATAAGAATATAATTCTGGCCAAATTTAATACATGCAACGCAACACGGTCCGATTCACAGCCAACCACCCCAGACCGTGTTGTGTTACCCGCACGTTTTAGCTCACTATCATCACCTTACCTCATATTGAATCACCACACACTTGCGAGGTAGACGGGGACACCAAGCGAGAGAGAGAGAGAGGAACCCGTTCCTCTTACTCTCTTACTGGCTTCAGAAAAGTATTCGAGTAAAGACGATCAACTAAAACCCACGCGATTCAAAGCACAGCAACCAAGTCTCGAATTGATACACGGCGAGAGTCACAGAGAGAGAGAGAGGGAGAGAGCGTGTGCGTCCGGATAGTTAAGCTACTCGGGATGTAGAGGAAGACGAAGCCACAGTATCAGGGCTAGCAGGGTATCCGATGCCATGACGGTTGTTGGGGAAGATGACGGCGCTCGCGCTGACGAGGGTGCCTATCGCAGGAGGAAGGACCATGAGGAGGACCTTCTGTTTGGACTCGAAGGAAGGGTAGTAGCAGGAGACGGTGTTGGAGTCGAGGAGGCCGACGATGGCGAAGACCAGGACGGAGAGGGCGGCGTGGACGAAGTCTCCAAGGCGGAGCCTGTAATTGGAGAGGTCTGTAGTGGAGGATTTCGGATCCCAGAAGGGCCAGAGTCCCTTGCCCGTCACGATGCCGTAGTAGACCTTGCCGTCGGTACCAGTGTAACTGTCGGTGAAGCAGGAGAAGGCGCAGGAGAAGCCGCAGATGCCGAGGAGGACGCCGCTGAGGACCTTGTTGACAACGCTGCAGTGACCGTTGTCCGTCAGCACCCGGTTGAGGAAATGGAAGAGGAAGACGGTACCGGTGGGGAGGAGCTTGATGAGGTCGCCTAGCCCCTGGTAGGCCTTACTCCCCAGAGTCTGCGCCATGCCTCTGATACACAATCTCTCTCTCTCTCTCTCTCTCTCTCTCTCTCTCTTTCTCTACCCCTCCCTCTCTCTCCCACAAAATGCACGACAGTTCCCCGGCCTCAACAACTTAAGACTCGGCGCACCAACAGGCGCAAGAAGGCTTATTCGTTGGGTTTTCTCAGATGACGTATATTTGATTAGTACAGTCCACAAGCAAGCCACGATGAACTTATCAAACCTCGTGGCTTTCCGCGAGTCAACTCACACCACGTGGCTTCCCAAGTCGTGCTGTATCACAAGCCAGGCCAGCTTGAAGTGAAACACTGTCGTTGATTTTCCCGGCCTCGAACCGAGTCACCCAAGTAATATATTTATGGGGCAGGTTTTAACATACTTTAGGTACAACTTTTATTCATTTAATCCCGGGATATTCTCAACTAATCAAAGTAATGGATTCATGGAACAGCGCCAAATCTCAAAACCCGGAGCGATTGCCGATTCAACTCAACTTTGGTCCCTGCCACCTTCGGTGTGGAACAGTCTCATAGACTGGCCCCCCGAGACTCGCCGTCTGATTCACAGCCTACCAGCCCGGAGAGTGTTGGGTTACCCGTACGTGACAGCTCTCTCTCTCTCTCTCTCTCTCTCTCTCTCTCTCTCTCTCTCTCTCTCTGTGCCCCCCTCCCTTCCTTCTTCTCTCTCTCCCAGATGCACGCGAATTCTCCGTCCTCAACAACCTAAGACTCGGTGCAACAACAGGCGCAAGAAGGGTCATTTGGTGGGTTTGCTCAGATGACGTCTATTGGAGTAATACAGTCCAGAAGGAAGCCCTTGACGAACTTATCTACCAAGAAAATCAACAGATGGATAAAACAAGGTCAACTCGGTTCATTATAGGAATCCTTCTGATGTATCCTTGTACGATCAAGATAAGCGAGCTCAGCGTGACCCCCGAGTCAACTCAGACCGCGCGGCTTTCCGAGACATGTTTTTAACCCAAGCCAGGCTACCCCAAAGTGAAACAGCTTCGCTGGTTTTCCCGGACTTGGACAGATTCACCCAAGTAATATATTTATGGGGCGGATTGTATGACACATTGTGCAAATTGTATTCATTTTGTCTCTGAACTAGTCTCGTTGTGGAACAGTTTCACAGACTGACTCGCCAAGACTCGGCCCGATTCACACCCTACCACCCCGAACCGTATTGGGTTTCCCGTATGTGACAGCTCTTTATCATCACCTTATGTCATCTCACAGAGAGACAGAGAGAGAGACAGAGAAGAACCCGATTCTTTTACTCTCTTACTAGTTTCAGAAATGTATTGGAGTAATGACGATCGACTAAAAGACACCCGATTAAAAGCACAGAAATCAAGAGTTGAATTGATACACAGAGGGAGGGAGAGAGAGTGTGTGCGGAAATTTAAGCTACTCGGGAAGAAGAGGAAGACGAAGCCACAGTATCTGAGCTGGGCTGGCAGGATATCCGATACCATGACGGTTGTTGGGGAAGATGACGGCGCTCGCGCTGACGAGGGTGCCTATCGCAGGAGGAAGGACCATGAGGAGGACCTTCTGTTTGGACTCGAAGGAAGGGTAGTAGCAGGAGACGGTGTTGGAGTCGAGGAGGCCGACGATGGCGAAGACCAGGACGGAGAGGGCGGCGTGGACGAAGTCTCCAAGGCGGAGCCTGTAATTGGAGAGGTCTGTAGTGGAGGATTTCGGATCCCAGAAGGGCCAGAGTCCCTTGCCCGTCACGATGCCGTAGTAGACCTTGCCGTCTGCATCAGTATAGCTGTCGGTGAAGCAGGAGAAGGCGCAGGAGAAGCCGCAGATGCCGAGGAGGACGCCGCTGAGGACCTTGTTGACAACGCTGCAGTGACCGTTGTCCGTCAACACCCTATAGAGGAACTGGAAGAGGAAGACGGTTCCGGTGGGGAGGAGCCTGATGAGGTCGCCCAGCCCTTGGAAGGCCTTACTCCCCAGAGTCTGCGCCATGCCTCTGATACACAATCTCTCTCTCTCTCTCTCTCTCTCTCTCTCTCTCTCTCTCTCTCTCTCTCTCTCTCTCTCTCTCTCTTCCCCTCCCCCACTTCCTCTCTCTCCCACAAGACGCACGACAGCTCCCCGCCCTCAACAACTTAAGACTCGGTATAACATCAGGCACAAGAGGGTTCATTCGGGTGGGTTTTCTCAGATGACGTCTATTTGGTTTGTACAGTCCGCAAACAAGCCGCGACGAACTTATCAAACCACGTGGCTTTCCCGAGTCAATTCAAACCTCGTGGCTTTCCGAGTCAAGCTTTATCCCAAGCCAGACCAGCTTGAAGTGAAACAGTGTCGTTGATTTTCCCGGCTTCGGACCGGGTCATATGATACTTGTGGTGCAACTTGTATTCTATTAATCCTCGGATATCTTCAATTAACTAAGTTAATTCATTCATGCAGCAGCATCAACATATAAAAACCCGGAGCGAGTCCCGATTCCACTCAACTCTGGCTCCAGCCAGCTTCGGTGTGGAACAGTCTCGCAGACTGGCCTGCCGACACTCGGTCCGATTCACAGTCTACAAGCTCGAACCCATGTAGGGTTACCCGTACGTGACAGCTCTCAATCATCACCTTACGTCATCTCCGAACACCACGCCGTTGCGAGGTTGACGGGTAGAGAGAGAGGGGAAACTCCTACTCTCTTACTAGCTACAATCAAGAGTCGGTTCGAGACAGATAGGGGGAAAGTGTGTGTGTGCGGAAAGTTAAGCTACTCGGGACGAAGAGGAAGATGAAGCTACAGTATCCGGGCTTGATGGCAAGATATCAGAGGCGGATTTTTGCTGAGAAGAGTGGGAGAGAGGAAGGAAAAGTGAAACTCATTTATAGCACCGCCGTCGTCCTACCCGTTTAAGGTTAAGTGAATTAACTCTAGAGGAATTTTTACGATAATACCCTTATAATAAATGGGCCACAACACTCTCCCTCAAGCTGGAGCATAGAGATCTCTCATGGACAGCTTAATGTAGGTAGTCTCGTGTTTGACAAGTGTCTTGGTAAAGATATCCACTGACTGGTCATCTGCAGAAATGTAAGTTGTAGAGTTTTTTCAGGATATCACAGCATCTTTAATGAAATAACTGTCCACCTCTTAATATTTTGTGGGCTCGTGAAAGGCAGGATTATTAGCTATACAAGTGGCAGCCTTGTTTTCACAATACATATGAGCAAGCTTCCACATACGGATATGAAAATCTTTAAGTATTGATACCACCCAGAAGAGTTTACATATATTATGGACCATAACTATGTACTCAGATTCAATACTAGATTGAGAAACAACATATTACTTATTGCTATGCCGAGCAACAAGTTTACCTCTATTTGTGCAAAATCTGTAGTAGACTTTATATCTTTATGAATGCCAACATAATCTACACCAGAGTTGCCCCACACATTAAAATGTTTGTGGTTCTTGAAATAAAGATCATTCCTTGGTGATGATTTTAAATATCTCAAAACTTGGCAAACACCAGCCCAATGTAGCCCCCTAAGATATTACACAAATTGACACAATCATCTAATTACCAATGCAATGTCAGATATTGTAATGGTCAAATATAATAGTTCTTGATATCTTGTCGCATCCAAGAGTTCTGAACTATCCAAGTCACCAATGATATTTATGGATCTAAAGGGATTGTCGTAGGTTTACAATTAATCATGCTTGCATCATGAAGAAGATCAAGCACATACTTTCTTTGACACTAGTGACAATGAATTAGAAATCAAAATCTAGCCAAGATTAGTGACGAGGTAAAAACCCATCAACAAATCATACTTGAAGAGGTGAATAAAGAGGATATAGTGACTCAAATAGAGGCATTACTAATGATGTGAGAGGAGACACCAGAATCAACAATCCAATTAGAACTATCAGAACATGTAGAAAGGACATAACTACCTGCTAGGCCAAGGACTAAGGTTGCAGTATATGAGACTAAGAAGGCTTGTCAACATAACTATCTTTCTCATGTAGATAGAGTTTATCATACTCCTTGAGAAGAATAGTAATATCAGTGGATTCCTTTGTATTAGTAGACACCTAATCATCCTAAGGAGCTAGACGTTCACTAGGGTAACCATATTTGACCCAACAATGATTAGAGTAATGATAAGTTCTATGACAATGCTCATAAAATAATCCACCTCCACCACGGCCCCAGCCAATATCATAAAACTTATATCCTCTTCCTCCACTAGAAAAAGCTCGTCTACCTCATCCTCTAGTTGTAACCATAGTTGAGGAATCTGTGTGAGAAATAGGGTTTGACATCTCAAGTCTCGATAGATGAGCATAGATCTCAGCCAAAGTAGGAATCTCTTCAAGTGCCATTAATCTTTCATTGCTTTATACTCGGCCGAGAGCTACTAAAAGTTGTACTGACTGAGTAGCCTCTCATTGATTGGTCATCTCAGCAATATCAATAGTAATAGGTTGGTAAGTGTCTAGCTCATCTGAAAAATGTTTTGGAGAGCCATAACATTATGTTGTATGATTGTCTCCTTAAAAGTATGAATGTCTTCAATCACTTTATAGAGATGTGAAATATTACTTTTGTGAGAATGGATCTCATATGAGAAGAGGCACTTGTATTATTTGAGTGACCCATAGAGTCTCCTAAGAGAGTCTTCTTTCATTCCATCACAGCACAACTAGTTAAAAATAATATGCTGGGGAGATTGGGTTAGCTATTCAAAACTAACTAGATAGAGTGTCGAGGTAGAGCTTCGAGGTGAACTAACTAGTCACCAAGGAATGGAATCACCAAACTAATCATTGAGTTGCTGGAATCTCTCTGTTGATTTCTGGATATGAAAGTCTTAACAGAGATTGTGATGTCTTCCACCTTCTGTCAGTTAAAGAATGAGAATGAGAGTGGAGTTAAGAGACCAAGGATGATTCCCATTAAAAAGTCCTTATGAGGGATATTCCAGTGATTTATGCCGCACCAATAGCGTAAAGACAATGGATGCTAATATTTGATCTCTCTCTCAACTACAGATCTCCTGATAAATGTTGTAATCATGGCAGCAGATCATCCTACTCTTATACTATGTTGAGAAGAAGGGGAGAGATGAAGAGGGAGAGAGAGAGAATGGGAAGTGAAACACATTCTTAACACCGCCGTCCACCTCTCCCTTTAGGGTTAAATGACTTAACCTTAAAGAGGAAGTGTTACAATACTGCCCTTACAACAACTTTAATCGAAGAAGGGGTAGTAGCAGGAGACGGTGTTGGAGTCGAGGAGGCTGACAGTGGCGAAGACGAGGACAAAGAGGGTGGCGTGGACGAAGTCCCCAAAGCGGATCCTGCAATTGGAGAGGTATGTGGGGGAGAAGTTTGGATCCCAGAAGGGCCATAGTCCCTTGGCCGTCACGATGCCGTAGTTGACCTTGCCGTCGGCACAACTGTAGCTGTCGGTGAATCAGGAGAAGCCGCAGATGCCGCGGAGGACACCGCTGAGGGCCTTGTTGATAACGCCGCAGCGCCCGTTGTCCGGCGTCACCCGATTGAGGAACTGGAAGAGGAAGATGGTTCCGGTGAGGAGGAGCTTGATGAGGTCGCCCAGCCCTTGGAAGGCCTTACTCCCCAGAGTATGCGCCATGCCTCTGATCTCTCTCTCTCTCTCTCTCCGTTTCTCTCCCCTTAATGCACGCCAATTCTCCGCCCTCAACAACTTAAGACTTGGTGCAACATCAGGCGAAAGAAGGTTCATTTGGTGGGCTTGCTCAGATGGCGTCTATTTGATTATTTCAGTGCACACGGAAGCCCGTGACGAACTTATCAAACCTCATGGATTTCCGAGTCATGCTTTCCAGCCCGAAGTGAAACAGATTTTTGCAGGTTTTTACGACCTCGAACCGAGTCAACCAAGGAGTATATTTATGGGGCATGTTATAGGACACTTGTGGTGCAACTTTTATCATTTTGTCTCTGATCCAATCTCGGAGTGGAACAGTCTCACAGACTGGCCCGCCGAGACTCGGTCCGATTCACAGCCGACAGCCTGGACGGTGTTGAGTTACCCGTACGTGACAGCTCTCTCTCATCACCTTACATCATATCCGAATACCACACCCTTGCGAGGTAGACGGGGAGCCAGAGAGCGAGAAAGGGAGAGAGAGGGAAAGCCGTTCCTCCTACTCTCTTCCTAGCTTCAGAAATGTATTTCGCGTAAAGACGATCAACACCGGATTAAATGCACAGCAATCAAGAGTCGAATTGATACAGAGAGAGAGAGAGGAAGAGGGAGTGTGTGTTCGGAAAGTTAAGCAACTCGGGATGAAGAGGAAGATGAGGCTAAGGCTACAGTATCAGGGCTGGCAGGGTATCCGATACCATGACGGTTGTTGGGGAAGATGACGGCGCTCGCGCTGACGAGGGTGCCTATCGCAGGAGGAAGGACCATGAGGAGGACCTTCTGTTTGGACTCGAAGGAGGGGTAGTAGCAGGAGACGGTGTTGGAGTCGAGGAGGCCGACGATGGCGAAGACCAGGACGGAGAGGGCGGCGTGGACGAAGTCTCCAAGGCGGAGCCTGTAATTGGAGAGGTCTGTGGAGGAGGATTTCGGATCCCATAAGGGCCAGAGTCCCTTGGCTGTCACGATGCCGTAGTAGACCTTGCCGTCGGCACCAGTGTAGCTGTCGGTGAAGCAGGAGAAGGCGCAGGAGAAGCCGCAGATGCCGAGGAGGACGCCGCTGAGGGCCTTGTTGACAACACTGCAGCCCCCGTTATCGGTCAACACCGGGTTGAGGAACTGGAAGAGGAAGACGGTTCCGGTGGGGAGGAGCTTGATGAGGTCGCCCAGCCCTTGGAAGGCCTTACTCCCCAGAGTCTGCGCCATGGCTCTGAGACTCTCTCTCTCTCTCTCTCTCTCTCTCTCTCTCTCTCTCTCTCTCTCTCCCCCTGATGGGGAATGTCGTTGTGGTCCTTCTTTAATATACTAGCAGCAGGAAAGGGAGGAAGGGAGGGCTATGTGCCGGCTATGGGGCCATGACGAAGAATAGGATAGCTTGCACGATGCTAAGACTAAGAACTTGCGTCCACTCCTCGGTATCTCTACCATCTGGGAAGCTCTCTCTCTCTCTCTTTCTTCCTCCCCTCACACGTTCCCTCTTCTGTGAACGGCTTAGCCCTTCTCGGCGGTATTTCCTGTCTTGGAAGGAACAGCGAAGGAGCTCATCACTGGAGACCCTGGGGGAGTCGTGAACTCTTGGTTCTCGCTCGGTGGGAATAGCTTTCCGCCGTTAGACGGCGGCATTGTAAATATTGATTCAGCGTCCTAATTCTGGCTTGAATCGAATCCACCAAATTAAATAGCCCTTAAATAAGAACAAGAACTTAGCCAGTCTATGTCAAATCAACTGGGAATCCGGTCTAAAGAACTCCATGAGAGGGCACAAACACTTTCTATCTACTATTTTTTTAAAAAATAATTTGAGTTCTGAAAATTCATCTGAAACCGAAATTTATCAGAAAAAGTTGAGATTTTGGTGAACACTGGTGTTGGGGATTCTTCTGCTCATTAAGGTCTCTATGAGGAGAATCGTGACCAAGATATGCATCCCCTTTTCAGCTTTAATTTTTTATCCATCATAGCAAAACCATTAGAGTCGATCTTGAAAGTTTCTCCGTGGGGATTCTTCTCCTTTGTTAGATTTTTAAATTGGATGTAGATTCGCTTTTATGATGTCTGAAAAAAATCCTAATAGTCACGTTTATTTATTGCTGATTTCTTGACGTCACTCAACATTATTATGAAAGATATTCAAAAAATTCAAACAATAAAATTTTTGGAAGAGCATTTTATGTGTAAAACAATGCCTATTTTGAAACCGAAATATGTGTTATAATTTATTTGAGGACTTAAATTTTACAATATTTTGTATAATTAGTTTTATTTAATTTCTGATTTCTTATAAAGGCATATCATTATGGACCATGAATAATGATATGATGGTGACAAAATATGTCACAATATTTTCTAAAAAAAGCCGCCTTAACCTGGTAGGTCACTCAAGACCCAAAGCTTAATATTTGAAATATATATTAAATTTTTTAATAAAGTAATATAAAAAATGATAGATTCCGTTACTCGGGTCGTCAATAACTTGAGATGTGGCCACAATTCCTTTTACTGTCAACAACTCGTTAAATGGCCGCCCCAACTGTATCATATTTTCCAAATTTTCCATTAAAGCTTGTTTCTCAATCTTTATGATGTGTTTGATAAAAAGGATTAAAATTTATTTTTTTAAGTATTATTAAAAACTACTGGCACCATTATTTGGACACTCAATAACCTGAATTCTTGACTTGAGTGGACTGGCCCGGGTTACCGACAAAAATAGGCATCTGAAAGAGAGACTATTTTTAATATTATACAAAATATTAATGAGCCAACAGCTGATCCATTAGAGACCTAACTCAGGGTCTACGAGCACTGCACCATGTCTCCTTTTTCCCTCACCATCATCAATAGCATTAGCTGTTTAGATGAGAAATTCTAGTCGGCTGGCTGACCATTCATCCCAAAAGCGGCATCATATCTGCCGTCCGCTAAATCGGCCATTGACCACAAATGGTCAAGTTTTGCTTCTCAAATCTGATCCAAAAATGACCCCCCAAACCTATTTCAGCGATCATCTTGGCTTTCGAGTTGCAGGGAAGAAATTGACCCAATAATCTATGTACAGCTGTTTTGACGTTGGGACAAAGAATTTTGACGTTTTATGTACACCAGTTCATTATCTCTGGGGAAATTAATGCGTTGATGAGCTCCATGGATAGTTTCAAATCTTCCAAGCATGGGTAATGCAGGAGGAAGTGGGGACCTTCTTGAGGATGAACGCAGATTCGTGGCGATGTCTCCCCATCGATGGCTCTTTGTCCTCCTGTCCTCTTTCCTCCATAAATCTTATCTCCGTATGGTCTAATCCCAGAAGAGGAGGAGGTGCACCACCAGGCTATATCCGTGCCCAATGGCGTCGAGGCTCGAGCGCGTTGCAGGTCGCAGGTCGCTCCGTCTAGACGAGTCCAAGGAGCCGCCTCAGGTCCTTCGTGGCGGAGAGATCGACAGCGATGGCGCCGCCATCCCATGGCTTCTTGGAGGAGAACCTCGGCAGCGGCAGGGCCCTCGGCGAGGGTGAGAGAGAGAACGCTGAGCCGGCATAAGTCTCCCCTCGTCCGACCTTCAGCTCCATCAACCTCATATCCCGTGGCGGCGCCGCTGGCTCGTCCATGGACGGCGACTTCGTCGGGGAACCCCCCCACCGCCGCTCCCCCGCCGTAACGTCGCTGTTCTTCATCATCGCAGCAGGTCCTGGAGAGCCCTCCTCCCTCCGGCGAGGTCTGGGTTTGAGGTTGTGGCTTCCGCCAGCGATGCTGGGGGCCACCCTTCCCCGTGAGAGGGAGTAGGCCACGAAATGCATGCATCCGAGCTGCCGGTCGCTGAGGATGCCTTGTGTGCGCAAGACCTCGGTCCCCATTCCAGCCAAGCCTGACCGTTCCTCTGCAACGATGAGAGAGATAGATGGATAGCGAGAGAGAGAGAGAGAGAGAGAGAGAGAGAAGGGGGAAGGAGGAGGAGGAGGGCGACGGCTTCTTCTTCTTCGCTGGCGTCTATGGCTTATTGTATCAACGCGATTCCCTTAGCTGGCCCCTCTCCTCATCTGTCCTTCCTGTCCTCCTGACTTCTTATCAATCTCTCTTACACTCTCTCTCTCTCTCTCCCCTCATTTGTGGCGGTGCAGGCAGGGGGAGGTTAAGACGGAGGTTTCACGGGTGAGCAGCGCCGCCTACTACGACGGTGGGTCCAGAAAGGATGACCCGCCCACCCACCCCGTTGACAGTGAGAGGGAGCGGATAAGGAGCCGGTTACAAAATATATAACATAAATCTATAACATATTTTATGACAAGGAGCCGCTTTCAAAATGGTCAAGGAATGCAAGGAAAACTTGAAATGGGTTGCCGTCTTAGTTAAGAATTCCGCTCGTTGACCTCATATTTGCTCTAAAAACACGTTATCTTAATTCATTAGACGACGGGAGGAGCTAATCCGCGAAGGTCAAACGACGACCCTCGTTAAGAGGATCAACATCAATAGGCGTCACGTGCTCCTCAGTTATACATTGACTTTTCTGGAATGTCGCGTCTTAAAAACGAAAAACACAAGCGCGTCCCCTTCTTGTCTGTCGCCCCCATTTCGGCGGTAATGCGGTATCGGATGCGTTGACTTTCTGCAATGATCATCCAGGTTTAAAAAAAAAATTGGAAAGTCACAACAACAATAAAAAAAAGTTGAATAAATTCTATACAGACAAAATTGAATTATCCCTCTCCCGAACAATAGTTTTATAAAGCACGACGTTCCCTCTCCTCCACGCCACGGAAACTTGGAACCTTGCGACTAAATGCGGGGTGACGTCGCCGCCCAAAATGCGGTGACGAGAATTTTTATTATTTATCTATTTATCTACTATCGCCATTTATGGGAAAGCTAAGAAGAGAGAATAAAGAACGAGAGGAAAGAGTAGAAGACAACTTAGGGTTTCCGTCAAAAAGTTCCTTTATACGGAAATTTTGAGCAGCTTCTTTGTCCTCCTTGATGGTGCGAAGCAGAAATTTGGTATAAACCTCCATTAAAAAAGCAGTAATGGGCTTCCTTGGAGTCCAAAGAATATGAACACTGGCAATATAACTCCAAGAGAGGAAACATCAGAGTCAAAAAATACATATAATGAATAATAACTTAGTGTAGGCTACTCAGCTGAAATCTATTAGTATTAACTTTTTTTAAGAAAAAGGAGCATTCCATGGCATTCTAGTGGTGAATATGGCATACCTATCCCACTATCATCATCCTCCACTACATTCAAACTCAATGGGGATCCAATTAATGCAAAGGCCCCTGAGGGCCATCTACCATGCGCCCAAGAATGATAAGTAAAACTCAAAATCTGTCATAATACATCATCCCATATATAGTTAATGTATAGAATAAGAAAATCTTATCTAAATTTTACCCTATTCTATATTGCAAGTTTACTAATATGAAACTATTTCATGTTCATTCAAGTATCAAGAACCATTTTTGGCTTTATTGCATGAATAATGTAAGTAAGTTGAATAATCCGAATATAAGTTTAATAAATGTCATAAGAGACACAAGAGAGGAGTGATTGTATATTTTTTAAATCTCTTTTTAAATTCTTATTCTTCATCAATACGTAGAATAAAGTATTTTAGTGGTTCAGCCGAGTTGTCATACTCCATTGTTAAGGTGAACTAGAATACAATGATCATATCCTCATATACTGTTAACTATTGCAACTCTTGGTCTTAGTGAACTAGATAGAATGCCACATACAGTTAACTATCTCTTTAAAACATTTTCCTACTTTTAGATATTATTAAGCCATTTCTCTTTATTCATTATGAACCCTAACATACTAGGTTGAGTTAACAAATAAGAAGAAAAATTCAACGTGCAAATGTACATTGATTTAGCATTCCTCAGCCTAGGTTCACTTACTACGGATTTCTAGCCTTAGTTTTAATTATTCTCTCCCAAAGAACTTAGTTAGAATCACAAGGTCAACAAATCCTCTTACACAATGGATTTCACAAGCCTATCTCCCAATTTTAGACACCAAGGTATTAACAATAAGAGGATTGCAAAATAAATTTGAATTTGAGCATAAATTTCTTTGATTTTATGAACAGATGAATGCTTGATGAAGCTGTGGTGGGTTGGACATGTACTAGAAAATAGATGTAGAATGTCAATAAGGCCAGAAAACAATTATTATATTACCGAGGTGTTATTTGAAGTATCTTATAAAAAAAATTATCTCATGTCAAAACTTGACTGTGAAGTCTAAATCTTTGAGATTTAATTAATAAAAAGTTGTATGCACTTACATCAATGTCAGCTCAAATAGTAGTCTCATGGTCATACTATTAGTTTGGGTAAATTTTGACTAAGTTGCTTTGAAAGCATATCAATGTCAGATTTTGACATTTTTAATCTTTTGGTATGTCAAGAAATGTTATAGCTAGTTAGAGATCTATTGACATATGCGATGTCATTTTTGGATGCCTAACATGTGAAATATATCTTGACTCACCTTTAGACTCTACCCATTCTATCACTTCTATGTTTAATTATATTATATTTAGATTAACATACATGTAGACAATTTCTCTCTAGTCTAGTTATGAATTTATTATAACTAAGTTGACACACTTTCTCTCTCCTATTTTTTTACTTGATTTTTGCTATATTAACTTCCCAAGTTGATTCACATAGTCCAACCCATAACTTGTCCAACTAAGAGCTTGAGTCATTTTTTCTCAAATTCAACTTCATTCTTTTATATCTATTTTTTTGATGATTTTTTTACTATATTTTGAAGGAAAAATATAATTAAGCAAAAATGAACTAAGATCTGATAATTTAGATCACTTAAATATTAATGTAATAATAACATGATATTTTTTCCTTTTTATCTTTTATTTTATTGCATCAAAACACTTCTACCAGCAATTAGTATATTAAATTAGCATTAAGGCTTCAATTAGCATCAAACTAGATTTCATGGCTTTAGCCAACCTACATATTTCAGTAAAATATTATTTTTAGATTCATGACATTAGAAGGTCAATTAAATCAACTACTATTCTAGATTCATGACTTTAGCTTGACCCCAAATACAGAACAAGAACTCTTACAAATTTAGTGTGTTACTTTTGGTGGCATTAATTTGTGAGCCTAGTGGTATAGAAGCTTATTTTAGAAAGGAGCCACTTGAAATAAGAAGCAATGAAATTGAGTAATTGAAGTATCAAATACTCTTGCATCTCATCGTAAAGGTTAATCCTTATATATTGATAGTTTTACCTTTACTTTTACATTTCTACTGATTAAAGATGGATTAAAATTGCCACTCCAGCAGCTAGCCATACATGTAAGCAGTTAAACAAGTGCTCCAACAACAAATCACACACCAATAGCTATTTCTAGGATAATATAATAGATTTAGTGACACAACCCTAATTGACTTCTATGTAAAAAGTAAAAGCTTTCAAATAATAAACTTTAAAAATTCAAGAACTTTTCGACAAATTAGATTAGATCATTAACAATATATTCAATAGTCACATAAGTCTTCCACTTCTTTTTTAATATGAAATTACCATTTTATCATTGTATGTAATTTTCTCAAAATTGAAGTTTTTTCCTACTAGTTAGCCTAAATTGTTTCCTTGAGTAATACCTTGTCATAATTGAATTATGTCTTTTCCTTATTAAATGAGTCAACTCACCACCTTGATCATTAATGATTATAAGCTTTATTAATATAATACCAGTCAACTCACCACCTTGATCATTAATGATTATAAGCTTTATTCGTATAATACCAGTCAACTAACCACCTTGATCATTAAAGATTATAAGCTTTATTCATATAATACCAGTCAACTCAAGCCCACAATAATGTATTGGTCATTTCTCATATCAAGTGAATCTACTTTATCAAAAGAAGTGAATAAAGAAAATCTGCAAGCCCAAATGGATAAGGAATTTTGTTATGAGATTAGAATAAAGTCTTATGATAGGGAATTGCCATTTTGGCCTGACAAGAAATATTTCGTATTATGAGTGTACTCATTTAACAAAGTGAGTCAACTCACTTGCTCAAAAGTGTAGCACAACATACTGGATCATGTAATCAGTATCAAAATTCTGTGAGAACAGTTTTGGCATTTTTTATTGATATTACACCCTTCCATTTATTTTGTTTACATCAAAAGTATCATCAATTGTGATTCTAAGTTAAATTTATTGAGCCACCTAATTATAAACCACTGTGATTTGAGTTAGATGAGCCATAGCTTTCACTTAAAATAGTTCAAACTTCACCTGTTGGGAAGTTCATACAAAAAATCATAAAGAATGCCCACATTTAAGCAGTATATTTTGCCTTCTCACAGTGTATTTTTTCTAGGAGACACTGTCTCTGGTTCACTATGTAAAGCGGGGACAGAGATCAAATCTGCACTATTCAATTATTTAAGCATCCTTGGAAACCACAAACTCATATACTATCGTCGATAGACTTCAAAAAAAGAAAACTGTTTCAGCCACAAGAAGGCAAGAAATCACTGATCCGTACACATGGCCCGGCATACACAGCAATTTCTTCTCTCCCATACATGCACCGACAACCCAAAAGTCCTATAGTGTTCTTAGGTTCTCTGTAAGTGAGAAAATTTCACTGTGAATTTAGCAACTTGAGCAGCAGTTCAAATAAGATATTATGATTATAGCGGACTCCAATTTCTAGCCTCCAGATTCATGGAAGATATAAACCCTTTCGATCCTGAGGATGTATTAATTGATGCGGAAGAATCAATGGATCAACATCAGGATAGTATGAAAAAATTTGAAGTGCGATATCTAGCTTAACCTTCCATAGTATGCGCCGGATCCATACAACAGTTCAAATCCAACACGGGTTATGACTGGTTATGTAAGCTCAGGTTTGGGGTTGGATTCTCACAAAATTTCCTAAATCGGACTCATCCAGTAATAAACTGATTGAGATAACTTTTGATTCTCAGGGACCTTTTTCATCCGAGCAATGACGATATAATGATCTCATAGGCCTAAAATCTCACCAGCTAGTACTTTTTCTTATGGGTTCTGTTAATGAGACAACGAAGGAAGCAGATCATGGCGGTCATCCACCGTTTATCATCAGTCTTGTTTAATATCAAAAGAAATGCAGGCAAAAAAAATCTCAGAAATAGATATCAGAAGAGCAAGGCAGAGGAAGGCCAAGAGCCATGAAGAAGCAACAAGCAGGGCAACCCCATTATAAGATTTCAGGCCTTCCAATATCTATTCTGAGAACCGTTAAGTCCATAGTGAAGAAGAAACAACCAGGGAAGCCCATAATTCATGATGATGAGAAGATGGTCTTATTTCAAACAAAGGAGCATGGTTGCCTAGGAGCGACAGAGTCCATACCTTCGAGATGAATTACGAGGAAAATAGAGCAACAACTATAAATCATTGCCTCATTAATGACTGGCAAATATTTCAAAGAAAGCATGGGAAACATGTACAGAGAAAAAAAAATCGCAGAAATCATAAATATGAAACCATAAACCTAAAATATGTCAAATTCCTGGAAGATAATCTTTCCCGAAGAGTACACTTCTCATTAATTAGAAATTATTTCATTTTTTGAGAAAAAAACGTTTTGACAATTTTCTTATACCCATCTAAAATTGAAGAGGATGCTGGTAGAATCATTGTCTGAACTTCAAGATATTCCACTCAATTTTTTCAACCTTGTGAGCACAATTACCTACAGTGGGCTAGTCCACGTGTTTTGCTGATTACGAGAATAAATCCCAGACAGTTCTGGGAGCAATTGAGGACGAAAGTAGCAGCTGTGCGGCGTTCACAGCTGTCAGCTCAAGGCTAGTTTGAATGCATGAGTTCCACCTCCAGACCCAGGCACTGAAATAGATCGTTCCACAGCACAAGGGCGTTGACAAGCTCACATGTTTGGGACAGAATGAAATCTATTCACAAGGACATTTAATCATTGAGCAACCAGATAGACAAAAGTCATGAGGAAAAGACTGGGAACATACCATTGGCGTGCAAACACTCACATCAGCTGGCTTCTGCAGCACAATATGATCATCCCCAGATCAAAAAAGAAAAAGAAAAAGAAATCAACCAAAGCTGGCCAAGGCCTCCATCCCCCACTACTCTGTTGTTGTCGCCGTATCATCTTTTCCCAATGCGAATGATTGGTAACCAGAGAAACTTGACAGATGACCTGAACCACTGCTGCTTACCGATTTCTCAATATCCATCAGATTTGACGTGAGGGGAATCGGGCGATCGGGAATTGTTGGAACCACCAAATCAGTTTCCAAAATCTTCACAATTTTATCCATCAAAGGCCTCGCATATAACTGCGGGTGAGAAGCAAGGACAGCGACCATGACGTACTTCTCCATGACTTCACTGGAACCCAACTCAGGCATCCCTTCTTCAATGACATCCAAGGTCCTACCTTCGCGCACAAGCGACCAAGCCCAATCAGTTACAAGGGAAGTCTGCTCCCCATCTGATGAAATTATTGGCTTCTTCCCACTCAAGAGCTCAAGAAGCAAGACCCCAAAACTGTAAACGTCACTTCTCTCAGTCAACTGGCCATAGAGAGCATACTCAGGAGCAACATAACCGAGGGTGCCTGCCACCCTTGTGCTCACATGTGAGACCCCTTCAGGAGCAAACTTAGCCAGGCCAAAGTCAGCAACTTTTGGTTCAAATTCATCATCCAGAAGGATATTGCTCGCCTTGATGTCTCTATGAATAATACTCGGAGTCACACCGTAATGGAGGTATGCTATCCCCCTTGCTGTCCCAACGGCAATCTTTTGGCGGATGGGCCAACTCAACTTCATCTCTCTGGCCGTAGATGCCCAACCAAAGAGATGGTCATGAAGGCTGCCATTCTTCATTAAATCACAAACAATTATCCTCTGATGTCCCTCCAGTGGAGTAGTCGCTATACAGTACCCTCTCAGGCCAACGAGATTCACATGCCTGACGCTGGCTATTACTTCTACTTCATGCCTGAAGTCTTCATCTCCTGCAGCAGAGCAGTTCTTGAACCTCTTCAGGGCGACCTCGGTGCCATCAGGGAGCAACCCCCTGTAGACATTCCCATAACCACCTTTACCGATTATGTGACCCCTTGAGAAATTCTCTGTAGCCGCCTTGATCTCATCAAATGTGTAACGGACCAGGGTCGTACTCGCGCCTACATATTCCAGATGAGCCGCTGTCCGGGAACTATCTGGTCCCACGATCTTCTTCTTCCTCCTCTTCCTACGGTGCCGTCGCTTCCTGACGACGAACCAAAATCCAATCCCCGCCACGACGAGAAGAAAAAGAACACCCCCAATGACGCCGAACAACCAGCCACGGGTACCACTCCGACCGCCACTGGAAAGAACTGATGGGGTAATGGTGTCGGGGTTGGCACTGAGGGCGAAGCAGCAGAGAGCCGTGTCCTCGTTGGCGGGACCGAAGCGGTTGACGGCACCGGCGACATAGATGAAGGGGTACTGGGTGCAATCGGAGACATTGCCGTTGGGGGGTCCTGTGAGAAAAGCGTTGAGGCGGGTTATGGTGGCGGTGCAGGTGGCGCAGGTGGACCCGCTCACGGAGCCACTGCAGGTCTGATTGACATCGGCCAGGACGGTAGACGAGGAAGCCTTGGCGAGGGACTCGAATTGGGAGCGCGATGAGATGTTCATGCATCCCGTGGAGATCCACTCCGTCTTGAAGCCACAGGCGGACCGAGGGTTGAAGTCCGTGAAGATCTGATCAAGCAAGAGCTGGAGAGCGGCCCAGCAGGACGCAGAGGAGTTGAGCGCTGGCAAGAATAGCCCGGAAGTCCGGAGGTACTCGGCCTGGCATAGATGGATACCCTGCAGGGTAAATTGACAGGGAGAGACGTTTATGGTGCCATTAGCAGACGCATCCGATGCAGCCTTGTAGACGTCGACGTACTTCTGGAACAGGGTGAAGTTGAGGGGGCAGCTTGCGCTCTGTGCCGAAGCCATCGCCGGCAACCAGGAAAGCAAGAGCAGCAGCGGCAATGGGAAGGGGGCCGCCCACCGAAGGATCCCCATGCCGAGATCCTCAGTCCTCGCCAGTTTTCCTGCTTCCTCTATCCACCTTACCACTGCCGCTGCTCACGGCTGCCCAATCCTTGCCTCCCTCCCTCCGGCTCCCATGGCGGCGGAGCGGATGCCCCTGCCGCGTGGTTCTTCCTAGCTGTAAGATTGGAGAGGACGGTTCAAAATTCTTCTCTCTACCAAATTATTTAACTATAAATAGGCCCACGGGGCCCCACTCTGCGCCTCCCCCCCTGGGCCCCGTAGCAGGTCACCCAATCCGGCCCACTACGAACACTTCCAAGTGGGCCGGCCCAGCATAAGATTCTCGCCAAATTTTGTACGGTGATAGTAAAAAGCTGGCATCTACTGGCACGTGGACTAAATATATGGCACATTATCCGGTCGCCACTTTCCGGCGGCGGAATCGCCACCACAGACAACGTTCTCGTGAATTCCACGCCTGTCCTCATCGAGACAGAGCGGCGAATGGCCGTGCTGGCGGCTTGTCTTGAGGGGCCGAGGAGTCGGCCTCCTATGGCCAACGATTTCGAGGGGAATTGAGGGGGAGGAGTAGATCGGATCCGGCGGCGCAGGAGGGGCGGCGGCGGAGATGGCGAGCGCGCAGCCGGGATTCGGTCTGCCGGAGGAGGTGCTGGCGGTGCTGCCGGAGGACCCGTTCGAGCAGCTGGACGTGGCGCGGAGGATCACCTCCATCGCGCTCTCCAATCGGGTCTCCAAGCTCGAGGAGGAGCTGTCGGCGCTGCGCAGGGAGCTGGAGGAGAAGGACGACGCCGTGGCTGAGCTACAGGCGCAGATGGAGGCCCTCGACTCCTCTCTGGTGGACATCTCCCATCAGCTCTCCCGAGCGGAGGAGGAGAAGGAGGTCCTGCGCAGCGAGAACGCCTCCCTCGCCAGCACCGTCAAGAAGCTCAACCGCGATGTTTCCAAGGTGTGTACCAGTCCGTCGCCTCTGTTGCCATGGACGACGATTCACCGAGCATATCTCGTTTCTGCCACCAATTCTAGCCAATTTCGGGATCTGTTCACGCACTTGTAGCGTCCCCAGATTATTTTGTCGAGCGCATAGGCTATCCATACATGACCTCATCTTATTAGAACTTGCTCTATAGATGAGGAACTTCTCTTGAAACTCAGGAGATCACGAAGAAGGTAGGGAGAGAGCCGGATTCGGCCCACGCTCAACGAGAGCAAGGTGGAGAGATGTGAAGATGTGGGTAATGTCAGAAACTAATGGAGAAAACCGCAGGGCACACAAGGTGTGAGACTTTCGCTTTTGAATTGGGCGAAGAACTTTACCAGTGACAGAAGAACAGCTGAGTCTCAGTAAATCTCTCCTTTCTAGTTGATGAAAAATGTGTGTAAAACCCAAGAATTTGGAGATCGAAGATGAAACGGAGATGACTCCTGGCGAGTTGGAGTAGGCTGGGCCAAAAGTGGGATGACAGCCAATGGGGACCATCTGCCTCCTCGAGGAGCATCGGCGAGCTTCTCTTTCAGCAGCTCCACCTCTTTCACCGCCTCGACCATCTGCATGTCGTGCCTGTTCTTCACAGCGGAGGACAGGTTCTTCTAAATTATGACACCAAGTTGTATAACATTATTCACAATACTCAAACTTAGATCTTGATTTCCATCTAAATGAATCACAGCTTCCATCCCCGATATAAGAACACTCCTCAATGAGAAACTGATATGGTGTTTTCAGACCCACAAGAAATAAACACACGGCATATTGCTCCTTTTAATACAGCATCTCTCTTTATTCCTCACAACTGAACTTGAATTACAATAATCTTTATGATATTAAAAAAAAATCACTGGTTAGCATTTTATGTCTCGAAACTTATCGCCCGAGTATGGTATCATGGGGTTTGACTTTTACTGGTTCATGCAGCTGGAGATTTTCAAGAAGACCCTCATGCAGTCACTTCAGGAGGATGAGGAAAAACCTGTGAGTTCTTACTTTCCCGTCCTTGTCACTCCCATTTGCCTCTGGGACATAAAATGATCTCCTGTGATGATTGCTCTTGGAATTGGGAGCTTCTGGTCAAACTAAGTTCACACCGTTCTATAGAATGCAGGGCATCCAAAGGTCAGTCCAAACCGGGGATCTACGTTAGGGCTTTCTTCACCTGTGTCAACACGAACAGGTACTGTTCTAAGAAAGTTTGGCACCCTTACTCTGCATCTTCAGCTTCTAGATTCGACGGTCAGTGTGGAATTATATTCATAACTAGCGCTTCTCCCATGATAACTTGGCGTGATACACCTTTTTCATGAGAATATCTTCAGATATTAAGGTTATATGCAAGTGATATAAGAATCTAGAATTGACTGGAGGTAATGGGCGTTCATAAGTTACTCTTTTCACCTGAGAAAATCGACGTTATGTACCCTTTTTATTAGAAAGTGGTCGCACAATAAGGCTATAGATGCATGGTACATGAGTAGTATTCATGGGCATAGACTGACTCTCCTCTAATTGTATGCCAGAAAGCGATGCTGCTTCTCAGTTTTCCGAAACTGGAAGCTCTGTCTCAGATGGTACTAGCCTGATTGAATCAGATGGTATGCCCATAGAACATCTTTAATGGCGCCGTTCTTTCCCCCTTGGTGATGATCTCCTCACATGTTATTATCGAATACTCTGGCGGTTTCAGCCTCGCCCGCTCTCCCAGCTTTGAGACAAGCGGCCTCTCAGGGCCTGGCGTTGACATTGGGATCTCGGAGCACCACCCCAAAGTTGACCCCTCCAGATTCTCCCACGCGGCAATCAGCTTCCGCATCACCAACTCGTCTGTCCAAACCAGGGTCTCCCAGACGCCAATCGATTGCATTCACAAACGCGAGGCAGATGTTCGACGAAAGGCCTTCGAGCTTCTCCTCCATGCCGTCGAGCCAGCACAGCTCCATGTCGGGGTCCTTCGATCCCGGAGCTCACACTGGTTGGTTCTCATAGCTCTCTGATGAGTGGCACCTGAAATCCCGGCCCTCCTGTCGTTCTTCTTGCCTCACCTTCTCCCCGATGGTTGCTGCAGGCCGAGCCCGGGTCGACGGGAAGGAGTTATTCCGCCAAGTCCGGTAATGAACGGACGACTCGAGTTCTAGTGATAATATCCGGAGACCCTCGCAGATGAGTTGACCTTCTGCTTATCACCACTTGTCTTCGTTCACAGGACCCGCCTGTCCTACGAGCAGTTCAGCGCTTTTCTCGCCAACGTCAAGGAGTTGAATTCTCACAAGCAATCCAGAGAGGTAAGGATTTCCCTAGCTCTCTAACTCTCTCTCTCTCTCTCTCTCTCTCTCTCTCTCTCTCTCTCTCTCTCTCTCTCTCTCTCTCTCTCTCTCTCTCTCTCTCTCTCTCTCTCTCTCTCTTCTCTCTCTCTCTCTCTTCCCTCTCTCTCTCTTCCCTTCCCTTTCTCTCTCCCCCTTCTATAATCCTGCATTCTTCAGGAAACTCTGAGAAAGGCGGAGGAGATATTTGGTCCAGACAACAGGGATCTCTACGCCATATTCGAGGGGCTGATCAGTCGCAACCCCCACTGATCCTTCGAGGACAGCCCACCATGGGCGGAGAAGCCCTCTACGCGGGTCAACCGGCAGAAATGGTCGGATGAATCTCCCGATCTCTCTGCCGACGATTCCGTTTCTCTGTGTTGCAAAATCGTCGTGTATTGGTTTCTACAGACCGAGAGATTTCTCTCATTTATTTCCCAGAAAGGGGGTGCAATAAGATTACGAGGAGACGATGAGAAAACCATGCTGAATCCTCTGGCTTATTCGTTCTTCGCCTCGGTCAACGCCGGCGGCATCTTGATCGACCATGTAGCCTCAAGATTCTCCACCCCATCATATAATTCCTAAAATAATTTTATATTGCGGATATTCCCTATAAATTCCTCTCTCTCTCTCTCTCTCCGACCCGAACACTGGTACTACGATGGCTGGGTTGATCGCTGTGGGGGAGCGGGGAGAGGAGAAATGGGCCTGGACGGACACCCCCTGGCCCGCTGGGCCGACTTTGGCGGCCCGGTTTTCCTTCAGCTGCCACGTGGATCTGCTCCTCGGGTTCACTATGAGAGGGGATGATGTCATGGGCGGGAGAAAAGACGCCGGATGGTTGGGAATCTGGTGGCTCAAACCGCGCCCACGTGGCAGGGGTGGGGGAGCGCACGTGCGGGAGAAGAGGAGTTTGTGCGAGGGGTATATTCTAATGGCGCGCTCTTCCGCCCTCTTGACTTCTGCTGGGGCCCACTTTTCGAGAAGTGGTTTTTTTAAACGCGGTTATGGTTAACATGTCCTGCGGGTATCGCGGAGCAGAACCGGACAGCTCAGTGGCCCGTTCCGGGTTGCAGCTTGGGCCTTTGGGGGAGTTGGTTACCTAACGATCTGTGGAGGTTCAAGGGAAGCGAACTCGATCGAAGGATATAGACGAGCAGAGAGGGAGGGGAAGAGGTGCGAGGGAGGGGAAGAGGTGCAGTGAGGAAGAGAGAGAGAGAGGGAGACGGAGAGGGTGGGAGCAGGGAGAAAGAGGAAGGAAATTGACGCCAGCGCCATGGAGTCAAACCTGAGAGGAGCAGATGGTCCAGCCAGTGGGTGGAATTCAGACGGAACATAGGATCGGGACGCGGATGGTCTTGCGAATCGCCGGCGGCCCGGCGCGGAGATGGGCGGGGGAGGGAGGGAGGTGGACGTTGGCGTGTCGTAGAGGAGTGAGTGGGGTTGGAGGGAACCAGGGCGGTGGTGGTGGGAGTGGCGTCGGCCGCAGAGTTGGGGAAACCCGGAGGTGTGGAAGTGTGGAGAGGGCGGTTGCTCCTGCTGCTGCAGCAGCTGTTGTCGGTGGCTAGAGAATGAGAAGAGAAAAACCTCGCAACGGCCTGCTCCCGAACTCGCTAAGGGTCATCTCGTCGTGCCTGAAGACGGTCTCGTCGAACGCCGGGTCCGTCGCTTCAACGGTCCGATCAGCCGGAGCAACAGTTGCTGCTTCTATATCTTTGCCTGGGGAAGAAGAGAAAGACCAAGTCTGTTCCTTTGCTTTTATTCCCCATATTTTTCTTATACATATTATCCCCTTTCTTCTGATGTCTGGATTCTATGATCGTACAGTCTGTTATTTTTCCTCCATGTTACTTTTGTTCTTTTCTGTTGGTCGTTTTATTGATCTTAGTGATTTTTTTTGTACCAAGGAAAACTTTCATTTACCGTTCGTTTTTTGCTCTTCTCGATTTACGTTTCTGTTCTTCTGGATTTCCACTGTCACATTTTGTGGAGGGAATCCCTTTGACTCGCACCATCGAGAGAAGATGGAAAAAGAAAATGTTGGAGGTAATAAGTGAATGGCGTTGCTTATTCAAAATATTAGTGGAAGTTTCCCATCGAATCAATAGAGGATTATTCTTACTCCGCAATTTAGACAAAAATGGAATCGTGATGCCGGGATCTTGGGTGGAAACAGGTGATACTTGTTATGCCCTGCAAAGGAAACTTGTAGATTACCATTAACGCCTCAGATAGCGAACAAATCGTCGTATCGCCCAGAGGATAGATTATTACGAGCCATACTTGGTATTCAGGTTTCCACTGCAAAGGAAACTTGTAGATCCGAAATTGGAAGGTCGTAAAAACCCTTTTTCATTAATGAAAAATCTTTATGCCGACAAAGCAGCCTCACTGGTTACATGAATATACCCATAGAAGGAAAGGAAACGAAAGAAAAGCCCAGAAAACGTAGAATAGAAAATTATCTTTCGAAGAGATAACGGTTATGTTATGTTTTACAATTTATGATTGCGTCGTGAAAAAATATGAACTGTAAAGTCGTCTATTTTACCTTCCTGAAGGATAACATTTAGTTGAAGAGATCCAATTTATAGTTTAGGCTCGCCTCTGGTCTTCAATATTCTTTCTGAGACAGAAACCTCATCATGGTTTGGATTGAGTAGTTCAAATTTTAGAGTATATATCAAAATGTGAAAGGGCCGAAGGTCACTATTAGACCTTCTCGGGATACATCAATAATATCCCCGGATATTCAGGGTTTGCTGGGCACGATAGGTTAGTAATACCATCACTTGCTCATGGTATCCCGTTCTGTCGAATTTTTCATGGATTTCAATGGTTGTAGAAGCCAGTTCTGTGTCATTTTGCGCTGCGCCTGCCTTATTTATGTACAAGATATCATCTGGATTCTATATACACATTTATTTACTATTGCAAAACATGGAAGTTTATACTTCTAGAAACACATTTTTATTTAGCAATGAATATATAAAAAGAGGAATGAAATCTTTTCAGTGTAATTAAATCCGTAAATCTGTGATGTCTCATTTAAAGATCATAGTTAGTTCACCCTCCCCCTCTGTTACGCTAATTGCCCCAGCACAAGGCTGAAAGCACTGCTTCTTTTATCATCACCATTAATTGATAAGCCCTGTTTTCTTAATGATAATTTTGTTGTCGTACAGTTGCTCTTCGAATATTTCATATGAATAAGTGTCTTTTATCTTGTGTGCATGTACCCTTACAGGTCGAATGCATTGCTATAGCAACAGACGATTGGAAAGTATCTATGAAATCCTTCGTTGTTAGTGTCATAGTTTGACATGTACTATGAGTGGCAAAATTGTTACATAAGAAGGGTGAAAAAATAAAACGAAAAGAAAGAGGGGTCAGATCTTTCTTAATTATTTGAACAATCATCCTAGCTAGTTCTCTTATTGCAATGTTTTCGTAGACGTACCAATGTGAACGTTTCAATCATTTGTTAAATTTTCACGGATTAAATTTGATTTTTACTTGTTGCTTGAACAGGTATTATGGGTTGGCTTTGACAAGATACAAATTAGTTCTACTTGCTTCAGGCATGCTTTGTTACTTGGCTATGCCAATGGCTTTCAAGTTCTTGATGTCGAGGATGCATCAAATATCCATGAGCTGGTCTCAAAGCGTGCTGGTCCAGTCACCTTCTTACAGGTGCTACCAGTCCCAGCTAGGTCCGAGGGTACTGAAGGATTTAGAGCATCCCATCCTTTGTTGTTGGTCGTTGCAGGTGAAGGAGCCAATGGTTCCAATATGGCCCAAGGTAGCCACTTGAGTGCATTGGTCAGGGAGACCAGTAATGCTCCTCAGCAAGTGGATTCCATCTCCACCCCAACTGTAGTTCTATTTTTCTCATTAAGGTCTCACAGCTATGTGCATGTACTAAGGTTTCGATCGGCTGTTTACATTGTTCGGTGCAGTCCTCGAGTGGTTGCTGTGGCTCTTGCAGCACAAGTAAGCAGTGAATGATCCACATACCCTGAAAACATATAGATTCTAACTGGCATTCTCATTATGTTTTGGGATTTAACCGTAAATAGTTGATTTTTGTAATGGGGTACTGATATATTGCTTTTTATGACAGATATATTGTTTTGATGCTGTGACACTGGAAAATAAATTCAGTGTTCTTACTTATCCAATGCAAGGACCAGTAGGGACAAATGTTGGGCTTGGTCCAATTGCTGTTGGTCCGAGATGGTTAGCTTATGCTTCCAACAATCCTATTTTGTCAAATTCAGGACGCCTGAGCCCCCAAAATCTTACAACCTCTCCTGGTGTTAGCCCATCAACGTCACCCAGCAGTGGAGGCTTAGTTGCTCGTTATGCAGTAGAGTCTAGTAAACAGTTAGCTGCTGGAATTATCAATTTGGGCGATATGGGATACAAAACTTTGTCCAAATATTATCAAGATCTTTTACCCGATGGATCCAACTCCCCTACATCATCAAGTTTTGGCAGGAAAACTGGTAGACTTGGATCGGCGACGCAGCTGAATGAAGTAGATAATGCGGGAATGGTAAATCATGTCACCTGTACCTTTCACCCGAAATCTTTTCTACCAGATGCACATGACTGGCCCTCTCCAACGATTTTGATATCTTGTTACTGTTGACTCTTTCTGATACAGGTCGTCATTAAGGATTTTGTTTCTAAAGAAGTCATTTCACAATTTAGGGCCCATACGAGTCCGATATCTGCACTATGTTTTGATCCTAGTGGTACTCTTTTGGTGACTGCTTCTGTGCATGGGAACAATATAAATGTCTTCCGGATAATGCCAAACTGTGTACCTAATGGTACAAGCTCCTCGTGTTATGATTGGGCTACATCACATGTCCATCTATACAAGCTATATCGTGGGATAACAACAGCTGTAAGAATTAATATTTTGTAATATCGTACGCTTTAACTTTTTCTTCACAATCATTATTTAAATATCTGCATAATTTTCTGTTACAGGTCATTCAGGACATCTGTTTTAGCCATTATAGTCAGTGGATTGCAGTTGTTTCATCCCATGGAACATGTCATATTTATGTCTTGTCTCCTTTTGGTGGTAGTGCTGTCCTCCAGACACAGACTTCTCACAGTGACGGACCTTCACTTGTACCTACTCTCTCAAGGCCATGGTGGTCTACCTCAACAAGCACGAAGGACCACCAGGTCCTTCCTCCTCCACCTGTTGCACTTTCAGTAGTCAGCAGGATAAAAGACGGAAATTCTGGGTGGCTTAATACTGTGAGCAGTATAGCAGCTTCTGCAGCTGGAAAGGCACCTACACCATCCGGTGCTGTTGCTGCTGTCTTCCACAGGTCTGTGGATCATGATTCTCGGTCCGCTAATTCAAAGGCTAAGGCTTTGGAGCACCTTTTAGTATACTCTCCTTCAGGCCATCTTGTTCAACATGAACTATTGCCTTCCTCAGTTGCAGAGGCATGTGACAGCAATTCCAAACTAGGATCTGGTCCCCTTTTGCAGGCTCAAGATGAAGAACTGCGGGTGAATGCTGTACCAGTTCAATGGTGGGATGTATGTAGAAGGTTGAATTGGCCTGAAAGAAAAGAATGCATTTCTAGCGCTAGATGTGACGGTCAAGAACATGAGGAAACGCTCGTGGATGTTACTGATTGCGAGGATACTGGATCCAAAAACTCATCCTCCTCTCCAAGTAGTGCTGCTTGTAAGGATTTTGTGAGAACTCATGAAAAATCTCACTGGTACTTCTCAAATGCAGAAGTCCTTGTTAGCTCCGTGAGGTTACCAATATGGCAGAAATCCAAGGTATTTTCATAATTTCTAGAAATTGAACTTTCTAGAAGATGTCTTCATAATTTTTGTGGATGAATATGTTACATTTTCTTTGACAGATCCGATTTTATTCTATGGATCGTCAAAGCAGTGAAATATTCACCTGTGATTATAACGGTGGAGAAATTGAAATTGAAAATATTTCTGTTGATGAGGTTGAAACAAAGAGGAAGGATCTGCTTCCTGTTTTTGGCCATCGAAGGTATGCTATCCTATTGATGGCGTAATTCTCTGTAATCACAATCTTCTCTTGGAATTTTTTGGGTAACTAGGACTAGCATTTCATATCCGCTGTGGAATTCATAAAGTAACATTTGTACTGATACATGTCGTGTCCTAGATGAAATATGTTGTGGTGCTGACGCTAGCTTATGGTTGTGTCATCCTTGAAGTACCAGAATATCATTCATGCACGACAAATCAGTCTTATTTCTCGGTCGTCTGTCTTAATAAGTGTTGTTGATGGAGATTCATGCGGTCGTTCTTTCCATCCCCCTCACAAAAATGATAAAAAAAAGGAAGGCAGGCTCGGACAAGATCAAGGCTGTAAAGCGCTTGTCTTACCAAAATATCATTCATGCACGACAAATCACAGTCTTCTGCATTTTATATGTTGGATTTGGTAAACCGTGTCATACAGATGACTTCCATTCCGCCAAACATTCAGTATTGAAAAGGACTGGGAGAAGTACCTCTAAAGATGTGTGAGACGTTTTGGGATGGGTTGGCCTAGGCAATATGACTCTAATGATTCAAGGCTTAGTTGATATTATTGATCTATGATTGGATCCAGGCAATCCAGAAGGCTTGATATTGGGTCAGCCAAGAACCTCAAAAAATACAAAATGTGTCTAGAGATTACGACTTATTTATATTATTTAGAAGATCAAGAGGTTTTTTTATTTTATATCATTCGACTGCAAATTCTTAATGCCAGCGCCAAATGTGGTCTAATTAGAGAGTGGCCATGGTTGAACAACAGTGGTGAATGGCAAACGAGGATGCATGTGGCAGAGGACTTGATTGTCAGTGTCCATATGTGCAGAGAAGTGAATTTCAGTGAGTCCATTACTACCAGGGTGAACTGGAATGGTGTTGGTGCTGGTTTGATTTGGTTGAAAGTATACACTTCAGATTTTCTCTTTAAAATAATTTTAATAGAAAAAAAAGTTATAAGACCTATTACTGATGAGGGAGAGTGAAAAAGTCACTATAGCAATGGAGAAGACAAGTTTTATTGTACCACTGGCTTCTGCCTCTTGTCCCTTGGTCTTGTCGTTATGAAGAAGACAAGTTTCTCCTCAGCTCGTCTCTCCCCCGGTCTCTACATGCAGCTTGCCTGTGAGGGTAGTAAAAAGAATGAAGAAGACGATTAAGAAGCTGAGAGTAGGAAAACCTGTGTACATTAAAGGCCATGGCAGCCATCTTCGCCTCTTATTTTCCTCACATTTTTTCTTCTGACCAGCCTAATCTCCTCATATGTTTTCTCTCTCTGATTTCTAAAGTGAGCTGTAAACTGCCTAAATAATCCTCATTTCACGTCTAGGTTTTATATTCTTGGATAGGTACTGTTGGCAGGTGAGTTTTGTGGGTAGCAAACAACTGGAGCTGTGAGGTAGATGTAATGAGCTTGGGACGGTTAAAAATATACTCAAAGCTTTGAATGGAAATTCTTATGATAGAAAGAAATATGCTATCTGTGTGGTTCGCTTTCATCTACCATGTGATCTGGTTGGGTCTTTGATCATTTAATGTGCCGACTTTTTTTCTTAACGCCAAGAGTTATGTGGGTCTTTCAGTATTTGACAGATTGGTTAATGGAGAACTTGGATGGTCCATAAGTTTTCCATTCGCTTTTCTTTCACGACGAAATAATACCACATGTGTGCACCTCATATAAATTCAGCAGCCACATCCTCAGCAACAGGTTTCTGGATTCTGCTGAATCATTCACTATTGTGCCAGCCGATATTTGAGGCCGCGGTTGGTTTTTGTTGATGTAAATTTTTCATGTGTTCAGTCAATCAGTTTGTTCATGGGTTCAGTCAATCAGTCTGTTCCAAATTTTTCTCGTTATGATTCTTATCGTCTTCTGCTATTCTTGTTTGCCAACCGATTTCATTATTTTTTATTTATAGAAAATTGCCCAAAATCTAATGAAATCAGAAAAGGTCTAACTCATTCTATGCTGACGGGGTCATAGGGAGAGGGAGAATGGGCTGCACCCAGAGCTGCCTTGGCGGGGGACTCTTCAGTCTGGGCTGGCTCATGTTGGAGACGGGTTGTGCTTCCAGGCATCTGGACTGAACAGGTAGGATCATTTTTTTAGCTTCGGGGTTTTTTTCATTCAAGCTCAGAAAAAAACAGTCCAGGCTGTTGACCTTCTTAGTTTTGCAGGCCAAAAGATAGACACATTTCTCGTGTCGCATTATAATACATGATACGATAAAATATTCTTAAAAAAATAAAGAGCCCAATGAAAAACAAAGCTTCTGCCTTTGTAGATCTCTCAAAATTTCTAAAACTTCAAAGGCAGGTCTAGGAAACTAAAGGATCCCTTGAAACTAATACTGAATATACTTCTTGGAAATACTGAAAGAAACCTTGAGAGAGATAAATTAGAAACGCCCTTTGAGCGATGTCAACTGACTTACTACTGGCATGAATGATTCTTCTGCCTGATGGTTCTTTTTTAACGTTTCCAGGTGCGTGAGGATGCTTGTTTTTACTTTGTGAATTTTTTCGCAAAGCCAACATGATAGATTTCATTGTTTTGGATTAACTAAAGCTTGGATGGAGCGTGGTTGCATTGCATGTTATGCGTGAGATTCGTGTAAACGATTCGAGGTAGACTGATGTGTGAAACTCTCTTAATGTTGCCTATCGGATGAATATCCTGCGTTATTGAAACGGAAGGAAACAAGTACTGAAGCAATCTTTCAGTCTGGCAAGTAATTTTTGATTTAGCTCTAAAATATACTAGGAGTAGAGGTGAGGGATCCTTGTACCCATAACTGAAGAACTTTGCCGTAGTGGAAAAATAACTTCATTTCTTAACTGCGTTGATTGTTCTCTTCTTGCTTTGATCTGATCTTCATGTAATTACGATGTTTTAATTTCATCAAATCTAGTTTTTTGTTATTTCTCTTCGGTTAAAAAATTGTGTATTGTTTTATTTAGAGGGCTCAGTGGTATCATCCATCTGACTGGATCACCTACAGAAGCAGTTGAACTCAGAGAAAAATCCATTGGCAACGGAATAACTGAGCATCCAGGAATTGAATTTGTTGAGTGTTTGAAAGCTGGTAAGCGGAAATCTCCAGTTGCTCAACCTTTAGTTTCTGTGGCTATTTATCATAAATCTACATCTATTTTAATCCCATCTCCTTTCTTTACTGAAGAGAGTAACTTTTCTTTATTTCCCTGATTTCTCTCTTTTATCTGTAATCTGTAACTTGTTTTTCTTCCAAGCTTAATTGCATGAAAATTTTCTTTCTGTTGCATAAATATCTTTCGTTTCTTACGGAATTGTGAACTAGAATCACAAAGAACCGAGGGAATTGGGTCGGTTTTCAAAGATGCGAGTTCAGCAAGACCATGCGATATCTCCATTCCAGAGCCAATGGAAAGCTCTACCCCATGCGTGTCTGCCTTGAGCACAATCATGGCTGTTACTCGTACGGACAAGATGGAGGAGGGTGAAAGCCCGGAGGGTACTGCCTCAGCACCTTTCGAAGTTCACTCCTCTGGTAGAGTTTCAACCAAAATCTCTGATAATTTTATATATATATATATATATATATATATATAAAATAGAACGGCCTCACTGACGATTGTGTTGTAAATTGTTTTCTCCAGGAACTCTCTTATCCCATGTTGATGGGTCTCCCACTATGGTCGACCACTCTTCAGACCACAGCCTAAGTAATAGAGCACCAAGTATATCTGACCCCACCATCCACCCAGGATCCAGTGAACCTTCTCATTTTCCTGGCTACATTCGTGATGGCTATTGTGAGGCATTGAAGCTTGATCTCTGCAACGGGTCCGCTGAATCTGCCCCAGATGGCGACAGCAGCAGCAGCCACTGTGATCAGGAAAGGCCCGAGGAAGATGTCGACAATGATGATACATTGTTGGGAGGCGTCTTCTCCTTCTCCGAGGAAGGGGAAAATTCGAATGACTATTGAGTGTTCCTGGTCACTCCTTTTGAGTATCACTTCATTCTTTACCACTTTCAAGCACAACTAGACTGGAGCATGCCTTGCAGAACTCAGAGGCGACCATTTCCAGCAATTGTGATGGGTAAGGGCAGGCAAAACGGTTCCTATGCATGGAGAGATATTAACAGATGTGAGAACAATTGGTTGGTTGGAAGGAAGGAGATGTGAGAGCATCCTTCAGCTGAAGCACTCATCAACGAGATGATCCTCTCCCCAACCTCATGTACATTTTGTAGATGCGGATTCTTCATCTGGTTCTTTGCAGAAGAGAAAAGTCGAACCCGTGATGCCTGCAGATGGTGTAATTATCTCAACCCTCTTTTATTTTTTGTTCATTTTTTTATCTTTATGTCTCAACCCTCTGTATGGTTGCTTGTGTGAAAAATATTCTTTATCGGAAGAATGAATGAAATCGAACGGATTTTGGTTCGCAAGCTCAAAACCCACCCATGGTATGTGGCCTCTTTTACCAGAGCTTAATGGGTGTGTGCCTGTTTGCCCACCTCTCCTCTCTCTGTGTTCTTGCCTGTTCTTCACCAAAAGCTTAAATGGGTGAAGCTTAGACCTACCGAATTGGTCAATCGTGTAGAATCGAAGGCTCTTGCTCTTATTCCATATTATTGGTCGAATCTGATCATTCGGTCCTCTGAGGTGGAAGGAATCCCCACGAGAGCAGACGACCGGCTTGAACAAAAAATGGGCCACTCTTCGATCATTCACAGCGTTTTCTTCAGGTCTCACAGGGACCCTTGGACCATCTCCTTCTCTGCTCGCTGAAGCTCCCGATAACCGCAGACTGCTCCTTGTCCCCCATCGTTCTTGCCAAGTGGGCGTAGTAGCCTTGGGAATCCAAGCTCTTCAGTATCTTTACGGGCTTCCCGCCGATTCCAACGGTCGAAATTCGCCCATCTTTGCTCTCATCGCCTGCCAGGACACGCACGGGCTTCGTCTCCAGGACCGCTCTGAGAATGGGATCACCGGCTACGACCGCCGCACCGAGGACTTCGCCGAGGAATGTATCCTGCAAGCAGTGGATTCCGGTGGTGATTAGTCAACTCAAGAACCACCCCATAACCCGCAAGAGAAGGAGATATCAAAGACCCCTGATGTTGTCTTATTTACTCGTATAAGGGGGAGGGGGGATCATCGAAAGTCAACAGAGATTACCACGTGGCGGTATCTGTGGCTCTTCTGCCGTAGCTGGTTCATCGTCGACAGTAAGCTGAGGACGAAGGACAGCTCGGGCGTACTGTGGGCCGCCTCCAATTCTCGCAAGGCCGAAGGGAAGGAGTTAACCTTCCTCTGGGCGCCGAGGGGAATCAGCGTGACATCGAGCCCTGACTCCACAATGGTCTCCGCGGCAAGTGGGTCGAGAAAGAAGTTGAACTCGGAGTATCTGTTCGAAGGGACTGTGAAGACGTTTCCTCTCTTCTTGTCGTCCCCGACGATGTGCCCGCCGACGATGAAAACACTCTGTAGAGAGAGAAACCCTCAATCATCCACAGCCCAGTGGCGCCGCCCAATGAGGAAGGAGACTGTGAACTCGGGCTTTCTGAGTTATGAGAGGAGGATGAACGAATGAGCCGCCAACCTGAATTCTTGAGGTTGCATTCTTATCTGAGCGAATGATGTTGGCCAGGGTAGTCAGAGGTCCGTTAGTCAGTACGGTGATCTTCTTCCCGAGCTTCGAATAGACCTCTTCCGAGACCGACTCCCAGACTTCCGTCGCCAGCGGCTGTCTGAGTTCTGGGTGATCGGTGTCTCTGGGGGCTCCGTATTTTACAGAATTCTCAGCCGTGTACCTGAGCAGCCCACCAATTTTTCATCAGGAAAAAGAAGAAAAAAAAACGAAGATAAATCTCAAGGATGGCGACATATATTTTTGCAGTTGCAGGAGATCTTCCCCATTTCCAGAAGATCACTCAAACTCCTAGTAAGAAAAGAAAAAAAAGGAAGGCCGTACCTGCGGGGGCTTCGGGGAAGATCGCGAGCGAGCCCGAAGAGTGTATCGGCGTCAAGAACACCCCCGCTTCCTTGTGGGATGTGCCTGACGTACTCGCAGCTGTAGGACGGCTTCTCCAGAGGAGACACACTTCCCAGACCCACAGGAATATCGTCGCGACCCATCATGTGCAGCACGTCGTAGATCACGTCGATCGTCGCTGCGGTGGCCCACCCGTTGGCCGTGACGAGTATTCCCTGTGGGGGTGTAAAAAAAATATAATATTTTTAAAGATGAAGATGACCCAGGAGATGGAGAAGAAAAATGCCTTCAAAAGTTGAAAATTCTACGACCCAAATGACGGCGGGAGGATTTGATGTTGAGAAAAAGTCGGACCTTGAGGTCAACTATCTCCGCTGGAATTTTCAGCAGGTAGATTAGAGAGACAAAATCTCCCGCGCTCATGTCCATGTCGAAGACGACGGGTCTCCCCGAGTTCCGATCCCTCAGGTCCGCCTTGTAGAGGATCTCCTTGTAGCAAGGAAACTGTGTGGTGAGGTTGAAGCGCCCAGACTGGCTGGGAAGGTTCAGATCCTGCGTGCCATGGAGATGATCGTCTTTATCTCTTGTTGAAAAAAGTTGGAAGATCTTGCTGTGTGGTGAGGCGAGCTTTGATTCAAGAAAATATTAGAATTTTTTTTTCATTTTTTTTTCCCCGCAGAACAAGAAAAATCCGAGATCAGATTGCTCGAATATATTGAAACTTGAAGTGGGAAATCTCCCGAGCTTATTTCTTGTCGGACAACGTAGTTTGTCTGTAAAATTGATGGAATCACAGATCTTCGGGGTCATTTTGACCGAATTACGTGCAGCTGGGAGATAGGAAGAGGGATGAATGAATCATCAGAAAGGAGAGAGATGCTCACCTCTAAGAAGCTTATGAAGTACTCTCTGTCGAGGGGGCTGTCCTTGTCTTTGTTGGGCTTGGCTTTCTGCGCCACGAGTACCCGCACTCCCTCTGGACCGCTGATCTCTTTCGTGTAGCCGTCCTGTTCCATCCCAGAACCAGTAGAAATTCAGAGCATGGCGATCAGCTACCCTGGAAATCTGTCTGTACGATTTGAACGCAGAAGAACAAGAAGAAGAACAACGAGAACAAGAAGAACAACAACGAGAACGAGAAGAGGAAGACGTTATCTCAGATCGTAAGGAGAATCAAACACCTGGCATTTTCCTTTTCCGACTCCGTTGTCGGGAAGGCAAAATGGATCTCGAATCCCCGTTTGAACGTGCCCGCTGTGGACTCCGCCCTTCTGCAGTCCAAATCTGGGAGTCGCGCGGCCGTCGAAGAACGGATTGGAGCCATCGTAGACGCCGTAGGGTTCATTGGAGGTGACCACTGTCAAGTTGATGAACTCCATCTCCGCGAATTCGTTCTCTCCGTTGCTTCCTTGTCCGTTCAGCATGATCGATACCGCCACGCCGGAAGTGAAGGAGTCCCACATGAAATAACTCTGCGAGAAGAAGAGATCCTCCAGAGAGTTAGCATATTCAAACCATCTTTATGAAAATTACTGCGAAGAGATTATATCCGCGAAAAAGCTGCGATCTTGGTGGCATTACCGAGTAAAACTGGTCATCGAACCAGGTATCCCGCGCCATTTTCAGAGACTTGAAGCAGTACTGCGCCTCATAGGTGGCCTGGTTCTTTTGAAATGCCTCGAAGAAGCTCTCACCAATGGGGATGGTGTTCGTCGCGTCGAGCGGGACGAGGGTGATGGGAATCCCAGAATGGAACACCTGGAAAGAATTGACAACAAGAATGATTCTCTCTGTCCGATGAGATGATTTGGCGCAGCGGGAATCAAATTCCATTCCTTTGGGAAGAAGGAAAAGCCAATAAAGTCATAAAGATCTTATTTTTTATGGAAAATCATCCTACCCACCAAATGATTGATGATATTTACAACCCCCCCCCCACCAACCCATCCTCATGAACACCAGTAACGGCAGTAAAAATAAATAAATGGACAATTAATTTGAGCTCAGAAATGCCGATTTTGGCGCAGGAACGAGTGATACAGGCACCTGGTAAGCTGCGAATGGATCTCCGAAGATGTTGAACTCGGCATACGGATTATTGGTGTACGCGGTGAACAGATTCCCGCGATCGCCGCACTGCTGAGGAGTGCAGGCCGAGCTGGCGTTCTTCGGGCAGCAGCCCGTCGGATTCTTCGACCTCACGCCGCCGCCCATCACGAATATGTGCTCTATGTTCTTCTTCAGCTGGGGATTGCTCATGAGAAAGACGGCGAAGTTCGTGTGGGCTCCGATGATGAACACGGTCGTCGGCCCAGCCGATATCGTCCTGGTCATGACCTCCTGGGCGGTGGGCTGTCGCAGAGGAGAATATCTCCTGTGGCCCTGCTTTCAGAGTTCATCAGCCAGAACCCGGTCATAAAATCTGTAGAAGCTAATTGATACCCAAAAATAAATCTTGCGAGCATGTTATTGAACCAACATTTCATTAATGAAAAAAAAATATGTCAGAAATTTTAGCAAGAACACGGCAGAATCTGCGGTCAAAGCAGAAAAAAAGGGAGGTCAAAGCAGCTTTACATCGAAATAATCACAAACCAGAGAAAATACAGCAATATAACCCGAAAAAGGGAGGAAAATGATGTGGCTCTATGCACTTGGCAACTATTTATTCACCTGCGGAAGGAAGCCTCTTCTTAGGCCGTAATTAGTATTGATATCCAAACGTCCTCCAGAGGATAAGGGAATCGCTTGCCGGTAACGGCAGTCTCCGAAGGTTGACATTCCCTGGTACACACAACATGGAAGTCGAGTTCTCAAGAACAAGGAACGCTGATCGTAGAGAAGACTGCAACAGACGATAATTCCGGCGGAAGAAGAAGAAGAAGAAGAAGAAGAAGAAGCTGTAAGAGTCTGTTAGTGGGACGAGCTTAGAGTAGCAGAGCAAGGAATTCTCTCCGGATTAATCAAATTCAGAGAAACGGAGGACTCGAGAGGAACAATCCTGAGCGCGTCAGCAGCACCTGCTCTATCAGAGGGAGATAACCGCCGACATTGGAGCGTATGGTGCCGTTGGGCAAGATCCCGCCTTCTCCTCCGACGCCGACGGGGATGTCATCTCGACCCATCATGTGGAGAACGTCGTACACCTGGTTGACTGCGTGCCCGGCGTCGGTCCACGCGTTGACATTTATGGTAACCCCCTGCGAGAGAACAATAATAATAATGATGATGATAATACCGGTAGAGGAAGAAACCACGGCTGGGAGGAGGAACAGGGGCAAACCTGCAGGTCGATCAGAGATCGGTTCTGCTTCAGGAGGTAGAGGAGGGCGAAGATGTCGTCGGTGTCGACGTCCGTGTCGAGGATAATCCGCCGGGTCGTGGCTTCTGCCGGGAGAGAAGGGAGGAGGAAGAGGAGGCCCAGGAGGAGGAAGAACCAGCAGGCCCTCTGGGGCATCCCGGTTAACCCCAGCCGGCAGAAGCACTGTTCCATCGAGCTCCGGCCGCCGCCCGCCTTCCCTGCAATATAAAATTGAGAAAGAACAAAAGGGCAAAGAAAAGGCGATCGTCAACTTCAGGCTGCCTTTATAATGTGCTCCTACTTTCGTGAAGATCTGGAGCAGAGAGGGTAGATAACAGGAGGAGCGCCGCCCGAGGGGAAGATGAGGAGGGGAGAGGACGAACCTTGGACGAGGAACAGGCAGAGAGGGAGGAGGAGAACCGGTAGATATGGCGGGGACGGCGCCGGGTGCTGAGGAGAAAGAAGAGGAGATCTGCGGGAGGAGAATTCAGATTGACAGCACCGGATAACGAGCTGCTCTACTTGTCCTCCTCGACCTTCAAATTTCGGAACCTATTGTCTCCGACGGGCGGACGGCGGGCTCTGGGTTTTCAAGGGGAGGGACATCTGGACCCCGCTCTGCTGCTGGGCCGTTCTTTCATGGCGGATTCTGAGAATTTATTTCTTTATTTTCCGTCTGAGTTTCCTTCTCCGCGCTGTGCTCTTGTTCATCCACGTTGTGTCCTCGAGATCTCTGCGAATCCCGTCCGTCTCGGGCGTCCCCGGTGAGCCCCCACCGGCGGGCCTTGCTTCAATCCGCCCCTCTGGCCGGCGAAGTTGACCCCGGTGGGAAGTCGGCGGGGATCCCACCTTGGACCACGGCGGAGATGGGGATCCACGAGAAAGCCATTAAAGGTACGGAAGAGTGGCGTATTATTCCAAAGATGGTCAAGGTGACCAGATCCTACTGGCCTACTCCCCCTACACGCCCTCCGGCCTTCCACCCTAGCTTATCGTCCACCAGAGCCTGCCGCCGCAACGGTCCGAGGACACCGTCATTCACGGCGTCCTGGGAGGAAGACCACGTGAGAGAAATCGACCGAAATTGCAGATCTCCTCTCTCTCTATATCGCTCACCCGGCCACCCACCCTATCAGGTCACAGGATGTGATGGGAGTGTCCCCACGGCTCTTCCAAACGTGTCACAGTTGGCTTGACCATTATCATTATCTTTATCCTGTTGCTGCTGACGAGTGGCTGAGCTGGGGGGAGGGTAGAGGAGGATTTTGTCGATCCCGCCCGCGACGAATATTCAGGCCCGGCGGACTTACAGACGGCAACAGAGATCGATTGTCCCCTCCAATTAGCCCTTCTGCCCTTGTTTTTCCTGCTTTGGTCGGAATCTGGATCGAAAGGTAAGTCAACTTCCCCGTCCTTGTTGGAATCTTTCCATCCTTTCTACCAGCTTTCCAGGATAACCCAACGGGCTCGTCGGACTTTGGGGCCGCCGGGTCCCCTTCTTTAGCTTTGAGGTGAAAGAAAGACGGCGGGCGGCGGGGCTGGGGAGGGCCTCGTTCAGTTGTCGTCATCAGTTCACGTGGAGAGCCCCCAGGCCGGCGCCGGCGAGGATAAAGGGCCGCCCTTTTCGTGTCACCGGGCAGATCAAAGCACTCCGCCGCCGCCGCCCCCCCACCGCCGCCGACTTTTCTACAGTTGAGAAGTTGGTGGGACCTTCCTACAATGGATAAGGGTGGGGAATCCGCCATGGAAGACCAAGGCGAGAGGTAGATTAGGTTGGAAGGCCGCGGTGGCGTACAATTTTGTCATTGGCTTGGAGGTCCCTCGTGCCCCACGCAGGCATTTGAGAAACGAGCTCGTGACAAAAAAGTCAAAGGCCCTCTGACAACACCTCTCCCCCTGTCTCTCCCTCTCTTTGACTCTGAAGATGATTCGTCAGCGTTTCCCTTAAAAGGAAAATGGCCCATTTAATCTCTCTGTCTGTGTGTGTGTCTCTCTATCATGACCAGTAGTCGAGTCCTCTCTCTCTCTCTCTCTCTCTTTCTATCGAAGTTTTGCTGACTCATGCGCGTTTCCTTTTCGACAGAGAAGACAAGCTCTCTCTCTCTCTCTCTCTCTATCTCCGGATTCCGTGAGACATAGGCAGTTAAAGGCGCCTCCTATCCTAAGTTATGAAGAAAACTACCTGTATCCCTTTCTGGGCCGTGAACGTTGACGCTAGCTAATTTCTCGTCAGGAGACCAAAAAAAAAAAAACCGGCGAGGCCCAATCACCGCTAGATCCGTCGCTTTTCTGGGCCAAAATAGGCCGGTCCATATACGGCGGGCCTCACCCGTCTCCTCCAGCCCACTTCATTGCCAGCCCGGCCCAAAACCGCCCCATGTCGTCAGCTGGACCCGAAACTAGCGAAATAAGTTATAAATAATTAATGGCGTTCATATTCTGGGAAAAAAATCGTGGCGAGTGAGACATTTTACCTTTATCAGGGCATATTGACTAAAACCAACCAATCAGAAGGATAAATGACAAATATTACGCCCCTCGCCATACTGACGGAGGGTAATTTTTAATACTTACAAAGTTGAGGGGTGGGGGGAACTTTTTCATTTACCTTTTTTAAGGGCTTATTTTAATCGTAGTTAATTTACCTCACGAGCGGAACGTGAAGAGAGGCGGAGTAGATACGTTGACGGTCAACTGTGCCTGCCGTGGCGGGAAGTCAGCTTCATTCCCACGTGTCTGCCGTCGGCAAGAGGGGGAGCGGTGAGGGAGTTGGGACTGACCGGGGGGGCCGGGCGGGGGGGGGGGTGGTGGTGTGATGGCGGGCACGAAGGACTAAAGAGAGCTTTGAAAGCCAGGCCAACCATGGCGGCAGAGGGGGAACATTCAGAGGAGCTTTCACGGGGAAGCCACCGGCCGCACCAGAACCAGGTGGATGAGGAGCGAGAGAAGTGCTTGCAGCAGCCATGGGGAGGACGCCACCGCCCACCGCTTGTGGCCCACGGAGGACCTCTCTCTTTTAATGTCGCCGGCCATTAAAGCTCCTCACGTCCTCCTACCTCCCTCCCACCTTAAGGCTGGGTGGGTTCCTCTTCTCCTGCATCTCAGTCTTCTTCGCGGGGAAGAACCAGCCATGGGGACGGCGGCAACCAGCTTGTCTCCGGTGATCGGCTTCCTTGTCGTCCTCTTCGCCGCGGCGGAGGCGATCCTGGACCCGGCCGACTTCGTTGCGCTGCAGTCCGTCCGCAAGGCGCTACGCGACACGCCTGGCTCCCGCTTCTTCGCCTCTTGGGATTTCACAGCGGACCCCTGCCGCTTCTCCGGCGTGCTCTGCGAGGAAGACCGCGTGGTGGTGCTCTCCCTCGGCGACCCTCGCGCCGGCTGGCCGGGGCTGGCCGGGCGCCTCGACCCCGCCGTCGGCCGACTCTCTGCCCTCGCCGAGCTCTCGCTCGTCCCCGGCCGCGTTATGGGGCAGCTCCCGGCCACCATCGCCCAGCTGACCAACCTCCGGTTCCTCGGCCTCAGCCGCAACTTCCTCGCTGGCGCCATTCCGCCTGAGCTTTCAGCCCTCCGTCAGCTCCGCACACTGGACCTCAGCTTCAACCGTCTTTCCGGTCCCATCCCCGCGGGGCTTGGTGATCTCCCTTCCCTCTCCAACCTCATCCTTGGCCACAACCTCCTCTCCGGGCCCGTGCCGCAATTTCATTCCCCGTCCCTCACGCGGCTCGACCTCAAGCACAATAACCTCTCCGGCGGCGTCCCCGCGCTGCCGCCGTCCTTGCGCTACCTCTCCGTCTCCTCGAACAGGCTCGCCGGGTCGGTAGAGCAGGCGCTCCCCGCGCTGGCGGCGCTCAACTATCTCGACCTGGGGATGAACCAGCTCAGCGGCGCCATCCCACCGGCCGTCTTTTCCTTCCCACTCACGCACCTGCAGCTGCAACGCAACATGTTCTCCGGCCCCGTGCTGCCGCCGGCACCGGTGGCGATCCCGAACGTAGACCTGAGCTACAACCGGCTGTCGGGGGAGGTGTCGCCCATGTTATCGACGGTGAGGAAGCTGTTCCTGAACAATAATCTGTTCACGGGGAAGGTGCCGGCGAGCTTGATGGAGAGACTGATGGACTCGCGGATAAGGGTCCTCTACCTGCAGCACAACTATCTGACCGGCATAGAGGCCAACCTCACGTCGGAGATCCCGACCAGTAGCTCCCTGTGCCTCCAGTACAACTGCATGGTGCCGCCGACCGGCACGGCCTGCCCGTTCGGCGGCGGCGCGGAGAAGGCCAGGCCCACCAGCCACTGCGTCAGCCGCAGGGGATGACTCCATCCTTGAGATCCCGAGAAGATCAAAAACCCACGTTACAGCTTGCGATATGTAGTTCTCCAACCCCGAAAAATCTTCTGATAAACACCTGTGTCGGCTCCGTCGTCGACGACGACGACGACGACCTCTTGCTCCCGAACCCTAACAGTCTTCTCGAGAAGGCGCCGATTCAGTGGGGGAGGGCTCTCTGAAAAGAAGTTGACCTCCACAACTCAATAGGGTTATGAAACTAAATAAAATATTTTAAGGACTTTATAAGAAGCGTCGGGCCAGGGACTTCGATCTGTTTCTTCCACGTGGCGGAATATTAGTGGAAGGACGTTACAGCCGACGGAGTCGAATCGCCAACCGTCCGCTGGAAAGGATGGTGTTCGAAATTTCGAATTCGGCCGCCCAACGGTCGGCGTTCCCAATGCCTGACTTCCCAAAACCCTAGCCATATAAATTTCCAGATAAAGCAGTCATCATCTTCCCCACATCACTGCCGCAGCACCACAGAATCCAACCCCGCCTCTCCCTCCCTTGTGCGATTCCTCCCATTCCGGCCTTGCATCCTCCTCCCCCATCTTTATCTCAATCTTTTCGTTCCTTGTCGTCCTCAAAAAAAGGGGAAATAGACGGAAAATCTGGTGCTCGGATTTTCCCCAACCTCATTATCTTCTGCCTGGTTCTTGAGATGGGGAAGCAGAGTAGGCTGAAGGCGTCGGCCAAGGAGAAGAAGAAGCAGAGTCCCACCATGCTGGTCGCTGAGCGATCGGACATGGAGGAGGTCCAAATCCGTTCCGCGGCCGCTCCCACGCAAGAAGTCTCCGGTGGCCGGAGACGCGTTGGAAGGGAAACCGATGTCGGGAGTCGCACCCCCGGCCCCATCGGCGGAGGAAATCCGGCAACTGAGGACACTCAACGACATCCTGGCCAGGCGGATGTTGGAGGCGCGGCAGGAAAGGAACCAGGACCAGAGCCTCCTCTCCGACCTCGAGAGCGGCGCTATCCGCGCAGCCCTCGCCTCTCAGCTGTCAGAGGAGGCCCGCCGCCTCGTGCTCGTCGCCGAAGAGCGCGGCCGCGCCGGGGGAGCTGAGGCGGCGAGGAGGGAGGCGGACAGAGAGAGAGATCTGTATATTGCGGAGACGGAGTCAAGCTGGAGCCAGGCAATGGCAGAGGCCGATAAGAAGAATACAACAAAGTGCGAGGAGATATCTCTGTTGAAGGTGGATCTGCAGAGGTTGGCGCGCGAGAAGGCGGATGTGGAGGAGACCCTGCGGGCTGCTGAGGAGGAGGTCGGTGCCATCGCAGGGAACCTTGGAGATGCCAGGAAGGCGCTCGAGTTGGCGCATGGAGAGAACGTTATCCTCGAGAAGAAGCTCCACAGTCTTCTTCGAGAACGGGACGAAATCCAGAAGGAGAAGAGATCTCTGGAGTCAAGAGTCATAGACGCAGAAATATGCCGCAGGGAGGATGAAGAGGCTCTGGAGCGCGCTCGATCGGAATATAGAGCATTAGAAAAAGGTAACGAGGTGAAGGATGAAGCTCTGGAGTCGTTGGCGCAGGAGAAGGCCTTTTTGGAGAAGAAGCTCGCCGCCTCTCAGGTATTGGCGGACGACCTAAAGAGACGGATGGCCGAGGCAGCTCAGGCCAGCGCCGACGAATTGGAAAAGGTCGTCCGCCAAGGGGATGAGGCCCGGCAGGGCCTCGATCTCCAGACGCGCGAGATGCAGGTCCTGGTGACCAGATCTTGGGAGGTTGCCAGAGAGATGAGGGATGTTGCTCTCTGCAAGTGCCAGCCACCGGAGGAGGCGAGCAAGAAGTGGAGGCGAGATCTGGACTCCTCGATGGCCGGGGACATATCGTTGTCGGATAGTCTATTGGCTGCAAACAAGTTCATGGCTCATTTGAACACCGAGATGTCGGAAATTTTCAAAGCCCGAGGTGAGGAGCTGGAGCAGTCGCACGCGGAGATGAAGAAGACCATTGCCATGATGGGAGCCGAGCTCCAAGACCTCGCAAAGGTTAATTTCAGGTTGAACAGTGAGCTCTCAAGCGTCCGGGATGGTTATCAGTCGCTCAAGGTTGAGGACGCAGATCTCAAGGTTGAGATCCTGAGATTGAAGGATGAGCTCAGTGGACAGCTGAAAGAGAAGGAGATGATCACCAGTATGTACCAGGCGCAGATTGAGGATGCGCGGCGCGAGAAGGATGAGCTGAGCGGGAAGGTGGATGAGGTCCGACGAGAGAGGAACATGATGAAGAAGAAGAAAGCGGAGCTGGAAGATGAGATTGCCGGACTGCGTGAGTCTATGGCGGAGCTCAAATCCGAAGTTGGAGATCTGCGTGCTCTCTCTGAAGACTACGCTAGGGAGAAGGATGACTCGCTGAAGCTCCTCAGGGAGAAGACACAGCAAGCAGAGGAGCTGATGCTGGAGTTGGGAGAGCTTGAGAAGGGGAAGCTCGCCATCGAGAAGGAGCTCGAAGGCCTTCTGGAAGAGAGGGAGAGCCAGGCGATCCAGGTCCGTTCTCTCGGGGAAGAAAGGTCTTCTCTCCAGAGGAGCCTCGCCGATGCTGAGGGAAAGGTCAAGTCTCTCCATAAGCTGAGGGAGCTCGTCCTCTCCATGCTGAGAAGCGCCGCTGAGGAAGCGCCGCCGGCGAGCGAAACCAGAGAAGGCGACCAGAGCGCCGCCAAGTCCGCCCCCGCGGAGGCCGACGAGGAGGTGCGGCCGTTTGCATTGGAGATCGAGGCCCTCCACCGGGGCCTCAAGAGCAGACGAGTGGAAATCGAAGGCATGAACCAGGAGCTCAAGCGACACCAGGAGTCGGCGGCGGTCGCCCAGCAGGCAAACTCCCGATGGAAGTTCTTCTCCTCCGCCATGGCCGCCGCCGCCGCTCTGCTCTCCATCGCCTTCGCTGCCAAGGCCCGCTGAGCGCCCCCCCCTCCTAGGTCCATTCTTCTTCCGCCGTTCGGGAGGGTTGTCTCAGAGAAGCTTCGATCTCACTGAATTCCATCCAAAGAACACGGTCTGACCTAATGGGTTTGACTTCATCCTCTAGGCCTACGATTTTCAGTGTCCACTAGTCCTAATAAATTGCTGCCACGTGCCCAACGAAGAATCTCAACCAATCTACGTACCTCCGTGCGATTATTCAGGCACCGTTATATATATCGCTTCATAACCGTTATACACACCGTTCCGCTGGAGCCTCCAGGGGCCGTCCGATCCTGCAAAATCAGGATCACCACAGTGGAATCTCTCATCGGGAAAGCTTCTTCCACAGGGCGAGCTTCCTCTCCCAGCTCTTCGAGGTCGCCATCTTCTGGTGCTTCCATCGGTTGTACCTCTTCCTGTTCTGCAGCCAGTGGGTGTAATCCTTCCCAGGCCGGGCCTCAATGAAGTCCGCCAGGTCGTCCCAGTCAGGCACGGGCTCATCCTTGATGATGCATCGCAGGAACGCCGCCCCATTGCAGGTGGCGGTCGCCGCCTCTGAAGGAGCCTCCTCTGCCGCCGCCTCCTCCTTCCCAGCCGGCGGCAAGCCTCCTCCGGTTGCCGCCTCTGGACCGCCGCCAGGGAGCACCCTGAGGAAAATGTAAACTCATCCAGAATCAAACCTCATGTTATTATATAAAACCTTGATTTTTATCCAAATCTGGCATAAAATGCCATGAATGGCAGCCGGTTCGGCTGCTTCCAAGGCCACAAACCTGCTGGGCTCGTAGGCCAGGTACTTGATCTCCTTCTTCAAGTAGAGATCTTGGAGCTTCTGCAGGTTTGATGCGATGGCTATGCTCGATCGGCGGGGTGGCACCTGCACGATCATCCCCCACACATGTAAGTAAATATGGGCATATCAAAGGGGTATGAGTGGGAAAATGTCTGCAGCTTAGTCCCACAGAGAAAGTCAAAGCCACCTGGAAAACTTTAGAGAGAGAAAGTCGGTAGCTGAGGGATTCCCTTGGGAACCCACACATCGTCCTCGGTGTATCTAAATTGCCCTCCTCGAGAACCAGGAGATTCATCACCGCCATTATCACAAACATGCAGCCCTCCCACAGGGGATGAAGCCTCTGATCGATGCTACAGAACAACAAGCTGGTGAGATGCGCCAACATCACGCCGGCCCCCCAGCACCCGGAAGAGCGCGCCGCGCTCGGAGCCCACAGCACATATCGCCCCGCAGAGTAGCTCCCAAAATAGCCAACGATGTCTGATATGAACTCATGTTCCTTGCCGAGAGCAGACCCATTTGAGTTCTCCGTGCTGCGCTCACTGAGGACCACTACGATTTTTAAAAGGGAGGAGCCCATCAACTTCAGCAGGGCTGCCACAAAGTAGATTTCCTGCCTGTTTATCTCTTCCTTCTCGTGTGGTGGAGCTCTGACAGCTTCTCCTGCAATCCTCTGCAGCATGAAGCTCAGTAGTAAACATGTTTCTTCTCTCCATGGCTCCATTATTATATGGCGATTCTCAGTCATGTATGCCATGCAGGAGCTTACTACTTCTGCCTTGGTCCAATGGAGAAAAGCATCAGACTGCTGAGAGCAGCTGTCGAGCCATTTCTGAATCTGGGAGTTGATCGTATCTTGTGTGCCTTTCCGGACGCATTGACCAAATGATAGGTCAAAGTCGTTCTCCAATGCGTAGCGACCAAGAACGCGAGACTTGGACTGAGGCTTCACTTTCATAGAATCATAATAAAGGCGAGAACTGAGGGAATGGCATGTGTAGAGGATGACTGACTGCTCAAATGCTCCCATATAGCAGTCCATTGCCGTCGCGCTTTGATCTTCACAGCCAGTTATGCATCTAGAAACCAATAAAATTATGTGGGATCGGAGCATATAAGGAGCGGAGATGATTGTAGGCATTCCAAGCAGAGCCAAGGCTGCTGTTAGTCTTAGCTTTAGACCCTCTGTTTCCATCGCCTTACAGGAAAACATTGACTGAAAAAGTCTCCCGAATGCCTTCTCATCATAAGAGGAGAGAAGAAAATGTGAACAAAGCAACTCGAAAATAATCCCGATATAACAAGTAACGCTATCAGGTGCAAGATGCGTGTCACATGTGCTGGAAATATTGTATATTGTAGCGAAATGCTTCCTCATACCTTGATGCACCAATAATTCATCAGCAAATACCTGCATTAGCAACTTGTCCATCAACGAAATAATAATATAGAGGATCCTAAATTCAAGTATAAAATAAGTCGAGAATCAGGAATCTTAGAAATGTCTTTTGTCAGATTCTTCGGTACCAAAACCCATAAAGGGGCACGATTTGATTTACAAGTGATTTTGACCTCACCATCGGGACAAACATAATATAGTTTCAACTAGTTCACATACATTCCCGGAAGACATAAAATAAGAAACAAATAATGTTAGCATAAAAAAATTAGATTTTGTCCTTTCAGTGTGCAGCAAATGGTTCTGACAGCGTACGACAAATAGGTAAATAGCATAAAATAACAGGTCTGATGATATTATAAGATTGGACAATGCTCAGCATCCGTCTAGTATTCATTGAATGTGGACTAAGAAAGCACTGATAGGTAGACACGAAAACTAATGTCACCATGGATATCCTCTTACACATGTTTACTTGATACGAATTCCAAAATTATGCCCATGTCTAAGTTTCTATAGCAGAGTGCAGCTATCACCTCGTGAATCCTGACTGAAGTCAGAATGATGTCACATCAAATATTTTACTATAGCAGCCTTATCCTCACATGGAGTAAGGACAAGTTTCCATATCAGAACTTGAAACAGAAGCAACCCATATTCTCCAAATTAGTCTTTCAATAATCAATCACCATACTCTTAGAGCAACGAAGAGTAAATTATCACCAGGGAATCATCTAAATGTAAAGAAGAGGAAAGTCTAAACAGGTAAATTTGATACCTATTTCTCCTTTTAATTTTTTTTCTTTCTAATTCTGCATTTTTTTTCTACATGTTTTAATTCTTCCTGCCATTGTTACCTCTTTCTCTCTACCTTTAGATCATTTATATTTATTTATTTTCGTACTCCCAGTACACTGAATCATTACAGGCTGCTGTAGAGTCATTACTTCACAAAATGTATCTTCTAGGCCTTTTCATAATATATGGTCACCGTTTGTCACCAGAATTTTATAAAAATATATAAGAGGCTAGTAACATATAGAGGTCAACACAAAACATTACCTAACACTTTGGGACTCAGCCTTGGCCAAGTCAGGGTCAACAGGAGAATGTAATATAACGATGAATATGGCACTAATAGGAAAAAAATGCAAAGATATGATACTACCTCGAGTATCGAAAGAACAACTGGAATCACTGGTCTCATTTCATCCTTTGAGCACTCAAAACCAGACATATCCCCACATTTAATTTCATGCGAAATTGAATTGTTGACGCCGGTGCTCCATATATCATTTCTGAGTGTCTGGGGAGAGAAAAACATCAGCTGTATATCAGGGCAGCATAGTTCTCTGAGCATTTTCACAAGAATTTGGCTCTTTCCCATCAAAAGGTTGAGGTCAAACTCCAACATGTACAGCAGGGTTATGCAGCACTTTAGGTGAAAACAGAAGCTTTGCAGGGAAGATGGCTCGCAATGATATGAATTACGTTGAGCACTGGCCGCCCTTGCAGCCAGAAGACGTTTTCGAGGAGAAAGAATTTGTTCATACTGTCTGTCCAAGGTGTTGAATGCCCAATTAGAAATATGGCATAAAAGACCACGGACAGCATTAGTCAATGTCCCACAGATGGAGATATCCATAGAAAATACATCGCCAATATCCTCAGGTTTCAGAGATAAGACCGAGAAAAATTTCTTCATCAAACAGTGAAAACTTTCCAGAAGATTTTCTCCCAAAACCTGTAAATTCAGCATAATCACGGTAAGAATGACGTCCGAGCCCTTCAAACTAACCAAGTACGAGTTAGCGTCAAAAATCGACAAATCTGTGAAGATATTTCATGATTTATCTAGTTCCAAAAGATACTTTCTAGTGTTCCAGTCCTTCGACACGTCTGAGTACAGAATATTTTTTTGCCAACCAATACGCCAATTGTTTTCACCAAATATTCAAAGTTCTATTCTATGATGCCATACAATGCACAGGGTTACCAGCCTATGGGCAGAGAGACAGTGATCTCGCGAGGGCAAGCTACGCTCCCGTTCCATGTACGGAATTGGGGGCCCATAATCTGCGCGATTGCTTAAATTTACGATGCTATCCATCTTCCTGTACATTGTAATTAATCTCAGCAATCGAATTCTGAATACAGACGTCACTGCGACGAATGCCAAGACTGTCTCTCCCCCCAGACGGCCTGCCATCCGAAATCTCCCCTCGTATGAGGTCAGATTGCACATACGCATTGGGAGTGAAGGAAAGGAAAACCGAGAGGAGAGGAAGCCAACCTCTTCTCCCTCCACGACATGGAGAGCCAAGGGGTTCTCCGCAGAGGAGACGCCCTCCCCGCCGCTGGGACCAGCCGCTTCGCTGGAAGGCCATGGCGGCGTCATTGTAGCCCCCGCTACAAGATGTACCGTCTTCGTGGAAAACTCCGGCCCCCTCTCCGACAGCTCCTTCTCGCCATCGTCGAAACCCTCACCACCTTCGCCCTGGCAACGCGCGCGGCCAGGCAGCGGATTTAAAACCGCCCAGAGAATTTAGGCGCTTCGGCGAACATTGGTTGTGGGGGGGGGGGAGGAGGAGTGTGGGTTATCTTATTGGGCCAAAAGCTATTTTGGGCCAACAATTATGGGCTGACATTTCCCATCTTAAAAAATCGATGACGGCGCTTACCACCATAAGGTTGGATCACCGCTGTAAACTCTCTCTCTCTCTCTCTCTCTCTCTCTCTCTCTCTCTCACTCACACACACACACACACACACACACACACACACACAGGTCATCCAGCAATCCATTATCCGGAATGAAAGTATATCCACATCGGTCAGCCAAGAAGCGCCGCCGACTAATCAAACACCCGTTGACGTCAGGGTCCCTGAATGAATCCCCAAGTTGAATACCTTCACGTATATGTTGACATATATACTGTTAAATTTCAATGGAAACCTACTGTATAGAGCCGGTCAACCCTCGGCCGGGGCTCAGTAGATGCACTTCTCTGCATCTTCGAGGGGGCAGGCCTCCGGCTGCCGGGGAAGTCCCACCTGGCGAGGTCACCGTCCCAGGAGGAGGTGACCAAAACGGGGTAGTCGGGGTGCCAGTTGCAGTCCCTCACAGCTGACTCATGGTAGTCGAGCTTCGCCACCCGGGCTCCGGTCACCTTATGATCAATCACCGGAGACCAATTCAAGGAGCCCGTGAGAGCTGAGAAGAAACGCTTTCTCTCTCTAAAAAAACGTCTTTTAATCTATTTAGCCAGAGGAAGGGCACACTTACCACGTCGTATATGTAGACAGAATGATCGCTCGATCCTGTGTAGATGAATCTCTGGCCCGTGCTGAATGGGGAAAGTAAAAGTAAAAATCAAAGTCAATGATGGCCAGATAACGAAAGGGCCCATTAAACCCATGAAACCCCGAGCGCGGGGTTTGAGAGAGAGAGATAGAGAGTTGAAACAGCTTATGAAAGAAAGGTGTTACCTGCGGGCAGGTGAGAAGTAGCAGCGTATGAGGGTCCGCAAGACCGAGTGGCCTCTGTAGGTAGCCAAGGACTGATCGGAGGGGTGCCGAACCAGCTTAGCTCCTTCTGGATACTTCATCCATCGATAATCCCAGTCGAAGGTTCTCGGCCTCGAACTGCATGTTGGGGGGGGGAGGAAGATGATGCCGTAATTAGAAATCTGCATGCCATGCTTTAATGGAAACCTCGTCGACGCAGAACTAGAGAGAGAAAGCCACCAGCTGACAGTGGAGGTCATCCTGCGGATGTCCCAGAGTTTGGTGGTCTGGTCCTTGCCGTTGCTGATGAAGTACCGCCCATCCCCTCGGCTGTCGATGAAGGTGATGCCTTCTATGTGCCCCACCAGGATGCCGGCCGGCCGCCCTTTGGAAACGAAGCAGCGCCTGTCCCAGACCTGAGAAAGGGAGCAGTTCACTTCCTTCTACCCATGTTTAGCAAAGAAACAGTTTATCTTGGAGACCAGCATAAGATGCAGGAGAATCATCAAGACGAAATCTTCCGTCCGCCGTCGTAAACTGATGCGAGAACCAAAGGATCCTGGGGTGTGGCCACCACAGCGTCTTCTTGTCCCTGAGCTTCTCAGATTCTATCCCTTTTTTGTTCCCTTTTGCAGACTGATTTGATCCACCATTTTAAGGTGCTATCTTTAAGACTGAATAATTATTGCCATTTTAAGGCCGAGAAGACGAGTTTACCATTTTTAGAGTAGAAATATGGGGGGGAAGAAGAAGAAAGAACAGGATCAGTACCTTGCAAAAGTTGTCATCACCACCGGAGTAGATGAGATGCCCGGTCTCATCAGCAAAAGTCACTGTGTTGACGTCAGCCTGATCACAGGAATAAAGTAGAACTTCATTGAGAGGGGATAAATGGGCACAAATCAAAATTTCAATTGAGTCAACGCTTGGGGGAAAAATTCTATCAGACGATAATTTATATTGTGATAGCAGCGAGCTTTGAACATTCTATCATGTACTGTTTACTAAATTATCAATATGAAGTTGTCGATTTATCGCACTGTCAATGGACATAACAGATTAAAAAAAAAATAAAAATACAGTGCTTGGAAATGCCACAGGCAGATGAATAATGGTACATGTGAATATGATTAGATAAACAGATAGATTTAGTCACAAAACACATAGAATCGGCATATTGGAAGCGATGAAGAACATAAGATTTAAAAGCAAGCCGTGATTTTGACTCAAAATACCTCCCCCCAGCCAAGAAACAAGGACAAAAAAAGTGGAACAGATTTCCTGGATTGGACGAAATTAAAAAGTCAGAAGAAAAAAAACCATAGCACTATAAATTCAAAAGATGGGTAGGTTCAAGAAGATCCGAGTTGGATAAAATGGATCCCAGTCTGATCATTGAGCAGAGAAAAAAAAAAAATGCAGGACACGAGCATTTGGTATTCTAGGAATGATTATAGCAAAAGGAGCAGTCCCTGCAGAACAAGCTCTTGAAAGTATAAAACTATACAAAAACAGCCAGTATTCATCAGAGCAGTCCAATGCGATGTATAGGTACCAGCATAAATCATAAAGCAGTATTCAAATCAGATAGAGTCAAAGTCTGCATTGACGTGTTGACAGATGGATTCCAAAGACAGTATGAAAGGAGTTGTGAAGTATTCCAGATGACCAAGTGGTGAAACAAGCCCAGATGCTGAAGATTTACCAACAAGGATGATGGGAGTAAACACCGTATGTGAAAAAAAATTGGCCACTAACAGGATTTAGGCACTTATGATTTGCTGTGACAGAATAGCATTTAAACAGTGAAAGAAAAAAGTAAAAAGGGAATGTGAGGTCAGAACATGACGATCATCAAGAGCAGATGAATCATTCAAATGTACTACGTACTGAATGTGCTGAAATTCGTAAAGCAACAGTATTTGCTTCAAGATCATAGACATATATTGACTCATCGCTACTTCCAGCAACAAGCTCTCGCCCATCAGATGAAAACTTGACGGAGAATATTCCAAAAGTGTTTTCCCTTTCCTCATCAACTGAGAAGTCCAGGCCATCATGAACATCCTGCATTTTGATAAATGGTGCATGAATCGACCATGTCCGGACAAGCTTACCACAAAATCGTCAATGCATAAAATAGAACAAACCTTTGGAAAGTTAAAAAGAAAAAAGTTATTTTTTGGGTACTCAAAATAACGAAATGAAAACATTCTCTAAATTCTTATTCGTCATCGTCCGCTGGCCTCACAATTAAATCCTATACGAGAGAGATAAATACCAAAAAAAAAATTCTTCTACAAAATTTCCACAAGACACAGAAGAATCTTGCCCGGGTTTGAAAAAGTTATTGTGAGATGAGTAAACCTATTCGGAAATGATGTATCATGTTCCAGGTACTTTGTGCTAAGACATTTTAATCGTCATGTCTCCAAATTGAGTCATTTCATGCCTCCTGGGCAAGAAATTCAAGAAGCACAAGGAAAGTGTGTGCATTTTCTATGGTGATGAAAACTGTTTCCCGAGAAAATTAAGTGATTAGAGAGTCTTTCAAATAGTTAGTTTCGAGCTCATCCACTTTTCCTAGCTTCGGAAGACACTATCTGCCCCCTTTTGGGGGTAATAGAGAACAGAGACTGAGATAGGGAAAAACTGTTTCATTCCATACTAAGTAGGAGAGGGAATAAACAGCAACGAACAAAAGCGTATAATAATTCACTATCCATGAACAGTACATAACTAATTGGACACAATTTCCCAGAAGAAAAGTATGGTCATACAAGCACCAGAAATTCTGCAAAGATATAGTAGAAAAATGGACAGATTATGAAAGGCTGAGACATTTCCCAATCTACACTGCAACTCATTGTAAAAGAATTACAGGAAGGCTGACTGCTACCCATGATAAGGCTCAACAAAGAAATATGAGAAATCCCTGGTGGATAACATGAAAAATGGACGGATGATGCTAGGCCAAAAGATTTCCCAGGGTACCTGAAGAAATTTTTTTGATGCAGTAGATAGCAAACTAAGACTTAATAAAATGATACAATTTAATGGCTCTAATATTTTCATAACGATTAGAGGAATCAAGCACCATCACTGGATGAATTCGAAAGCACATACATGATATCACGTTAGCATTCCAAATCCAAATGTTGAGGGTATTCAGGACAAAGAATTCCCACAACATTATAATGACATAATAATCGGCCTTTGATCATAATCAGCTCAGTAAGAGGTCAAAAAAGAGCTCATAAATGAGGAAAAACATGATTACAATAGAAATCAGAATTGTGACCATGTAAATGTAACAGCTGAATAAACAAGGTACGTCAACAATAAAAGGGTACACACACCAAAATATCTGAGGATAAGTTTCATTTATAAGACATAAAACATACAGTAATATTTGCACGTGACTCTGCTGACCCACCACGCACATCGACAATATGAACAATAGGGGACATACTGGCATAAACCTGCAAATTGAAAAGAAAAAAAAAGTGGTAAGACAAATGCCATTCTGATTGGAGTAGTAAGTCAGAGCTACTAAAAATAGCCGTGTTACAAGGGAAAAGGAACAGATTCAACAAGACAGGAGAATAAGAAATTAAAAAAAATTGAAGGCATCCAATGAATAACAGCAAGTGCTTGACAGAATCAGTCGAGCTATCTCGTATATGCTAACTAAAAAGCTAATGTAAATGGCAATCAGAAACAGAGAACCCTTAGGCAACTCTTAAGCAATTTGTAATCAAGTTGTTGGACCATCTAAATCATCAAGTCTAGGTTGCATCACTGTATTTGAAATAAAGAAGCCAAGTGAGGCAGTAGCCGACTATTTTACTACTAAGAAAACAAGACACGGGATCTATACGAAGCTTAGCTTATCTAAAATTCCAATGAGAATTACTATTTATAGATATTCGTATAAAAAATTAAAGTTATATCAAAATAGCTTAAATTTCATGAGATTCATAAATAATTAACACTGGAAAATTCTTGTTTGCGAAGCATTATCAAACACTTTCAGAACTAAGAACAGAATCCATATCATATTATCATTTACCACGAGAAAAGCATTTTTCTATCGTGGTAATATTGGTTTATAGTGTCATAGTCTAAGCTCATCTTGCATTGGATTGTAAATGTATGATTTCATTATTCCAGTTGATCACACAAGATTAAGTTCAAATCGAAATAAACTATAATGGCATTAATATTATTGCTTTCAAGGTTAAGAACATACTTTATGATGCATAAAATAATACCCAAAAGTGAACTAAGGCAATATACATACCTGACAAGATATTAACATGACTGAGGCAATCATATTTAAGGCATCCAGATGCCTCCCTTCTATAACCCCACATCAGCTAAATGGTACGTGAAGGTATGCATTTCAAACCCTGCTCGGTACTGGGATATTCACACGGATCAAAGGAACCGGTAAAATCTATCTTCTCTAGCCTTCACAAATCCCTTTTCAACAAATGAACAATAGACATCCTTATTTTGATGGATTCCTTAGCTTGCGTCCTCATTTGCTCTCAATTGTAAACTGATATAACTCCGCTGGGGTCCTATCATAAACCTACCTAACCAAGGAAGTAGGTTTGATATCATCTTTCGGTTATCCCCCGGCGACCTCCCATCTCAGCTATACATCGGTGAAGCTCTAGTGGCTCTAGGAACTCCAGTTGCATTATCAAGCTTTATGTCCTACTTCGCTCTCCAATGGAAGTTAATTTGCACATCTCTCTCACACCACGCCGTCCATATTTAACTTATAATCTGTGTAAGTGGGCTGGTGCTATTCACCGTCACTGTCAAATCAAAATCATTTCTGTATGGTGGACAAAGATGGCAAGAATATGTTAAAATGGGCATTGGCAACAATGTTGAGCAATCTATCGCAGGTAACTACACCAAGAACACAGAAGATTGGATGCTCACAATGACTTGATAAGTAATTTGCTCTACAATATACCATTTGGTTTTATTTGAAGATAGCCTACCAGATAATGTTGATCTGAAGAAAGTGACGTGTCAGTGATTGTCCATCGCAAACTTCGGGCAAGGATATCCTTTTTTACTCTCCATCCATTGTCAGCATCATATATTCTGATATGACTTCCCTGATTGGAAATTTTAATTAAGAAAAAAAAAAGAAAAAAGTGGAAGGTATTGTTAGATCTTTATAAACTAGAAGTAAAATCTGATTCCAGCAGGCATATCCACGCTGGCTACATTCTGAAAAAGAAAACATTTGGAATCCATGAAGATACCTGGAAACCAGCTACAAAAAGTGAACCGTCAGCAGAGAACTGTGATACATATGCCCGGCTATTCATTCTGTCAATACAGCAAGGACCATTCACAGGCAAGTATCGGCCAAGAACATGAGACCGATCAGCTAGAGAGAAATTTCCCGTTTTGGAAAAGTTGGCTTCCCTTGCTGATAACATTTTAACCACAGAAACGGGCATCCTCTTCTCGGAATTCATGGTTTTATGAAGTTTTTCGTTGGGTTCTGATCTGAGCTTAGTAATATGAGCAATTTCACTGTCGATCTCAAAAGATCCTCTACTAAATCGTTGGAATGTACACGATCCACTGCTACCTGTGTCATTATCACACGTGTTGGAATCTAATTCTAGTTTACTCATTTTGTAACCCATATCAACACTTGACAGCTCCGTTTACATCAATAATTTCCTGAAATGTCAAGGAAACTATGTGAAAATGAGAATCAGAGTCACTAATTGGCAAAACCTACACATTTAAAAACATAGTGCCTAAAGCTCCTGGGATCTTTGACCATTTATCACCAATTCAAAGAATGCACAAAAACACACAATATAATAAATACAAAAACCAAATTAATTGCTGGGGTAAAAGGCAAGGCAACAAGGTCACCAAACTAGCACAGGACAGCAGTTTTGCACATTCTAATTAACCAAGCAAGTATCTTTCATCATGCCTCTTACATTCTCTAAATACACAGATGGTGAACATTCATCAGTAATCCCTCAATAGATAAAGGTCACTTGGTCTTATCCATGGCACAGATACATAGTTTTGGTGTCTCTTGGGTTTCATCTGACCGTTGGCAAACCAGATAGAGCGAGGAAACAGTCATCGTGAGCATGTAACCAATGAACTTCCGTGTAACTAACCAACACATCCAGCTTCATACAAAATGAAATCAACTTCATCATATGTATCTCGAACCATAAATTCCACTGGGTCATTGTTGTGGAGAATAGTTCTATTTTAAGTTTGAGATCTGTCACTAGGTTATGGTGATCCTTGAGGAGGTGAGGGTTCCCAGGTTCATATGATTATAGGACGTTTTGCTACAGATCTTTACCGTCACTCTTCAGGAAAGCATGCCATAGTTTGCCACATTAACTTTTTCAAACATTAGAATAAAATCACTAGCAGCAGCCGAGGATGAAAGAAACTTAAATTCACAAGGTCAAAATAAAAAATCTTTGAATCCAAAAAGGGGTTCATCAAATCTACATGGGAGGATTGAGCGATAAAAATAACTTTTTGGTTGAAAAATCCCAACATCGTCTATAGGGCGTGCCACTTCAAATAAACAGGAAAACTAGGATCTGATAAAAAGATTACTAACATATAAGATGTCTTAGATAAAGGGAAACACTTACTAAACCTACAAAAAGAAAACATATTCTGGAGTTTCTGGACCACATAGATGACTCTAAATTTTTCTTCTTCTTTTTACCCTTTCAAGACTTCTAAAGCACATTTTCCGTTTCCCAAGAATCTGTTCTACACAATAATTAGTGCTTGGTGCTCGGAATAAGACTGGGTGGTCATATCAGCCATGACCAATCTGGTCAAATCAACCAGACGGATCATCCGATCCAAATGAAATTAGGCTGATTCTGATTACCATGAATCAAAGAAATACATGAAAGTGACAAATTCAAATTGGGAATAAAGCAAAGTATCTCCTTTAGTGAAATGCCTTCAATTACCATTTTCTATCGAAACTTTCACCAGCCAATCATCTTGGACTTATCAGAAACACAAGCAGTGAGCTTTTATGTACTAGAACTTTGCTCCAGAAACACCTTGAGACATTCAGTTTTCTGCATCAAAGTTTAAATAAATAAATACAAGGGCTCTTGAGAATATGACGGTACAAATAGAAAACATAAGACACAAAGGGCGTCAGAGGCCGCAGTATGCTAGATGATGCTGTACCAGGAGTCATATCGATGAATAGCATTTGCATAGAGCTCCAAAGTGGAGGATATTCATTTGATAGCCTTGAGAAATCATACTTGAGATCAAAAAAAATCGTAACTAAAAAAAATATGGTAGAAACTTGTTTCAGTTAGACGACATATTTGCTTGTAACAAATCCCATTTTCGGCCTGTGTTCAGTTAGACGAAGACAGGCAAAAATGGAACCAATCGAGCGGAACCTACACCAAATCCACCATTCCTGTCCCTTAAACGGGATCACGGAAAACAGTTGGCAAAGTTAAACAAACCCGATTCACTAACTTCCACATCAAGAAGCGAATCATATTAAGACATGCACAATCTAGAGAGAAATTGACCTCCTCGTCTAGCAGAGATTAACCAGGTCTACGAATTCGTTAAGCCCTACATCTCCCTCCGCCAATTTTTCCATCAAATATGACAAGAGAAAGTAGCTACATCTCTCCCACCTCTCCGCTTTTGTATAGGAAGTGTACCTCAGATTCTCGGGAGGATTTCCCTCGACCTCGTGGCTGCCAGTCGCGTCGACTCTGAAGACAACGCAAGCCAAATTCAACGGATGAGAGAGAGAGAGAGGGGGGAGGGGTGATAGATATTTTGCAGAAGGCAGAGGACACTTTGTGGTGATTTACCTCCACAGAGGGGTTGATGGGCTAAGAAGGCGGCAACGTCGCCTACCCTTCTCGACTGTCAACGTGGCAATTTGCACCGGAACTAACGACGTGATGAGAGCGACGTGTCTTAAATGGACCAGTACAGCAGGGTCCGGGCCCGAAGATGGCCCACCCTACGTGACCCAGATATTATATGGCCCATGTCATGGACTCGGATATTATGCCCCACAATCAGGAACCAAACATTTGGCCCACAATCACGAACCAGATATTATGGCCCACAATCACGAACCAGACATTATGGCCCACACCCAGGAACCAGACATTATGGCCCATATTTTGGGAGGCCCAGTTAGGCCAACAAACCCGTCCGACGGAATGAATGACGTCATGGTTGAGGAGTGAGAAGAAGGTGCTGAATAATGGGCCGGGACGGGCAGTTTTATGGGCCAGGGGACGGTGGGGTTGCCCTATCAGAACCCCGAAGTGTGGAAACAGAGCACCGGCCCGAACCCGACAGCACCATCCCTCCCGCCCGCCGCCGGTTGTCCCGATCTCTGCAGAAGCGACGACACGACGATGAAGGTGGTGGCGCCGCCGAACATCTCGCGCGTGGCGGAGAGGTCGAGGTTGCTGCTGCGGCGGCGCTGCGGTCCGTCCACGAGGCCCAGCGTGTGCGAGGCTTCAGCTCTGCTCGTCGCTCCTGGGGCCGGCGATCGGAAGCCCCATCTTCTCCGCCATCTTTCCTCCGACTCCGACCGACCAGAAGCCCTCGGGGATAGTCGGGACAGGATACTTCTTCTCACGGAAAAGTTCTCCTGCCCGTCGCGGACGGTCATCACTGAGGGTCTCCGGTCGAAGGTCGCTGCGCTCGCGGCGGAGCTCCTCGCTCTCCCCGATGACAGGGACCTTGATGCTGTACTCTGTTCCAGCTCAACTCCGTCTTTCCTCCGGGATACTTCTGACGTAACCCCCTTCCTCGAGCTCCTCAACCTTCTCAGTTCCCGCCCCCTCCTAGCTCTCGAGGTACTGTCGCCGGCTCTAGCGTCCCGGCCGTCGATTTACATTTTTGCTGTAAAACCCCACATCCTGAATCGTAGTTGTGCTCCCGATTGACTAAATTATTTGCTGCTACTCATTTCCCTAGTTCTTCAATCGGAGGAGGAAGAAGCTCGTGGAAGCAGGTGCCCCAGTGACGGCGGAGGAGTACGTGAAGGCGATCAAACTTGCCGGCCGCGTCAAGGACGTCGATCTTGCTGTTGACCTGTTTAATGCTGCAGGAACCGAGGGTCTTCGCACCACGTCGACCTACAACGCCCTGATGGGTACTTACATGTACACTGAGTCTGCTAAGAAATGTCTGGCCCTCTTTGAGGACATGAAGCGGGATCCCGACTGTGAGCCTACAATAATTACGTACAACATCCTCCTCTCTGTGTTTGGCCGTTCGATGCTGGTGGATCACATGGAAACCATCCTCGTTGCCATAGAGGAATCCAATTTGAAACCGAGCTTGAAGACTTACAACACGGTGATAGCTGGGTATGTCACGGCATGGATGTGGGACAAGATGGAGAGTGCTTTCCACACAATGAAGGATTGTGGCTTAAAGCCTGACACATGCACTCACCTCTTGATGCTCCGTGGCTATGCGCACCAGGGAAATCTGGAGAAGATGGAGAAGACGTATGAAATCGTGAAGGAAAATGTTGATGATCATGCACTGCCACTGATACGAGCAATGATTTGTGCTTATTGTAAGAGTTCCGATCCTGAGAGAGTCGAAAAGATTGAGGAACTGTCGAAGCGTTTGCCAGAGAACCAATATCGGCCTTGGTTAAATGTCCTTTTAATAAAGTTGTATGCTCAGGAAGGATTGATGGAAAAGATGGAAGCTCTTCTTTATGAAGCTTTCAATCAAGGGACTATAATAACGACAACAGGTGTCATGAGAGCTATTATAACAAGCTACTTCCGCCTTGATGATTTAGACCATCTCACAAAATTCATCAGGTTGGCTGAATCTGCAGGATGGAGGCTCTGTCGGTCATTGTACCACTGTGAGATGGTTATGTATGGTCAGCAGAGTCGGTTTGGTGAAATGAAGAATGTTATCAATGAAATGGAAGCGTTTAAGTTTGATCCTACAAAGAAAACATTCTTGATCATGTTCAAGGCCTATTCAAGCTTTGGAAAGAAGCTTGAATCCGATAGTGTGTTTGGAATGATGTGGAAATATGGTTTCATCGTCCCCAAGGATGCATTTCATCTTTCCTGAGCATGTTTGTCTTTTTCATCCACGATGATTGCCGATTTCAGGTCCTCACGTTAACCTGGGAGTATGAGCAAGCCACGAACATCTCCAGCGTCATAAATTTGATATACTGATTGGAATCGAGTGCAGTGCCCAGCTGGAACATTTGGAAGGCCAGTTGTGGGCAAACTTAGGTCCATGGAAAATGTCTGCGAAGCACTGGATTCTCTTCCCATTGGAATGGTCTGGTACTCCTGTTCACATGCTTCCCCAGAATTTTTGATTAATAGGTGATTTTTTCTTATATGCCTTTTTTCTTTTATTGTAAATCATTAGATACGAACACAGCATACTTCTATCTAATTGTTGGCAAAATTATATCCGATGTTCAATTAAATTATATCACGACTGAAAAAGAGTTGCTAGCTGTAGTACTTTCTTTAGAAAAGTTTAGATCATATATTGTAGGAGCTAAAATTATTGTTTATACTGATCATGCAGCATTGAAATATTTATTAAATAAGAAAGATAGCATTTTCGAAACCTTTTTTATCCTTTATTTCTAAGTCAAATTCCTGCAGCAAAAAAATCGATCTTAACTGTTGCAATTGATAGTACCCTTGATCTTTCCTCCATTGCTGCCATTACTATTTGTGTTACTAATAGTGCACTGTACTATTTTTTTACTCGACTATTCCAATAGTCATGTCGGCTAGTAGTTTGCAAATCAGTAGTCCACCTTTCCATCAGGTTATTGATCAAGAGAGCAACCCTATCTCTCCTAGGAAGGTTCTGGTTGTAAATGTACCAATGGTTGGATTCATGGTGACGAGAATTATTGGTTAGGTTGTCAGCCTCTTTATTGCCTTAACAGCATATATGAAAGGATGATTTGTTGAATAATGGGCATGATATGGAGAACCGAATTTTGATGACCCAAGAAATCTGGTGAGAACTATATGTTATCAGCTTCACTACTATGTTCAAGTCCCATTTATTTAATGTGAACATTTGCTTGATTAGAGAGAGGGAAGGAGAGCCCACCACCTATTGCTCTGAATTCTGCAATAATAGGACATGTAAAACTATATAAAAAATTAAAAGTAAGATCTTCTTATGATTCCTAAAAATTCCATCGACAGCACTTCTTCTATGTTGATGTTAAATTAATCTTGGCCGTGTTGAGAACTAGTTTAAGCAGGCTAGATGTGTTTTTTTTATGAGCTATTATGATTTCCATGGGATATTCAGGACTCTGATGGGACACTGGCAGACTTGGGATATCCCCACTGCCGAAGAACCTGAAGGCTTAACCAATGCTAACCGCCTCCAGCTCGACACGACCCGTCAGCGATAAGAGACCGTCAACTAGTAACCACCGAAAGTAGACGTCACTGTTAGTCTTGCGAAGCAGAAGTTACAAATAGAAGATTGACCATCTCTAATCCGATCATTATCTAGAGTAGATTATGAGCTCCCCTTCTTCGGCTCTCAGACTGAACTCCCTTCTGTGTCTGTTGTCTCCGATTCCCCTGAACTCTGGTATTTTCATAGGCTTCTGTATTTCCGTCCGGCGGGGTCCCATGCCAAGGAATTATCAAAGGTTATTTCCCTTCCGCCAGAGCATTCCCTTCTCCCTTTTCGTTGTGCTCCATCTGACTCATAGATACATAATAGAAACTGCTGAAGCTGTCAATGCAATGTGAAGTCATTAGATGAATTCATGCATGGGATAACCGTCTGTGCCAGCTAAGACCGCTTACGAGAGCTCTAGAATTATTTTGATCCACATAAAGTGGAATTTTCAAGAAATATACAAGGCGTCCAGGTACATTGCACCAAGTGAACATTAGTTTCAGGAGAGCAGTCTCGTCTTCAGGTGTCAGAACTGAATTAACTACAACTTCAATATGCGTCGTACAGGCAGTAACATTGAACGCAATTTGATATGGTTCCATCAAAGGTTGCTTCATCTCCCCGACCCACCACCATCCTCCCAAATGAAATGCATCTGGTGTTCACAAGGAATACGAGTTCCTGTTGATCAACCTACCTTGCTTTTGGATCAAAAAACAGACGCCTGCTTGATACAGCTTGTGAACTCTCTCAGCGAGAAGAGGTTCTGTTCTTCAGATTTCCTTGCCTTTCTTCGATACGTAACTATCTGACCTCAGTACGACGTGTGAATAATATTCTAGTCCCTTCTTGAGACATTACATTCTGTCATATCTACTTACCCTGTTGAAATATTTGATTAGAGCCATGTTCTTCGCATTTCTTTTAGCTAACTTGAAACCAGAAATGTAAAAATATTTAGTCTTGGATTAACGACAAATTTATGAACCTTGGGTTTTTTGGTTGGTTTAAATTCTTATGTTCTACTGATTAAAAACCAAGTTCCTGTCATCTCTTGCCTGATCTAGAGTTAGTGGCTGCCTTGTTATAGCTGTGCCCGTATTCATTGTTTGAATATATATGTTCAATGTGATACTCTCTTCTAGTTAATGATCCGATCAATCTCCATTCCTTGCCATGCTGACAGGTCTAACTATTTTTTGAGACTTTCTGAACTGATTCTGTACGAGATTCTCAGATTTTCTGTTCCCATGAATCATGCCTTTGACGATTCTCAATCCATTTGTTTCTAGAAAGGCAGCTCCCCCATTGAAACAATCTCATCCCCGCTTCTTGTTGGGACGTTAAAAGGGAGCAACTTGGGCCGGGGTGCAAACAAGTCTAATGATTTTATGTTTCATATGCCTGATCATACTGGGTTCTAGGTGGCGTGTCCATCTATCCTTACACTGTTTGAACTTGTTTAATCATCAATTGCAGTTTTTTTTCAGTGTATGCGTGTTTTTAAGCCTTGATCTCATCAGTTCCATCTAATTTTTATGATTTTTTCTGTGACGTCCCTTGGAATCCGAGGAATCCATGGATGAGTTAAGCACCAGATCTGGTGATTCAGAATGACTCTTCAAATTCATTTAATGGCAGCTACAGTTACCCCCCCGGTCAGTAGCTTTGGACAGTTATGTTCCACGTGGCAATACATCTTCAGAGTCAAAAGGGGGTAAAAAGTCAAAGCCCAACAGCGTCCCTGATCAGTAGCTTCTGTATTGATCACTATTGGATAACAATTCTTCAATTAACCACTCCTGATCAGCAGACTGTTCGATCCCACTTCAAGATTTCCTGAATGGGTTCTTCATTGATCTCTGGATCCCCCCAACCCACTTGTCCCTTGACGAGGGCAATGGGTCAACGGCAGCGGGTCAACGGCCCAAATCTATCCAGTCCCTCTTGGATTGCCTCTGTGCGATTGTCTGAAATATCTTACTTAAACACCCCAGAATAACCATCATCCACATGACTGTTTCCTCTGTTTTGCAGGCCCCGACCCGGCATTCAGCTGATTCCATGCTCACCAGGCATGCGACCCGGATTGATCACAGTGGAAATATTCAGCCAAGTCCAGCTTCATGTGCTTGACAAGAACCAGGAGGGCAGGTCAACCCATCCCTCCCCACGTTCCCCCTCTCCGCAGGGAGGGCACCCAACAGGACCCAGAAAGGATCCCGATATATTTATTTATTTATTTATTTATTTATTCATCATAAAAATATCGCCGGATGGCATTATTTCCACGAATATTACCCCGACGAATATAATTTCCAAGATATGATGCCCATCTCCGATGCAATTTTTCTGGGAGAAAAAAAGAAGAAAAAAAGGATATATTGGTTGCGTCTTAATGTAGAAAAGTCCCCATTTATTTTTATTATTTATGGTGTGCCTTTATTGAAGGAATGTGATGGCGTATGTGCATTGCATGGCATTTATTGTGCCCACTTTGGAGAAACCACGGCGAAGGAATATTTCCGAAGAACCCCCCACTTTTTGTTCTTATTTGGTTCGAGCTACGTCCTCGATGCGCACGCTCGATAGTTACTTTTAGTGTTATTTTCCTTTGCCATGGGCCCGGGCTGCGGCACGTGCCTCCGTTCGTCCTCCCCTCGTCCGGAAGCTGCAAGCGCTCGACGACAAAGCAGAGGAGACCTCCGCGCGTACGGCACTCGCGGTGGGCGACGCGCAGTAGCACGTGTCGCATCCCACGCGCAGAACGGGTCGGTCACGTGAAGCCCACCGCCGGAGGAAGCCGCCGCCGACGGTGCATCATCAGCCGGGCATCGCGAAATTAATAGACGCGATCGTCGGCAGACGGTGGGTGATTAATTAAACCCGCCGGAGGCCCGTCCGCTGCGCCGGCGAGGGACCAAGGGGAGCTAGAGAGAGAAACTGGAGAGAGAAGGTAGAGAGAGAGAGAGAGAGAGGTATTATGGCGCTAGACGATGAAGGGAAGTCAACAATGGGGGCTGAATTTACTCGCCCTTTTGTCTTTCTTTCTGCCCAAGGAAGGCAGGGGATCAGCCGCTGACCGTTGGTTCTAGCCACTGTTCCACATGCAGAGAGGGGGGGGAAGAAAATCTGAAGTCCCCCACGCCGACGGGCTTCGATAGCGGCGCGGCCCTTGTCCTCTACCAGCGGCGGCGGCGGCGGCGGGGCAGGAATATAGTGACAGGTGTCGCGAGGGGCGGGCGGCGGCGGGACGAGGAATTCCGGCGGTAGGTGAGAAAGAGCCATGTGTCCGGCCGGCAGCCGTCACCTTACGGAGGCTCCCGCCCAAAGAGAACTCGGCCGGCAAGCCGCCCGCTCCGCCCACGGGGGCAACCTGCCATGAATAGTTGAATATCGGCCGGCCCACGTGACGGCTCTCTCTCTTTCGGCGCCGCCGGCCGCCATCTCGGCCGGCGACCTGGCCTGCGTCACCGGGGATCAGCACCCCTCCTCCGAACAGTGGACCATCCGATTCACTGTGAGGGAAACCTGGGGAGAACGAATCTCAACCAAGGGAGTTGCCGCCGCCGCAGCCCCCGCCGCCGCGGCGAGCGGCCACCGCCGGCGGGTGGAGAAGTGAGGAAGTCAACACATTTCTATTATAAGAACTCACTTGCATCAAACTCCAAACAGAGAAGAGAGTATACACATATTTATAGAGATCGCAGGTGTGAGATGAGTAAAACCCTGGCCTACGATCTTCTTCCCCCGGCGCCGGGAGGAAGAAGGAACTGGGCGGCCTGAAATTAGTGCCGGAAGCGCCGCCGCCCCCCTGAGGCTGCCGCCATCCGCCGTCTGCGAATAAAACGGACCTTCACGGCGATGAGGGAGACTTGGGTTCTTCGAGCTTCCGCCTCCGATCACGGTGATGAAGGTCTCGCCGGCGTACAGGAAGAGGCGATCATCGTGTGCACCAACCAAGGCTTTGACAACCAGGGCGAGCGACCAGCAGCAACAGTAGCAGTAGTAGTAGCAGTAATGGGGGGCAGCTATGTGCAGCGGAGGGACTGGAACTGTAAGTTAATCGAGTCATCATCAACAATCAGAACTCAAGAAGGTCCTGATCTCCTCCATGACCTCGAAGAAATGGTTGTTGTTGGGCAGTAGGTAGAAGCCAATGGTGGCCTGCATGAGGTGAAGCAGCTTCACGGATTGGCCGGCCTTCTTGAGGCCGTCGGCGTAGGCGAGCTGCCAGTCCCTTATGAGGTCGAAGCCGGCCACCACCACCAAGCTCCGGGGGAATGGGAGCCCCCGGAGGTCAACGCCGTGGGGACCGAAGGGGTTGCAGGCAGGGTGGTCGCGGTCAGCGCCCTCGGGGAGGAACGCCCGCCAGTACCAGTCCCTGTCCTGAAGAGTGACGAAGTACTTGCCGTCGAGCATCAGCTCCGATTCCTTCCGGCCCTCGCCGCCGAACATGGGGTTGAGGAGGATGTTGCCGGAGATCTCAATGCCCGATTCGACGGCGCGCAGGGCCACGTTGTGGGCGATATTGCCGCCGGAGCTGTCGCCGGCGAGGAAGATACGCACTTTCGAGTCCCTCCCGCTGCGGAGCCACGGGCGGGTGGAGGCCCACTTGAGCGCCGCCCAGCCGTCGTCGTAGGCGCAGGGGAAGCGGAACTCCGGCGACCGGCGGTAGCTGACGGAGACGACGACGGCGCCGCACATGCTGACGAAGCGGCGGCAGAGGGAGTCGTAGATGGCGCTGTTGGAGGAGGAGTGGGCGAAGCTGCCGCCGTGGAAGAAGACGATGACGGAGACGGGGGCGGTGCTCAGCGGGCGATCGATCTCGGCGAGGAAGGCCGCCGGCGCCGCCAGGGAGGCGTCGGGGCCGGCGGGGGCGGGGCGGTAGACCCGGCTGAGAAGGTTCGTGCTCCGGTCGATGATGACGTCGAAGGAGATGACACCATCGACGGGGATGGCGTTGGCCGGCACCTTCCGGTCGAGGAACTCCGCCAGGTCCCGGTTGAACGTCCCGTCCGGCCGCCGGAGGAGGTTGTAGGCGAGCTTGAAGTTGGAGATGAGCACCCACGTGTTCAGGGGAACCACGCTCTGCACCGGCAGAAATCACGGAGAACAAAAAGAAATTCAGTCGACCAATCAGACCCACAATGGCGCCATGGCATCTATCATCCGGGAAGAGGAGAGGAATTCTCGAAACCCTAGAGGGGAGGACTCGCGGAGACGATGAACAGTGATGGAATGAAATTTGAACAGAGAATTCGCGGACCTGCTCGATAAAACTCTTCAGGGCACGATTTCTACCGGATAACAGCAGCCAGAGAGGAAATTATGGCAGGAAACCGGGATCTCTGTAAATCCCATCTTCGGACAAGATTCCGGAAGCAGGAGGATCCAAATAGCCTCCATCTCCGAGAGCCGGATAAGATGGAGAAGAGGGGGCGGGAAGAACGGGAGCCCGGGGGAGGACAGGGGAGGGGGAGACGGGGCGCACCTTGCACTCGTTCGAGTTGACCTCGTTGCTTCCGGCCATGGCGATGAAGCCGCCTCAACTAAATCAGCAGATCAAGCGGAAGAAGGGGAGGAGAATGGGAACCGCAGCGAGCAGCCTCCCTCGCTCATCCCTGGAGCCGTCCTTCTCTGGAATCTGGAGAGAGGACACCTCACCTACTCCGTGAGAAACCACAACCCTCTCACCCTCTCTCTCACCCGCGTCCACTTCTTACTCGTCCTCTTCCTCCTCCCTCCGCAGGCATCTCTTCCTCCTCCTCCAACCTTCTTCCTCCCCACCTTCTGTACCCACCTTCCCTCCCCGTAAACTCAAGCCAACAGGAGACCAGACCTCCTCTGCGATGGCGGCAGCCTCCCTCCGCCGCAGCTCCGCGCCCCCGCCCCCCCCCGAGTCGTCCTTCCTGACCACTTCCTGACCCAGGAAACGACGAGCGGATAGATTAGCCTGCCTCCGCAACGGCCCAACAGGGTAGGGAACCTCGAGATCCCAGGAGTGGGGGAGATGAAAAAGAGCACAGGTCCAGCAGCAATGGCAAAAGGGTCGCCAACGAAGGAGAGGCAAGGGAAGAAAATAGTACCCTGGGATACAGAGAGGATAAAGAAGAGAGAGAGACTGAGATAGAAAGAGAGAGAGATAGAGATAGAGAGAGATGATGATGTCGACGATGAGATGATTAGAATAATCCAGAGAGGGAAGGAAGAGAAGAGGGGGGGAGGCCGGCGGAGGGGTTAGAGAGAGAGAGAGAGACGGGTTCAGAGGCGGGAGCACCAGTCGTCGGAGGGCCCGACGGGGGCGGGGGGAAGAAGAAGAATGCGGCCGGGGCAGCCGGAGAAATGGAAGAGTCAAACGCAAGCAGACAGACGGCGGAGAAGAAGACGACAAAACCCATCGGCCCGGAATACGTATGAAAAACGTCTCGAGTCGCGAGTCCGCCCTCTCTCTTTCTCTCCCGGGCCCACATACGTAGGAAGCGTGTGGGGCCTATTTCCAATTCGGTTCGGATCAGCCCGATACGATCCATTATCCCCGCATTTAATATATTTTTGGGTTTCATTATCTGGCGCTGACCAGAAAATAGCATCGGAAATGCAATTTAATGGGCAATAAATAATAACTGTAAACCCAGTATTTTAAAATATATAATTTATTTTTAAAAAAAGAATGGAATAAAGCCCTTTTGTCGGGCTTTTTGGCACTTTTCTGTCAGGTGTTCTTAGTAGAGAGGCAAGTTTCTCAGAGTTGGATGTAGACGCCATTCGCATCTTTGACCGAGGCTAATTTCCCCGTGAATATTTAATGGAGGACTTTTGTATAAAATTAAAATAAATCCCCCCCCCCCCACAAACTCATTTTCTCAAAAACAATTAAATGCAAAGCAAAGCAACTCTTCTGGGGTGCGAGAAGATGATCGCCCCCTTCCCCGAGAGGGGCCCACTCGACTTCGACGAAGAGTCAAACGAAATACCGTACAGATTACGCTGAAGATGTGAATGTTTGAAAAGGAAGGGCCTTCAGTGAAATTGCCTCCCACCCCGCGACAATTTCAAAATACCGTACAAACTACGTTTTGTTTTAGAAGGGGCTCAATGAAATTTACCCCTCCCCCTACTTCCAATAGGAAACAAACCAGTGTATTTTGTATTTGCGTACATCTTTCTTTTATTTATTAATATACACAGAATATACACGACAAGGACGTTACTTACAATCCATATGTAAGATAAGGTTAAACAACAATATGCTACTTTTTACTAGGTAATCCCATGTGAATGTTTGAAAAGGGCGGGCGCAAAGTAAAATTGGCAAGGGCGGAGTTCGAATAGGAATAAAACGAAATATCATATAATTTAGCATGAAAATGTGGTTGTCTGAAAAGGGAGGGTTTTTTGTGAAATTGGCATCGGCGGCTGGCTGCGCGTGTGGGGGGCCGGCCGTCGGGAGGACGTGCCGGAAAGCGGACAAAAAAAGGCCCCTCCTGCGTGTGGCCGACGCCACCGCGCCTCGCGACAAAAAAGCCAAAAATGCGCCCACCGCCCCCCTCCCCTCCCCAAAAATCTATCCTCCGCCGCCACTGGCGCCGGCTTTTTTTTAAATGCCTAAAGCTCCCCCTTCCTTCCCCTCCCACCGGGCAGGTCCCATCTCTGCTACTCCCCCTCAAGTGGAGTAGAGGACCGCCCTTTCTGCCTCCCTCTCCGGTGAGCTACTCCGGCGAGCCGCCGGCGGCAGGCAGCCCCCACCTGGCACCGCTGCTCTCACTGTGGCGGCGTCAATCAGTCAGAGCCTCTGATTCTCCCCTCCCCCGGCGGCGTAGTTGCCGTGTGGAGCGAGCTCTACGGCCACGGCTACGCCGCCGTACCCTTCCTTCTCCTTCCTTCCTCCCTTCCTCCTCTTCCCCTACCCGGGAGGAGGACCAGTAGAGTAGGCCTTGTTAGCCACATTTCGAATCTCCATTGATTTCCACCCGCCTGGCGCCGCCAGCCGGCCGGCCGCTCGGAGCAGAGGCGGACGACGACGCAGCGGCCACATCATACGTCGTTGGCGCACTGCTCGCGCACAACCACGTGTCGAGCGCCTGTTTCGTAAAAAAGTCCCCGCGAATTTCCGCCGAGAAAAATCTTAAATATTGGGGAGTATTCGCCCGCTACGCACACCGTGACCTCATCGTCACCGGGGGCATATGAATAAATAAATAATTTTACTGCGGTTCATATTTTTCCGGTCGGTGTAGGCGGCGGCGCATTGTTTATTGTGGTGGGCGTTGACTCGTCGAGGGGGAGCGCCGTTGAGGACGTCAACAGCTCGAGACGGTGTGCACGCGCCGTTGAGCACGCCAACAGCTCGAGACGGCGGCGGCGCCCGTGCCCGGCGCGGGCGGAGGAGGTCCGGCGAGGTGGCGCCGCCTGGGGGAGAAACGCCGTCGGCGTGGGGTGGAAGAGGACAAGGCCACGCGGGTGGTGGCGCTGGGACGTGGCGGCGGCATGTGCTGCATGACACTGTTGCGCTTTTCCTCCGCTTGTCTCCTTCCCTGCGTCCATTAAAAAAGGACGGAGCAAAAGGGGATGCGCTGCCGTGGGGTTGTCGTATGTGCCGGCTCTCCGGCGAGCCCGAGGGCTCTCCGGCGATGGGTGGTCGAAAAAATAAGGGGAAGGTGGTGGCGGTGGTGGCGGTGGTGGCGGTGGTGGCGGTGGTGGCGGTGGTGGGGGAGAAAAGACGAGGGGGAAAGAGGGGGACCTCGACAACTGGCGGGCGGCTGCAGAGGCCCTTTCGGCTTTGTCTTTCTCGCCATCCGCAGCCGTCTCCTCGCCGGTGGGGATTCCCCGTCAACCACCTCCACCGGTCTCGTTTTAATAACCGCGGGGGCGGGGGAGGAAGCTGCCGCCTCGCGGGCAGCGCCTGTGCTGCAGCTGGAGACTGAAAGAGATGGCTCGGCGGGGCACAACCCAACAAACGACTGGTGGAGGACTCGGATACCCCTTTTTGTTTCATTCGCTAGCGAGCGCTGCCAGGGAGAGAGAAAGAAGAGAGAGAGAGCATTAAATACTGCGAGCACACATCAATGAGGGAGGAGCGGTGCATTACGTGCAAGAGAACAAACCGAGCTGGTCTGAGCAGATTTTCTTGAATCGGACTTGCCGTCGAAGGAGCCGGCCTCCACGGACGGGCTCCGGCGTACGGACTACGGCGGCCGGGGGGCGCACCCGCCTCCTCCTTCCTCCCTCTTGGCCCGGCAATCATTGAACAAGCTCCTCAGACCAGTCCCCTCCCGGAGCAGGCATCCGACCCCCCCCCCCCGCCCAACCCTCCTGGTTCAGACCCTCTTCCCACAGGGGACTCGAGAGCGATAGACATGGACGCGCACAGGGAGAGCGAGGTGGAGAGAGAAAGATAGAGAGAGAGAGAGAGAGAGAGAGAGAGAGAAAGAGAGAGTTTATCCTCATCGGACGTTCTCCATTAGGGTGAATTGACAGGGACGGGCGGGGACTTGCAGACCCCGACATCGCCACTAGCAGCACTGATCAGCTTTTTGCCACGGCTGGAGCCGCTTTTCCAAGTGGGCCCCCTTCACCTCCTGTGGACCCAGCCCAACGGGCCCAGGACGCGTGGATTTTACTCTTCCGGACCGTGGACCCCCGTTCTCAAGAGGTGGGCCCGCCAAGAAAGCCTATTGTTCTCGTCGCGGCCCGCTTTCCCCGGCTTTTTGGGCCGCCTGAATCGCTTTCGGGGCCCTCCCACCCGAACCCACGGCCTCTTTTGTGTCCCGGGAACTTTCCCGCCCAATGGGCTCAATGGGCCCAGTACGCGTGGATTTGACTGTTCCCAACCGGCCGTGGGCCCCCGTTTCCGAATATATGGGCCCGCCAGCGTAGCCCATTATGTTTGTCTCAGCCCGCTTTCCACATGTTTTTGGGCTGCCCGAATCGTTTTTTGGACCCTCTCACCCGAACCCCTGGCCTCTTTCTGTTCCGGGAACTTTTCGGCCCAATGGGCCCAATGGCATCTTAGCCGGGTACTGGCTTTGACAAGCCGCGTGCACTCTTCCCCTAAAGTTTGACCGGAGAGGAGAAAGGGGGAAAGAGGGCTGCGGTGGCGGAGGATGGCCTGGTTTCTCTGCCGCCTGCTCCGCCGGAGCGGAGCGAAGCTCCCCGCTGGTTCTGGTGCCCATCTTCCTCTCCAGCGTCTGGATGTCTCTCTATGCTCCTTCCCGGTTTTCCCTCCGCGGAAGGCCCGGCAGGCGACCCGCCGCCTGCTGAAGCTCCTCTCCTCCCGCCGGCAAGAGCTCGCCGGCGCACTGGAGACCTTGGAGAGTGATCCCATTAGTCTCTACTCCTCCCATGCGGCGGCGCTCGTCTCGGCGGTGGCGGATCCTCTCATCTCCTTCGACCTCTACCGGTTCCTCAGGTCCGCCGGCGGCGGCGGCGGGGGGGCCTCCTTCCGACCCACCTCCTCCCTCCTCTGCTCCCTTCTGGGCTCGCAGCTCAGGTCCCGCTCGCCCCGCCCCTTCAGGCTCCGCTTCTACCTTGGGGAGATGAAGAAGCACGAGGCCCACCCCAGCTACGAGGAATTCCGAGCCCTGACCAGCTGCCTCAACCCCTCCCTCGCGGGTTCTTTCTTCGAAGAGGTGATTGAAACCCTGGGGCCTGATTCCACCACATTCGCCGCCGCCATCTCCTTCTACGTAGAGAACGGCCTGGTCGAGGAGGCGCTCGGCCTGGCGGAGCGGGCGAGGAAGGAGGTGGAGGGTCCTCACTGCGTGGAGTTCTACTCCAGCTTGATGGGTCTGCACAGGATCAGAAGAGACCCCAAGGCGGCCATGGAAGCGTTCCTGGAGATGGAGGAGGGGGCAGAGGTGGCCGCCGGCGAGGGGACCTATTGGGTATTGCTGGAGATCTTGTGTGTCGCCGGGTGGGCGAAGCTCTGCTGGGCGATCCTGCAGAGAATGAAGGAGCGAGGCGGCTTCAATTCGCCCAGCGAAAGCTCTGGATTGATCCTGATGAGAGCCTTCCTGCAACGGGACATGGTCCGAGAAGCGGAGTGGCTGTTCAGAGAAGGAGTTCTCAGAGAGAAGGAGAGCTGTGCTGTATTCGCAGAGCTGATGTCGGAGAAGAAGATGCCTCTGGCGGCGCTCGAGCTCCTGAGAACCACACCCCACCTGATCTCCTGCGTTGAATTCCTCATCAAGGGTTGCGGCAAGGCCGGCCTAGTGGAAGATGCTGAGACCATCTTCCGGGAGTTCGGATTCTCCGAGAACGAACCAGTCCGACGGCGGCTACCACTGCTCTCTTCGATGGTTTTTGTCTACTCTCGAGCCGCCCGGAGGAGCTCGGCAGAGAGAGCATGGAGTCAACTGGAAGCGTCGGGGGGGCTGGCGGCGGAGCCCTGTCTGTGGATGATGTCCATGTATGGAGAGATGGGCCTGTTCGATTCCGTAGAGAAGGTGTTTGACCAGTGGAAGAACAGCGGCGTCCCTCTAAACGAGGACGGGTACGGTGCTCTAGTCAACGCCTACACCAGAGCCGGCAAGTTGATCAAGGCGAGGGGCTGTCTCTCCGAGATGAGAAAATCTGGGCTCCGACCGCCGCCGGCGATCTGTTATCAAATCTCCGAGGGTTTCCTCAGAGCCGGTCTTCTGACCCAGGCTGCAGCTGTGGCCAACGAGCTTAGGGTTTCTGGGTCGTGGGTGGACGATGGTAGAGCTTAGGGATTCTTTACTCCGGCTCCGGCGGCGTGGCCCTCACCGTCCTCCGCAGGCCACAGCCTACTACTCTCAGTTATCCCCACCCGGCGGCGCCGCCGCCTCCCCCGCGGCGATGCAAGCTGCAGTAACTATGAAAGCTTGAAGCTGCTATCAAGAACACCAGCAACAGCAACAGCAGTAACAACAACAAAGACAACAGGAGGCAGCAGCAACTCTCAGAATAGTTAGTGCATCCCACAGATGTAGAAGAAGAAGAAATGCAGAAGGTTGCATCTCATGGTAGATATTATTCCCCCGAAAAAAATGAAGCAGAAGGTGAGAAAAACCTAGTAGGTCACTTACGAGCGGGCGGGCTCCAGAAAGAACCCTGCTGCGACTCCGGCAGTCAACGCCGCCATCGGCAATCGGTCAACGGCGGATGGAAAGTCAACCTACCGACCTACTTGGGGTCGTCGTCGTTGCCGCCCGAGCCTCCGAACAAGCACCGGCGCACGGTGATCATGAAGTCGCCGGCCCTGTGAGGGTGGAGAAAGGCGACACAGACCCCGCAGCAGGTGACCACCATGACCATCGTGAGCAGAGCCAGGCGAGTGCCCGTCGTTCTTCCGGGGAACGCGCGCAGCCATGAGTCCTGCTGCCAATCGGACGCCAGCAGTGGGTAGCACTCGTCCCTGTGGGTGGTCGTCGTCTCCCTGTTCACGGAAGCGACGCTCTCGTAGCAGCCTCTGGAGGCGTGCTGGTGGGCCATCGTCGCCGGCCGGCTCTGGTCAAAGACAAGGGCAAGGTGAGCGATGATAGAACACCTGCTGAGGGTCAACGGGCATGCGAGATTTTGGAAAGCTGACGAGGGTTTTCGAAAAGGTAACGACTTGTCCTAGATTCTGGTCTTCAAAAGCTATACTGATAATACCATCTAATGGATCATAATCACCGGATCATGGCGCATAGAGAGAGAAATCAATGTGCGAGGAAGAAAAAATGTACTCACTTGGTGGGCATTCTCCACAGCATGCAGATTTCCCTCGGACTCTCCCTTGACTCGTCCGTTTCGGTGGAGGGTCTTCTTGGCCTTGCTTAGGTAGTCAACGAACAGTCCGAACTCAGGGTCGTCTACCGTGCTTGAGAGGCCTTCCAGCTCCCTCTGTGCCGCTAGGGCTTCCAAACGGTCCAGAGAATTTTCTAGGAAACTCGACGACCCACTCCGAAGAAGATGCTCCAGTAAGCCATTAAATCTCCGAATGTGAAGCTTGGTGGAAAGCGCCTCATTTTTGTCCGGTGTCGGCTTCTTCAGGAGCCATGCAGAGTCAATGAGCAGGTCGGACGTAGGAGTCTGGCTTGACATGAGACACCTGCACAGATCGGGAACCGATCCTGCATCTGCGCTTTGAGAGACGATGTCTGAAGTACGAGCGCCGTTGACCGATCCTTGCAGACTCATCATCTCTGCGCATACGTTCTGGTTGCCAAATAAGATAGGGATGAAGTTTGACGTCCCACACTCGTTCTCAACCTGAAAAAAGAGGGGGGGAAAGGAGAGCTTTAGTATCTACATGCCCAACAAAATGCTGCCAAAATGAGAAATAAGCAACAACATGCAGAAAAATGGGCATTCTTTGGTCATATTATGAGAGGGACCACACTGTCACAGCATGTTGGTGAGTCATTAACACCATTTGCGTCGAAATGGTCAACAGTACCATTTATATGACAGGTTAGTGCAGGTCCTAAGAACCTATTGGATGAGAAGCCAGGTTGTTTCGAAGGTTCACTTTTGAAATTTCTGCTACCAGAAAACTTTATAAATAAATAAAAAAGCGTTTTCCATTTAGTGAAGTGCACAGAACTAAAAAAAGTCAAACATATGGATCAACTATTCTTGGAGGTTGACTTCCAGTGGATCTTTTGAAATATGCCTAGAACGGATATACCGCAGAGGTAGCTTACCTCAATAAATCCAGGACCATGGATGTCTGCTTCTGTGCTGAGGGTTCTTATCATGAGCATCTGATGATCAGAATTCAGAGCGTCGTATCCACCACTCTCGTGGCACGACTTGATTCTTCCGTGAGAAACGACGCCACAAAACTCATAATTAAGGTATCTTCCAGAAATAGACACGAGCAATCTGCAATGCAGGGGATATTTCACGAAATTATGAAAATCTGATCATCAGCATGGAATCAAATTTCAGAATAAAAATGTCCATTAAACCAATTATAATAAATGTCAAGAATAATCCATCCAGGCAATATTTTAAAAACCATTCATGTAGATGCCTGAATGTTTCCTTCTTGTTACCTGGAGCACAAGAGATGAGGAATACAACATTTTCAAAATCTTTTTTCATATTTTTAAAATAAGGAAAAATATTTTTGAAAGAACACAGAACACAGAAGGGAGACGCGTGTCGCTTTTGAGACAACAGAACTGCAACTTGGAATGCCCGCATCTTTAACCAAGACTCAGCCACGTCACCTTCAGGAAAACAATCGATAATTTATGTAGCAGCTATGGTGGCAATGACAAAAGAAATCAGATTCCTCCCGTCACTTAAGACCGATTCCAATGACTTTTTTCTCCCGGTTACAGAGGATTTTAAAGGAATCTTCTAGGAGGAGAAAAATAATTGTAAAAGAAACAAGTAAAGAGGAGAAAAAATAGCTATAAAAGAAACATGGGGCAAACCGGACTCCGAAACATTGTGAGCTACACATGAGGAAAAATAATCGAGGGATGCATAAAAAGGAACAGAATCAACCCCCAAATCAGAAAAATATAGAGGATATATCCACCATAATAGTGTTCCTTTTATGGAAGAACACACCCTCCCCCCCTTCTCCCCCACTTTCTTCTTATTGATAGTGGATAGCATCCATCCCTTGTAGGCAAAATGCATCTTTTTACCAACATGATAGTTTCCGCCCGCTATGGATGTGACACTTCGTTAAATTCTTTATGCGTTCCTGTTGTCAAAAAACCCAAGGTGCTGCTCAGTGATGCATAGTTCTCACCAAAACATAAAGGAGAAAGTAAGTAGCCTATGTTAGCTACTAGTTCCAGAATACAAAGATAGGCAGCAGATCGTAGGGGTCAAGCCATGCCTTGATCTCAGGGAATCTTTTCCTCCATGGATACTACAGAAGCTGATAAACTTCATCATCCCAGAAGACCCCCGGCCAAAATGATTTTACTCAGTTTAGCCATCTTCTGTAGTTTGAAGCTGGCAGGCATTTGTTCTTTTTTTCAAGGCCCTAAAAAGGAAGATCGGCCAAAGACACGTTCCTATCATTTTCTCTAATCTAATACCTCTTATTTACTTATTAAAAGCTGGACCGTAGAAAGGAGAATTTCGATTATGACCACAAAATCCATAATCGGCAATCCACTCTATTTAATTCATCTACGCTGTACTGTTCCTCTTTTTTTCACGTCAATAAAACTGAGGGACCAGGAGAGATTCATTTGTCCTCTTTTTTTTCACTTTACAGATTTATATCCCTTCGTATCAATTACAGATATAAACATCCAATATTTGTCTATCTGATCCCCGGACATAACGTTGGGGGTCCAAAGATCTAGTGGGTTGATATCGAACTGGCCAATACAAATCAGCTTTCAACCAACCTATCTACAAATTGGTTTTCAGCCATTTGTCAGAAGAGTATATCTAGATAACTGCAAACCAGGTCATGAAGACCTTAAATGGACAGACATGAAATCCACTGTAAAACACAACACAAGAAGACAAATTCATCACCCAAAAACATTTAGATAACCATCCATTGACGTTGGCCACGGTTGCAATATGAAATAATCCACAAAAATCAGGTGATCTGCCCTTTAAAGTTAAAAACCAACTAAATATCAGGCAAACAGAATGGATGTAATTCATGAAAACGCATGGACCAGTCATCAGAACAATAATGCACAAGTCAGAGCAGTGGGCACAAATTTTTGCCCTGATATAATGAAGAAAAGAAAGATAGATTTGACATAAATGCAGAAGAGATCAGATGTGAGGTCCTAGGCATCCTAGATGCTACAATTATGTAGCTTAGTCTTAACATACCGAAATTTATGACGAAGTAGATTACTACCACACACAATAAACTCCATAGATTTGCCAGCCTCGAAACAATTAGGATAGACATAATGAATCTTTGGCCCGTGCACCTCCATCTTGATATTCGCCAAAAACGTTCCATCTACATGATAGAGAAAAAGTTTAAATTTCGATCCTTTGATGATAAAAATTATATTTGAGCATATGAATAAAACCAAACCTAAGTGGATGCATAAAACATGATTCACAAGGGCAACTGCAGCAACTCACAACACTTGGTTCAATCGACTCCTTAGGAGTAGGAAAAATATGCTCCTAACCAGCTAGAAGAACATGAGTAAGTCACATACGTAAGGAATCCATTTAACTCAGGGGACCCATCAAAAACCACAAATACAAGTTGAGGAGAACATAGTTTCAAGCGAAATTGTGCTGCTGTTGTCCCCTTCAGTGATAACAAAGGGTTTACAAAAAAGACATTGCAAGGTTTCAATGCTTTGTACGGCGTGCAGGTGAAAAAAAGATAGCTGTATCTTCTATAGCCAAAGCATAAACGTACCTAACCATTGTATTACAATTTTAAGTCGCTTCGAACAACTTTTAGTGATCATTTGTTTGAATTGGAACAGAATTCAAATAGAGCAATTGTGTAAATGACCTACATAACTATAACAAATTCCAAGATTTCGATAGACATTATAACATGGAAAGACAATGAATGGATCCATAACAGACTCCCTCGCATCATCAAGCAAGTTAGCGTTTACAAATAAGCTTTAGACCCTTAAGTTCAAAGTGACCTCGAAAATATGTACGCCTAAAATGTTGGCAAGCACATTTCTCAGTCATGATCCATGAATAGATGGTACAGAATTCCAAGCCACCTCGTAGCAACTTCGTGGATGCAGCAGAGTAATGATTTCAGAAAAACTACACCTGTAGATTCTCCATGGAACACATCAAAGTACCGAGCCTTTGGATCCTCAGTCATCTCCCACAATAGGTTTTCCAAAAATAAGCTCCGAGGAAGAATGCAAAAAAGCAAAGTCTTGAAAAATAAAAACTGCTAGAAGATATAACAGTCCACGAGGAGAGAGAAAGAGAGAGAGAGAGAACACTCAAAAAAACAAAAGAGAGGAGATGGGGGGGAATGAACCTTATTGCCTCATATGGTATATTCACATAATGTCTGCAGTCACATCTTTCACTATCTTCATAAAAGCTCATATGCAGTTTCCACAAGAATTTTCTCTAATATGATTATGCAAACTCAAGATTTAAATGTCATTTTCAACCAAAGTACTTGATTGCTTCTTATCTGTAGCTTTAATCTCCATGATTTGTTTTCCCTAGTTCCTTACTTGGATGGAATCCTCCAGGGGTTTCCCTCACCAATGATGGATAAAAGGGACAAAGAAAACGTAATACCCCCCCTCTCCTCAGCCTGATCCTTCACAGAATTGACAAGTTCTGTGTGCATGTCCTCCAGCTGGTATATAGATCCCCATTACGTTTTGGTTCAAAAATTATAAACCAAACTATAGAAAGCTCGGAGTACACAACAAACAATTTTGTAGAAAACTTTGATAAAAAATGGATAGTATGATGGGTTGTGAACAATGAGAATAAGATAATCTAGTTATTCATTACTTATTTGAGCAAGTATAAACCGTACAAACCACTTAACAGGGATCATTTGCAATTATCTTTACAATGAGAGAACATTAGCGGGTACTCGCAATATGTACATAAGAAATTTTACTCAAAAAGTACATACTATAGAATCATTCAACATTAAGACACAACATTCATTTATGAAACTCAAGTTAAAAGATTTTTAGTAGAAGACAAATAAATCAGTATCCGAAGACATTATGGGAAGGCAGTTACCAAACTAACTAGACTAAAGAATTAAGCGGGTAAAAAAAGCACATGACATCACATCAGCCAACTCGAGAATATCATGTGCTTACCTTTCATGACCTGAAAAACCTTGTTATTCAGATAGATCAACATGTTTCCTCTCCCAGAAAACAAACTTTTTGGTGTCTTCACCAAATCATTTATGTAGGTTGCTGACTCCTTGGACAACTGTATGCAGCGAAAAGTATAATCAGTGACGTTCTAGAAGGCGTTCTCGCCGCAACATAAATAATGTTAACACGAAAAACAACATATAACTAAAAACATACTTTACAAAGTTCAATCATTTGTGACTACGGACGAGAAAGAGCTAAAACAGACCCTAAATCTTGTTGACAACTTAGATAAGCGAAAGTTTGAAGGAAGATAAAACAATAAGGTTGTACTAATGCATGAATACCAAACGATTAAGATGTTCATAGCACTGTAGCAACGTAGACAGTAAGGCGGTAATGGAACTAAAAGATAGAAAAAGGCATTTGTATTCATGCAAGGAGTTCAATTTTGAGCGCAACAAGGGTAAGAGTTCTACATGGCACAAGGGCAACCGTAATGTAAGTAGTTTTCATAAAGCATTGGAAAAAACAAAGGAAGTTATGCTAATGATATTTACATATGATAGTTTACACAAAAGAAATCTAAGAATCAGAGAAGACTTGTGTGGCATAACTATAATACCGAAACGTCACAAAATGAGGAAAGTTTACAAATAAAAAAAAAGAATTTTAACAAGACAACATTCGTGTGAATGAGCCTGCCATTAAAAATAAGATATACTAATGCTAGTCATTCCAACCCAGTTGGATTGACAAAATCAGCTGATCTGAGGGAAAAGCCCAATTGGGGTGAAAGGAAATAAAACAAAAAGATCGCTCTCATAATTAATAAAGTACACAGAAAAAGTACTATAGTCAAAGAGAACGCAACTAAAGTAAAAATTAGGAGGGAGCCGTGCAACAGTCGGAGGTTGAGCAGCGCAACAGTGAAAGATGGAAGGAAGACAACCCACAGCGACCAGAGACCAGCACTTTTATTCCTCTTCCAACTTCTTCCTCAATTTCTACGTCAGTCCTCATTTTCCTCTGCCTTCTTCAGGCAAGAGCTAAAAAATCAACTTCTGCTGGGTCACAGCTGATCCAAGTCATACTTACTCAAGTCCTAGTTGGGGTTTTTATTTTCCACTTCATGGAGAGGGTTTACTACTCCCCCAAACCTCAGATTAAGATATATGACTGTTTTGGATCAGAATCAGAGTGCTGCAGAGAATGCATGATCTCCAACAATAAAAAGATTTTCGACATATCAAGGGTATCATGGTCATTGGTGGATGAACAAAGTGATTTGCCAAAACCCCCATGTATCCCTCATCATTTTGGCTAGAGACAATTCCAGCACACTATTTGCTTCATGACACACATATATTGAACATCAAATACCATAAGGTAGTTCAAGAACAGAACGTAAAATATATCAAATCCCACCTTATCCCACATAGACTGTGGCATTGCAATGAAGAGTGTCAGAATGGTACATCCAGGACGTATATACCCCTCCAACTCTACAGGCATGCTTGACAACCATTGAAAGATCTAAAAATTTGGAGTAAAAAATAACCCGTCAGTAAAGAACCAGAAGCATCAGTTAAAATACAAAATTCCTTGCAAATACTAAACTGCATTTATAAACTTATAAATGTACTTGATGTCGGAGCCGTCTTGGGAATTCAGCAGGATTCCAGTCATATAGCTTGAATGATACACGACCTGTTGGGTACTGCAATCACGTAATATAACATATTCTCCTAGTTAGAGAAAGCATGACCTGAATTGAGACAGGAAAGGAAATTACAGAAGTCAAGATAGTGTACACCTACCATGGATGAATAATTACTCTTATTTTCACAAAATGATGAAGAAATAGTGGACTTGGTTTTCTCGATTTTTTCTTCTGTTTGAGTTTCATCAGAAGCCACAAAAGATGCAGTGTTATTACTCTGAATAGTATGGAAACTAGGAACAGAAAGACCGGGAGAAGTATCTCTGTCTTCAGGTTCCAATGATGTATCGGTTCCAACAGTTTTGTTGATCACAAAAAGACCATTCAAACCACCAGAAATTCCATTTGACAATTCGCTATCAACTGCAAAGAGAACAAAACAATTATTTTCCATATATATGGATCATGATCTAGTACAAAAAAAGAGATTAATTTAGGATACATATTTTTTAAACGTTTGTTTGAGAAAAAACTATGAGGAGAAAAGATGGAGGTTCTTAACACTGACTGAAATCTAGGTGCAACAAAGGAATTCAAGGAGCTGAGAGATTTCTGGATCACACAATAAAGAGCATTGATAATTGAGCTTTTCTAATGATTGTTGTAATCACTGACTCAAGGAAGCCAGGGATCGGATCGTTATGATTGTGCATGCTTTATCAAAAATCTTAGGAGTCAATGAATGCTTTGCTTTTAATGAAGCTTCTTAATGCATCAGTCTTGGGTGAGGCAGGAAGTCTTTCTAATTTCCGTATATAGAGCATGAGGTGCTGTTTGTGAGTCTTTACATATTCTCCTTCATCCCCGATTTACTCATTTACCTTTAGTATAGGATTCCAGCCTTTCAAAAAGAGATCCTTTTTTCGTTTCTCCAAAGCACACGACCTATTGTATGGAACACAATAAAAAAAATTATTCTAAGGTCAGGGAAATTTCTACCCGATGACTTATGTGCTTCAAGTGAGTGGACAGAACTTCTTTATGAAACTGAAAATACTGTCCAATACTAGATAATCAGAGAGACAATCTTCAAGAACCATTGTACATTGCATGAAACTTGTTGATCGACCCAGATTCTTCTATCCTAGAAACACAAATCATGTAAAGCTCACCCAATTATCATGTTGTTGATAAATGCTAATCAATAAGAGAAACTTCTTCAAATATTTTGATTACAAACTCATCACACTCTCTAATTTCGTTACAATGGAATAGGCGAATTAGTTGAATTCTCCATCTTAGTGGCTTTCCTGTGGCCATAATTACATTCGTATCATTATCTGTCGAGATATGTGTCACATTACTTCTAGCTTTGGAGCCTTTTTGGAGTTTTAGTGAAGTCCGACGAATTCACTCAGCATTCAGTTTTGCCAATAAGCTTTTCAGATAAAACGTCAAATGACCACGAAATGCCTAAAAATCTTGTAGCGGCAGCAAGAAATCATCCATAACCATGTAACTCTGCTCCCAATCGACTGAAGAGTCAATGGTCTATTTCCTATAAAAGCCACTTTTTTAGAAGGTAATACCAATACCCTCAACAGTCTATAACATAAGACCATGACATCTCTTCCCACAAAGTCTGCTTTCAATCATCTATAACAAAACACCTCTTAGTATCGTCTCCCTTGAAGTAGAGCCTAGTCATTCTTCTCTTTGGCATAATGCATGGAGTATCGAAAAGAGAGGGGGAAGAGTCACACGATTAATTGCCAGGGGAGTAACCCTCTAAGCAGTTAACTTTTGAAAGAATGTCATATAGTGTCACGACCCCCCATGAAGCAATCCGCCAACACAAAAAGTCCCTTGAAGTTTGCAATAATGCAGATAATAAAGAATGCAAATCCCATGATAAAATCGGAACTTTCAATTCTCTTCATGTCGTTGACCAAAGATCTGATGAAGCCTTTCCTATAGGAAGCTAAGAAATAGGGTGGCAACATCAAGCATTCATTAGTAAAAGTGGAAACAATTCAAAGGTAAAGAGGAGAGAGGAAGTAACAGTAACAACCTTAACATTACCTTCATGACACTTGCAAAAAATAGTTTATGCATGTCACTTACAAAAAATTGCAGACTCCAATAATGTAGAATGCATAAATGATGAAACCTAATTAATGGTAGCCTAAATCGAGTAAAAGTAGTACATGAACCACGCATGGAAATTATTAAAAACACTTCCTTTAGACATGTAAATACAAATTAGGAAGATAACTTAGATAAACTAACTAAAGAAAGGGTAGAATAAAATGCCAAACTGAGTGATCCAAAAGCAACTGCACTTCTAATTGAATTCACTGCCTGAAAATGCCTGAACTTAATATGCCTTTTCAAATTTTATGTGACATGGCCAAATTCATTACATAAAACTAGAAGAATTTACAGGTGTTTTCAGGATTTTCTACGGTGCATTTGTTCCATTTCTGTGTTCCTCAACAAGGAGAATAAAAAAAACAGCATATAATGAAACACGATTTTGGACAACCTCAATCGACTCTCACCGTTTGTTGGTTCATCTTCACAAGCAACATCTGATAGAACGCTGACTAGAGGCTCCTTTTCATTTTCCGCCAAACTGTTGTGATCAACTGATCTCCTTCTCCTCCTTCTGTTATGCCGTTCTAGTTTTCTTCTACAACTACGTTTACCTTCGTCAAAGTCAGGCAGTACATGAAACCTGGAAGTTAGTAACGAAATGTTATTCTCTGGGTTTACCCAAGATGAAATGCTGCATTGACGAAAGATGATCCTGATCAATTTTCTTTTTCCCAAAAAAATCACGAAAAGGTAGCAAATTGAGAAGATGATGAAATATAAGAGATACATCACATAGGAATAAATAACAATAAGCTAAATTTCAACAATCCACTAGTTAGTGTCTCCAAAATAACATACGAGTTTACTACGCATAGAAGTCGATATTCCTTCTTTCAGGTTTGAAGGCAAACAGCACAGCAATTCATTAACATAAAATGCACAGAGCATATAAGTTATGAAGCCCAGCAGTTTTGAGCTGAATTCTCCGGGGATGGCTAACAAAGAAGTCTACCGGTAATTAACAGTTTAGGTTTGCCTTTCAATTTTGCCAGCTATCTTGGGTGTTTAAGCACAATTGCGTATCTAATTTTCCATTTTTGATTTCCCAACATCGGTGATAGTTCAGATGAATCGACAAAATTCAACTTCCCCTCTTTTCTTTCAAATTAATCGCAGTGCAAGGAAAGTAAATTGTACTGCCGCCATAATTGAAGAAAAGTGACGCTGTTTAGAAAAAAGAAAAATAACCCTTACTTGCCACACTGTTGGCAGTAGCGCTTGAGCTCGCCGTCCAAAAGCACCGACGATGCATTCGCACATCTTAGGCATACCCGGTGACGGCGGTGGTAGCCTTTAAGCTCTCTAATATCAGCTCCGCACCCGGGAACCTGGCACCGTGCGACACCCGTCGTCCCCCCTGTCCTCACCTTTTTCCTCCCTGCACCAGCGACAGCCCTCGCTGCCTGCTCCTCCTCCTCTTCCGCCTTGCGATCAAGCTCTGGACAAGCGCAGGGGACTCTACCCGCGAGGAAATTCTCGCACGCCAGCCTCGGATCTCGTTTCCGAACACGACTCGGGCCACCTGCGCTGGTCCTCGCCTCCCCCGCAGTCGTACTCGTCTGGATCGAAGACCCCGGCGACGACTCCTGGAATGGCTCATGAGGAATCGGCGCTGAGGGAGGCGACGAAGCCTGAAGGTCCCCGTCCTCCCGCTCCCACGATGCCATAAACGGCTCTTCAGCTTCTATGGTGAAGTCCAGCAGGTTCCCCCAATCCCAGATCCCCGCAGCCTCGTCCACGGGCCCGTCCCCAGAATCAGGTAGCTCCTCCATCGCCGGCGACCTCACCCCGGGATCAGGAGTAGACATAGACGACGGAGCGGCCGTGGATACCGCCGGCAGCAACGGAGACCTCTCCGTTCCCCACCACGCCCGAATTCCCTCTGTCAGCTGCGGCAGCTTGGGGGAGGGGGAGGACAGAGGTTGGGGCTAAGAAAGAGGGGAAGAATGGAAGCGAATGGCGGTAGGCGATTAGCGGTAACCGGACGCGACGGGGACCCGCCTCCCTCATGTGGACCCCCACTGACTTGTCAAAATCTACCGGGATGTCGACATAGCTCCGACAATAAAACTAATTTTTAAAGCCCCAAATTATTTAATTAAAATAGGCTAAAAACACGAGGCAAGTCCTGCCAGTGAGATTTTCGCCTAATTATCTTCTTATTTCCCGTTTATGCAGGTGACGAGTCAGGATGTCGCCATGGAAGTGGGCCCCGCTATCCACACCCGGAGGGCTGGCCGTCCTGTGCGCTGACCGCAGGCACTCAGCACGGTTTCCGTAGTTCTGGGGAGGTTTTATTTACAAATTACCACTTCCCCAAAGAGATTCATGCACCTCCCCCCGCCGTCACGCGTGCTGAGAGGACTACCCTCGTGAACATTTTCTATAAGGGAAAAGGGGGATTAAAATAATCGTAAGAAAGCTCGTCTAGTGTCGTCCTGAATCTTCGCTATCACGCGGTTCCTGGAGACTGAGACAACAAAAACTAAAGGGTCTTCCTATTAATAGGTTTGATTCTTGAGGGTCTAAGAATAATTAACGCACGACAATACGTGTACTGACCGTGCATCTATCCAGCACTTTTCCCCACCAGCCCCTCATAATAGACCGAAATGACCGACATATCCTTTCACTCTTATATATTTTCAGACCGAGAGATAGGATAATCTTGTCTATTCAATTGCCAGCGCGTTAGACCAATAATGGGGTAAACTAAGAGCTTCCCTTTCGTCACCTCCTCATCCTTGTGGCAAGATATTCAACTATTTAATAAATAAATTAATACCCCATTTAAAAGGGACGGGTCTTCTTGGAAGCTGTGACTTTTGGCCGTGCGAACTCTCTGCCCCATTTGCCGCATTTCGGGGTCAAACCTCTCTCTCTCTCTCTCTCATAGAAAACGCTATAAATTTCACCATTTTTTCTCTAAATATATAGATAGCCATTTTTATTTATTTATTTTCTTCGATCAGACAATGTTGTTGTTGGGAAGGATAACGAAGGTAAGGCTTAGGTCTTAGAAATACCATATTTATGATAAATTACTGTGGATTAAACATTCTTATCATTATCCATGTAACTTATTTTTTCGAGATATATTAGGCTATTAAACCTCGAAATAAATAGTAACTTACGCTTGGGTGAATCATTAGATATTAGCTATAATTTCCGAGGGGCTAGCTATTATTAATTTTGGTGAATTATTTGATGCTGTAAAATTTGAGGACATTAGAATATTACAAAAACAACCACTAAGAACGAAATTTTTAAAAATTCTAAGTAAAAGATTTTATCGGCCGGTTATTATTTTAAATAATAATTTAAATTGGGTAAAAACAAAATTGCCGTAGTTGAGGTACATATTCAAATTATTATTTATGCACGGAGCGACGTGCCGAAAATTGAGTTAAACAAGGCAACGTGGCGTTTGATTCGGGAACGTTCTTCCACGTGCCATACATCTGGAGGCATCCTCCTGAAGCCCGTCGGAGGCCCAACTTCAGCCGTTGGATTGATTGGTGGTTTTGCCACGTCATCGATCCGGGTATCAAAAACTGCACCAATTAGAAGTGAGAATCTCTCCTTTATATAGAGAAGGCGAACTCTAGACTCCTTGTTTGGTATTTTCGCGGGGTTCTGCTCTCTGCAACTTCTTCGCCCGGGGAAAGTTCAGAGAGGGCAGGATGAGCACCACAGGCACGACGAAGGGCGGCCGGGGCAAGCCGAAGGCCTCTAAGGCTGTTTCCCGGTCGCATAAGGCCGGCCTCCAGTTCCCTGTCGGCAGGATCGCCCGCTTCCTCAAGGCGGGAAAGTACGCCGAGCGCGTTGGTGCGGGCGCCCCTGTCTACCTCTCCGCTGTTCTTGAATACCTCGCAGCAGAGGTGAGACCTGATCGTGCTCAGGATTTGTTCCCCTGTCCCTCCGTTCTCCATGCGGGATCGCTTCATTCAGGCTTGCTGCTCTGCGCAGGTTCTCGAGCTCGCAGGGAACGCGGCGAGGGACAATAAGAAGAACAGGATCGTGCCGAGGCACATCCAGCTGGCGGTGAGGAATGACGAGGAGTTGAGCAAGCTGCTTGGGGCAGTGACCATCGCGAACGGCGGCGTGCTCCCCAACATTCATCAGACGCTCCTCCCGAAGAAGACGGGGAAGGGGAAGGGGGAAATCGGATCTGTCTCCCAGGAATTCTAGGTTCTCCCTTCCGTCAACTTTCTCTATCCTGATGTTTTGCCCGGCCGCACTGTAAATTCGGCGAATCTGATGCCGCATCCTTTCGCGTAATGAATACTCCCCATTGATCTCAGGTTTCCCCCTGTCCCATCTGATTTTTTGAATCCGTAAAAGGCGGGAAACACCTTCCGTTCCTTCCCGCTCTCCGAATCATTTTTTCTCGCCGCTGTTATGCTTCTATACAAGGGATGTTTATGCTTCTATATTTTCACAGCGCAATAAAGTAAGGATGTACGGTTGGATTTACCGAATACCCATTAGTTCTCCTCGACATGGCTCTGCAAAATCTATACAGGGGATATGTACTCTCTTGTTTTCTCAGACCCAGCTTTCTCTGCTCGATGAGAATGTGGGGAGTATTGCTGTGTGATCTGGTCGCCCTCGTCGTCGCTCGCAGAATCCTCTGATGCGGTCGCACGCGTCTTCCAGTGTAGTTGTTGAAACCCCGAAGAATATCCTGATCCAGTTCTTCAGGCCGACCACGGATCCTAGAAGATGTTGATGCAGGTCGTTAATGGGTCGTCAACAAGGCAGCGGTTTGCGGATATACTTGCTCGGAAAATCAATGCCGGCATTATAAAAGATTGCATTCTTTCTGGATGTGCGGTAAATTAATGCTGGTATTGTAGTCAACGCATAACAAATTGTAGCTTGTCATTACCTGGCAGAACCAGTATCGATTCTTCCCTCATCAGTTCCCTAGCGAAGTCCATGTCGTCTCCTATGCCAGGGAGGAGCCTCGCGTTGACCTCAACCTGCAGAACCAGACGAGCATCTAGTTACATCGTACAATCTAATATAATAAGGTTAGCCATCCAAATAATAAGGTTTTACCATGGTGAACATGGCTCCCTGCGGCTTGGAGTAGCACTTGAACGCCTCCACCTCCATCATCATCTTGTAGAGGACGTTGCACGACGACTCCAGCTCCCCCAAAACTTGCCGGTGGAACTCCTCACATGAGGGCGACAGCAGAGGGGGAATCGCCGCCTGATATTTCACGCCATCAGAGAGAAATAAGAGAGAGAGAGAAGAGAGAAGGGAGAAGAGAGAAGAGAGAGAGAGAGAGAGAGAGAGGGTACTTGAATGATAGACGTTGGTCCGAGGGAGATGTTCATGAGCCTCTCGATACCCATCTTAACCTATAAAAATCAAGCAAGCGAACGATCAATCGATCGCGATTGAATTGGGCAGGTTCAGGGCGCACCTGGCGGATGAACGTCTGCATCACATGCATGGAGGAGGGCGCACCTGGCGGAGAGCGCCGGAGGGATCGTTGACGGCAATCCATCCGAGCCGCCAGCCGGGGACGAGCCACCGCTTGGAGAGAGCTCCGATGGTGAGGATGGGGGCCACCGCCGAGAAAACCGCCATGGGAACGAACTCGGCCTCCTGGAAGACCATGTGCCCGTAGAGCTCGTCCGCGATGACGGGCAGGTTCAGGGCCCTCGCAGCCTCCGCGATCTACAGACACAGAGAAGCTCGTTTCAAAGGTTTAGGGTTTAGAAGGGGGCGGCGGCGAGGGGTGGTAGGTTGTGGGCTGTACCTGGAGGAGGTGGCGCCGGGAGAAGACGGCGCCGCTGGGATTGTTGGGGTTGATGACGACGAGGGCGGCGGTGCGATCGTCGGCGAGCGCCCTGACGCCGCCGAGGTCCACTTCCCAGGCGCTGCCCGGCAGCAGGTCGTAGTAGCGGGGCTCGATGCCGTGCATGGCGCAGGTTGCCTCGTAGGGCGGGAAGCCAGGCCGCGGCAGCAGTACGTTGCAGCCGCGGGTGGCCAGCGTCGCCAGGCACAGCTGCAGTGCCTGCGTCCCCCCGCAGGTAAGGAAGACGTCGTGCTCCGCCACCGTCGCCGCCGCTCCGCCCCCGGCAGCCGCCGTTCCCCTCGACAGGTAGTCCGCCACGGCCCTGCCGGAAGATCACATCCAGAGAGACAGACCCTCTCAGAACAGCCAAATCTCCGACTCCATTTTTAGCTCGGAGCTCGAATAAAAATCACCCCAACGATCACATCACCAACAAAAACAAAAATTGACGATGCAGAATCAAATTTTCACGTGCGGCGGGAGATCGCCGTTCGAGATTCTTCGGTGGGTTCCATGTGTCGACCTCTTCACCGCATAAAACGCATCCCGACTTAAATCCTACGGGAAATCGGTGGGTGTCAAGTCTCCACGTCAACGGGTTTGGGGGCAGGAGCGTGGTACGACGCCAGGGCCACTCGGACAAGGAGCCCATTCATCGGAATTACTATCTTCAATTATTTCTTGTCTCCTTCGTCAGGGGAGAGCAGCTGGTTTGAAAGCCCGTCTTGTTCTAAATTTAGTGGAATAAAGCTGTTGAAAGACCGGCCAGGCCCAACGACACGCTGTTAATCGTCGGAAAATCGATCCGACTGGGTTAGCCGGGGGTTGCGGTGGGCGGGCGGCGGCGAGCGCAGGTCCCGCCGCAGTGCCGCCCGCCGGCCCCGGCCGTCGGCTGACCTCGGCTTGCAGTCGCAGTCAGCTCGAGCGTAATGCCGAGGAATCGCAGAAAACTGATGAAAAATGAAGCTCGGTTTTCTTCTTGACCGGGATGATGAGGAGTTTACCGGCGAGCGAACGGGTAGCCGCAGGAAGGAGGGTAGCCGTCGAAGTCGCCGGACGAGACGGCCTCTGCGACGTATTTGGAGAAGTCTCGGGCCTTCCGGAAGCAGGCGTGGCTGGAGAGGTCGCCAACGCCGAGAGAGACGATGGGCTTCGCTGGGTTGGCACAGGAGAGCAGCTCCGCCACCACCCCTCTCAACGACATGGTCTGCTCCGACAGGCAGGGATTGCACTTGACGGCCTTGAAATTGCTCGGACCGCCGCCCCTCGGCGGCTTCCCATCGCCGCGAAGGCCGCCGTCGCCCACCGCGCTGGTCACCTGAGATCGGACGGACGGACGGAAGAACAGTAAGAAGAAGGCGGAATCGGCGAGATTACCGCGGAAGAATCAACAAGCCGGACGGGATGGAAGACATGCCTGAGCCGTGGGCGCCATGAAGGGCTGAAATGGAGATAAGAGCGTGGAGAGGCCTGGTTCTTGTGGGCTCTACGCCTCTTGTCGGAGCAGACGAAGAGGTGGAAGAACGTTCCGGCAGAGGGGAAAGCGGAAGACAGCCCAGACCGGGCGAGGCCTCGAGCGATAGTTATAGAGGAGATCCCTCAGCCTCACCGCGACAATGAGACCAAAAAACTCAGAATGGAGGACTAAACGACACTGCTTATTCCTGGATAACTCCATCCCACAAGATCACGATGCCATGTATTTTGATAATTATTTAATAGAGTTTTTATTCGGCGGAGTACCCGATCGGAATTTCAATTAAATAATATTATATAATCAGAGTCGAATAAAATCGGTAACAAACTTAATAAATTCACATTTCATATCTTTACTCAACCGTGCTATAAAAAATAATCACGTAATTATTATTTATAGACTTACCTATTTTATGGGAATTACTTAATTAATCACGAATTTTTATAATTATTCACATTTATTTGTTAGATTCTGTGAACGTTATACTCGAGTGCGATATGAGAATATTATTTTCCGTAATAATAAGCATCCATTACTGTCCTATTAATGCCAATTTTATAACCACTCTTGGTTATTTATCGTCGCTATAATATGGAATTATTCTCGCTTTTAATGAGCGAAAATATGTCGTCACATTTAATATATAATATACGTCCCGAACATGACAATTGCGCGCGTCAGAAGGATATTGGTCAATTTATAATCATCCATATCACCCAAAAAAATATTTATTAAAATGGTAGCCGAGTTATTTTATATTTATTTAAATCTATTTTCTGACATAGACATCGTGATCACGTGGAAATATTATGTATTTATTATTCAAATTCCAATATTGATAGAAAGAACAAAGTAAATTTGTAGGATTTAGTTTTTTCGTAATTTTGGTGTAATAAGCCCGGTTCAAGGAGCGATGGTTCGGGCCGGTTCAGATCCGAGCCGGGTTCCTCTGGAGTGAACCGTATGGCTATAGAAACGCGTGGATTTCTCTCCTCCTACGGTCTCACCACCGTCGACGGCGAGCGTGGGCGGGCTAGGGTTATTTCTGTTGAGCTCCACTGCCGTCGTCGCCTTCCATCTCGATTCTAGGCAGGGGCGTTCTTATCTTGCTTCATCTTGGATATGGGGAGATACCGGAGCCGGAGCAGGAGCTTTAGCCCTAGGCGCATGAGCCGCAGCCCTCCACGCCGGATGCACTACGATGAACCTCAGGACCGGTATCGCGGTGGCAGGGGGTTCCGTGACCGTCGCCCTTCCGGCCCTTCCGGCCTGCTTATTCGGAACCTCCCTCTCGACGCCAGGTTCGAGATGTTTTCACCCCTTCTCTACCGTGCTCTTCGTTCGTGCTCAATGGCTAAATCGCGGTACAAACTTTTACTTCCTCAGGCTTCTGCTTTTTCTTTGGAACGATAGGATTGGATGGGAATCCCTCTAGACGAAATGAAGGAATTAGGAAACTTTTCTACGTTCTTCAAACTGTTTACTCAGTTGTCAAGTCGGAAAAGTCGATCAAAACTCTGGGAGTGAGCGATGTCTTATTGTCCTCCCGCACTCGCTGGTCGTCTTACTGGACCTAAGAGTGTCGTTGGCACGTTTGGCCTGCATGAAAGGCCCTCATTGTAGACTATTCTTTGAAGGTTCCTTATTCCCGCTCTTTTCCCTTTTCACCTTATAGCCGGATAATTTTTCCGGTTTGTTCCTGGCTCATTAAAGCTTTCAGACATGTAAATCGATTTTTTGAGTGGGCCATTCTCTATTAAGGGAAGGACGAGGGACGTTTTCGTTGTTAGAGTCTCATTTGCTTTCAAAATTGCTTCCTTCACTTATTTAAGTCTCATTTATCTCGATCAAAATGGTTTACTAATGAGATAATCTTTGTCAAGAAGCGCTTTAATGTCAGTCGTTAAACACAAGTTAACCATCCGAATTTATGATGGATTGCCGTCAAAAACAGGAGATAGCATTGGGGTTACATGGCTCTATTGAGTTGTGATTTAGATGTGGTAGATCTTGACTGCATTTTTTCATTCCTTGGTCCCCTTTGTTGTTGAGATGAAGACATAGCAACTAGATGTTCATTGTGGTAATTTATTGGATACATTTAATGTATTTTCCAACGCTGAAAGGATAGTTATGATGACTGCTCTTTTATTTAATTTTGCAGACAAGAAGATCTGAGAATTCCATTTGAGCGTTTTGGTCCTGTGAAGGATGTTTATCTTCCAAAAAATTACTACACCGGGTATACTTTGTTTTTTAGACCCCGCTCTTTTTTCTGTGGTTATCCTAGCATCATTGCTTGTAATCACGTGTCCTACGCATTTCTTTCTTTTGTATTTGGATTCATGTTTGTAGACTTCTCCATTGATGAAGAATTTACGAGCATTTTCACACTGTACCGGTTAGGTTGACTATTGTTGTACAAAAATCTAATATTTTGTTAATTGAAATTTCTCTTTCTGTTTCAGGTTTAGTAGTTCCCGTCGCATATATATATATATATATATATATATATATTTCTAGTTGATGGAATTTTTTTATTTACACGAGTAGTATATAGAAGTGTTGTCCCACAATAATGGGACGAACATGACAAAAATAGGGTAAAATTAGGTAACTTTTTAAACAAATTTAGAGTTCTCTGCCTGGTCACGTCAATCTTCCCTGTGTGGCTAATGTTGTTTCTTCCTTGAAAAAAGTTGACGCCATTGAGAGGCTAGGGAAAATTGAAACATTTCAGAAAATTTTCACTTCTTGTCCTTCGCCCAATTCTCCCCTAGCGTTGCTTTTCTTGATGACCTAGTCGTTTTGTCGTTGCTCAGTTGTGTTGCTTGTCACAGTGCCAAGTGCTGATTAGTCGGGGCCACATCATAATCTTGGGAAATCTGTATATGCGTTGTTAGTTGTTATGAATTTTTTTCTTCATTGTTGTACCTTCAGCAGGATTGTCCTGCTGCACTATGTGTGCTCCCATCTTTCATGCTCATGACGACTATTACGCATTCTGTTGAGGTGCGGCAAATAGAATTACAAAATTACCAAATTACTCCTGCCTTATACCTCATTATCCTCCCTTGAGATATGGGATGTTCTTATACATTTATGGCTTTGTGGTGATTACAAGTTACCTTTGGAATGTTATGTCTTCACGAGTGTTTTTGCCGATTCTTTGCTAAAATGGGTGATTTAGGAAGTTTCTTGTTTCATTTTCCCCCTTTTATTAATATAATTATCGTTCTCACTATTGTTTCCATTACTTTCCCCTTATTACTTTTTTAATATTTGTGCCAAATTCTTCTTATAACGTCAGATGTTTGAATGTTTTCCCTGTAGGGAACCTAGAGGTTTCGGATTTGTCAAATTCCGCAACCCAGAAGATGCAGCTGAGGCAAAACAACAGATGAATCATAAGGTTATAGGTGGTCGTGAGATTAGAATAGTTTTTGCTGAAGAAAACAGGAAAACCCCACAAGAAATGCGCAAGAATACACGTGTTAGGTATGGCCCTTTTACATTTTGTCAGCAGTGCCTTTTTGTTTCGGTATCTTGTTTTGTGGAAGGAGTGTTTTCCTTTATTTTGTTATGTTTCTTGATGCCGCTGAATCCTTGCTGATGCCGTTTCCTTGAAAAATTTTCAGTGTCAGAAACCCTGGAGGAAGGAGGCTTTCACCAACGAGATCTCCTAGGCGTCAATATCGCTGTCGGTACCTTTATGTCACCTTTTTTCTGTTCTCATGTCATTACGCTGCATTGAATCTATTTTTCTCAAATGAATGCTCACATTTTATTTCTGTCTTTGCAGCTTATTCGTATTCTCCTCCCCCATCGGGGCATGACTCAAGGTCTGTGTTCCTTCATTTGTTTTTTCTTCATTCACAATTTTCGGAGTGCATGGTTAGGTCATTATTGAGCCTTTATTATAGGTTATGAAATGGGAATGGCTTGCCCGAGTTTCTAGAAAAGTCGTAGGCCAGTGTGAGGGAAAAAACGATTGTTCGTGTACCTTGTTATGTTTTTACTTTTATTTCTCCGATTTTTCTGGTTGTTTAGACTTAGGAATATGTTCACGATTTAATTAAAGAATTGCTGACCAAATACTGGATATTTATACCTGGCTTGGTGCATCGTTTTTTACTCAATCGGGATTTTCCACGGGAACAGCTGCACAAGTGACTACTTTTCACGATGATGGCTCCCGTGCCTTGAATGACGGCGGGTCGAATCTAGATAGAGCTGGAGTTTTTAAAAACTATGGCTGAGTAGAATTTTAAAACATTTATTATTGGAGGAATAGTCAGTCAGTGGCATAGTTTCCTCGAAAATCCTTTTTTTCCTATGGATTTCGCCGATGTTTGTTTTCCTTTGGCTATCTTACTCCATCATGGCTTCCATTTTTTATTATCATGCACCTTATAACGGGAAAATTATTTACATGGTCATTACTCGGTGTATCCTTAATGTATTGCTGGTGGTTTTCTGTAATTTTTTTTGACATTCAAGGAGAGCGTCATTATTAGGGAGTTGAATATTTTTGATAAGATTGTACCTATTTCTTAATTTCTCAACCTTTACCTCTTTGAGATGAAATGAAGCACATGCATGCATGTGGGCATGCATCCGTGCATCGTGTACACTGACTGGTATAGAATAATCAACTTTAGAGGTCAACATACTCGACGTGAAATTTTCATCTGATTATTTGGTAGTCTTTGGCAATCTGATTTCAAAACCAATAAGTGTTACAAAATGTTATTATCTCTAAATTGCAGTTTCCATGTGATAATGATAATGCTTTATGGTTTATTGAAATATAATTTATTTTCTTGTTTGTGTTGATATTTGTCATGATGATTTGCCATTACAATGCCCTTATCTATTATTGCACGACACATGTACGATGATTTTAGGGTGATCTACACTCGTGTCGTGTTTCAAATATCACTTGCGCCCATTTTCTCACATAATTTCCTTTTTTTCGCCGTCGGTTATCTTTTTGACATTTTTGTTTATGTTTGCTTTCTTCTTGAGGCATGCTAAAAGACACTTGGTTCACCTTGAGCTAGCTTTTTGTTGCCCATAATATTTTTTTTGTGGGTTTGTCTTGTTCTCAGGATCTTTGTAGGAGATTCCAGTGAATCTGAATAACATGTTCTGATCTTGCTCATGCAGATGGTTAAAGTGAAAGAGATTCTAAACAAACTGTGGATTTTTTAAAGTTTAAAGACTAAAGAGAAGAGACTCAAAAGTTACTGATTACTTGCTTGTTCATTTTCAAAGCCAATCGAGAAGTCTTCATTATTGATCATCAACATCAACCATTACTTTATTATGATGTGGTTTGTGAGGCTCGTTATATTTTCACATTAGCGTATAATTTTTTTTTTCCCTATTTCCTGATTCAAACATTGATATATTGGTTCTGTATACGATCCAGTTAAGAAAGAATCTAGAGCCTATATATGCCAAAAGAGAGTATTATGGGATCCGGCTAATTGGAGACGATCAGAGCCTTCACTGCTAATGATAGAGTGGATGATCCCTCCTCAATGTGTTCATTCTTTTCTTGAAAGTAAAGATAAGTGGGGGTTTAAAAAGATGGGGCGTGAAGTTTCCAGATGCTGTTCAAGCACGTACACCATATTAGTACTCAAAAGTTTTCGACCAAAGTTTCATAATTTTGTTCAGGAAACTGTGAAACAGAGCAGGTAAAGATCATGTTTTTTAAATATTCATTTACCAGTGAAAGGGTTTTATGATTGCTGAGACGGACGAGCCCTTGCTAGCGTTCATCTCCCTCCTCTTTCAAGCTGTTTTCATTGCTTTCTTCTTCTCTATGCTTTTGCGGTCAGTCTGCTGTTGAATCTCTTGCCCTCCTATTAATTTCTGCCATTCGAGATCGTCAACCCTAAACCCCTCCTCCTCCGTTTGTCAATCTGATGACTCGCGGATTATTGATCTCCATCTATCATCTTTTTCCTTCAGCCTTTAGCCTCCTTGTATCTGAAATAATCTGCTGTGGTGATTTGATTTTGTGTGAGCAGGAATCGGGGCCGGGGTGGCGAAGATGATTACTATTCTCCCCAGAGATCCCCCTCCGGATCCCCCAGCGACAGGGGGTACAGACCCCACCGCCGATCGCCCGTTCGCGAGAGGGGCAGCCGTAGCCCTCTGAGGTCTCATTCGAGCAGGTAAGCAGCAAGCAAGCAAGGCTTCATTATGAGTCTCTTCTCTCTCTGGTTCCATCGTCCTTGTCCTCACATCTCTGTTTGTTGCTGCAGCCCTCGGTGAAGGCGCTTTTCAGAATGGGGGAATCTACTCCGGGCCAACCAGGGAGGGAGGGATGTTGGGAGGGGGTTGATGTTGTGAATGAAAAAGCTATTTATTGAGGACCTTCCGTTCCCAACAACACTGAAAACCATGGCTGTAGAACTCTTAAGCATTAGTCCAAGGATGTTTTGTCTCAGTGTTTCTGTCACTTTCATATCGATTCCAGAGCTTAGAATGCCGTGTTCTTGTATTATAATCATATTAATAATTATTATTATTTCACTTACAGTTATATTTATGGTCGTGATCTGTAAAACCGGAGTTTAGATCATGTTCTGGAAATGGGTAATTTCTTCTATTTAATTTAAGTATGATGGCTTAGAACTGATCTGTGCTATCAGATGAATTTTTGGCTCTGGGGTCATTTTTCCTGCACTTGGTGGGTTGGGCTTACTTCGTTGGGTCTCTGGAAAGAGAGATAAGCAATCTTCTGTCATAAAGGCTTTCTCAACATGTGATTACGGGTGTTGACCTTAATAGGATTCCAGATTCCTACCAAATTTGGAAAAAAAAGGAGCCAAGTGGGGCGCGAGCTTTGACCTCACCATTTGAGTGCCTGTAGGAGGAACTGCTTAAGAAACTGCCCGACACGGCTGACTTTAAAAAAAAAGAAAAGAAAATTGACCTGAGGTTATCCCACCCTTTCGGCGCTCATCGTTTGACGGTGCATACAGTCGGGTATGGTGATTATCGACTTTATTTGATTTTATTTCGTGCATATTCTTGGAAAAATTGTCGTCTTGATGTGGGCAAATCCTCTTGAAGTGGCAAGTTCCTCCTGCTTCAGCGAAGTGGAGAAACGCCGAGCTCGACAGTGTCGAGCTCGGGAGAGAGTGGGAGATGGCGGTTCCTCTCTTCAACCTTGCTCCCGGCCTGAACGTCTCCAGGCTCTCCCTCGGTACGATACCCACGCGTACTAATCTGGTCGCCCGCCTGCATCTCTGTTCCATTGATTGATCTTCCATTGATCGGGGTGCGAAGAGAAGTCGTCGCTAAGACGTCGTGCACGCGTTCTGTGTTCTCTACTAGAATGGCTCTGTTCCTTCTGCTAACGCTGCCCTTCGCCGCCGCCTATTGTAGGGACCATGACGTTTGGCGAACAGAACTCGCTGCAGCAGTCGTTCCGACTGCTCGATGAGGCATACGGTGCCGGAGTCAACTTCATCGACACGGCGGAAATGTACTCATTCCGCATTGTTTCGTACCTAAGATTGCGCTTTCTTCCTTTTTCATCCGGAGCGCTGGTGTTCGGATTGGTGAACCGTTCCGTTCTTGGTTGTTTCTTCAGGTACCCAGTTCCCCAGCGCAGAGCCACTCAAGGGAGGAGCGAGAAGTACATCGGGCGCTGGCTGAAAGAGAGAAAGGTGCCAAGAGACCGTGTCGTACTGGCGACCAAGGTCGGTTGTTGCCTGTCTCTAGGGTGTTCAAGCGTGGTTCATCTAAGAAAAGCCGTTGTTAATCATCATACGGGATTATCAACTTGAACTTTGGTTTCTCCTGCATGATAATTTGCAAACGTTGCAGCCAATTTTTCTTTCACTCTCTGACGTCTATGATTTTTCCCTTTTCATGTGGGCTAGCCATTGAGCGGGGGTTAGTTGGGATCAAGCGTAGGTTGAAATCCGGGTGCTTTACGCAACCTTAAAGTGCTGGATTCACATTGAAATCCTGGATACGACTGTTCGTCTATGACCATCTGCTTTGTTCTTCTCCTGTCACAGCGAAAACTCTCACTTGTAGTAAACCCAATTCACTGATGCCATGGAAGATAGATATAATGCTGTTTCTAGGTAAGAGGTGATCTCCAGTCATTGGATAGCTTGATCAGCTGAAGGCTCCAATATCTCAAACATATTAGGATTGGCTGAGGTGTGCATCACATATTTTGAAAGCGGGTACATTACTTTTATAAAATTTCTATAATTAAACTCGTAAAAAATTTGGAATTGACTGGGTCCCAGTCATGTTTTATCTTTCTCTGCCTAGATACAATACAGAGTCTGTCGATGATGAAAGGGATGGCATCATTTTGGTGCTTTTTTTAGGGCACAGATTAACTGCAGAAAGTATTTTGAATCTTCAAGGGTGATACATGTATACTGGGGACTTCTAGTTCAGAAATCCGTGCCTTTTGGTTCTCTTGGAAGCCCCTTTCTTTTTCTATTTTTTGGTGTTCGATCTTTACCTTCTTGTTTATATTCTTTTTAAAAAGATGACAGCTGAGTGTTGCGTCATGTGCATGTTGATCTGTTGGTAGGGGGGGAAAACGACAATTTACTCCAGTGGAGAAGAAAAACGTGTGAAGAACTGAGCTTTGCTGTGTCACAAACTGGTAAATTTCATGGGCAATAGGTTTTTGCTCGGCTTTCATTAATTTTAAAAGGGGTTCGAGATATTTACCATAGACATTTGAGCGCAACTAGTGAAAAACTGAGCTTTCGTGTGATACATTGAGCTGGATTTCGTGGACTCAGAACCTGAAAGACAGATGAATGAGTGAGAATAGTCTGTCCAATCCTGTTCAGGGCGAGCCAGAACTAGTAGTAACATGGGCCATCCCATTCAAGTCCAGTTATCTCTTTCTGAATTTCCATAATTATTTCAACAGATCCGTCTAATATCACTGGATGATCCCATGGTGGCAGGGGAAAAAAAAAAAATTACGATTTTTTTTTTGGACTAAAGTTTCATGATATGTAACCCCTCCACGCCAAACGAAATAAGAACACAGGCGTTTTGTATTTACTGTCCTGTTGGAAATATTGTATTGCAGAGGCAATTCCGTGGGGTCATGTATCTGGTGCATTAAATCTATTTTCCTGACTTTATACAATGCTTCATCCATACAGATTACAGGACCATCAGGCGAAATGACTTGGATACGTGGTGGACCAGTATGTTTGGATGCGAAGAACATATTGGAGGCTATTGATAGCAGGTCTTGGTTTTTCTACTGAGTATTTTTATGTTCTTCTCAAAATGAAAATCTGTGCTTGTTCATCTCTCTCGATCAAAATTGGTGCATCCATAATTTTATGCGTTAATTAACTGAGTCATCAAAGTTCTGACTTGTGAAACCGGTATCTTCCAAGGTTTTCCTTTCCAATTTATTGATTCCCAAATCTTCTGTGGTCCCTTTTTTTTTATCACACAATGTCTGTATTGATGTGACACGCAAGTCACGACCGTTTCATGATGATTGATGTTTTTTTGGGCTTTGTTAAAACTCTGGAGATACACAAGACTACAGACTGTTTGTAGATAGTTGAGGTGAACGTGCATTCATGAATCCTAAAGGTGACTAATGCTATTGTCTGAATAAAGACAGGAATATTCCCCTTAAGAGCTCTAGAATCCTCTTCTTTGTTTTGCACGGAGCTCAGTTTTTGATAGCTTCAAACGGTCAATAGATTATGTCCCTTGCTCAATGCTTGGAGAGTGGTGCTGAGGGTCCTCTTTGTTTTATTGATCTTTGGATGATATTTTTCTTTTATTCGTTTGAAAATACCTCTCTTCTTTTCTGGGGTTATCTAATTTTTTTACTTAAGGGAAAAAATGACGGTTCATTCTCAGAACATTATGCAGATCATTTATGGGGAAGTCTTGGTTTTACATCCTTAAATATCTGTTGGAGCATCAGTGCTATGCTTGTCCATGGGCTACTACTGACTTTCCAGGGATATCTTCAACGTATCCCTTCGATCCTTTGACTTTTTTTTTCCCCTTAAAGTCAATTTTTCTTTTTAACTTTATCCAAAGGAGTGTTCATGCATTGTTCATTATTTGGCCCCTAAATCTAGTTTTATGAGCATAGGGATTAGGTTGGAATATCAAACATTGCGTAAGATATGGATTGGCAATGTCTGTGAAAAACCTGTTAGCTAAATGCCAATTTAGAATGCGTGAAAAGATCAGCGTTTACTGGATCAGACTCGGGTTTTTACTAAACTGACTCAATGAATTTACACGGATCTTTAACAACCAACAAAAAATCACTCGTTTTATATATGAAATATGTATTGTCGTGATGGCGTGTGAGACGGTGGTATTCTCTTAATTGTTTCAGGGTATTTGTCTAATGATCTGAACGCATTTGGAGTTGATGGTGCATATTTGCCGGTACCATTTTTCATGACTTACTATCACCACAATGCCTCCTGCACGCCATAAAATACTGGGTATAAAAAATCGTGTGCACAAGAACTACAATGTATCATCCAATATATGATCATGGGCCACAGTAGTATGTTTGATGGCAACAGAAAATGGAGAGAACTACAAACAAGGATCGCAAGAACTAAAATTTTATTTTTTTTCATTTACCATTTATTAAAATATTAGAAATAATTGAATAAAAAAATTAGCTGCATAAACGTTTTATATTTAGTTTTTTAGGTGAGTCCAGGTTGAATCCACAAGGATGATTTGATTTATCTTTCATGCAAATCTCATGTTCTCCGAAGATAAATAATTTTTAGAATAATGTTGCGCAGGGATTCAAATGAGCATGAAAAAATATGCACGATCATTGTTTTACCAAATATCAACCCTCATACGTTTTACTTGTCGTAAATAAATTTACAAGTTATATCTCAATTTAAAACATATCTCACCCTCAGATTTTCTCTCGTTTGAACGGGTGCAGTCTATCACGCATGCAAACTGATTATATTGATCTTCAACAGATCCATTGGCCTGATCGGTAAGTCTTACATCTTTTTCATTGAATCTCGTAAATAATTCCATGGATGAAGCATCTGTCGCTCTGTGTTTACATTGCTGTTCTGGAGATTATATTTCCCTCATAGAAATTTGTTGTTCTAATTATAGTTACGTTCCTATGTTTGGGGAAATCGAATACGATCCAGACCGACAGTTGACATCAGTGCCCATTGAGGAACAACTTGATGCCCTCGGAAGAGCTGTTGATGCTGGGAAGGTAGACTAAAGGGCTGTTAGATAGACATATTCAGGACCTTCTATGAAGCCCTTTTGCTTCATGCGTGTCACACATTTGCTCTTTTACTGCATTCGCAGGTTAGGTACATTGGCCTGAGTAATGAAACACCATATGGCTTGATGAAATTCATTGAGATCGCCAAATATGGCCAATTTCCCAGGATTGTCTCTGTGCAGGTAAAGCATGGAGAAGGTGTGCCCACATCGACTGCCCTCAGTTTTCTGAGTGTTCCTAACTCACCCTTGTTCTTAATGATAATACTCAGAACTCCTACAACCTTCTTTGCCGAACTTTTGATTCTGGGCTAGCTGAATGCTGCCATCACGAGGGGTAAGTAAGCTGCTCTAAAGCTGAATGCTTATTGTTCTCAAGCTGCTTTTCTTTTTTTAATCTGCTAAGCCAAACACCTTACCGATCTGGGCACTTAATAATCAGTTTGACGTATATACTTTTGCCTACCCTTAATGTGGAGATTAATTGCGTTTCAACCTTTCAGTTCCCTGTGCTCCGTGCTGAGATTCTTATGGTGCAATCCATCTGATGTGCGATTAATCATCTAGCCTTGCATCGTTTTAGGATTAGGTTGCTGGCTTATAGCCCGACAGCAATGGGCATACTATCTGGAAAATACTTCTCCCCTGACGGCGGCCCAAAAGGTGCAAGGATGAATCGGTATCGAGGTTGAAGAGACTGAACTACCTTAGTCTCATGAATTTTATGCATTTTTTCTCTTCCTAGTGTTTATTTTCTCCATGCATTCCTTCTTTATAGGTAGATATTCTGAAGGCGAATCGAGATATAACCTGTCGAAAGTCACTGTGAAGTCTGCTGCTCAGGTACCGGTTGTTGTTCATCTCTTGCACTATGTTCATAGTTCTAAATTCTTGCATATCATAAAGAAGGGTGTGGTATGACTTGGGTTCTGACTTTTGTGAGTTTTACGAAGAATATTCATATGGCTCTACTCTAGGAGCTTCTTCTCAGTAAGACCCATAATCGAAACTCTTTGCAGGAGTCCAGATTAAGATATTTTTCTTTATCAGTTATCTTCGGGAACTTGATGCTTTTACCGAAAATAGAGAGTTAGTATTATGCTCATATAATATGGGGAATTTTCATAGATAAACTAAGGCTGGATTTTCATGTTCTTGAGGGGTTCCTTGGTAGCTTGACGCTTATAAATAAAATGGATTCGCCAAGGTTGGGTGATATTTGATTCACTTTACTGCAGGAATATGTGGACATTGCGTTGAAGTATAATCTCCGTCCTGCATCACTAGCTATTGGTACGCTTTTATACTTTTTTCAATGCCTTTGTGTTATTTTTCTTGTCTATATATATATATATACATTTTCATAATAAGAATAATCAACATTCTTGGTGAGACCATGTTTCTCCCCGACCATCTCTTTTTTTCTGTGTCTCAATGCCGCATGTGATATAAACTAGGAAAATGTACTGAAATTAGTGGATCATAATAGGCCGATGAGCAGGTTCTTGGCCGTCAGCAATCAACCTGTAGGCAAGGAAACTTGCTCTTTCGCTGAAAAACACCAAGCACCCCGAAGAAAGTGGCTCTGAACTGATATGACCATCATCTCTGCTCACTTTTCTATTTTTGGTCAACGACCGTTGTCATGAGCCGTGGCCAGTGGCCTCTCATGAACAGCCTAAAGAGTACCTCTGTCTTCTTCGCTGCCTGTTCTTATGGTGGATTATCTGAAAATCCGCATTCGTTGACCGTCGTGTTCCCTTGCTTGTCCTGTTCTCGCCAGCCTTCGTCTTGGCGCGCCCTCTCGTTGCAAGCGCCGTCTTCGGAGTGACTGAAGAGTCTCAGCTGCGGGAAGCCCTCGAAGCGTGTGATCTCCACGTCACCCCCGAAATCGCCGCGGAGATCGACGTGGTCCACGCGAAGAATCCCAGTCCTTGCCCGTGAACGAAGGATTTCTATTTTTGCTAATTCTTTTTCTCCGCATATTCTTTTTTTTTTTCTTTTTTCTTGGGCAGTCAGCCCATCCAGTGGCATGATCTTGCGGAGATCTAGTGTTTGGATGTACGCGGAAATCTGGTGGAAATAAGATAATAAATCTCGAGCAGTATTATTTTTCTGTATTTATTGATGTTGGTTAATTATTATATACGAAGTCCTTCTGGGAATGATTGCATGGCTGACTGATTGATCTCGATAATTCTAGTGCTGTGATCACGGATCGAAGCCACTTGGGTCTCTGCACTTTGTGGATTCTGGTCAACGCATGAATAATTTCTAGTATGTACATTCCTTGAGCAGCAGCTTGGATTCATTCCCAACCCTCTACATTTCTTTTGATATTGCAGGCGTCAAGGGCTTCAGATCCCAGGAAGCTCTCAATCTCTCTCTCTCTCTCTCTCTCTCTCTCTTCTGATATGGGTCGCAGCAATCTGCTGGTTCAGAAGCTTTCGCTAATGGGGGACATGGTTGGGGAGCGTAGGAGGAGGGGCCGTCCGGAACGCGTGTTTCCTGCAGCGCTGGAAGATGGTGTCGTACATGAGGTCGAACTGGACGCCGGCCCTGTCGCGGTTCAGTACGAAGAAGATGTGATCGGCTTCAAGAATCTTGTAGTACCTGCGCGTTCAGAGGGATCAGGGTTTTGGCAACCATGGAGAAGGTAGCAGGAGGAAGGAGGAGGAGGCGGCGGGTCGACTCACCAGATGCCCGGCTGCAAGGGGTGGCACTCCGAGTCGTCCACCACGAAGTGACTCGGATGCTCGACCGGTAGCCGTGGATGGGTCATCGAGAGCGTGTTCAGAGCTCCATCGTTGTCCTCCCAGTCTTCGTCCCTGCCCATGGCAGAACCCACCGGTCAGATTCCTTAGAGAGCGCGATCAGGGTCGTGCTGTTCCTCGGCTGAGCTCACCTATAGCCCTTGTAGGGCGGCGGCGCCGCCGGCGGGTGGCGCCACTGGGTCATCTGCAGCGTGCGGATGAACAGCAGTGGGTGGATTCCCAGCACGGTGGAGGGCAGCGTCAGGCCCAGGAACTTCCTCGTCCTCTTCGTGGCGTAGCTGAAGTAGAAGGTGTTGGGGAAGGTGCGAAGGCCTGCGTTAAGCTGGAGGGCACCTTGGATGGTGAGGTCCGGTAAGATCCAGTCGCCGGAGGCGAACGGGCCGACGTTGCCCAGCAGGCAGTCGACGAGCGCCCCCACGCCGCCTTCGCGCCACGCCATGCCGAAGTGGTCGAAGCCGAAGCTGTAATACTTCTTCATCCATTGGAGGTCGAGCCACTCGTAGACTATGCAGCCCAAGCGGCATAACTGGAGCAGGCTCACCAGCTTCACCGACTTCCAGTCCTCCGGCCTGTCACAGCGAGAAGACTCTCAGATTGGGGAATGTTCAGTGAAGCAGGAAGAATGCGGGGGCAAGTAACTCACATCATCCCGTCCATGTAAGTTCTGGTGGTGCCGTTGAGCGCGCCGGAGAGGGAAGTGACACTCAGCACCCAGTCTTCCGATGTGCTCTCGTAGCCTTCAAAGGCCTGCAAATCGACGATATTTAGGGTTTGCCGGAGAGGAGGAACCCGGGAAGATGAAGACACCGTCGTCTACCTTGTCAGCGAGCATCTGCTGGAGAACTCGGACAACCTGGACGCCTGCAGAGTGGCCGACGAAGTGTGCGGGGTGGTGCTCGTCCCACTCCGGGTAATGCCCTGCGGCAAGGGAGAGAGGATGTTAGCAGAGCTCATAGATCAGGCGGCGGCGGCGGCGGTGGTCGTGGTCTGGCCTACCTTGTTCGTAGACCCTGCCGAAGCGGCGGTGCCCACAGGCCCTGCTGTGTTCCTCCCCGAAGTCCACCCGCCCACCTTTCAGGTAGTAGAACAGTTCTCGAGCCCTGCAGTCAGAGCCAACTTCCTCTTCGATTGTGAGCTTCCTGCCATGGAGTAATTCAGGAGGGAGAAGGAAATGGAGGTTCTGTGCTCTCACCTGTCGTGCACGCTCGTTAAGGGTCCCAGGTCTGGGACCAGAACACGGTCGTCCTTCTTCTCTGCGCCGCCGAAATACGACAGACTGCCGAGCCTCTGCGGTGCGCCGGCCGACGAGTTAACCCAAAGAAGAAGATGAAGGAGAAGAAGAAGAAGAAGACGATGCGTACCCCCTTGCCGAATCCGAAGATTCCGTGAACCAGGACGATGGGAGGGATAGAGCCGCCGTCGGAGGTCCTCTCTTCGTTGTCGGCGGCGGCCGCCGTCGCGTAGGCGGCGCAACCGGGCCGGCCGGTGAGAGCCTCCGAGAGATCGGAGGCCACGCCGGCGCTGAAAATATAGAGCCCGAAGACCAGGTGCACCGCCGTGCTCAAGAAAAGTTCCCATAGGCCTATCACCCCAATCCACAGGCTCCCCATGCCGCCGCTCGAGCTCGTTTCCACAGGAAGCCCCGGAGAAAGAATGGGGAAGGAGAAGAGGGAGGAGGGTCCTCAATCAGGCGATAGCCCTTCTTCTCTCCTACCCCTCCGACTTTCAGGTGACAGATAGAGAAAGTCAGCAGGTAGATGGGAAGCAGAAGAAATGCGGGTGGAAATCCTACCAAGCCGCCTTCTTTTCCAAGCTAATACTCTCCAGCCGTTGTTTTTTCAAAGATTAGAGGCGGAGAGGGAATTCGTGAACCTCTTCGGGTCTAACACGTGTTTCTCGCTCTACAGAATCAGCGACAGATGAGAGAGAGAGAGAGATGAGGGATTCATCCAATGGGGAGCGGGACCCTCCGCTCCTCGTCTTCCACCAACGAAAGAGGCGTACTCACCGTGGGAAGCTCAAAAGAGGAAGCACGAAGAAGACAAGAATCCATGTGGGTGCGCTCCCCCACCCCACTGGGACCTTCTTCAACCCCTGTTCCCACCAGGAACACAGAGGACTGAGACGGGGAAGGATCCAGATGAGACCAGAAGGGAGGAAGAAGAAGAAGAAGAAGCCGTCGTCCTGGCATGTTGTACATTTCCCCGTCCACCTCAGCGCCACCCGGATGAGCAGAAGCCGTGGTCGGGAGGGGGGGGGCCGGCCCATCCCCCCTTGGCGGTGGAGGGCGGCGCCACCTGCCTACCGCCATTGATTGGCCGGCGAGCTCCGGCGGGAAAAGCGCGTCTCCGGTGAGGGAGGGTTCGCAGTTGGGTGGCTGGCGGAAGGCGGATGCCACCTGGGCGCCTGGCTGGCCGCGGATAGCGACGGATTCCGCTGACTGGGCGGCGCCATCTCCGCCGTCCCATCCACCCCGCAGTCTACGCTTCCGCCCTCGCTGCCCACGTGGCTGGCGCCGGGCGGTCCGCAATCCGCCGACGCCGTCAACCCCATCCAGGTCCTAGCCTATTTATGAGTTCAGCTCGCACGTGACAGGGCTTAACGTGCTTCGCCAGAGCCGCCCAAAAACGGATCGGAGACAGCTGGGGCGGGTCTCAAACAAGTAAATAGCCGTCCGAGGGCCGCTAGCTCTCTCTCTCTCTCTCTAGGGAGGATGGACAGTGGACCGTGCGCCCGCCGTCTTTTCCTCTCAAAAGGAACTGTCCTCCTCGTTCTCTTGTCGACAATGACGTCATGGCAGCCGGGTTTCCGGGGATGGACAAACGTTGGATAATAATATTTTAATCAGAGTCGTAAGATTATTTAATGTTTTTCTACAAGGTTATTAATGAAGTGATAAATATACTGAAATTAAGTCTCATATTTTTTCCCTGCATTTCTTCAAATAATATGCTCGTAAATTTGATTAATTCAAATCACACCACAATATAATAAGAAGAAGAATATTCTTGAGGGAGGCAGGATGTCAGTCAACGGGCGGACTAGCTCGGAAGGTAATAGACCAGTCAACGGCGGAGAAGCAGACCCATCAGAACCGTCGTCCTGTGACTGCTCCCGGTGGCGCTGCCGTGTGAGATTTCCTATCCTACCAAGAAGACCCAACACCTACACAAAGACTCACCCACCTTGTCCCCAAAGGAAGAGAGAGAGAGGGATAGAGAGAGAGAGAGAGAGAGAGAGAGAGAGAGAGAGAGAGAGAGATGGAGAATTGGGTGGGGTGACGAGGGCTCCGAGTATACTGGACATAAGATGCTCCCACGATGAACGATTACGAAGGTAATCTTCACTTTGGATAATACACACTATTAAAAAAATGTAGACAAAGTAACAACTACCTCCATTACAGATAGAGGAGAGAGAATGATAAAAAATTCCTTCTCTCACCTTCTTAGTTCTTTAAATAAGGAGAAACCCTAGATACACTTTCCTAAAACACCCTTAGACTTCAACAATATAATATTTTAACCTTCTAACACTCCCCCTCATGATGAATTTTATACTAGTTCATCTTTAATTAGATTGTTGACTATTTATGGTGGCTCATGTGCTAAAATTCTTATTAAAAGATATAGAATGATTATATAATTAGGCAGTGTTTGACTGAGCTCTAACTTTGATATTATGTTATAAAACATACAGAAATGACATATGATCTCTATCACAGAGGACATAGGAAGAAAGAATGGTAGACCACCACCTCAACTTTTCTCTCACCGTTTTAAGTCTCTTAAGGACAGAGAAACCCTAGTAACACTTTTTCCAAAATATCTTTAAATTTTAACAGTATAATATTTAACCTTGTAACTCACAATTTTACACGTAAATGAAATTAGTTCTTACAGAATATTCTAAATTATCACCTTTATGTTTTTTGGGAAAATAAGTTTTTTATAAAATTGAAATTAGCCATGTCGAATCAGCCCCACCGGAGGCCGGAAGAGTGCAAGAGAGAGAAACATCGAGGATCATAGAGAGATAATTTCTAGTGATGATTGAGTAAGAACTCTTGGAACTATATCTAGTGATAGTTTCTCTATGGGCTAGTAAGTTTCCTAGGATCTCTCACTAAGACCTCCAATGAACACCACTCTGGCTGTCCCTGCGGGGAACAGAACCATTGAAACCCTTACTTGCGAGGTGATGCCCAAAAAGCTTCCCACTCCATTTCTTCGTTCATATGCACTGCTGAAGTGGAGAGAACCCTCTGCGGGGACCGATCTTGATATGTTCACTGTTCTTGGATGAGTCACCTTTCTTTCTTCGACGTACCCAGATGGCGAATCCTCTGGGATGGGGGGTTGCATAATTTCTCACAACCATGCCAGTTTGATCATCCCTGGAGATGAACAGAACTAGTATCAGCGGTGCATACCAAAAATGGATTTCGATCGAGTAAAACATGAATAAATAATTGGCAAATGAACCTTACATGGGCATAATCCTCCACAGATGATGATGGAATCGACTGAAGTAACTGTTTATAGAAATCACTGCGCAGAAAAACTCGGAAGTCAACTCCCAGCTCAGACAGAATATGCAACTGAAAACAACGGAGAAAGAGAGACAATGATCTTCGATATGTTCATGGAGCGCAACAAAGACCCCTCTCCATGAACTTTCAATTTACCTTTACCTCCTCCACCTGGGAAATTACATATGAGTAGAAAGTAATAGAATAAATCGTAAAAAAATCATCTTTGGCCTTCCAAAGAGCCCAAAAAAATTAAAGCACGCAAGGGCTCCAGAATTTAGGGTTCAGAAGAGGATTGGAGACGTGAAGCAGCAAACCTTAGGAGTTGCACGTCCTCGTCATTCAACAAGTTTGGTATCAAAGATACAGCATAATCTGACAAAGACCCTACACGTCGAAACTCGGGTATCAGATCATGCAGGGAGGACCAACTGGCAGCAAACCATCATGAGCATAAACCAGAGGCATCTATCTACCCAAGTTTTTACGGATTGTAGCAGCTCTCTGCAAGTCGTCATTTACAGGAGCGTCTGATGGCAAGTTGGGGGAGACCCCGTGCACGCACTCGAGAAACTTGTTGAGAAATAAATACTTCTCTTCTTCTGTAAATTAAAAACAACATACTCAATACAAAACCATCCATGAGAATCGAATATAACTTCCAAGAACACTTAAATATTGTCACAGAGAACATTGCATGTATGCTCAAGATTGCACAGATAAAAACTAATAATTAGTCCACAAACCATGATACCATGTTCCATAGATTACATTATTGACCAGAGCATCCTTCTCTTTACCCAAGAGACTTTTCTCTTCTTTCACACTAGGAAAGGGGATAGATAATGTTTGCAAGAGGGCAATTTAATCTGAAGAAGAAAATGTGGAAGGAAAGCGCTTTAAGATTGTGTGGAAAGTTTAAAGTGTTTACCTTCGCATATATTAGGAACGAAACAGTGCAAGTTTGCTATAATCTTCACCAAATAAGATATTCTCTGCTGCGCATAAGAGATAGGAGGCACGCTGCTGAGACTTCCAGGAGGGCAGGCAAAATTGGGCTCGCTCAGCAGGATAGGCTCTTCGAAGGGACTATCAGACCCACCGTTGGAAAAGCTCAATGCTGTGCCAGATGCCGCAAATGGATCGTACTCGAGTATCACATCTTCCTCGGTCATTGGGACATCAGTAGAGCACCAACTGGAACAAAATTCTTCATGGGGCATTGCTAAAATTTCTGCAAGCACTTTTGTCTGACAAAAATAAACTTTCAATAAGATAAATATGAGATCAATGGGTTCAGCCTAGATCAGGAAAGATATAACAACTTACAATATTAGCCATGAAGAAAGACCGGAAATTCGAATCATCTGAGAAAATGTCAGCCAGTCGCATCGAATTTAGAATGACTAAACCCTTTGGGTCGGTCTTCCCAAGAAAATGGGTCGACTGTTTGGCCTCGGAACCGAAGGCAGATTTCAGTAAATCCAAAATCTGCAATCATATCACACAAACAGAAACACAAAAAACAACTCGTATTAAAAAAATAGGCATGAAACTCATCTCTTTCCAGCTTGTTAGCACTACCAGACCTCTAGCACAACAGATTTTGCCAGATCCATGCTCTTTTGAGAGCCAGCAACCTCATCGAGATAGGAAACATTCTCTGCTTCACAGAGCTGCAATAACTGCACAGCCAACATGTCATCTCTGGTCTGACCGATGATCACAATTTAAAACATCAACTGCAGAAGGTAAAACTACAGAAAACCTCTTTCAGAACAAGACGAACCCGTCACTTTGAACTTACAATAGAAAGAACCTTTGATTTCTGCCTGGATATGGCAGCCATTATATCAGAGGAATCCCTAAAGCATTGAGGCACATTTAAGTTAAGGATTTTCCGGGCAAGTGAAAGAATTCCCCCATTTCTGCATAATTCCTGTGAACATAAAATAACTTTGTAATTCATTAAAATGACGAAGAACTGTAAAAAGACCTGCTCCAAATTTATGACAAAAAGATGGATCGAAAAGCAGGATAAAGTTTGGCATGGGGCACCTTATTGGAAAGTATGCGATCTCGGAAAATCTTTTGCTGGCATAAAGATAGAATAAATTGCAATGAGGCCTCACATTGGTAGCAGATATGCTTAACTATCTTTTCGGTCGGGGCTTTGTAGGTTAAAACGTCATTATTTAGTGCTGACAACTTGGCACTCAAAAATCTAATATCCACATGGACAGCATCAAATGCAACATCCATAAAAACATCAACCTGAAATGTCAACGAAAAAGCCATGAACAATAGGTCTTACTTGATGACCAGTAAATGAGATAGATGAAGGGATAAAAATATTTTATCAGAATATGGAAAAATAGCTAAAAAAAGCGTGGCAGACTAAGAAAATAAACTCTGAATTTAATATTAAGTCATGGTCAGGAAAATAGGACCAAAATATCAATATTCTAAGCAAATGTTGCCAGAAGAGAATCACCACAGATCAGAGACACAAGCATTTGCATTCTGTAGGAGTGAAGTCCTACAGATTACATGAATCAACGTCTGAGAAGTTACACGGCTAGCTTGACTTGATTGCACCATAAAGTAAAATCAACAATGAGCAACACATTCACGAATGCTTGCATTATGCAGGTTTCATCTTTGTTTCATCATCCCAAGTACATAGAAATACGAGAAATACTGGAAGGAATATACATTCTCCAAGTTTTTAAATCACATCAACTCAGGAAACAGAGACGACCATCCTGTACACTACCTGTTTTGACCAAACCAACGGGTACCCGTTAACACTTAATGGTTTCGTTTTAGGTTGCAACCCGTTGATACATGGGCTAAAAATCATCATTTTCTTGCTTCAGAATTAGTGTAGGTATAAGTATAGGGCTTCAGAATGAAAAGGTTATGAAATGTTCCAGAACAGTCTCCAAAATAGACGCAGAAGAGAGTCAATTAAAGCTACTACATCCAAAACCACCTTTTGCAGCAATGAGTACCAATTCATTTTGACGAAATTTTACAACTCAATTCTCAAATCCCATTCCTCTGTCATCTAGTTCCCACAACATATCTAGGCACAACAAAAACGAAGATGCATTGGACCCGAATCTGAAAGTCAAGTCCAGCATTTGGTACCTGGTCTTACCATATCCAAAGATTACTAACAATCTACAACGCTAGAAAATGAACTGTGCTGAACAAACTGCTGCAATATGAATCTAGTACATTTGAGTAGTCTTGACCGGCCCTGATTGTGCTTTTCGGTTTTATATGACTACTGAAATCTTAAAAGTCCTAGAAAATCCTCCAGACTAGACTCCGTCCCAATCATTCAAAATTAACCTTATGAAGAATTGACATGGAGGATCTGTCACTTAAAAACTCTGATGACAATTTTTCAAGCAAATATCTTTTAGTCCAATCCAACCAGCGTATTTGATTCTAACGGTATTTTGAATTTTTTAAATATGATAGATAGATTTGCTAATTATTCCATTATTTGGTGGTACCTGTGATATTAAATGATGGAAAATGATTTCGAACTTACTAAAAACATTTATAACTAAAATCTATCTAGCAACATAGGGCCATGCCCTGCCGCAATAACTAAGATTGAAATATTTCTGAGTAAAACGTATGTAATTATTGTGAAATTATGACTGGTACAAGACTTCAACAATTAAGATATCATGACAGGCTTACCTTTGGATGTGCCAGCAAAACTTGTATGAGATCCTGCCACTGTGAAGAAATAAGCATTGTCAATAGATGAAGACTACATGCAACTAGAGTTGAATGCAAAAAGGGCACGGCAGCTGCAACACTGTTCTCCTAAATCACAGAAACAGTCATAGTTAGAAAGCTCGTCATGACGTATATACGAACAATACAAGTATTGGCCACTAAAGCACAGAAGAAAACCTGCCCATAACTTGCGAGTACAAGTAGGAGATAGAACACTAGATCCAACACTTGTTCGGTCACTTTTACCTCCTCGAGTAAAATCTGGAAAAAAATAGTTTGCTTGAACAGAAGACACAAGGCTATGAAGATACACACTGATGAATAAAACATGGAAGTAATCTAGTTGCATGAGATAGTTCAACAGAAAGTTTTGAAACACTAATCATCCCTATTAACACAGGTTCATGCTGAGAACATTGAGAACGGGAGGGATGTCAGGGTGTTACGCACAGCACATGGCCTAGAATACCAACAAAAAATTTACTTATATAAAGTAAAATTTTCAAAATGATCTGAACATTTAAAAAACCAAAAAAAAACTTCCCTAACGATTTTAGACATAATTCAATTAACTATGTTCTGTTACATCCAAGGAAACATCACAAAGTGACAATTTTTTTTTTCAGAATGGAACATTGCACTACAATCCAGAGTAGACAGTGTAACAAGGTGCAAGAAGAGAAGAACTGAGCATTCTTCTCGGTAATCGAAAAAAATAGGCTACACAATATACACCTAGCCCAGACCAGATATCAAAGAGTTACCTGACAAACTCTAGAAAGAATGAAACATATTTTTATATACAATGAATCAGAGGTTTTCCTCTCGTCACAGCCTTCTTTGAGTCATCTTCGCTCGTTTTGTCTTGATCTGTAGAAAGCTCATTTTCATGCAGCGTATTAAAAGACCCAGTGGGTCTCTTTCTTGTGTTCTTCCAGTATCGCTCAGCCTTGCTTTTTTCTCTCTTTCTCTATCAGGAGAAGATATAAAAGGGATGGTCTGGAAAAGACTGTGGACGTACTACTCAAAAGGAGTTGAATCTGGAACAGCTATAGAAGTTGTATTTCATTTCAACTAAAAGGGAGTGGCTTGGTAATTACTGAACCTAGAGGTAAATTTTTTTAGCATGAACAAGGCAATTAGTTTAGGAAGAAATTCAATTCGGAAACAGAAATGAAAAAAAAGGTCTGATGAAACGGATTTACAAATTGGTATCACGATCAAGTCAACCTGCCAAATAATCACCATGATGTCATCGACATCACAGAACAAAGCTACCAAAAAATGACTTATAAACAGTCGAAGAGAAAATTTGAAGGTGGAAAAAAATGAAAGGCTTTAAAAATACTAATGAAAGGACCAAGAAGAAAAATATCTTCCGGTTGTTCCAGCGGGTGACAAAAGTAAGTGAAGTTTCAACTCAGCCATTTAATAGAGATTGTGGGAAAAATGTATTTTTTGATTGTCAAAATTTCTTTCAGGTGGAGAGAAATTAAAAGAAAACTCCATAAAGAAAAAAGCGATGCCTTGCAAAAAGTGATGGGCACCCCAAAAGTATATATGCTGTAAATTGTAATTTATTTTGTCTGAAAGTACATATATCACACACATTGAATGCTAAAAGTGAGCAACGAGATATAAAAGCGTGTACAAACCGCTCTCAATAAGTTTCAAGCACGGATTATGGCACCTAAGAGAGCCAAACCTCGTCCTTTCTCATTACACAGAATTCTCTGTCCCTTTTTTTCATTTACTTCCAACAGAAACTACAAAGGAAAAATCAAGCTCTTTGATAATTAAATAAATAGTTTTTCTACTCCAAATGACCCAAAGGGGCACCAGGAAAATGAACAAATCATGTTGGCAGTCCCCTTAAATTACCTCATGTCATTTCGAGCATTTTCATAATCCCATCATAACCACTGACAATTGCTAAATAATGCAGGAGTTAGAATGGCTATCATCCAAGAAACTGCTCAAAACACTGAATAGGTATGCAAAGGTCACCAACCAGAGCTGCGTGAACCCTTCACTCTCAGGCTAGTTTTCCACATAATGAATTCCCCCGGGAGGGCATTAAAATATATTAATATATACCAGTTTTAATGAACTGCAATCCATATCTTTCTCGTAAGCTGTATCAGAAAAGTCAAATCACGAAGAAAATTGTTGGATAAGGCCTCGGATTTCTACCTAACATTATATTACACAAGTATCAAAAAAAGCAAAAAAGAGTGATGATATGGGGATATAATTCCTTCCTCTACTCAAGAAAATAAATCTTCTATCCTACACAGAGGCCTTTATGAGGGTGGTAGCATTAAGACCATTGAACCCTGCGCGTTGCTTATAACTGGAAGGGGGGAACGGGGGTAGGAGTTTAGATGGATTCCCTATTAGGGTAGGTCTGGAAGCTTATTGGACTAATTACAATTTTATTTTTAATCAAATAGCACACAGATTCCAGAGCTACCGTAAAAGGCAAAAGCTTATCAAGCCATGGAGAGTACCTGCTCAAGCCTAACATGCCGAGATGCCAGGTCAGATAATGAATGCAAAAGCCTCATTCCACGTAGAAAATATATCAAGTCGCCTCCACCATTTGACAAGAGCACAGCAATAAGATGCAGAGGGAGTGACGATGCAAGTTTTTCCACATCAATCTGAATGACAAACGTGTTTCAGATAACATAAAGAGAAGAAAAATTCTAAAATCCAAGAGGGGGACAGAAAAAATCCTGGGGCAAATGTAGAAGAAGGTCACCTGAACCAAGGAACCATCTTTCGATATATGAACTACGGAATTCTCCGATTCCTTCAGCAGTTTACCGAGCTCCAGAGAAGAGAGTCCGTTTAACTCGTCAACTGCGAACACTACGTTGACACTCTGCCAATAGAAAGAAAGACAAGTCAACACTCCGTGCACGGAATGGGTCCAGCTTTCCGGCACAGAGAAACCCTAACAGATGCCAGAGAAGGACGTCCACGCTATGCAACGTAGGTGAAGTATACCGCTGCTCAGGAAGACTAAGAAGAATGGGGCCGAAGAGCATCGAAGGAAAAAAAAAATCATCGTAGAGATTACTACGTGAAGCACGGAGCGACAAACCTGGTCGGCGTAGGCGCCTGGTTCCTCCGCGCAACGTGCCATTGAAAGTATGAAACCCCGGGATGGGAAAGAACATCTGAGGGAAAAGAATACCCGGGGGAAGCCTCTGGTTATTCAGAGGCCAAGGAACAGCTCTAAACGGACGTCTAGCAACAAAAAAAGCCAGGGGAAACGAAGAAGCGAAGGAAGGAAGAGATGGGAGCCTGCAACAGACATCACATTCCCAAGTGACGCAGCGGAGGATGGAGAACTAGAGCGGAGCCTCGCGGCCTACAGTGGGGGGGAGCGTGAGTTGGGAAGGTCCACTCTGAGGAGAAGAAGTTGGCGCACAGCTAGCGACACCAGCAGCGGAAGCCGGCGGGGAGGTGAGGGGCGGTGGAGTTGACGAGAGGATGAGGACCAGCCTGAGACCACCGACGAGAAAGTAACAGGTGGACGCAGAGCAAGTCCTGCGGAGGAAGGGGGTCCAACAGAAAGCAAACGAGCAAGCGAGGGAGAGGAACAGGGAGAGAAGGTGGCCGCGCAGGGCGAGGAGGGCGAGGGCAGGAAGGAGACGCGTCAATCCTCGACGCCAACTCGGTGTGGGAGAGGTCTTCCGTTCGCGCGATGTGGGGCGTGTTCTCTCTTAGCTGGTCCTCGCTTCCCTCCGGCTTCGATCGAGGTACTGATGCAGAGACGAACACAGAGAGAGCGAGAGAGGCCCCTCTTTGGAAGTAAATACCCCCGGAAACAAGGCCCCAACGTACAGTAACCATGACATTTTAAATTCGGCTCCGTGATCGGGAATCACGTGGCATAGGAAGTCAATGCCCAGATTAAATACTGTTTATAAAAATAAATAAACAAAAACCTTATTAACTGCTACGATAATTGATCTCGATCTGACCTCATATCCTAATAATTCGAGCATAAAAATTCAGCCGAAAATGAAAAATAGGCGAGGGGTTAGCTTTCTGGTTCATTTGAATTTTGTTATCATCACGTGACCGCCCCCCCATGATTAATCGTATCGTCATTAGCTATCCTCGAATGGGCATTTAGAGAAAGTCCACGTGGGCCCTAATGTGGATCGTCATTTAAAAACCCAATAATATCCTATATTCAATAATATTCCTATATTTTATTTTTTAGTGGTAGATGCGTATTTATTTCCCAAAAATTTCAACTTTCCATTGTGACCATAATAAAAATTTGGTAAGGTTTTTAAAAATAAAAATAATATAATTTTATATTTTCATAAATAAAGGTGAAAAGAGTTAATGTATAGACTGAACGATTCACTCATTTTCAAGCTATAACCATCTAATGGACGAAAATGATCCCTTGATAGCAATAATTAATGGATGTTGTTCTGAACACTAGTCTAGACTTAGATTTTTACCATGATTCTTCATTGAATATTTATCACTTTATACTGCACCAAACTTAATGCTTAAATTCATGTAAAAGATAAATAATGTATTAAAATCAACTTAATAAAAATTACTTTGTCATTTAAAATTTATAGATAATTGTTGGGAAAGATGACGAGTTGGGGAGAGATTTTAGGAACCAATATTTTTCATTCAACTCCAATGTCAATAGCATCCCTCTCCCAAATGACTTGAGATTTTATCCCATTAACTAGAATGAAATAATATCCTTGTAAATACTATTAATTATTAAAACGATAACCTTCTGCTCATGAGCATATAAAAACATTGATGTGGATCTATATCTCTCAACTAATTATCCTTGCTAATCAAACCATTTCATAATTATTTTTTTATGTAAGTAAAGTATAGAGAATGATAAGATAATATTTTCATAAATATATTTCAAGTAAAATAAAATTTAGACATCCCATAAAATATAAAGTTGTTGAGCCTCCAAATAAAATCGTTCTATCACATTTTAGACAAATCCACTGGCCTTGATGTAAATAAACCCTAATGCTCCCTTTTAGAAATAAGAACAATTAAGGAAAGTCAATGAGTGGGAATATTGAGAATGTAGGGTTGGATTGGTTCTAGGAAAGAAATTACCCCTATTTTTTATTAGAGATAATTTCTTTGTCACAAATACACTTAGCTTTGGTTGCTTATCTAGGATGGGTTGACTCCATCATGTCAACTTCTATGCTACCAAAAGAGATGCAATACATATCTTGTCCACAACCAAACTTGAATAATCTAGACTCACTAAGTTGTACTATTGAAAGATAGTTAATATCATTAAATACAAATGTTTATGATCATTGATTAATTGAGATAATATAGAGAGCTAGTATTTATTATAAGATTTTATCTTAAAATTATTTTACAATTATAAAAAGGATGACACTCGTCTTTCATTGAGACTATTTCTTAGCTATATTTATCTTATAAAACCCACGTAGTCTTCATTAGTATGGCCATGCATGGTTTATGAACACGTGAAGAACCTACTAGTGTTGACCAAGTGACCAAAGTTTACGAATGAATTTGTTGTTATAATTTAATTATTTAACCATTATTAATATAAATATATATTTAAGGTATTATGATTTTAATTATGACAAGAGTAATCTTGTTTGGTTTAAAAAAATATAAAAAAAATAAGAATAAACCAGAGACAAACACTGCATTTTTAGGGAAAGCATTTGATTGAAGATGTGTTCAATCGAGGTCTGTTCTTTACTTTACCAAGTAATAAGATTGGTAAACATGGTGCATAGAGAGTCACACACCCAAGGGAAACGCTTGCAAAGCCATAAATAGAAACTGCATGCCGAGGAAAACAGGAAATTTATTGGCTTCCTATAAAAAAGGTGCAGCAGGTTTACCAAGAACATGAACAGATTCTGGTGTTTGAGAGGTAACATGCTTCAATGATCCGATTTCAAGGGAATTAAAAGAAGAAGAAGGAGAAGAAGGAGAAGAAGAAGAAGAAGAAGAAGAAGAAGAAGAAGAAGGAGAAGAAGAAGAAGAAGAAGAAGAAGAAGAAGAAGAAGAAGAAGAAGAAGAAGAAGAAGAAGAAGAAGAAAATGGTACCTCCATGACTGAGCGGAAGCAAAAACCAGAGGCTTCTCCCAAGTTATTCATAAGATGCCATATAGAGAAAGGCTAGAGAGACCAAGGGCAAGCCTTCTCGAATTCCTCCTGCTCCTTACGGCACATTTCAAATTCATTGGTGTTATAGTACATGCAGCCAGCGTAGGCATCCATCTCCTTGGTGCAGCTTTGATGGAGGTTTTTCAGTCTGCCAGAGAGGCAGGGGAAGCCTCGTTGTTAGAGATAGTGTGACCACTGAAAGCTTCTCAAATGTTCATAAAAATGCCATGCAATTAACAAAGTAGAGCTGAAAAATAAAGTAATGGTGAGTGACCCAGGAATGTTAGCAGCTGAGGTACCCGAAAAAAGAAAAAAAAAATGAAACTCTGCCGAGAAACAAGCATGGAATTGCTGAATCAAAAGCCATATATAGCATGTTATGTGATCAATTTGACGAATCAATGGAGGGCATCTTTGTTGTTTCCATTTAACCAGCCAACTGGTGGGATGGGATACGATCGCAGAAGAAGACTGAAAAAATAGATGAGAACTGTTTCTCCTTTAACATCAGTCAAGTATAAGATGGCAGCACAAATTGGTGGAACCCAAGTTCACACAGGACGTGGTGGTGACTTCTGTTCATCCTGCATGGTTGAATCTTCCCATCTTTGTAAATCTGCTTAAATTATTTAAGATAATATATGTTAGAAGAGCACATTTGGGGTGGATCCCCACATCTGGGGATGATAAAATGACGGCTAACAATGTCAACAGAAGTCTAATAGGAGAGAGGAATGTCAACCAGGAGATCTAGGGGGGAATCCCCAAGACTTAGATGGAAGCTATTGGGAAATTATGCCAAGATATTTTACAAGAGTGTGCGGCCAAATGCTGACCTCTACCATATGGAAAAAGACAGCTCTCCTGGGAAGGTTACACCGATGGAGAATACCTGGTTCCACTGATGGGATTCAGGTGTCTATTGTTAACCTTTTCTCTAATAGTGGATAGCATATGACGTACTTTGCTCTTAAGATTGAGCAGCAGCCGAAAAAACGTTGCCCTTACTGTTTGCTCGAGATGTTGGCAAATAATAATTGATAGCATCCAGTTTTAGAAATATTATGTAGGTGGAACCTTGCAGTCTACTTATGGCTTAACCATTGGAACAAGGCAAATTGCGACCAGGGCAACAGTGATTAGTATACTGCTGCTATTAAGGAAAAATATTATGAAAATTTGACCAGTGCCATGGATGGGGCTTCAGATCAATTCCATAAAGTGGCAAGACTCCACTAATGATGGCAATGAAAGAAAAAGGGAAAATTTGACTTCACATAAATTGATTTATCATGCCATTTACCGGATTATACTTTCTAAGAGGAAGGGTATGGTTTCTAAGAGAAACATGCCAATGCAGAGATTATCTGAGCTGCACAAACTATTAAGTCCAATCATTAAGGGGAGGGGGAACTTAAGGCAATATCCCTGGTCCTTATCTTGTAAAAAATAACAAATAACTTGGATAACGTGTGGTAGAAACGTCTATACGTCATACTGAGCTCCAAGGTGGATTAAATCCAAATGAAAGTAGGGTCCCACGAGATAAAGCAGTGCATGATAAGCCATAATCACGGAAATGGAGCGTTGAACCCTTTTGGTAAGGATCATAATTCCTAGGTCATTGGGAAGAGTTCTGTCCCCACCCATTTCAGAAGAGCCGCTGAATTCTGATAGCTCAGTAAGTTCAATCAATAATTAATCACGACCATAAAAGGGGAGATATAAAAGCGGGGGAACCTTACATCAAAAGTGTAGTTCGATAAAATCAACAAAATTATTGTAGAAGTAGAAGAGCTTGTAGAAGAAATTGCTATCATATCCTAACAAGTGTAGAGTGTCATGTTTAGAAGAGTTCACCGGAGGTATATGAAAAATTGGAAATGTGGAAAATTGCAGTGAGTGACTGCAGTTACTTGGTAAGGAGATCACCAAGTGGAAGAACAACTGGGCAGCGTAGAACGAGAAAGTAAAAACGAATGACGACAAGGGATGAATAAGTGGGTCGAACGAGTAAAACCATGGCATGCTTGCAGTTATGAGCATCAAACTCTCTACTGTTCAGTGAAAATGTGGAATTAAGATAAACAATGACTCTCGTATCCAAAAAAGTGTAACAGATATGTGTCACATGATAGAGAACAAAAAAAGTGAGTCCAATGGCATATTATGAGCATTACCAAGAATATAAGGATTTCCTGTCTCTGGATTGTAAAACAATACATAAAGTCAAATGCATGTTCGTGTACCACTTCAATGGCACGTGATTAATGTCAAGCGCATGTTTGTGTACCAGTCCAATTATTCTCTTTTACTAGGTGAAAGGTAATTCCCATCAATCTCAGCGTCACCAACAATGGTCTATCTTGTTAACATAGTTCTCTAAGCTTTCTTTCTCTATTTTGTATCCTTCTTTCTTCATTTTTTCATAAAAAGCCATCAACATGTGGAGTTTACTGTACACATTGACAACTTATGAGTATTTTTCTTGTTGAAACAACCATTTCTCAGCCAGATTCATGCGAAAAAATCGCTGACACTGGAAAAGCATTTCCCTTAATTTCACAGATAAGGTGTTTCCACTCAATCGGCCTAAAATGGTAAAGTTTGGTCTCTGTTGAAACTTATAACTATTAGATAGGAGAACAAGAAAGAAGGATAAAAAATGAGCAGCTGTCATAAGAAGAACAAGGTAAATATGTTATAAAACATATCAGTGTCTACTGACTAGTGCAATGGCATGCCTAAACTAACACTTTGGACATGATTGCAGGAAATTATTAGTTTCTAGACATCGAGCGCCTACTTTTATTGAATAATTATCAATCATCTGCAGTAAACTTTTTTTAATTTTTTTTCCACAGTGAGGTAATTACAACAAAGCTGGTGTGACTAACTACGAGAACAAAATGCAAAAGGTGATTAGAATTTTCCTTCGTGTTTCTAGGGTAATAATTTTGGGACTCTGTTAACCTTTGGTGCCGTGTGAGTCTGGAGACTCTCTTTCGAACTAAGGCTCTGCGTGTCTAAGAAGTCGTATGATGTTAAACACATCTAGCGTTCCGAAAGATGGCCATTCAAATTCTGATATGTTTGCAACTTGGCAATGTGGAGCTCAAATGAGCAACCATGGTCTAAGAAAAAAGACCACCTGCGCTCTTAATCTTGGGCATTATTTCTTCAACCCGCCCCACCCCCGCAGATACTTTCGACAATGACAAGGAGCCTTAAACCAATCCAAATAAAAAAGTCTAATAAATCCTACGGGTTTGAAGAGCGTTGATAATCATTGAGCCGGGAACTAGATAGAACATTGTCCTATAACCCATCAATTAGGTCCTGTCAATTGCGGCTACTTGCCGGATATATCAGAACGGCTCAATTTAAAAGCATCAGAAATCAGCGAAGTGTCTCTAGTCTCTAGGCGTAAACCAAACGACGGAAAATTCGCATAGGGTTCCTTACAAGCTGAGGACGCAGCTCGTGACCTCCCGTCCCCTGTCGAGGCACTTCTCCGGGTTAGGATCCTTCTTTTTGCAGTTGATGAAAGCGGCGTTCTCGGTCCTGCAAGCCGCCCCTATGTGCTTCCACGAGGCCATCAGCACTGCCGACGTAGGGATCGGCTCCCCCGCCGGATCTACAACGGCACCGCTGCTGCTCGCCATCCTCCTCTTAACCCTGCCGACCCCTACATAATGAAGAAAAAGGACGAGAAAATAGGAGGTTAATCAGGATTCTCTAGGGCTTCCAGGTCTGCCACCTTGCGAAGCTAGACGATGGCGAGTGCTCAGTGACCGAATGGGGAATGTACCTCTCGTTTATCGCCGCCGGAGACCGGGAAGTGGAAGCTCCAGCGCCGGCGGGATGCCTTCTGCACCCCCTATTAATATTTCCAATCGTTTCCGGCCGAAACCTTCCGAGCTATCAAGACTGGGCCCTGACTAGCCGGGGGCTAGGCGGTGGATCCGGCCCGGCCCATTTTAAAGAAATAGCCGCTAAATTTCAGTCTAAAATAATTCAAAAAATTTATGCGTCCGGGTAAACTAGAAATCTGGCCCGGCCCATTTTAGGTTTACTGTAGGCATCGAATATCATGAAAACACCGGCGTGACAGGCTGACCTTAGCATCATCAGGCCCGGCCCTCTTCTACAATTAGCAGAAAAAAAATCGGTCTGAAATGTAATTTTTTTAAAAATTTAATTCGGTCGAATTTTATTCAATATTGCTAACGTTAAATCTGATATAAAAATTCCAGACTACTCCCTCGAACAAATTTTCTTAAATAGCCGCTAGAATCAAGTCCGAAAATAGAAAAATAAACCAAATTTCTTTGAATCAGGTTTGCTGAATGTTAGAATTTGTGAGAGTTAGGTAGATTAGAGGTTGACTTCTAGAGGTTGTGTAAGTCAGCTATTGAAAACCAAAATTTGCAGGACTTACGACTTAGCAAGTGCTAAATTAGGAAAATAAACCCAGTTCATGTGTGAGAGTTAGGTAGATTAGAGAGATCATTACCATTACCAGTACCATTACCATAACCATTACCATTACCAACCACAGAAGAACGAAACTGAAGAGACCAACAAGTACACAGAGGGATAGGTGAAGCTCATCCGGAGACCAGCTTCACGAAGATGATGATCACATTGAAGATTATGAGAGGGACTCTGAGGTACTGAGTGGCGTAGATGAGCCCAATAAGCTGGCCCTTCAGCGTCTTCACCTTGCCAGTGGCCGAGACCTCGGAGAAGCTCCATCCGCGCGGGGCCAGGAACCGGTCCTCGTTCAGTACTGCCAACGCGTTGGCCAGGAGCACCAGCACCTCCAGCAGCGTCCAAAACCACATCTTGATGTCTACAGAGGATCTCCAACGGCTGCCTCCTCCTTCCTGCGTATGAAATCTGAGCTCTAGATCAATGGAGGGTAACTCTCGGCAGGAGAAGCGGAAACAAACAGCCACATGATGATGATGATGACGACGACGACGACGACGATGATGATACTGGTTGCATAATGGGTAATTTTTATTCTTATGGTAGACAATGTTTACCGTACTGTGGTTTCCGAGAGGAATTATAGACCAGAAAGCATATGAAATTAGATGAAATGGGCATTCTTGATGAAGAACGAGGAACTAACAAAGCTTTTGATAAAACCGAACATTATGTAATTATTATTACTAGGTTTTTCTTTGGGTACTGAGTTTTCGGTGTTGAATTCTGTATTGGAAAACAGAGGAAATAGGTATTTTCGATGAAGCATGAGGAACTACAAAAGTTTTTTACGAAACTGGACATTAATAAATTATTTTCATTATTATGGCAAAAAAGCGATCTACGTAAGCCATTTGATCAACACAACCGGCAATCTCCACTCTCTTACATATAGAAATTAAAACCATATCAAGAATTTTTCAGATCATCAGATTGGCATTCGTACACTGAGACAGCATGTTCGATGAGATAAGATTTACCTCATGATCATGATCTGAGGTAGTTGATTCTGTCTCAATGGATTTACATAAGAATGAATGAAACAAAAACACCTCATAAGAACGAATGATTCTGTCTCAATGCACGGGATGTAGAAATCAAGGCTACTGGAACGTATACGCAAGAGCGCAAGCCTTTACTTTAATGACACAAGAATTCGGGATCAAATATACGAGAATGAGAAACAGCCTGACTATACGAGGAAAGGAACCCAAGAAATAAGATCAAGATGCTGAATTTTTATAATTTTTTTTACTAAACCAGGGAATCTACAATTGGTTCTGTAGAAGATAAGTTCTAAGTGTTCTCCACCTTGCAGATCTGGCTGTAAACTCATGGTTACACAATCAAATGAGGCTGATGGTGGAAAAATAAATAAATAAATAAATAAATTGACATTCAGGAAAACACACTATTAACTTGGATGCATTCAGGATGGGGCATAAGATACCTTTTGATCCGATAAAAGTTTTTCAAAAAGGTGAAGTCAATTTCCTATTGAAGAGGAAAGGGGGAAGTGGAGACGATTCGAGGGGAAGTGGTGAATGAGCCGAGGAGAGGAGGCGGAAGGCCAGAGATTCAGCAATGAGCCAGAGCAGCAGCGAGGCAGGAGTTACCAGGACGAGCTCGCAGCCAGTTAAGGAGCCGTCGAGATGGTCCCGCAGCGTGTGAAGGCAGCGGCGAGGAGAGACGTTGACGAGACAAGGCCTCTACTGCTTGAGGTGGCCGCAAGACGAGGAGGGACGACGAGGTGAGGCGGGCACAGTCGTGATCTCCAAGGAGGGGCGAGGCGTCGGAGGAGAAGAGAAAATGGAAAAAACCCGGATTGAATCAATTTGGGAACGGTAGGGTTATATGTACAGCAATGAAATTACAAAATATATATCACAGGAAATTAAATTGGGGATATACCCAATTTCTCATCTGGAATTCATCCGTAAACTGTGGAAGTTTTTTTACGAGGAATTGAAGGTTTAAACAGTGGAAATCTATCTAAACGACAAGGTTTTCACTGCACACTCTGAGATATAGGAGGACGCCAACATAATTGTGTCATGCAAATCCGTTTCTAATTTTCAACGGAGAAAGCTTATAATATTTCTTTAAAGTCTGAATTATCCATTTTGCAATCAACTGTATAGAGGGTAATTCGATTTTCATTAATGCCACCAAACCTGGTAAGACTCACTACAGCTCCTCAAAGTTGCTCTTCTTTTCTCATTTTTAAAGATAGAAGTTAAGATTCAGTCTTGAGCAATGCTCACTAACTAATATTTTGAAATATTTTGAAATATTTTGAAATATTATGAATCGCAAAATGATGCTACTTTTAATTCCTGGATATTTACTTCGTGCATGGAAAATATCAGGACCCTTTCAGTCATAATCATCATCATCATCATCATCATCATTATCATACGAATATGGTAAATCATTCTCACTCATTCGAATCTACATCTCCACTTTGACCAACAGCCACATTAAAAATGTAATTGTATCCTTCAGAGCTTGACTGACAATATGGATGAAAAATATAAAAACCTTTTGAATCAGAATCATCATCCTATGAATATGATAAATCATTCTTCCTCATTTGAATCTCCATCTCCACTTTGACCAACTGGCACATTAAAAATGTAATTTTATCCTTTCAGAGCTTGACTCACAATCACCGTCCAAAACATATTCAAAATTTGAATCTGAATCATATGGATTAGGTGAATCTACTCTAATATGCTTGATATACAATTCTTCGAAAATTTATAGGATCAGAGAAGACGAGGTAATCAGAGAAAAAAGCATTGTCGTCCTTCACTATAATCCTTCGCTGGGTACCATACATATATTTCAACATGTACTCTGATGCAGGATTCTTTCAATACTCTGAGTATTGAAACTGCGTCTGATAAGAATTTTACAAATCTTACTCTTGTACAATCCAAAATGTCGGGAACCGATCTCCAAATATTTGCATCAAATATTTATCAGATCGATCATATTTATAAAATCAAAGGTGAATCACTTAAGAAAAACATCTCCAAAGATAGGAAAACATTCGATGCGAGCAGAAAAGAAATCATACGATGCCTGCGCCAAGAAATACGCAGAAAAAAGGTTCAGACGATATGGATACTCAAAACACAGGAACATTCAGCACCGTGAAAGCTGTAAGTAATTACCGAGATAGGGCACGTTTCAACCGCCCAACGTGTAGCCGGCTTCAATTCCTTGCTTCAAACATAACTCTGCACAGTGGCGTTGTGAAAGTTTCTGGTTTGTGTGAAAATTTCTGATATTTGTTATTTATAGTTATATTTTTAATAATTTCTATAGCTGGAGTAGCTCAGTTGGTTAGAGCGTGTGGCTGTTAACCACAAGGTCGAAGGTTCAAGCCCTTCCTCTAGCGTACTTCACCTTTTCTTTTTAAATCATCCTGAATCACCAACAATAGCTCCTCTAACATCTATCGATTCCGTGTATCGAAGCGCTCTCCCATATATTTATATATATATATATATATATATATATATATTAAACTAGAGAGGGAGATAGATAGATAGAGAGAGAGAGAGAGAGAGGCCCAATATGAACTGGTGGGCCCGTACAATTTTTCTTACGGGCTTCGGGAAGATTCCGGTGGTGACTCCAATCCAACAAAGATCGAATTTCCGCCCCTAAATAACACAAAAATCTGCTCGCTCGCAGCTATGTACAAAGACCCTTGCTCTCAAAGGGTTGACCCTCGGAGTTGACCGGCTCTCAAACCATGCTTCCAGAGTCTTCGCTCATCTTCTTCAGGTCCTCCTGCGACAGCAGAGTTTTCTGGTGCCCGACGCCCGCCTTATCATATGGCTGCGCCATCCTCCGGAGGAACTGCAGAAGAGGAGAAACCAAGGGGCCAAGCATTGGCATGAAGAACAAGACCCATGAAAAAAACCCTACATTCGCATCAAATAAATTAATCATACACATATATATATATACACATAATTTGTGGATTGATTGATGGAAGAGGAGGGCCCTGAGCTGCGAAGAACAGGGCCAATGGGAGGTCTACTCCCAGATGGGCAACAAGAGAGGGGGCAGCTGTCTTCTGCATGGTAGAGGGTTTGAGCCATCAGATCAAGAACAGACCTCGCGAGCTATGTGCAGGGCCATGTCTGTGCTCAGGTTGAGGTGGGCATCACGCAGATGGGAGAGAATCCACCCAGGAAGCTTGCTCCTCTTGTCCTGACGACTATACCTGAGAGAGGTTGACAATTTTATTTTATTTTCCAAAATATACAGAAAATGGGACGAGATAAACCCTGGTTTATGAACGCAATACTCCGCAGAGCAATGGGAATTTATGGACCTTGAAAGCATGCCCAGAAAGAAAATTAGGCTTGGCCAAGATAGAGACATCTTGAAGTGCCTAGCCCATAACCCCACCGGCCATTTTCTTTACTCCATGCTTGTCTCGCAATCACCCACAAGGGTACTCTCTCTCTCTCTTCTCTCTCTCTCTCTCTCTCTCTCTCTCTCTCTCTCTCTCTCGCTCTCCCTCTCTCCCTCTCTCTCTCTTCCGATATATATATAGTGGGCTGGTTTTTTCTAGAATGGGCCTGGGCTTCATAGGGGGGGTTCCAACCTGAAGCCCATGTTCAGGCTTTTCCCCGGGCTTGAGATCTGTCTAGGCATTTAGCTGGGCAATATCAATATGGTTGCCAAGGAACACACCCTGTATATCAACACCGTTCACACTGATTGAATTTAAAGAAATTTACAACAAAGATTTTATTTTCCAAGATTTAAACAATTAAATCTTCATTGTAGCACTGCTATTTTTATTTTCCAAAAGAAGCTGATTCAGTAATAGTTCTCACAAAGTTACTAGAAAGAAAAAACTGAAAGGAAATTGATAGACCATAAGAAATGATGTACCTCTTGTCAGCAAAAATCATCATTCCATAGTCTGCCTTTGAGCGAATCACTCGTCCAACACATTGTGCCGCCTGCCTCTGTTCCATCATAGATATGGCCACCATTTAACTCTTAATCATGATTTAAAATGTTTGATTAACAACGGGGCAGATCATACCACTGCATCAAAGGTCAGAAAATCACCCTCCTTTATCTGAAATGTCTCTCGCAAGTACTCTAATCTGGCCCGTAATATCCTGCAAGAAAAGAAGATAAAAAAATTAGCTGTAAACAGCTACGCATCTGACATCCAATCCTCACTAGTATACAAAATAACATTAGAAACAAGAATTATCTCCATCTCGGGGAAACAATGAAGGATTAGATGCGAATTCTACCTCGCTAGTGTAGTTAGTTTACCTGCTAAGTGTATATTGGAAGGGAATCCCAAACATGATCACAAGCCTTCCATAGTGACGATCAAAGTCAATACCTTCTGCGACCTTCCCCCTGTGAAAAAGCGGAAATTATTGCACTTATCAATGCAAAATAAGCCTTCTCATAGCACTATTATTCACAGAAATCACCTAACCGTGACGACCAGATCGAAGTAATTTCTAGTGTTGAAGAATCAATTACTGGCTAATGCACAGAAAAAAGCCAGATCCTGCGACTTATGCCATCTCAGGTACTGACGTAACTTATGTTCATTCAGCTCTGAGAAACCATGAATATAAAAATTCCAAGCAACAGTTGGAGGTATTCTACAAAGAAAAGACTACGGAGAAAGCACCACATGACTAATCATAAGACGTTGCTCTCTTCCCTAATGCACAGTTAAAAGGAAACCACTAGTGTTTAGAGTCGACATGCACAAGGAAGTGAAATTGGAAAAAGCATGAACAAAGCAAACGAGCTGACAGAGTTTTTACGTAACAACGGCGAGATGATTAAAGCATTCAACAGTTTCGTTTGTGAATTAATTTCACATATAAGATGAAGAAAGTTAAAAAACTACCTGGCGACAGAGAAGAAGACAGCACCTCTGCCACAATCACATGCTCGGCGATAATTATCCAGAGCCAATGTCGTTTCCACCACATCCTGTGTTTCAATAAATATCAACTTATGCTGCATTATATCCTGCAATAGAGAAGCAGAAAAATATGAGTTATTCAGAATCTGAAAGCGACAAACAATTAGCAATAAAAATGAAATACCAAATGAGAATTGTGACAATTCTTTGAAGCCCAAAAAAAACCATTAACAGAGTAAAAAGAGTTCTATCTGCTTTTCTGATAATGATATCTGTCAATTATTGGCAGAAAATTTACCAAAGGTCAACATTACATTGATCCGGAGTTGAGAAGCCAGAAGGGGAGGAACAACGAAAAAACACATTCGTAACCTAGTGAAAGAGTTTACGCAAAGTATATTAGCAAGTGTTTGCTTGTTAATGGCATTTACTGAGGACGAAGCTTTGGAAGGACCTTTCCATAAGGTGGACCATATGAGTTCCGAAACAAATATAGCTCTTTCACTAAAGCCAATACATTGTTATCCCAATTGAAAGACCAAATTAAACAGTTGGGGCGAACAGGACAAACTTGTAAGCTGAATAAAGAGTAAAAATAATCATTTAATAAAAATCACACAGCCTACGGCACTGTTTTAGAATATTACATAGTTGCATGATGAAGACGCACCACAGAGGGATCCATAACCCATTGAAGTTAATATTCATAAGCAACATTATGCATACCTCACACCATAGGAATGCGAAAAACGCAGAGACTACAGAAAGATAAGATGGACGTTTAAAGTTTTTATGGTTTCAACTTTGGTCAATTTATGTGCAAGAAAACTCGATCGATTTTGACAAGTAGCATGATTTTCCTTGAGTACCCTGGAAAAAGTTGAAAGCATTATCAAGAACGCGCAAGAATCACCTGTAAAATCCCCATTTCATTCCAACTGTTGATGATGCTATCCATATACGAGTAGCTGACAAAGAAACAGACGATGCCATCAGGTACAGCGCCCACCATTTCCAGCAGGAGCCGTCCATAGTTCCTCACGACTCCAGGATCACTCCGCATATCATATTTTGTGCTGACAGGAAGCTGATCACTGGAAGAAAAACATCAAGTTCACTGTGATATCAGAACACAAGACTATCAATCAAGAAGGGCAAGACAACCAAACATATCTTTTAAAATAAAAATGATCTGAAGAAAGTTTGCCATTCGGGGTATTGAAGATAAGAAAACTGCTACGACATGAATATGACATAAATAAGATAAAATATGGTTTAATTAAATACAGCGAGAAAACATTTTAAAAACAAGATCATCTCCAATACAGAGAACCCCAATGAACATCTTCAGGCATATGTAGCTCATCTAGACAGAAAAAAAAAACCCCGAACCAAATAGCCCCACATACCTTCCACGTGTTAAGACCATGGGACATATGCAATCCCTCGTCAGAGACATTTGGAAACTTCGACTGATGACTGGATGAAAGTTGAGAAGGCGAGGATACAGATCGATTGGGCTCAGTGTCCCAGAGGTTATTATGACAGACTGGAAACGATCAAACACTGGCTTGATTGCAAGCGAGGCATCATGGCAGCTAAGCTGGAATAGCAGTAGATGGTAAGGGATTAGTTAAACGAAATGATGACGCGTCCAACAATGCCAACAAATCAGCAGAACAAAGAGCACCTGCAACACGGGATCCGGTATATTCGGCATTCTCTCATCAAATGGCTCGATTATTATAGAGAACCCTTTCGAGTATGTTCCAACCAACGTGGCAAAATCACAAACAGTCTGTACGGGCAGAAACTCGTCTGTGTCAGTTATCTCAAGTGTCATCATGAGAGAATGCAGCCTATCATAGCAAAATTTGAGCATTTTCTGGTCAATTCCAGCCTGGGAATTCAATGATGCGACAAATCCAATTGGGCTCTCAGTCTCGACATTCTCAGTATCCAGTCGCCCCTTCAGATATTGGACCAACCTCCGTAAGACCGACAGGAAATGCTCCGCCTTCCGGATATTACCCGGAACGGCCTCCTTCAAGATGTCATCAGGCAGTGCAGGGTTGGCAAGCCATGCGTCAGTAACTGTTGAACACAACAACAAGCTGTCAGACCGTCAGGGAACCAACAAGAAGGACAAAAATGGTGGAGCCTCTGTGTTCTCGTGTGTACTGGGTAGATTCCCCCTCTGTGCCAAGCCCTCTACAAGTCGGTTGTACTCCGCCCGCAGCCTGCCTGCATCTGTGGCCTTGAACCTTCCCTAGCAATAATTTCCGGTTCGCTCAGTCCAATTTGCTAGGATGAATAAAATCATAAGATGATCGAATCCAACAAAGCAACGTACACAGAGGAAAGTAAAATGAAAACCGATTTCCTCTGTTCGATCAATATGTACCTGTCGATCTCCTGGGTCATGCGGGTGAGGTTCCGGGTGGCGCCGTCAAGAGTTACGCGACGAACGCTCACGCTGAGGGCTTCAATGCAGACATTGTCGATGTTGTGAGCCTCATCGAATACCACGATGCATTCCCGTTGCATTTCTCGCGAGATGATCTCCGCCACCTTGGGGTCCAGAAGATACTGATAGCTGTAGACTACCACATTGGCATAGTTGACCATGTGTCTGGCGAGGAAGTAGGGACACCATCCCCTCTCTTTACCGAAGGCCCGGAGGTCCTGGAGCGTGTACACGCCGGGAGGAAGGAGGACGGCTTCGGGGCCCCCAGAGGACGCCCGGTCGTAGGATTCGAAGAAGGAACAGGAGGGGACGGTCCCGGGGGGCGCCTCGGCGGCGCGGGCGCGGACCCAACTGGCAGTCAGGCGGCGGCAGGAGGAGTCGACGGAGTCGCGGGAGGAGGCGGAGACGACGCTGGGATTAACGCAGAGGTTCTTTCGGGAGCTGAGCCCTAGGGCGAGGAGGCGAGTTCCCGAGGGGAGGTGGTCGTAGAGGAAGCGGAGCTCGGCAAGGGTCTTCTCCATTTCGTGGACAGTCCGCGTGCAGTAGAGGAGCTTAAGCGGCTGCTGCGGCTTGGCGAGGACGTAGCTGACGATGAGAGAGAGCAGCGCCACCGTCTTGCCGGTGCCGGTGGGCATCTCCAGAAGGCAATGTCCTCGGGCATCGAGGGCGCGCTTCATCTCCACCATGTACTCGTACTGCTCCGGATAAATGTGCTCGTATGGGAAATACACCGTCACGTCGTCGATCTGGAACCTCATGGTCGCGGGAGGCACCTCAGATCGCCGGCGGCGCCGCCTCTTTCGCTCCAAATTTCCTCCGCTCAGCAGTAATGCCCGTTCTGGAATGAAGGGGACGGCCTTCTCCTTGATATAGGACGCTGGCATTCCCGATTTGGGCCAAATGGCTTCAATTCGAATGGGGGCCACATCCGTTACTGCCCACAACAATATAGATCATATGGGTCGGTTGACGTCCCAATAACAAGATCCAACAGAAATCAGGCCCAGTGGAGATCGACGGGAGGATCCGTTGTGGGTAGATATCGGTTTCGGACCAATCCAATAGAAAATCACAGGGGAAGATGAACCGGGCCGGACGGGCCCAAGCTCAGAGAAAAGACCAGAAAATAGGCCAGTTATTAGGCCGACACTTGCGGATCATACATCCCACCCAATCAAGCCAGCCTTTGAAGGTGGACTCCAAAGTTGACTATGTCAAAACAGAGTTCCAGGTAGAGTCAACCCGTTGACACTCTCAATTACAACAGGCTTGGATTCGTGTGAATCCAGCACATTGCTTTCATGCTACCTTCCTAAATTATATAAAATAGCAGGCAATAAAATATTTCAGAAAATCTGAATCCATGAAAAAAATGGAATTTTGAATTTTGGGTTTTTTTATTAAATAAATTTCCAATCGTGAATCTGTCGCATCATAAATGTGAGAAAAAAACGTAACTATCTGTGGATAATTGTATCAAATGACGTGTTTGAAAGAGAAAACGTTTTGGGAAATCATTCCTGGCAATGTGAGAACACTTTGGATCACGGACCATCAGAAATCTAAAAGAAAATGAATCGTCACATTGGAGCAACGAGTTCATCCTTCCACTGAAGGAGCCTTTGAGGCCACCCCCTTGATAGTCTGTCTGCACTGGAACCTGTTAAAGACAGTAGGAATACTGAGATGATAAAATCGTGCCAATTTTCCAGAGTTTTTTTTTCTCTTTTTTTGCTTACAATTCTGTATATTTTTTTGTCATTAATCTGTGACTTAGGGAAATATGGCATCTAAATGCTTTAAAAAAAATTAAATGAATTGACAGTGAATCCAGAAATAAGAAAAAAATTGTGGATTATATTTTATTCACAGAAATATAAGCAATTAAAGATAACGTTCTAGTCAGTTGATGAAAACATGAGCCCAAACAGAAGGGAAAAAGCATCGGGAGTCTCACTTGGTGAGGATGTCACTCTCAGATGCCAAGCACGAGCGAAGGATAAAATTTGTTTTTCACTACTCATTTTGAATGGCAAAAATAAAGCGGACATGCCAACAAGAAACATCATGATTTCTGGTATGTGTTTCTCAGTAATCAACGACTATTCCACACTTCGTGGAGATTAAATCTTACAGCTAATCAGTTTCAGTAATATCTGTAAGCCTGTGAGATGATGATGATGATGATGAGAGAGAGAGAGAGAGAGAGAAGAAGAAGAAGGTACACCACACAGTACTAATAGAAAAGTTGCTTCTGCGCGGCACAGAACTTCCAGCTAGGACAGATATTGATGTAATCGGTAATAATACAGCATTAAAAAAGAAATATAGGGACCCCAGAGTCAGCCTAATGGTCAAGGCATCCATTTGACAGCTTGGGTGTCAAAACGAGAGGACCAGATCTTTTCTCTTGCTGTTAAGCCAAAAATTTATTCCCAGCTCATGAAATAATGTCAGCAGGAAGGTAGGCTCTGCAGGCTTCTAAACAGCATCTAATTATGAATACACATTGAAACTTTTGTTTGACACTTTTAACAGCTAGGTTGGAATTTTTTTCTGATATCAATATAATGAATATCATGGTGGGTCGAATTCCCATTGTCGGATCAAGGCGAGGTTAACTTTCAAAAGGTATGCTAGTTCAAGTTGCCATGATGGATGTAGACAAGGATCGATTTAGGATAGGAAACGATGAGCAGATACTTCGCTGTTAGAAGCAATGCGACAGTTTTCAAATCAGAAATATAAAGGGTTCGCCACTTGTTCTCACCTATTCCTATTTTAGAGAAGGTAACTTTAATAGGCAAAGAAAAAATATAGGAGATTCGAAATTTGAAAGGCTCCGTCAGAAGAATTTGCAGAAAAGAATAACAGCAGTAACTACATTTGACTACATGCAGAGATTTAAGATAAATATATAAAAGACGAAGAGAAGCAAGAGAATATGGCATACCAGATTAAATCACTGGACGTAGTGTCCAGCAGGTTAGCAGAAACATCTTCTCGATCAGAATAATGTAAACAGTCAAAGGCTTGTTTCTTAGTCTTGCACCTAATTTGCAGTCTGAATGATACTGTCTGAAAGAGAAAAATCCAGTTACCTTCAATTAAAAGGATCGGTTACAGACATTTGTACAAGTATGTCCGTTTTCTAGTAAATGATCTGCTTACTTTCTTATGGTATTTAAAATCACGTTTGGGAAGAAAATGCGTAGGTAATTTCAAAGTAGCCGTAGCTTTGACAAGAAGAAATAACTTCATAGGGCCTAAAAGAAGGAAAAAAAATTCTCGTCAGTACTATAATATCCACCAGTTGATGCACATTTATTCATCTTTGCAAGAACTAATTCATGGAAAAGAAACCTGAATAAGAACCACCGCCTGCTCCTTTCGATATTAGGGACCGAATGGCCTGGCAAAGATATTCAATTAACAAATGAACAGACTTTTTTCAAGTGTTTTATCTATAGAGTAAGCGAAGCTAACCTTTCTTGAAATATAGTTGGCCACTTTGCTTCTGCTGCCATCTCCTGAGCTTCCTGAGTCGATCTTTTCATGCGAAAAAACAATATCATAGACATATTGAGGCCTTACTAGAGTCCCTCCAAGGGCCAACATAAGCCCATGGACAATGGGAACTTCATCAAGTATCAAGTGAAGGGAAGAAAGTAAACTAGAAATGCTAGCCATTAACTTCTCTCGCCTTCTTATCCCCAGCTTTACTTCTCTAAGTCTGTGTTTTCTCATTCTAGTGGAACATGCTTCTGATTCTGGTGCTGGGGCTGACTCCTCCTACAAAAATAGACTGTTCAGATCGAGCTACAGAGTAAGCGTGAGGAAAGGAAATCATCATAAAACATACCAAAGTCTTAGCTTCTTCCCTTATTCTATCAAATTCCTCTTCAAGATGTTGCAAGGTCCTGAACAATATGCATAGCAGATTATTTTGCGCTCCTAAAATATTATGCCACGAGATAATTTCTGGTCAACTGTCAACATACTTTCTCAAGCTAGTTACAATAGCCCTCGTTTTACTTGAAATAGGACCAAGGTTACCGCATCATGAAAGCCTTAACGTGTATTTGACCCCTATAATCATAAATAAATGAATAAAAAGAAATCATGCCAGATAGGATGAGAATACCTTATCAAATTGCTAATGACAAGCCTTCCGCACAAACAGGCTAACTCTTAGAAAAGGAAGTAATGAAATGTGACCTTTCTTTAATAAAATAAAAGAAAAGTGATTTCGGTGTTTCTTTGTGCTAGGAATCGTGGAGAAAAAGGGTTCTTGAGTTAAGTAAACTTCTACAGAACCGCCACATGGTAACCCTGAAGTTTTTTAAGAATTTGGACTTCAGCCACAAATTAACAAGCATTCTCTAGACTTGCTTCTTCTAAATGTGAAATTATTCAATCTTTTCCCTTCAGGCGCGGGCCGACTCTTGAGGTGTGTCAAATGGACGCAAACACCCACCATCATGTGGTTGAGCATAATTTTTTTTTTCTGGTGTAATATTGAATAACGCATCACCTAACTCATAAGAAATTGTAACAAGTGGAGTCAGATCAAGCGTGAAAGAATACCTCAGACACTATAGTATTGGTCAAATATTTCCAAGTAAATCCATAGAAAATTAATTTCTGAATCGCTTAGCCTTCTTAAGAGAAACACTCCACTTGGTTATCACTCAGGTCGTCCCTAGCATACACAACTGAGACACAGAATCCACCGTTCAGGAAGGATGGCTCCAGCTATCGGTCAAGAAGATGACAGCATGCCTGTCTAAAATTTCAAATCGGTAACAACTTATAGATACTCTCCAAAACCCAGATGCCTTTTCTACAAAGGTGCCACCCAAATTCCACAGAAACACGAACCTTAACGTGGATGAGAGAGCGATTGATGACTCAACTTATCAAGTTTATTATCTTCGACGAAACGCGAAGTAGATCGTTAGCAGAGTTGACGGAGGGGAGTAGAGATTTCTTACTCTGGAATCTGTTGATGAATGTACAGGACGAAGCCGATCACCTCCTTTACCACGTGATAGATCTCCGACCTCTTCAGGCCCTCTGCAGGCACCAAGATTTCGTGGGAATTCATTTCTGCTACTGCCGCTCCTCCCCCTTCGCCGATCGATTCCTCCATCCTCTACTCTACCCTCGCGACCATGCGAGAGACTGTTCAAATCTCTCTTCAAGCGGGAAAATGCTCTCCCCCGAGAGTCTGTTCCTACTGTGCGTGGGTCTGTGAAAATGGCGTCATCCGCCTAAAATGGGCCGTGGTCCGATACCAAAGTCATTTTACACCAATCTAGATTAGATGGGCCCAATGGGCCGTATACCAAAAGGACAGCTGCAGCCTAAATCCTAGAAACCAGACTAATGAAAATCGGATTGCAAAAATATATTATTATAAATAATTATATTTATAATAATTATTTAATTGTAGGCGTTAAATGGGAAAAATTATAAATCATTTAAGTCCGTACCCAGGTTAATTTACATCAGAGTCGACTGAGTTGACTTCTGGGAGAGATGCTTCTTCACATTTGAATCCCGCAAATCAGAAGTGAGATAAATCAAAGACTTCCAAAGCCTGAAAATTATAGGAATGCCCTTCATACTCAAAACAACATGGTAGATGCTGACTTAATGCGCCAATATTTTTTTTTGAAAAAAACCCAAAATAAAGGAGGGAAACGGATGCCATACCCAAAAAATCTCAAAAGAAGGTGGGCCTACACCTAAGACGATGCAATATACGTTGAGATAATGATTTTGATGTTGAAAAAAATACATCTATCATTTTGGAATATATGAATATTAAAATAAATAAAATAGTTTTTTATATTTTTCGAATATGTTTTACAAGCTTCAAATGAGGAAATCAGTTTTCATTAAGTATATGGACACCAAAACAACTCAAAATAGAATAAAATAATCTAATTAAGAAGAAAAAATGTGTTACTCACTATAAGTGTTATCCCACTAGTGAATGAGTCAACCCATCATTGGTCAAAAGAGAGAGAGTGATGATACTTTTGACCTGCAATCTCACCATATACGTGGCATATCCAACAAGTGACACATAGCAATAGTCAATGGTAAGCGGCAGATGGCAACCATTCAAGACAAGATTATAATCTTGACACATGTCATGACAAGTGGTAAAATTTGATTGCTTGAGTGACACATAACAGATTGTTCTAATTGAGACGTGGCAAAACATCAGAAGAATCCACCTAACACGTAAGAAATATCTGCCAGCAAATTTAATTCATAGCATGATCTCTAATAACATCACGGATCTCCTCTAGAGAATACTTTAGTGCCACGTCACATTGGTAGCATGACTGACACAAGACAAACATCTCTCCCAAGTCAGTCTATGCGTAGTATCATCACACACAGGAAGATCATTGACTGAATGTCTACAATATTGACCTACTCAAAAGCTAGTCAAATGTGGTGACTCAGAGTATCTTTGACAATTTATATCCTTATCATGTAAATATTTAAGGAACCTTACTCTCAAGGACCTTGAATTTAATGTGTTAATTAAATTTAATATGTAAGGCTAATATGGACATAACTTAGAGCAACAGTTGTAATGTGAGTAAGAAAGTATTGTGCCCAGTGAGAGGGGATGTAAGCACGAAATCTGTCATGTAAGAAGAATGGTGTTGACCAACAGTTTTTGGTGTCAATGCGTCAACCCAATGATGCATAGTGTTGACTAACAGTTTTTGGTGTCAACCCAAGTAAGACCGTGTTTGACCAAAACAAACAACACAACACCATAGGACAGAAAATCTCTGGTTTCCTATTGAAACAAATAGAGTATGATACAATGCCTGCAAGAATTAATAGAATGTGATAGAATTTCCTCAATATTCAATATGATCAAATAGAATTTCCATAATGATGACTACAGTAGGACAGAATTTCCTCAATAACCAGTACACTCGGACATAATTTCATCAATAACCAAATGAACCTGATAGGATTCTTCTTCAAAAACCAATAGAAGGCCATTGGATCTCCACAATAACCAATGGAATATGACTGGATTTCCATAACACCCAAGAGAATCTGAATTGATTTCCACAAGGTGATAGAGTTTGTTGACGTTCAGTTACTACCTGATGCAATTTTCAGATTTACAGAGTCAGAGATGATAGAAAGAGTTCCCAAATCTATGAGTATGGGTGGTGCCGATGCCGATGATCCTTCTCGCGAGATGAGTGTGAAGAGCCGTGGTGACCTCCATGGTCTGAAAGAGAGATAGAAAGTTAGCGCTATTCACAGGGCAAGTACCCCTGAGCTGCTAGATGGCTCACCTCTGGAGGAATGGCGCCTTGACCTCTCAGAATGGCCTAAACCAAAGATCATAAAGAAGAATTCAGTCAAAGATTTTAAGGCGATGGATAGCAAAAATCTTATTATTTCTTAGGAAGACTGATCGTCTTCTTAAATGCTAGCTTGGAGAACAGGAACTGAATCGTAACCAGGAGATAAGACAGAGAAGACGGGTTCGATGATTACTGGACGCCTTGTCCCTGGAGGATCGCCTGTTTCGATCCCTGAGCTTCTCCTTGTCCCGGTCACTTTTCTCCGAACCTCTGGCCCTGTCATAGTCTCGGCTGCTCTCCCTCTCGCCATCGTATTCTCTGCTCCTCTCACGGTCCCTAGCCTTTGGCCGCTCCTTTTCTCTTTCCCTGCTCCTGTCGCCATCTATGTCGGACCTGTGGTCACCGATCTTGGGCTTCCTAGCCAGGTCATCTTTGGCTTCTCCATCGCCTGGCACAGATTTAGTATCATCGTCGCTCTTCTTCGTCTCCTTCAATTTGTCAATCGACATTCTTGTTCTCACCTCTTTCGAAAGAGTAGCGTCTAAATCTATCACTGTCTTTGGGGGCACATTGTTGCTTGCTGAATCATCCTGCGGACTTTCCTGTTCGAGTGATTCAATGAGAGAGAGGGAGACAGAGAGAGAGAGAGAGAGATCATTACCATTACCATTACCAACCACAGAAGAACGAAACTGAAGAGACCAGCAAGTACACAGTATCTGATACCTTTGGAGCCTGCGCCTCTGGAGTTCTAGTTATCGCTGTGAATGAATCTTTTTCTTTGCACACAGAAATATACTGGGCTTTGGGGAGACTGTACAGGTGTGCAAGTACTCTGCACACTTGTTCGATTCCGGCCTTATCTGCCTCAAAAACCAGCCACCACGGTGGGTTCTCAGGTAGTGGAATTTGGAACCTGCGTGCTGCCGCGTACACAACTCCACAAGCTACGACCTCACTCTTGAATCGGACGCATAGCGTTGTTCTCAAGCTACGTAAAACAAGAGATATCACAATTTAGTGACAGGAGAAATGCTAGCTGGGCATGGCATCAGCTGAAGGAATGAACGCATCTTAAACTAAATCGCATCTTGCAAAGTTCAGAAAATATCCTTTTTTAATCCATTCTGATCTCAAAAAGGAGGAAGAAACCCACAAGAGGGGGAGGGAGGAAGAGAAAGATAAACGGAATAAGAGAACCAAAAAACTAAGGTTTGCAATTAAGAACCCTTCATCTTCCCGGGAACTTTATGTTTTACTATATTTAACCCGGGCCATATTTACGTAAGTTGAACCTTGCAGCAGAGAGAAAAGATTAATTTGACGAAACTTATGAATAAGTTTTTCTGGTGTGATTCTTCTTCTAAGTTCACTGACTCTTGGTAGCTCAGATGTAAGGAAAGCAGGTTTTCGACTCAATGTGCCCAGATTTTTTATATGTTGCCTTTTTTAACCATATTTTGATTTCCTTTTAAAAATTTACAGCAGATCCGTTTCTTCTGAGTACAATATATACCTACAAACTTCCCCATTTCCCCCTTTCACATTTTCTACGGTTCAGACATCTGTAATAGGATGCAGAACAAACAACAAGTACATTTCATTCTAAGGACGAAAAATAAAAATAAACACATAAGAGGAACACACTAACGTTCTATGCTGAAATTTGTTCATATTTTATTTAAATAAACAAGCCCACAACATTACACACGATAATTTAATAAAAATTATTAGTATTTGCGAGTACCTATCATTGGCTAGGTTCCATGCCTCCTGCCTGAGCTCAAGAGGTGCTCCGAGGGTGGCAAGGTAATTGGATATGAATTTATGGGGGTGCTCGACATGGCAGATGAAACCCATTTCCTTTAACAGATGCCGTTCTGTTCGAATCAAATCATTCTTCAATTCTGTATATTTCTGCAAAGAAGCCACGAATTTCAGACGTGCATAATTATCTTCCAGTTTTTAAAAAAAACATAAAATACGATTAATTTATTATTTGCAGGAAATATCACTAAGCCCAGTCTTTAATTCAGGACTATATTGTTGATCAGCACATAAACAAAAAACTAAAAAGGATGAATGCAAATTGAAGGGTTAAAGAACAGCCTGGAGACTCAAAAATCAAGAATAACCATATGCACAATTTAAAAAACAAGCTCATGACAAGGAATCGCTGAATATTAATCATGCTATCGGAACATCATATAACCAGCATACTTTGTGGGATCAAAAGGAAATGGATTAAAAGCAAGCTCACCTTTGAAAAAACGTCAAAATGTTGTATCGGCAGATTCTCCCTTCTGCATTCCATTCTGTGAAAAACTATAATCACATGCTTGGCTTTTCTTGGACACTCCTCCAGTTTCGAGGCTAACCATACACAACTTGCAGCGACCCTCTATATAAAAAGAGAAGAAGCTAATAATATGAATATCTGCATTCAAGTACCATAAAAGGGATAAAAAATGTACATTTTAGTTGTCCTTGGGAATTAGTGATGATTCTTTCCTTAGATGAATTTTGAACAGCAGGATTCTAGCCATGCAACAGAAATTGCTTTGAGAGACATGGAATGGCCATGACTTTAACACATGTAATAATAGAGAACGTCTCGGTTTCAGTTCCTTCTTTCAGTCAAAGAGAGAACACACAAAGAAGCATTCTAAGTTTCAGTTCATTCTTTGGTCAAAGAGAAAACACACAAAGAAGCATTCTAAGTTTCAGTTCATTCTTTGGTCAAAGAGAAAACACAGAAAGAAGCATTCTAAGTTTCAGTTCATTCTTTGGTCAAAGAGAAAACACACAAAGAAGCATTCTAAGTTTCAGTTCATTCTTTGTTCAAAGAGAAAACACACAAAGAAGCATTCTAAGTTTCAGGTCATTCTTTGGTCAAAGAGAAAACACAGAAAGAAGCATTGTAAGTTTCAGTTCATTCTTTGGGCAAAGAGAAAACACAAAAAAGAAGCATTCTCGGTTACAATTCATTCTTTATCAATGAGCAAAAAAACAAAGAAGAATTCTCAGTTTCATTTCATTCTTTTGTCAAAGAGAAAACACATAAAGAAGCATTCTCAGTTGGTGAAGAATCACTCCTGTGCCACCACCTATGGTAGGCTTGCACTTGGCAAGCTAACCAGAAAACTAATTTCCATATGCAACGTCTGTGTTACCCAAGTCATTTGGCCCACAACTTTTATAGGGGAGACAGAGGAGGAGGTGAAGGGAGAAATAGAGGTATAGAGCGTTACCTTCACACCAAACCGGGCAAAAGACTTTTTGCAATAGAATCTGTGGAAAAGAACTTGTCCTGTGGCCATGACAGCTTGCGGTCTGAAGAAGTCAAGATAAACATAATGCATGATAGAAAAAATGACGTAAACGCAGGGGCAAAATAATTAAAAAATATGAAATGTTCCCCAACAATCCAACTTCCACGAGAAGATACCTACATCACAGAAGACACTGGGAAATGCAATACAAGAAAATAAAATATAATCAAATTCAGAGACTTAAAAAGGATACAATCGAAGTAAGATCCCACTCTCCTGAATGAGGTCGCAGCCATAGATCCGAAGAGTTGTTTCTGTGGCCTCATCTATTCCATCTTTCCGAGAAGGGGAATCTTTCAACTGCTCATCCGTCAAATAAAATGTGTCAATTGCAGTGTAAATCATTTCCGCACAGCCAACAACACCTGCAGAAGAAACGGAGAAGCACATGAGCTCAGACGATTTGATCAACATATACCCTCATTTAAAGAAGTTCAAATATTGAACGAGTAAAATACGCCGACTTGTGTTGCATGTAACCGTTCAGAAACAAGAACTCAAATCTGAAAATCTTTGTAAAAGACCCAGTGCCTTCTTCGCGATTCGATTTTCCACTAAAAATATTGATGGGCCCAGGTCAATCTGTAAAACCAATTAAACCGGCCGCGGCATTGTTAATAACACGAGATTATGTTCACGCAACATATTTACGGATAGCTGTCTTGTCTCCAAAATGTGGTGAGTTCCTTCTTTCAGGTTGAGGAACAAGCTCTAAGGAAGTTCGTTATCGCCAGTTTAAAAAGATAACACATAGGAATTTCGGTCTTCCTTTGCTTCTCACGCATACTGCTGGATTTTATATTCCGGCTGGATTTGAAATTGCCTAATAGATTATATTCGCAACAATCTCAGTCCCCAGGGCTTCCCGGTTTCGACATATCGATTATAAAAGAGGAGGAGCGGTGATTGGAAGGTCCAACAGCATCGGTTGAAGATATAACCTCGTAGTGAATAGTTTGGCAGGAAGAAAGAGAGGGTGAGGGCACGGGGGAAATTTGGATGGGCGGGTGAGGGCTCCTGTAAATATTGTCACGGACGGAAGGGAAATTCATAAATGAGGATCGCAAATGCAAGCAACTTCGTTAAGGTTGAAATTATGGGATATCATGTGCACACGCTCAAACAGAGAGGATTGGGATATTGACAGTACCGTCGGAGGGCAGGCGTCGTAGGATGTTAGCACAAGGACGACGGAGCTGCCGCGTCGTAGATCCCCTCCGATCAAGTTCTCGGCATGGGGACAACGGCAATCGAGGGAGACCGCCGAGCGACCGTTCCCTCCAGTCGAAGCCAGTGGCACACTGGCAGAGCCAAGGGGCGATAACGTCGACGGAAGAACAGAAATGAGAGAGAGAGAGAGAGAGAGAGAGAGAACGGGTGTGGCGAAGGAGAGCTAGGGCTTAAAGCGGTTGAAGAAACAGGGAAGGGCGTTGTAAAATTACAATGTAAAATTTAAATTTTAAAAATTGTGAAAACAGACCGTGCCATTCATTTATTTAAATAATGAAAATAAAGAATTTGTATACCATTCTAGGCAGTATTATTTGAAAACATTCTTTTTATCAGTAAGCTCCGTACTTCAAATCAAATTCCCATTTTACGTAATCTCCAAGTGCATATTTTTCTTTAAATTTACAGATATTAATTCATTAGTAAAAATGGTGCATATATTCCCATTCTATAATTATAATCATAAAAAAACCATCGAATTTAAAAAGGGTAGCAGAAATTCATTTATATATTTTTTAGGATAATAATTTTATGCACCTCAATTACCCAACTTCAATGCATGAGGAAACTCAATGGTAAAAATGCTACATATTTCCCATTCTACAATTAAAATCATAAAAAATATATCAAATTTTAAAAGGATTACTGAAATTCATTTATGTATTTTTTAGAATTATAATTTATTTTTCCTCAGTTACCCACCCAACTTAAATGCTTGAGGAAACTATTCAAACCTCTGTGCAAGTGGGAAAATCCTCTCCCCCAAGAGGTCCTACTCCACAAGAGTCTATGTAATGGCCTCATCTACCTATAATGGGCCGTGGTTTGATACTGAAGCCATTTGGGCCAAACACACATCAGATTGGTCCATTGGGTAATATTCCTAAAAGGACAATTGTAGCACAAATCTTAAGTACTAGATTTATTAAAATAGATATTATTTAGAGAAATATAATTTCTGTGTTAAAGGACTAAAATTATAAATAATTTAAACTTTTGTGTTAAATTTATGTCCAACTCAACCAAGTTGATTGGGAGAGAGATACTTTTTGCATTTAAATCTCTAACATGTCAAAGCAAGATACATAAGATTTTTGAAGCTTGAAAATTATATGAATGCCCTTGAAAATTACTTGAAACAATGTAACAAAATCTTGGTGTTTATACACACTTGTTTAATGTTCCAAAAGTTTTTAAAGAAAAAACAAAATTAATATGAGTTTTGAAATGTAGGGCATGCCCGAAAATAGTTTTGAAGAATATGAGCCCACTCCTTTGATGATGCTAAATACATAATAGTTTTCCAAACTTGGGAAATTATGTGAATGTCTTTTTATGCTCAAAATAATTTAAGAGGAGTTCTGTATTTTCAGATACTTATTTAATGTGACAAGTGTTTAAGAAAGAGAGGGCACACACAACATTGGTCTTTAAGAAAGCATCATAGTCAAACTTTTGGCCCATCATAGTCAACCCCCACCATGAACTCATGGCTACCTACAATGGGTCTTTAAGAACCAAAATCTCAAGTTTCCTATTGAAACCAATAGTGCTACAGAAATCCCATAATAATTGATGGAATATGATCGAATTTCTTCACTAGATAGAGTAATGTTATAAGAGTCACAATAATTAATAGAACAAAATAAATTTTTCACAGTGATGAATATAATTAGATTGAATCTCATCAATAATTAATACAATCAAATGCAACTTTGTTAATAATAAAAGTATATGATAATATTATTTCTTTGATATATAATAGAATGTGATTGAATCTTGATAGAACAATTGGGATAGCAAGAAAAGATATATCAAAGTAATACCAATAAAAAAAAATTATAGTCTTCAAAGGAGCCCCAAACATTGAGATGATGGTTTTTTGAGAGCACCACTGATCTTCTTTGGTGTAACTATGCAATTCTTCCCAATCATTTCCCATGATCTAACCCAAATATCCTTCACCACAGTAGGAAAATGACTTAAGAGCTATTTTTTATTTGATCTTAAGATAATTTTTGGGTTTCTTTCTCCTTCTAGAATGAGTTACACCTAGTAAAGGTCTATCATTACACCCTCCAATGAGAGACACTTTATCTTTAAGGTAAAAGTACAAAAAATGTTGTTGTAATGCATTTGTATATTCTCATGTGGCTTCAAAAGTAAGAAGATTGTCTCATTGAATCAATACCTCTATTTTTTTTGGTTGTATGGTGCACTAGGAATATCTCTTGTGAATTAAAGGCTTAGTTTAATTCTACCACTAACATTGAAAGAAGTAACGATTTATGGTCCTAAACGTCAAAGGTCTTCTTAAATTACAAGATATGAAGCATGGAATGAGTTTATGTATTACAAGGTAATGATAATTGGTAGACAATTTGATCAATTTTTCTCATATTTGATAGGGACCAAAGTAATATAAACATATCTTTTCATTTTATTTAAGTGCTAGATAATATAATATATAAGTTATTATTATTTTTAATAGACAACAAATTACCACATAATAATATATGACTCAATGTTTTCCATTAAATTGAGACTTCACTCTTGTTTATAAAGGAATAAAAATATTGGTTTAAGTGGTCCAAAATTGTATCACATTCTTACAATTATCATTGCACTAAAGCTGCACTTATAAACTATTTTGAAATAGGTGAATTTTGCAAAAGAGTGATAAATAGTATTTTATCAATAGTAAACCCAATAAACTATTTCTATTTTCATGGTCTCTCACATGTGAAGAAATATAAATAAATTTCCAAGCAACAATTCACCACCTCAAATGTGTGGATGATATATAATTTTCATCTAAAAATGATATGTGAGTGGGAAGTTGATCCTCCCACTCACAAGACATGTAAACATCTAATCTATCATCAAAAACATATTTTACTATCTCTTTTTTGCAATAATAAAATATTTTTCCATATTTGTTCCAAATTTATATTATATTTTTTATGAATTTATAAAATATAAACATGTTATTTTTCTTGTAAATAATATAAGAAGCTCTACTTATTTTCCATATTCATATTGATATATGGGATCCTTCCATTATTTCAAAAGTTTGTAGAACACAGAGCCATACTCATGTTAAATGGATCTTCTAACTAAAATATAAATTAGATGTTAATATTATATTTTCTTAATTTTATTTTACTATAAAAAGATTTGAATATTTCATACATATCTCATCTCATATTTTTATATGTAAAGTATAATACATGAGTCATCATGTGTATACATTATAACAAAATGAGGTTTTTGAATGAAAAAATAGTCATTTACTTGTGGTAACTCTAACTCTTCTCTTCCGAAAGCATGTATCTAAGTCTTGTTGTGGCTAAGCAGTCTTATCATCTATTCATTTAATAAATCATCTCCTTCTAAGGTCTTAAAATTTACAATTATAATTGAAATATTGCCATTATTTTATCCCAATGTTTTGCTAAAAAAATAAACTTACTTCTAAGGTTTTTGGGTGTATAATATTTTTTTATATACATAAACACCATAGGGATACATTATATTTCAGAGAGTTCAAATATACTTTTATTAGGAATTTTCAATCTCATAAAGGTTATAGGTTATATCATCCTCCATCAAAAAAGACTTATATTTTAATTCATGTGTAGTTCAACAAAGCTGATTCTTATTTTTCATCCTCCTATCTTTTGGGGGAGAATCAAAATTTTACATACAAAAATGAGAATCATTTCCTCCTAATCCAATGTCTTTGCTACCTAATTTTAATCCTATAGTTGAACAAAGACAACTCTTTACCTTCTCCACCTTCCACAACCACTCATGATCTCATTAATTTCTTCTTAGAAAATGTGAGATTTGGTAAGGTGTATTCACTCCAATGAGATATGGTATAAATTTCCTTTTGGTTATTATGTTTGACGTTAAACTTTATACTAGCCAAAAGAAAGACCTATATATCCCTAATAGGAAAGGAACTACATAATGTAATAAAAAAACATTATTTCCTATTTAATATTATCTTTTATATGATTGTCTTTTACTATCTTATATAATATCTTTATGAATTTAAATACTATAAATATTTATATTACAATTATTGAGATATTATCTAACGAGAAGTAGATATGAACTATGAATGAAGAGATAAAGGACCTAGATAAGAAAAATACTTGAGAAAAATATTACCAATTAGAAAAGGTCGTTGGCTTTAAATAGGTATTTACAATTACTCGCTAACATATATATACGTAATATTGACTGCCTAGAAACATTTACTTCAATAGTAAAAAATAAATATAATTTTAAATTATATTTTTAATAACAATTTACATAAATTTTAAGTTAAAATTAATTTTAAATAAATATATTAAGGTAGAAATTTACATGTATGTTCTACCATTTTATGAAAAAAAATTAGGTCTCAATGTAGTATGTAAATTGAAGAAGATATAATATGGACTTAAACAAACACCTTGAGTGTAGTCGAGTCAATTCACTAGGGTCATGATTGTGATAAAATGTAAACAAAGCTAAAGAGATTATAGAATCTTTATTAAACACTCATTTTTTAAGAGAGATATAATCTTATTAGTGTACTTAATGATAATGTTTTAATTGAGAATGAAGAAAAGGAAAAATAATACTTAAATTAGTGACTAACTAAAGAATTTGATATTTAAACATTGAAAAGATTGAAATATTTACTTGGGATTGAAGTAGCTCATTCTAAGAAAATTTCATATCCCATCAAAGGTGTCTTATGGATATACTACAAAAATATTGAAGAAATTAAATGTAAACCAATAAATACGTCGATAGATCTGAATCTTAAACTTGGTGAAACTAAAGAAGTTGAAGGTATAAACAAGAAAGTGCATCAAAGGTTGATTAGGAAATTGATTCTTTTGTCTCATATGTATCTTAATATTATTTATATAGTGAGTGTAATTAGTCAATTTATGCACAATATAAAAAAATACATCTACGCGTAACTCAAGTTATTATATTATTTCAAAAGAACACTGGAGAGAGATACTTTGTTCAACCGAGGTTACTTAAGATTGACATTAATGATGATTGTGAACAATCAATTCTCAACAAAAAGATCTACCTCAAGATATTGCACATTCTTAAAAGGTAGTTTTATCACTTAGCAAATTAAGAAATGAAAATGTGGTGGCCTAGATAAGTGCAAAATCAAAGTCCTAAGCCATGACTTAAAGTATATGTGAAGTATTATGGGTGAAAATTATTCTTGGAAATTTGAAGATTGAGTTAGATGATCTAATTCGATTCTATAATGATAATAAACTAACAATAAATATGTTTCTCCTTTAAAAGTAGTGATTATTTTTTAGATGTTTTGTTATATGATATTGAATTGGATTATGCATTAGTGGACTGATCCATATGCATAATGTATATCACGAAGTGACTAAGTTGTGGATATAGTTACTAAAAATAGTTTTCATCATCTTATATCCAAATTGGGAATAGATGATATACATTCACCTATTTGAAGTGGGGTATTGAGAATGATGTAGTATTCTTTTATTTCTACTATGTATAGTTACCGTTAATTTTTTTTAGTTGTCATGGACCAAGCTGATATTATCTAACCTATCAACTCACATTGTAACTAATGGTCTAGTATAAAAAACAATCATATGATAAACCCAAGGGTAAGAATGATTTAGGGCTTCAACCTCTCTCTCTCTCTCTCTCTCTCTCTCTCTCCTCATCATCAAATTTCCTAGAATTGAGAGACAAGCAACCATTGATTTTTGACATACGAGAATTTATCACCTACTAAACTTCAAAATCACTTAGGAGTTTAGATACTCAAAGTCACAATTCAACAATAATTTCATAGATTTCACCTTGAGGAAAATGTGAAGTTCACAAGGATAAGTATTGTTAGCCTCCCTCCCTCCCACTCCATAAGGGTATGAGGCAATTAAGGGGTAGGAGTGTATCAAGCGACAACCATACTAAGGGCAATTAAGTAAATCACTAAAAAGACTTGATTTGGGGAAATGGTTATTAAGACATGAGACAAAGGAGAGAAGGGGAGAATAATTTTTTCAATAATGACTTGTGAGAGAAAGATAGCCCTCTCAAATGATTATCACAATGACTCTCTACTATAGAATTTCCCTTCTAGGCTTCAACTACTTGTTTTGTTCTCTTTATTTGACACAATAATAACGCGAAAGATAAACAAGAATCTGGGCTTGAATTCACAAAGCTCCAATCTTAGGAAAGAAATCAGCTTCTAAATTCACATATTCAGAGTCTTCAACCCTTGAATCCACAAAGGGGTGCTTGAATCCACAAATAAGAGAGAAAGATTTTCACAATAGAGAAAATTGATTCAACTAAAAAAGTAAAAACCTCAAGTTACAATGGGGGCCTTTATATTGGCCTAGAAAGGAAGTTAGTCATTCTCAAAAATAGGATCCTGATAGATTATGGGGACAAAGTCTGACTAACTCTGAAATAGCTTAAAAGAGACTTTAATAGATTGAAATCTTAGACAGATCTTCTAAAAATACTTTGACTAACTCTGAAATGACCTAAAATGAACTCTAATGAGTAGATATACTAAAAAAATCTTAGGTACAAACTTCAATAGTCAGAGATCCTTAACAAATTTTAAGTACAGATTGAACCACATTAAAGTCTCTTCTAGAAGGAAAGAGACATAAAGTACCTTCTAAAAGTGAAAGGACATAAAATAGAAAATAAATATTATTTTTCAAACCTCCAGCCCACTAGTGACTTATGTGGGCTCTTTTTTTAGCACTTTTTACTTTATAACCTAAATTTAAGGTAAGTGGGCCCAAATTCAAAGTTGAAACTTTAACTTGTGTCTTGGGCTACATCATTATTGTATTGAGTTTTGATTTCTTATCTTAGAATACTTCAACATCTTACTACTATTTGTGAGTTGTCACATCAAACTTATAAGGACAAAAAATATGTGAAATTTATTTACCTTGCTTATTTCATACAACTCTATCAATATTCATTATTGATTTAGTTCACAAAGTAAAAAAAATTTAAAAATGTCAAACTTATAAAGACTTTGGCCCCCCTTTAAGACTATTATTATACTATTCATAAAAAACTTCATCAATAGTTAATTCTAATTTACTTCCATAGTTTTGATGATCCTCATCCATTGCATATTGAGTATAATGTTAGTGCTATCCAAACATAGAGGAAATAATTTTTTTACCACAATCAATCTTTAGAATTCAAGCATCACTATTTTACATGTACCTCTTCCTTTCACAACCACTCTTATGTCTTCACCACCTCATAATCAAATATTGATGTTAGGAGAAGCCTTAGTTGTTCCATTAACTATGTTGATATAAAATTGTAAGTGGCACCAGAATCAATAAAAAATGTAACTCCTTTAGTGCCCACTTTCCTTCAAAGTTTTATGAAGCTTGAATTAGTTAACCTTGCCACTAAATTAAGGGACCACTCAAGATGTTCCATTACTCTTAACTTGGTCCTTAGGTCTTTCCCTTTTTCATTACTTCCATTGTGTCATCTTCTAAATTTCTATCTAGTTCTTAATCATCCTCATTAACTAAAAAGGTCTACAGCTTTTTCTTACAATCATGTTATGGTGGAGATTTTTCATTACAAGATAAATGTACTCCTTTCACTCTTTGCATTTAGAGTTCCACCTTTGTCACATTTAATTACCTCTTAGTGCCCTCATGTAAGTTTTTAAATGAGCTTCCTTTGATAATAGTAATTTGAAACCCTAATTCACAACTCTGCCCAATGTTGGGTCTACAAATCTAATTGAATCATTTACTATATTTGAAATGGGGTTTGAGCTTCTAGTCTCTCCTCAACTTGAACATGTATTTGTCTCCCTATATCAATTGGGTCTTAACATCTATGAATTGATTAGATGTTTAGTCGACTAGAGGCCATTAAAATGTAACTTAGATTTTAATTTCATACTTCAGTCCTTTGAGTAAGATACTTTCCAACATCTCCTCAAGTAATTATTTCATATAGGACGACATTAACTCAAAATCTCATCTACATTATGCAACTGATCCATATTTACCTAATATCTAGAAAATGTTCACATAAACTACTTACATATGAGGAGACAAAACACTTTAGTAATTAGTATTTAAGATCTTTCTAGTTCATGAATGGGTTCCTTTCATCGGTCTAGTGGAACCACACTAATGCTACATCCTTGAAGCTCACTCTAATTCTGATTAACTTCTCAACCTCTATCATTTGATTCATCACAAAGTAAAACTCTCTCATATACATTTTCGAGCATTGCCCACCCTTCTTGTACTTGACATAGTAGCTATGTCCCATTCACAATGTAAAGTTGAAAGTGTTTTCCACCTTTTGCTATGTTCTTTCATGTTTCTACATTTGTGTCTCATCTCCTACGACAGTCTTCCACCTTCTCTAACTCGATTCTCCCCATCATTTGAGGTTTTCTTTTAGTGCATGTAATTGCATTGATTGTAGCATCAATATCTCCATTGACCTCATCAATTGAGCTCTGTTGCCATCCATTCCCTTTGCATTTTTCTCTATCATTAATAGCCTCTGTAAATCAACTTTGATTTCCGCCTCAGTTCCACATCTAACTCTAACAATCTTTATAGCTGACTCTCTCTTTCCAACAGTCAACCTCAAGTCGTCATTAAATTCTTCTATCTCCTTCTCTAAGTTGTCAATTATTCCATCATTAATTTTGAGAGTCATCAAGCCACACTTTGATACCAATTTGATGAAACTCCAAATCAGAATAGTAAGAGTAATAGAAAAGAAGATCAAAGCAATAATAAGAATAAAGAGTTTAGGGCCCTCAAAGAAACTCTAGGCATCCAATGATGACCACTCAAGAGGGCCCTCTATCTCTTGCCGGAACAATGCAATTCCTCCACCCTCATATACCCTAGCCCAACCCTAATATACTTCCCATGCTTGGGAAATAATTTAATAGCCCTTTCCTAATTGATCTCAGGATAGTTGTTGGACGTTTTTTCTCCTTCTGAAGTAGGTTAGGTCCACTAGGGGTCTATCAGATCTCCACAATAATCGATAGAATTTGACTGGATTTTCATAATATCAAAGAGAATCTGAATTGATTTCCACAAGGTGATAGAGTTTGTTGACGTTCAGTTACTACCTGATGCAATTTTCAGATTTACAGAGTCAGAGATGATAGAAAGAGTTCCCAAATCTATGAGTATGGGTGGTACCGATGCCGATGATCCTTCTCGCGAGATGAGTGTGAAGAGCCGTGGTGACCTCCATGGTCTGAAAGAGAGATGGAAAGTCAGCGCTATTCACAGGGCAAGTACCCCTGAGCTGCTAGATGGCTCACCTCTGGAGGAATGGCGCCTTGACCTCTCAGAATGGCCTAAACCAAAGATCATAAAGACGAATTCAGTCAAAGATTTTAAGGCGATGGATAGCAAAAATCTTATTATTTCTAAGGAAGACTGATCGTCTTCTTAAATGCTAGCTTGGAGAACAGGAACTGAATCGTAACCAGGAGATAAGACAGAGAAGACGGGTTCGATGATTACTGGACGCCTTGTCCCTGGAGGATCGCCTGTTTCGATCCCTGAGCTTCTCCTTGTCCCGGTCACTTTTCTCCGAACCTCTGGCCCTGTCATAGTCTCGGCTGCTCTCCCTCTCGCCATCGTATTCTCTGCTCCTCTCACGGTCCCTAGCCTTTGGCCGCTCCTTTTCTCTTTCCCTGCTCCTGTCGCCATCTATGTCGGACCTGTGGTCACCGATCTTGGGCTTCCTAGCCAGGTCATCTTTGGCTTCTCCATCGCCTGGCACAGATTTAGTATCATCGTCGCTCTTCTTCGTCTCCTTCAATTTGTCAATCGACATTCTTGTTCTCACCTCTTTCGAAAGAGTAGCGTCTAAATCTATCAATGTCTTTGGGGGCACATTGTTGCTTGCTGAATCATCCTGCGGACTTTCCTGTTCGAGTGATTCAATGAGAGAGAGGGAGACAGAGAGAGAGAGAGAGAGATCATTACCATTACCATTACCAACCACAGAAGAACGAAACTGAAGAGACCAACAAGTACACAGTATCTGATACCTTTGGAGCCTGCGCCTCTGGAGTTCTAGTTATCGCTGTGAATGAATCTTTTTCTTTGCACACAGAAATATACTGGGCTTTGGGGAGACTGTACAGGTGTGCAAGTACTCTGCACACTTGTTCGATTCCGGCCTTATCTGCCTCAAAAACCAGCCACCACGGTGGGTTCTCAGGTAGTGGAATTTGGAACCTGCGTGCTGCCGCGTACACAACTCCACAAGCTACGACCTCACTCTTGAATCGGACACATAGCGTTGTTCTCAAGCTACGTAAAACAAGAGATATCATAATTTAGTGACAGGAGAAATGCTAGCTGGGCATGGCATCAGCTGAAGGAATGAACGCATCTTAAACTAAATCGCATCTTGCAAAGTTCAGAAATATCCTTTTTTAATCCATTCTGATCTCAAAAAGGAGGAAGAAACCCACAAGAGGGGGAGGGAGGAAGAGAAAGATAAACGGAATAAGAGAACCAAAAAAACTAAGGTTTGCTATTAAGAACCCTTCATCTTCCCGGGAACTTTATGTTTTACTATATTTAACCCGGGCCATATTTACGTAAGTTGAACCTTGCAGCAGAGAGAAAAGATTAATTTGACGAAACTTATGAATAAGTTTTTTTGGTGTAGTTCTTCTTCTAAGTTCACTGACTCTTGGTAGCTCAGAGGTAAGGAAAGCAGGTTTTCGACTCAATGTGCCCAGATTTTTTATATGTTGCCTTTTTTAACCATATTTTGATTTCCTTTTAAAAATTTACAGCAGATCCGTTTCTTCTGAGTACAATATATACCTACAAACTTCCCCATTTCCCCCTTTCACATTTTCTACGGTTCAGACATCTGTAATAGGATGCAGAACAAACAACAAGTACATTTCATTCTAAGGACGAAAAATAAAAATAAACACATAAGAGGAACACACTAACGTTCTATGCTGAAATTTGTTCATATTTTATTTAAATAAACAAGCCCACAACATTACACACGATAATTTAATAAAAATTATTAGTATTTGCGAGTACCTATCATTGGCTAGGTTCCATGCCTCCTGCCTGAGCTCAAGAGGTGCTCCGAGGGTGGCAAGGTAATTGGATATGAATTTATGGGGGTGCTCGACATGGCAGATGAAGCCCATTTCCTTTAAAAGATCTTGTTCTGTTTGAATCAACTCTTTATATTTCTGTAGAGAAACCACGAATGTCAGCTGTGCATAATTATCTTCTAGTTGATTAAAATACAAGAAATATTATTAACTTATTATTTTATAGTCAATATCGCTAAACCCAGTCTTCGGTTCAGGACTAGATTGCTGATCAGCACATAAACAAAAAATCGAGAAAGATGAATGCATATTGTAGGGTTGAAGGACAGTATGGAGACACAAAAATCGAGAATAACCGTATGCACAGTTGAAAGAACAAGCTATTAATCGTACTATCTGAAAAGCATATAATCAACAGCATACTTTGTGGGATCAAAAGGAAATGGATTAAAAGCAAGCTCACCTTTGAAAAAACGTCAAAATGTTGTATCGGCAGATTCTCCCTTCTTCATTCCATTCTGTGAAAAACTATAATCACATGCTTGGCTTTTCTTGGACACTCCTCCAGTTTCGAGGCTAACCATACACAACTTGCAGCGACCCTCTATATAAAAAAAGAAAAAGCTAATAATATGAATATCTGTATTCAAGTACCATAAAAGGGATAAAAAATGTACATTTTAGTTGTCCTTGGGAATTAGTGATGATTCTTTCCTTAGATGAATTTTGAACAGCAGGATTCTAGCCATGCAACAGAAATTGCTTTGAGAGACATGGAATGGCCATGACTTTAACACATGTAATAATAGAGAACGTCTCGGTTTCAGTTCCTTCTTTCAGTCAAAGAGAGAACACACAAAGAAGCATTCTAAGTTTCAGTTCATTCTTTGGTCAAAGAGAAAACACACAAAGAAGCATTCTAAGTTTCAGTTCATTCTTTGGTCAAAGAGAAAACACAGAAAGAAGCATTCTAAGTTTCAGTTCATTCTTTGGTCAAAGAGAAAACACACAAAGAAGCATTCTAAGTTTCAGTTCATTCTTTGTTCAAAGAGAAAACACACAAAGAAGCATTCTAAGTTTCAGGTCATTCTTTGGTCAAAGAGAAAACACAGAAAGAAGCATTGTCAGTTTTAGTTCATTCTTTGGGCAGAGAGAAAACACAAAAAAGAAGCATTCTCGGTTACAATTCATTCTTTATCAATGAGAAAAAAAACAAAGAAGAATTCTCAGTTTCATTTCATTCTTTTGTCAAAGAGAAAACACATAAAGAAGCATTCTCAGTTGGCGAAGAATCACTCCTGTGCCACCACCTATGGTAGGCTTGCACTTGGCAAGCTAACCAGAAAACTAATTTCCATATGCAACGTCTGTGTTACCCAAGTCATTTGGCCCACAACTTTTATAGGGGAGACAGAGGAGGAGGTGAAGGGAGAAATAGAGGTATAGAGCGTTACCTTCACACCAAACCGGGCAAAAGACTTTTTGCAATAGAATCTGTGGAAAAGAACTTGTCCTGTGGCCATGACAGCTTGCGGTCTGAAGAAGTCAAGATAAACATAATGCATGATAGAACAAATGACGTAAACGCACGGGAAAAATAATTAAAAAATAAGAAATGTTCCCCAACAATCCAACTTCCACGAGAAGATACCTACATCACAGAAGACACTGGGAAATGCAATACAAGCAAATAAAATATAATCAAATTCAGAGACTTAAAAAGGATACAATCGAAGTAAGATCCCACTCTCCTGAATGAGGTCGCAGCCATAGATCCGAAGAGTTGTTTCTGTGGCCTCATCTATTCCATCTTTCCGAGAAGGGGAATCTTTCAACTGCTCATCCGTCAAATAAAATGTGTCAATTGCAGTGTAAATCATTTCCGCACAGCCAACAACACCTGCAGAAGAAACGGAGAAGCACATGAGCTCAGACGATTTGATCAACATATACCCTCATTTAAAGAAGTTCAAATATTGAACGAGTAAAATACGCCGACTTGTGTTGCATGTAACCGTTCAGAAACAAGAACTCAAATCTGAAAATCTTTGTAAAAGACCCAGTGCCTTCTTCGCGATTCGATTTTCCACTAAAAATATTGATGGGCCCAGGTCAATCTGTAAAACCAATTAAACCGGCCACGGCATTGTTAATAACACGAGATTATGTTCACGCAACATATTTACGGATAGCTGTCTTGTCTCCAAAATGTGGTGAGTTCCTTCTTTCAGGTTGAGGAACAGGCTCTAAGGAAGTTCGTTATCGCCAGTTTAAAAAGATAACACATAGGAATTTCGGTCTTCCTTTGCTTCTCACGCATACTGCTGGATTTTATATTCCGGCTGGATTTGAAATTGCCTAATAGATTATATTCGCAACAATCTCAGTCCCCAGGGCTTCCCGGTTTCGACATATCGATTAGAAAAGAGGAGGAGCGGTGATTGGAAGGTCCAACAGCATCGGTTGAAGATATAACCTCGTAGTGAATAGTTTGGCAGGAAGAAAGAGAGGGTGAGGGCACGGGGGAAATTCGGATTGGCGGGTGAGGGCTCCTGTAAATATTATCACGGACGGAAGGGAAATTCATAAATGAGGATCGCAAATGCAAGCAACTTCGTTAAGGTTGAAATTATGGGATATCATGTGCACACGCTCAAACAGAGAGGATTGGGATATTGACAGTACCGTCGGAGGGTAGGTGTTGCAAGATGTTGACACAAGGACGGCGGAGCTGCCGCGTTCGTAGATCCTCTCCGATCAAGTTCCCGCCATGGGGGACGACAGCTACCAAGGGAGACCGATGAGCGACCGTCGTCGCTCGTTTTAATTATAAAGGAACTTATGTACCATATTCAAAGTGGCTCTAATTAAAAAAAAAATCTATTTTTTATCAACAAGCTAATTATTTAAATATAAATTCCCCATTTTACCTAATCACGAGCTGATCTTCATGCGCGTATTTTTTATTTAAATGTACGCATATTAACTCCATACTAAAAATGATATTTATTTTCCTTTTATAAATAAAACCACAATAATTTATTTTTATTTTTTTAATTGAGATATTCTGAGGGGGAGAGAGAGAGAGCGGTCTGATTCACAGAAGGGTCAGCCAGCCTTCAGTCGGTTCGGAGTATTTCCGGGGGTAAGTGATACCGGTAGGTAGTTTCTACTCTCTCTAAAGATATAAATTGGGGGAGGCATGCCGTCAGATCAGCCGGAAGGAGACTAGGAAGGAGAGGGAGGAGAGCGGGGGAACCAGGGGAATCATGATCGTGCGGGTGCGAAGCCGCGATGGGCTGGAGCGGGTCACCGTTCCCGGCGCCGCCGACGCCACCACGGTGGCGGAATTCAGAACCCTAATTGAGGCGCAGCTTGGCGTGCCGGTCGCCGGGCAGGCGCTGTCGCTCGATCAGAACCTCCTCCTGGCGAAGACATCCGATCAGGCGGCGCTCCTCTCCGGCCACCTCGCCTCCCACCCCCATAGGACCCTCGCTTCCCTCGGCATCTCCCATGGCTCCGTTGTCTTTCTCTTCTACGACGGCGAACGCTCCGTTGCTCGGCCGCCGGGAGCGGCTGCTGTCACACCCGCCGGGTCGTTCGGCCGGAAGATGACCATGGACGACCTCATCGCTCGCCAGGTCCGCATTACCCGCCAGGAAGCCCCCCATTGCGACGCCGTCTCCTTCGATCGCGGCGCGGCTGACGCGTTCCAGCGGTACGTCAACGAGATTCTAGCGTTCTCCGTGAAGCGAGGCGGCTTCATGTACGGCCGAGTCGTGGGGGAGGAGAAGAAGGTCGAGGTTGAGTTCATCTACGAGCTGCCGCAGCAGGGGACGGTGGATCACCTGTCTCTTCTGCGAAACCCCGACGAGGAGGCCTTGGTAGAGGCGATTGCGGCTGGACTTGGCATGCGCAGGGTGGGATTCATATTCTCTCAGGCAGTGGGGGCCAAAGGGGCTAAGGGGGAGTACACAATGTCGGCGCAGGAGGTCCTGCAGGCGGCGGAGCTGCAGGCAGAAAGCGGGCTCGAGGAGTGGGTCACAGCGATTGTCAAATTGGAGGTGAATGAGGAGGACGGTGGGGCAGACGTACACTTTGAGGCGTTTCAGATGAGCGACACGTGCGTGCGGCTTTTCAAGGAGGGGCTGTTTGTGACGGAGATCGAGGAAGGAGCAGATCCAAAGCTGTCGAGGATGAAGAAGGATGTTATTGCTGGGGGCAAGGACACAAGAGAGGTCGACAATGACTTCTTCCTCGTCCTCGTCAAGATCTCAGATCACCAGGTCCATTTACGATGAACTAATACTCTATTCCGCTATGAATTTCTGATTAGAACCTTTTACTTGTTTATGTTTTGCTTGCCGTATTCTCTTTCCCTCGAACAGAATTACTCTGGTTTGTAGATTACTTGGAAGCTCGGAAGCTTCCATCTTTGCTGATCTGTTCATTCCATGCTTTAATTTATTTATTTATTTATTTTCTCAACTGAAAATGTCTTGATTTTAATAACGGTTTGAAGTATGAGGTCAAAAAGACTTGGAGCTCACGAAGATGTACTAGAATTAATCTCCTTGTTTTCCACTGCTAAATGTCACCGACAAAATGGATTACCAAATGCTTGAAGTGCGGAAACAATCATATCCTGCAGATGTCTCCCATCGATCCCACCCTCATCTATTTTCTGATACGCTTAATTTAGGACAACAGGGATTGGGTTCACAAGTTGGGATTTTTTTCCTCTTTTCCTCTGTAGCATACTAGAACTACATCAATTATGTCTCAGAGATGAACTTTGTCTGAAACTTCCAATTTCTGCCTAGTTGCTTGCATCCAAATAACAGATTACAGTTGAACTATTCTATAAAAACTGTTATTTTAAGGAAGATGGGGAAATTAACTGAAAAACCTTGGTCTGAACGGTTATCCCGCATCCTGGAAAAGGTTCAAATGAAGCTGGGTTTGAGAAATCATCTCCATTGGGTTTACTTTTTTGAGGGAGAAACTAGTTTACTTTTATGAAACAAAGAGATTGGGTCATATCTTACTGAAAGGGAACGAAAATGAGTGTCTTTCCAAACTAGTTTTTTTTTTTAATCTCTCCAACCTATCCCAACCCCATCGCAGGGAATTAAGTCCTTCCCTACTATTCTTCCTACTTATCAGTGACACGCTTTTCACCTTTGATGCTGAACCTCCTCCTCTGTCACCCCCCCTTTCTAGTTATCAATCTATCTATATTTCTATATTTCTATATATCTATCTATCTATCAATCTATCTATAACTGAAAGAAATGATTTTAATTTTTAATGGAGGTACTTTGGATCAGGGAGTTTATGTTCTATTCAAGACCAAGAGTTTTGCATTGAACAGACCAAAGTGCTTTAATTATTGTGTTGCCCAAGAACAACGAGAAGGAATGGCACGATCTACTGCTATGGTGGTTATCTGTCTTCAATGCTGCTGGCGGTAGACTGTACTAGGGGATGGCCTGCCTACCTTTGCCAGAAATATTAGGACAACGGCTCCTATAGGCTTATTAACCTTTCAGTTCCACCATCAAGCATCTTCTATGGCCATCTGACTGTTGGAAAGCTTCAGAATATTTTTCTTTCTGTTCATTGCAGCTCTGTCAAACGGGTCATTTTTGAAGTCCAGGCTTTTCTATCCCAGCGTACTGTTACATATCCCTACTAGGGAACTATTTGCCAATACAGACGTCTCATCTAGCATGCTCATCCATGTCAGCATTTTATGGATTTTCATATGGAACTACATTCTTAGGAACTGTTGCTCCCGACTATGTTTGAGAGGAGCAAAGTTATATGAGCGTCGTAAAGTTGGAGAATTATGTGGTGCTTCAAGTATATATATATGTGCATTTATTTTGGATAAAACCCCTTTTTCTTCAGTACAAGGAGTGAAAAGATTATTTCGCACTTCTTTGATCATGTTAAATTCTTTGGATATTCACTTTCATTTTCAAGATTTTATACTAATCGATTTGAATTCAACGGAAAGCATCCACTTAGGAACCTTAAATTTACTGTACAGTTGTGACGCTTGTTCAAAAAAGAGAAAACCAGAAATTCGTATGACCCAGTTTTCTTGATGCCTACCTTCTGGGATTCCACCTTAGTTCCCGCATTCTCTTATCCTTTATTATTTTTGTGTGGTGTATCTATGTAGTTTTAGGAGTATATACTTCTCTTGATCATCTTCCACCCGCTGACGATGGCATTTTATTTGGTGCTGCGCTTGCGTCCCTTATCCCTCTTAATTTCAACGATCTTCATTGCCAGATGTGAATTTTATTGAACTCTTGCATCTTCATTGCCAATTGGGAATGCCCTTCCAATTTTACACAACGAAAATTAGCCAAATATTTTTAGTTATGGAGCCCAGAAATCCCCTTAGACTCACAGAAAAGTTGGCTAGTAGGAACAGAGGGAATTTTTTGGAAGGCTTGATCGGGGGTTTTGTTTGAAACAGATAGTGGTTCATAGATGGTTAGTTTAAGGAGAATACTTGATTCTTACTTCAACATTACGTGAAGTATGAATGGGCCCTTTTGGAATTGTGCGTAGAAGGCAACACTGACTTGCACAGCAGCATTCTTCCTCGCATAAGAAGGACGATTTTAAGTGGTAAATTCCACGCACAGTGCATGTAAACAATCCTGCGCCAGTTGTCCAAGGATATGAAAAATTATGTGGTAGACGTATAATCTCTTTTTTGCGTTATTTAGCTAAGTTCACCTACCCATGAATCACTAGATTCGACCAGTTCGGGTTCATGGCTCCAAAGAGAAAAAGGGGAAAGTCTAGAAAGTTTTTGCTTCTGCTGCTTTGCGAGAAACCATCTTGTCCAGGGGAGACCAACCAGTAGCCTCTGCTGAATATTTTTGATGATAATGCGTCCATTCAATCTACGTTCTAGAAATTTACTTAATTAGCCAATAAACATTGGGTCCTGCTGGTTTCCTTTGATTGCTCCCAAATCAATTTCAACGGTAAGCAGCATAAGAGTTCATCTTATCCCTTCCTTGGTTCATCTCTTGTATATGCCTTCCATGCCATTTGATGATGCTGGGCACCAAAACTTCAGGCTGTTTCACGAATTCAGGCACTTTGCCCATCTCCTTCTCTTCCTCAGTTCATCTCTTTTACGAGATTTCAATGCATAAATCTGAAGAAATTCATGAAGCGTTTGAGAACTTGGACACCAGAGGGGAACCCGATGTGAAGCTTTCTCGGTGGTTTCTTCTTCCAGGGCGTGCTCTCATCTTCCTTCCCGGTGGAGAACCGGATCACCACGGTAACGATGCGGGCGCTGAAGAACCACCTGGACCGCGGGAAGGGCCTCGCCTTCGTCAAGCGGATCTCGGACTTCCACCTGCTCCTCCTGCTGGGGCGGTACCTCGACGCGAACGCCGACGTCCCCGCGCTGGCCGAGTGCGTGCGCGCACAGACGCCCGTCCCCGAGGGCTACCAGCTACTGATTGAATCCCTTGCCAGCGCCTGAGCACCTCCGCTCCCGCCGGCGGGGGCTGGCCCTCGGACAGTGGAGGAAGGTACTTTGGTTCACGTTTATGGAAGGGCTGGCGGCGGGGAGTCGCTAGTTCTGTTTAACTTATTCGTTCAAAGAAAAAAAAAATACCCCTTTTTTTCGTCATTTCCGTTTTGACGTTGACTTTAGTGGCCCGCATTGGCTTGCCCTTCGTTTGCTGAGGCTGCCCACCGTAGTTTACGCGAAATGCCCCATTTCGACTTTTGACTTTGACGACCCACCTAGCGGCTTACGTAAGGTGCTGACGTAAGGTTTTGCTCGCTATCGTCAACTCTCTAGCGGTCCCCATTGATCTGATCTCATTTGATCGGATCAGATCAGATAGATGTGCATAGCAACCTGGCAGACCTAAATGGCTCCAAACCGTTTGGCGGTTCTTAGACCACCGATGTGACTCTCTCTCTCTCTCTCTCTCTCTCTCTCTCTCTCTCTCTCTCTCCTTGGCCTGGGCCATTTACGCCGCTCTGATACGGTACGGTGAAAGAAAATTAGTCAACCGGATGTCATTTTTCTAAGCAGAAAAGAAAAAAAAATACACTGTATGTACGTCCAGCAGGAGCGGACGTAGCGTTATGAAGAGAGAGAGAGAGGGGGCCCTTTCCCCAGGCTGCTCTTCTATTTATTCAGCGAGATGCTGCCAACCGAGACGCGAACGTTCTTCGCCGGAGGCAGGCGGAGGAGGTCTTCTTCTCTACGAGTTGACGACAGCACAGGTCCTCCTGATCTCCCCGGCGGCGCCGGTGAGGGCTTCGATGGCCCCCATCTTTTTCATCGACTGCCCAAACTCCGTCAGGAAATCCGACGACCCGAGAAGCAGCTTCCCCACGATCTTGCTCGACCTCGTGTCTGTCAAGAGGTGGCGTCGGACTGGAAGAAGCCCTTCCCCTGCTTCAGCGCCTGGTAGTATTGGTTGTCGAAGGAGACGCTGCTGCCGGGGTCCATGCCGACTGTCGCCACTGCATCGCCCGGAGGGCACTGGCTCTTCAGGACGGCGGCGTAGGTCGCGTTCAGCGCCGGGTCAGTGTCGCCCTTCCCCGTGAAGTTGTAGAGCCTCCGGTTGATGATGCTGCAGTGCCTAACTCCGATTGTGTGCGCGCCGGAGAGGACGACGAGGTCCTTGAGGGTGAGGCTCTTACTCTGGAAGTTCTGCAGGAGGGAGGTGAAGTTGGCGTTGGGCCCCGGGATGTTCCCCGCCGTCTCCGATGCCCGCGAGACGAGCCCGTCCCTCCTGCCGGTCTGCACCTTCCACGCCGACCTGTTGATCTGATCCACCACAGAAGCAACTGTAAAAAAAAATGAGGGAAGCTAAAATGTAGCGAGAGAGAGAGAAACTGAAACCCACACTTAGGGTTTCAGTTTTCTCGTGGAGGAAGACGGAGATGGGGACCTGGAAGGAGACGGAGTCTCTGCTGGCCATGGCCAGAACGTCGGCGCAGGAGACGATCCCCGGGCACACCGCCTCCACGGCGGCCTTCGCCTGCTCGACGACATCGAAGCCCTGCAGCGTCCGGTTGGGGCCGGCATCCTTCTCGGCGGTGCTGTTGGTCGTCGTGTTCAGCAGCACCGAGGCATCGCAGCCCTGCGACGAGGAGGAGATCAGTAGAAATGTAGGGATATTTATACAGACTGACTAGGTTATTCGAGGGTCTGCACCCTGACGAAGCAGTCGTGGAAGAACATCCGCACGAGCTTGGGGGGCAGGGCCGAGTTGGCGGCGACGTTCTTCCAGACGACGTCTCTGATTATCTTCTCTGCCTGGGGCCAGCGCCCTCCGCAGTCTGAAAGCAACCCAAAAGCCCTACCAGGGCCAAGACGAAGAGGAAGAAGGTGGCCCTCATCTTCCTTCTCTCACTAAACCTCGAGCAAACTCTTATCGGCACTCCCGTCTACGTCTGTCTCTACGCTTGCATCCCCTCCCATACCTTCGTTTTATAGACGGTCGGCCCTGTCCCGGCGACGTTGTTTATGAATTAGGCCATGTATCTGATTTCCACCTTGCTGCACCTTTCTTCATAAACAGTGTCGCCGGGAACAGGGCCTACCGTATATAAAAGGAAGGTATGGGAGGGAGTACCGATTAGAGTTTGCTCGAAGTTTAGTGAGAGAAGGAAGATGAGGGCCACCTTCTTCCTCTGCGTCTTGGACATGTCTATGTTTTCCACGTCCATTTCCTCTCCCTCTCTCTCTCTCTCTCTCTCTCTCTCTCTCTCTCTGTAGTCATCAGTACACTATCCCACTCCTACGATCCTGCCAAAGGGAAGCTCGATTAATATAATCATCAATTAAGATTTCTTCAATGCTCTTTGTCTCATGCAGGCTCTAGATATATATATATATAGCGAGAGAGAGAGAGAGAGAATATGGAGCCTATCACACGCGATATCATCCACGCTCATCGATGGATAAGATTATCTCTCTCTACTCTATAGTTCATTGTCCCACTCATTCTACCATGAAATGACGATCCTGCCAATGAGGAGCTCGATTCATATACTCGTCAATTAAGATTTCTTCGACGTTCGTCATCTCATGCAGATTCTAGAGAGAGAGAGAGAGAGAGAGAGAGAGAGAAAGAGAATATGCAGGCAGGCTTTCGCACCAGATGCAACCTATCACACGCGATCTCACCGGCGTTCATTAACGGATAAGATTCCTTCTCCGCCATCCCTAAACCGTCGAAAGTACGCCATCCCCACATGCCTCACCGCGGGAGCGGTCAACCGCATCCCCACCGACTCTCGAGGAGGCGAGCAGCTGCTATCCGCCGGTCCACGAATCTCGAGGCTTCGGGGGATCACGTCTCCGCTCGAACTATTGGTTTTATCGAATGTCAACGCCTCAGTTTCGGTTGACTTCCTCCTCGACCCTTCCGAACAATAATAGTCAAATATTATTATCCTTATTAATATAAGAAATACTGAATAGTAGCAAGTTAACCTGGTCCGCGAGGATCATCATAATAATACCTCTAGTCAACCTGGGTACCTGGGGGGAATCGCCACATCTAGATCTAGATTAAGATCAGCCGGCCTCGATCCAGGTCCAGCCATGCCCAGCCATCTTCGCAGACCCGCTGTCGATTTCAGCTATGCCAACCGGGTACGCCCTCAAGTACTCGCATATTTACTAACATCAATGGTTAACTCTGGACGCCGCCGTATGATATTATCACTGTAAAGTATGAATTGAGATTTTCCCGTTGACCTTGATATGATCGGAGTAGACCGACCTTGAGAGCCTGCTGGACTTCGGCTCATCCCGAGTTTGACCTGAAGAGCCGGAGAGAGAGAGAGAGAGAGAGAGTAGAGGGTCCTCCAATTTTTTTAGCTTGTATGAGGGACGTGGATTTTGACTTATGCGTGCCAACGCTACGGGTGAATGACACCTAGCTTTGACCCGATTAAAAGATCAGGCTGGTTTCTAGTGCGAGGAAGAAGAAGAAGAAGAAGAAGAAGAGGATAATAATAATAATAAAATATAAAAAAACAATAATACAACTGCCCCTTTCTCATTTGAGCCATCTCACGCCTTTCCGAGCCAACGGAGCAAAATAATATTCCGATAATTTGTAAGTGCTAAGAAAATCTAACATACAATGTAAAGGCGAGTATAAAGTCTCAAAGTGACGTTGACCCGGTTCTAAGAAACGTGCGGTTGAAAGGATAGGTCAACTCGGCCGGTTGACTTTTGAGCACCATGCAGCGTAGGAGACGATGCTTGGACAGCCTCTGCAAGCGAAGGTACGAACCTCGAAATCTCACTAAAGCGGAACCGAACGCCCAGCTTAACAGCATCATTGACTTACGAGCCCACACCGGACGCCGCAGCGGCCCAATGACTCCGTGTTCTTAAATTGGGCCGTGGAGAAGCGTTGTGGGCTTCCACGTGACGCGGGGGGCTGCGCCGCTAAGAAGGTCGCCGGCGGCAGAATCGGTGGATCTCCCGCCAGGCGTATCTCCGGCGGCGACCGCCTCCGGCGGGCGGAGCTCAAAGGCGGCGCTCGGAAGGGTTCAAAATCCCCATCTGGAAGGGACATAAAGGCGGCGCGCTCTCCTCCCCGTGATCCCTTGAAACCGCGATCCCGCGACAAGTGGCCGCTGCAGCAGAGCGCTGTCCCCGGAGCTTCGGGCGAGGCGGCGGCAGGCTCTCCCCGCCGGCAGATGGGGAGCCATTAAAGCGACCGGAGAGGATTATTATTAGCCCTGGCCAGGAGATGGGAAGTAGGTCTGTGATATGGACGCCGCAAGGGTCGGATCTCAGTTTGAAATTCAAACCCTGGGGGAGGGAACGTTTGCGCCAGCCAACGGCCCCCCCACACACACTCTCTCTCTGTGTATTTATTTATTTATTTCAGAAGGACGGTATTTCCGTGGACAATGAGATAAAATGGTCCCTCCTTATAATTTTCGCAATAATTAAATGTATTTTAGTCAACTTCCCTCGCCACTAGTGGCCCGTATTGCTAGTAGTTAGGAAATTAGGGAAGTGGACCCACAGGGCCTGACACCCGAGGAGAAACAGCATATCACTCTATTACCGATAATACCCCCACATCCGTTGCCTCGGGAACCGGACATATGAAAAACATCGGAAATACCCTTGAGGAGGGGAGTGACGGATCTCCGGAGGCGGCCATCTTTTTTAACGGTAACCTGCTACGTCGGGTGCTAACGGGAAGGGATCCACCCCGACCCATTGGGCGGCCACAGCGTCGCGACAAATTGGGGGTAGGATGGTCAATTCAGGGGAGCGCACTCTCGCAGACACCGAGGGGTCAAAAAATTTGAATCGAGTGGCCGTTTGGCGTCCGTTCTCGGCCGACCCAGTTCGAAATGCTTCCATTATTACAGCGGGAGCCCACCAAATCCGCGGAATTCGAGGCTTTTCCATTCTCTCTCCCTTGTTGTTGTTCTTCTTCCTCCTCTCTGCTTCGAGAGAGAGAGAAGGGGAGGGCAATGGCGGGGGTGGTTATGGTGTCCACCGGGTGTAGAGGGGGGGAGGGAGGTGGAGGTGGTGGTGGGAGCGGAAGGAGGGGGAGGGTGGAGGAGCAGCAACAGCAGGAGAATCAGTTCTCCCTGGTGGAGCTGCTAATGGCGGCCATAAGGAGGTCCGTGGTGGCCTGCCGGGTGGAGCGGCACGAGGACGTCTCCTCGGCCGTCGACCAGATGGAGATCGGGTGGCCGACTGACGTCCGGCACGTCACCCACGTCACCTTCGACCGCTTCAATGGGTTCCTCGGTCTCCCCGTCGAGTTCGAGCTCGAGGTCCCTTGCCGTGCCCCCAGCGCCAGGTGGTTTGCGTTCCTTCATATTTCCCCTCTTCTTCCTGATTGATGTCACTCCTCGCCGGATTTCTTCTTTCTGCTAGCCTGTCTTTCGGCTCTGGTCTGCGATACCTCCTGTCGTCGTGGACGCCTTGGATTTCTGAAATCCTGGTAGATCTTAGCGTGCGGATATTTGACCGCTTCTTTGCTCAAAGAACTAGTACAGATCAAATCTAAATCTAGATTACCTATGATAATACTGTGCTCCTGATACGATTTTTGGTGAGATTTTTTTCTTTTTTTCTTTTTGTGATTTGCTTCGCATCGTTGGAATAGATCATTCCTTGGTTCATCGAACTATGGTTTCTGATATAGAACTTTTGGATCATAGAGCAAAGGCTCACCATTGCGAGTCAACTGTTGTCGGTTTATAACTCGTGTTTCCGCGGCCGCGCAGCGCCAGTGTCTTCGGCGTCTCGCCGGAGTCGATGCAGTGCTGCTACGATTCCAAGGGAAACAGCGTGCCGACCATTCTCTTACTGATGCAGGAACGCCTGTATGCGCAGGACGGATTGAAGGTGGTTGCCCAATCCCTAGCTCTTCTTTGTTTCATGAATCATGATATTCTTCCTGTGCCCAATAATGGAGGGTGTCTGGTAATCTCTCTTCTCCGATCTGCGTTGGCAACAGGCCGAAGGAATATTTCGGATTAATCCGGAGAACAGCCAAGAGGAACTTGTTAGGGACCAGTTGAACAAGGGCATTGTTCCAGATGATATTGATGTCCACTGCCTGGCGGGCCTCATCAAGGTTTGACTCTCCTCCTTCCTCTAATTCTAGTCAACATGGTTAGATAGATTTCCATGTAGTGGGCGCATGAATTGACGCGCAGAAAATTTGATCTTTTTGCAGGCCTGGCTCAGAGAACTTCCAGAGGGAGTCCTTGACGGGCTCTCCCCGGAGCAGGTTCTCCAGTGCAACACAGAGGAGGAGTGTGTGGAATTGGTGAAGCTACTCGCGCCAACGCAGGCGGGCCTGCTCAACTGGGCTGTTGAGCTCATGGCGGACGTCGTGGAGGAGGAGGATCTGAACAAGATGAACGCCAGAAACATCGCCATGGTTTTCGCACCTAACATGACCCAGGTAAGGAATTATCCTCCTACAAGAAGCAGAAAGTCCCCGTCATAGTTGACTTGTCGGATCGATCTGACTGTGGTTCCCGTTTTCTTGGATCGTCAGATGTCCGATCCTCTGACGGCACTGATGCACGCAGTTCAGGTGATGAACTTGTTGAAAACCCTAATCCTGAGAACGCTGAGGGAACGGGAGGAAGCGGAGATGGAAGGGTACTCTTCCTTCTCTCGTTCACCTTCTTCTGACGAGGAAGGAGGAGATGATCTGGACAGCGAGGAGGGAGCCGACATGACCAGCGAGCTCGGGCGAACACCCGAGAATGACAGGGCCCATAATGGGGGATACTTTGAGGAGAATGAGGAGGCCAGCAGGGAGTTCAGAAGAGATGACGACAGTTCACCGGACGATGGTGACCAGGCCGGGGACGATGCTCACAGTCTCGGAGACAACGCCATCTCCAGAGAGGAGGTCGAGCAGCGATTCTTGAGGCTGCTGGAGCTGCAAGGAGAAGAAGCTGCTGCAGACGACGATTCCGGAAAGGATCCCGTCGGACAGGAGGACATGGACGACAGGGATCGGGATCTCGGCTCCGATCTGAATGCGATTTCGGGCATCTCGATGTCTGCGAGCAAAGAAGGGGGGAGCTCGTCGAGTTCGAGTGAAGAAGAAGAAGATGATGATGATCAGGAACAGGAGGAGGACGCCTGGGGAGCTCGCAGCTCCATGACAGACGAATTTTCCGGCGAGAGGAGGTCGCCGTTTAAGCAACTTCGGGGCGAGCTGCAGCCCAGCGAATGCGAATCATCCCGTGTCTATTAAGTTTTTTCTTCTCGTCTCGTTCTTCTTAAATTGTAGGATCTCTCTGATTTCTGCTGCTGATCGGCGGGACCTGTGACTGCTGAACGAACGATCATCTGCCATGATCATTCATGTGTATGTATTATCGGAGGGTTATTGGTAATCAACGAGGGGTTGAGGGTCATGGTGTTCTTCTCAGGGTTCCAGCTCTCTGTGCGTTCATTTCAGCTTCCACGATCCTCGGAGCAACAAGAACTTTTAAAAGATCGCATCCTTTTTTGGTATAAACAATCGAGCCAAATTTGGGTGCCGATCGAACGAGAGATCGATCGGAGAAAGAATGAAAACGAGAGGACAATCAGACATCAAGAATCCAAGCACGCTTCCCAGAAGAGCCGATCCTCCGTCTCAGTCGCCGGATTCTCCGAGGCGACCTCATCGTCCTCCCCACCATCTCCTTCCTCCTCGCGGCAGCGGCACCCGGTGGCATTCTTCATCAACCACGCCCTCCAACTCATCGGCGGCAGGTCTCCTCGCTCATCACCCCGGCCGCCGCCGCCGGAATCGCCGCCGCGGTCTGGAGCCCCGACTTCGTCCCAGTTGCTGGACGCCGCGTCGTCGTCGTCGTCATCGCCGCCGCCGTCGGGTATCTCCGCCGCGCCGGCAGACCATTGCTCGGAGTCAGCAATCTCCTCCGATATTCCCGGAGGCGGTCCATCCTGCTGCACCCATTCCATGGTCGACGAAGGAGAAGAGAGAAAGCTCCGATCTGGTCATGGCGGCTGCCCTCTTCTCCGGCCATATATACCGACAAATCGGGAATGGAGCAGATGTGGCCACCGCCATCGCCGCCGGCTGATGGCCCGCCATGCTCGCTGACTGGTTCTCTCGGCGAGGACCGATCTACCTCCCCCTTCTAGAAGACCCAAGCCATCGGAGAGTTTCACGCGACCACTGGCCGGCGCAAAGTTCTCATTTTTATTTCTGTGTTGAGTTCGGGAGAGGGTAAACGGCCGACATCAAGGTCGCATTCCCTTTCTTACCGGCCTGCGCCGACCCCCAACCCGGCGCCGCCATCGCCCTGTCGCCCGTACGGTAGTTGGCCAGCACCGATTATGTAGGAGGCGAATCGAGCTACGGACAAATAGGCATCCCTGGAATCCGGAATTAGGATGCGCCACGTTGACTCTTCTCCCAAAGGCTGACGTCAGGTCGATAGGATCCAGATTCTTCTGGCTGGCTGATCCGAGTCGACGACGACGAAAGCGGCGATTAGGAAGCAATCATTTTCGAGAAAAATATCTGCGGCGATGCTAATGGGCCTGGGCCTAAAACCCTGTTTCGAATATGGGCCCATCATGGTCTGGAATAAGAAACGGCCCGAATTTTTTTTGGGCCCAGTCCATATAAGGCACCAGTCAGTGTAGCTAGAGAGAGAGAGAGAGAGAGATAGAAACCCCCGATTGGGTGATGGCGGAAAAGACAAAACCCTCGCCGAAAGCCAGAAAAGGGTGCTTTAAATTACGAATAAATGCGAAAGCTCATGTATTTTGCTATCGCGGGAAAATAATATTATAAATATTTAAATCCCCAAAAAATATGGGACTATTATTTATTCTATTAAGGTGAAAAAATGTCATAAATTCCAATATTATATTCTCTTTTTTAAAAAAATCCGGAGGCGGCCGTCTCGTCCTTCGAGAAGCCGCCCCGTCCTTGCCTCATTGTGAGATGCAAAAGGCGTCCAGTTCCCCGGGGCCCACACTCTGTGGATCCCCCCCCCCCCCGTGACGTCACCACGCTCGCCCTTTTCCGTATTATTTAGTGTCGGTCAAATCATTTACCTTAATTCTGTATTAAATGAAGATTTGAGATGGCCCTTTATTTTTAAGTAACTAAATAAATACGCGCATTTAATAATTCGTAAAGAAGTTACGATTACTTTTAGAAAAAGGAGGGGAAAAGGTCGGAGCACCGTCCTTCTACGCGTACGTACCTCCCCGGTGCTCCTGCGACGCACGGGAAGTTGGGAGACTCTGGTCGGTGGTCAGTCAATCACCCTTTTAAAGGTGGCGTGGGTGTGACAAGTGGGAATTCACTGGGGGGCCAGCCATCGATCTCGTGGGCACATGCGGCACCTTCTAGAAGCTCGAAAACCGTCGACGGTTTGGTCCGAAACGTGGGGCTCACCCGGTCCCGTAACGGGCGGACTCGCGTCCAACGGTCCGTCGCCGGATTCCTCCGTCGTCCTCTCCGGCGCCGTCCTCCGTACGACAAAACATCCCCACGCCGGTGGTCATCTGATGCGACCGCCGCCAGTGGTACTCTTTATCTCTATCTCTATCTCTCTCTCGCTAGAGGGAAAAGAAAGAGGGGAGTCGATTTCCTGGGGGAGGAAATGGAGATTACATCGCAGCAGCAATGGTGTTCATGGATACCCAGACTGGAGGCAGGTCTCCCAGAAGAGACGGCTCTTCTCCGCCTCGCTCCAGTTGGACGATTCCGAGGCGGCGGGAGACCGGGCGCCGCCGCCGTCGCGGCCCTCGCTCTTCGCCAAGTCTTCCCCTCCCTCACTCCCTCCGCCTTCTCCCTGCCCCTCGACGCCGCGGCCACCGCCGCCGCCGCTGCCGGAGCTGCACGACTCCTCGTCACCTTCGTCCTCGCCGCCGGCGGGGCTGCGGTCCCCCGGGTGGAACCCCATCTCCTCGGAATCACCGCTCTCTTCAAGCAGCGACATTGCCGGAGTTGGAGGTAGAGGAGGTGGAAACAAGACCTCGGCGCCGACACAGTCCGCCATCACCCGGCCATCAGCCACCACCGGTGGTGCCCATATCAAAAGCAGCAAGAGAGAGAGAGAGAGAGAGAGAGAGAGAGAGAGAGATAGAGACGTCTTCTAGAAGGAGGAAAAGTCGAAGCAGGGTGATGGAAGGACAGATGAGAAGAAGGTTGTTCCCTCGTGAACGCCTGTCCGATTCCCAGCCAACTCATCGAGGGAGGGCCCCGAGACCAATAAAATCCGGCACCTTTTATCGTATATTTTATATTTCAATGGCCCGGACGTTTTTCTCATTAAAAACCAATAAAAATTATCACACATGGCCGACCATTTCAGGTAATTAAATGCTTCCAGCTGCACTCTCTCTCTATACATTCAACTGGGTTTGTTCCACGTGGCTTCTAGAATTGCAGCTGCCCATGACGGCATCATTCCCTGCTTGTGGAGGGCTTGCCTTAAAAGGGAGTAGATAATCCAATTTAAAACCAAACGTTAAAACTTTCCCGATTCAAGCAAGAGCTAAGCGTTTCTGAGATCTCAGGGCTTTCGAGTTATCTACCATCCCTAACAGTTACGAGACCTGCGTGTTGACCTTTCTACAAATAGGCGCCCATGGGCACCATGAAGTCAAACCAAGCCGCGTCCTTAGCTGGGTACCACCGGGTACGACACGGCAGGCTGCTTGATACGGTCAACTTCATGCCCATCTCTCTCTCTCTCTCTCTCTCGCTGTGTCTCTGGTCCTAAGACGAACAAAGGATACAGTTTCTCGTCAGCGACGATTTAGACCACAGATATGTGATGAGATGGAGATATGGGCGCCGGATCCATGATCGGTCTCCTGATGTCTGAGAAAACCGTCAGAATTCGGCCGTGATCAAGCAGACGCGCTACGGAACTCCTCCGTTCGAGGAATCCCCATCTTGGGGGTGACTAGGCCAAACCGCGCTGTACAATTCTTCTCGCAGACGTCGGACATGGGTAGGTTTTTCGCAGATCCAAAAGAAAGAAAAAAAGAAATTAATGTGGGAAGAACGCGAGCTGTTGATCGTCTTCCTCCTCCTCCTATCTTGCTGAGAAGGTCTCACGGATACCCAGAGGCCAAGCAGCTCTCCCAGAACCGCCGGTCCTCCTCCTGCTGCGAGTATCGCCGGCAATCGGGCACCGCCACTCCGCCGTCGCCTTCTTCCTCCTCCTCTTTCTCCTCTTTCTCCTCCTCCTCCGCCGCCGCCTCCCACCGCCACGCTTCCCCATCGCCGGCCTTGCTCCAAGCGCTGGCCCCGTCCTCCCCCCCACCCACGTCGTCCTCGTGCACCTCTCCTCCGGTTCCGATTACCGACTCGAGGTCGTCGTCGTCATCGTCGTCGTCGACGACGAGGACGATTGGACCGTCCATGTCGCGGCCGAAGGCCGCCGCCGCCGCCGCCGTTGCCGGGCCCGCGACGGGGGCGGTGGCCTCCGAGTCGGCACTCATCTCGTCGACGAGAAAGTTGACGGCAAAGCTGAGGAAATCCATCGCTCACTCCAAGTTTCGTCGCCTGAGCGAGACCCCCCTCTTTTATATCCTCGTGGGGTCTTCAGCTGAGCCGAGAGAAGCGGTGGAGGCCCTTAGCTGTGTGCTGGGGGAGGTCGACGTGGAGCATGCCTGCGGGCATGTTCCGCCCTTGATTTCAGGGATAACGTTATCTGGGCCCCACCTAAAACATAAAATCCGCCACCTCTCTCTCTCTCTAGGCTTCTAGAAGGAGGTGATGCCACACGTCTTCTAGAAGAGAGTGAGTGAAGGGAGGGGGAGGAATATTCTTTTTTGCAAGGAAAAAAACGGGCTGAAAACGAAACGTTGCTAGTCACCTTGTCTTATTTGGAACTTCGCTGCAGGAAAACAATGAGTGGAAGAAAAGATCACTCTCAATCGACCCCCTATGGATCAGGGTTGACCGTTCTGATCGAATGGCCTCCGTTAAAGAGACTGCTTTGACCGAGGAGAAGCGGATGCTGATCGTTGACCCAGCTAAGAACATACGAGACCATATTAGATCGAACTGTGAATGGATAAGGTCTGAAGAACACGGCGATTTGATTCAATCCTGATCAAAATCAGAGTTTTAGAACCTCCGATGAGATCCGTTGACCAGATTTGTGGGCCAACTTAGTTCTTGTTCTCTAGCTCCATTGGTGCCTGTTAGAACGATCCCACAAGTTTTTTAAATAATTAAATAATTATTTTTTAAAAGGCGTCGAAGGTAATTTCTAAGGAAGCCGCCACGTTTTATTTTCCCCCAAGTTTGATTAATATTTCAAGAAAAAGGTATCTCTTGGGGCTCGCCGTCCTCGAGAATGAGTCCTCTCTCATGAATGCAGGCAGCTGTCCCTCGAGAGAGACGCGAACCAGCTGATGTCAGGGAACCTAGGAAAGCCAAAACGCTTTCTGGGAATGGCTTCTTAGGTTCTAGAGGCACCATCGTCCATCCTCCGGGCATCATTTTGATCCAAGAAATCGTTTTTTTTTTATATAAGTTGCAGGGAATCATAGATATTTTGAGATCATAATATAACATCCGGAATTAGGTAAAATATTGACTTCCAATGGGTACTCCGGTATGAATTTTCCTCAAGTGGGTTCCTGTGGGCGTCCAAAATTTCCATATAGTTGACCAGATTGGGCTGTTCTCCCTGCCGACCTAGTACAGGGGTCAACGATCAGGGGGTTTGACCCCCGATGTCAAACGTGGGAAGAATAAAAAGAAAAGAAAAAAAAAAGAGGGCGTGATTCAGATTGGCTCAGCCCAACTCTACTTCCGTCTCTGGGCCTTACAAGAGCCCATAGGAACTAGTCCAGCTCGCCGAGGTCAACGGCTTCCCGGATGGAGAGACGAAGACCACTCCTACCCCTGGGAGGAGCCCACAGAAGAAAATTCCGACGGCCTTTCGTAGCCTCGGAACATCTCGAGGCGGCCAGAAAATGGCCGGAGGCATTGTACGGTAGCCCATATCCTTCGGCTGGTCAACCCCCAGCTCTAACCCAGAGGAATCTGACGACGGATGCCGGGGCGTTGACCAACCCGGAGCTTGGTTCTCAGTACCCTACTCCTAGAGACTCTCCCTCTAACATGATACTGAGGGAAGGAAGAAAACGGCTGAAAAAAATCATGGAGATGAAAGATGGTACCTGAAGATGGGATGGCGGCAGAGACCACTGCGGACGGCGCTCCAGGAATCCTCAGCGAGCTCGCAGACCAAGCTGGGAAGTGAAAGAGAGAAGAAAATACTTGCACAGACTACACGAAATCAGACCCATGATTAGTCAACGATGGTCAGCAAGGAAGAACTGGCAATCGACAAAATCGTCAACGGGCTAATTGGGGAAAAAGAAAGAAAGAAATAATCGAAGGATGGATTTGAATCCGAACGAAGAGATGTTCAAGGAAATGGAAATAATCCAATGAATGCCGGAAGATGCATAAATTACAAGTCGAAATGGCGCAAATGCAGCAGCTTTCTAGCGTACTTTCCGGCACTTGGCTCGGGAGGGAAAGCTTCCAAGTCCCACCCTGAAGACCCGGCGAGATTTGGCGACATGTACAGCTCTAATCTACCTTTCATCCACCTCTAGCATTTGATATACACGGGGTGGAACAGGATCCTCCTCTCGGAAATAAGTGTCACCATCAGTATGGTTTTTTCTGTTTGTTCTCTCTCTTAAGCTGCACCTTCAGCTTCTTTCCCCCCAGCTGACACCCATTCATCATGCTGATGGCCGTCTGTGCCGCGGCGGGTGAGTCGTAGCTGACAAACCCTGGAGAGGCGAGCTCGATCAGGGCACAAGGCTTGGAAAGAACTATCAGCTCCAGAAATGGTGGAAGAGGCGAGGGTGGAGGAGGATTACCAAAGCATTTGCTGAGACCAGTTGCCTTGTCGACGAAAACCTTACAACTCAAGACTCTGCCAAATGCTTGAAAAGAATTGAAGAGCTCCTGATCACCAAACTCTTGGGGGATGTGATAAATAAATAAATTAGCGCCGGGGGGACCTGGTCAAAGGATGGGTTGATTCAGTTCATGGGCAACCAAGATGCTAGAAAATAACAGGCAAAAATAGCATTTTTAATAGAAGAATGTCTCGTCGACCTTCAATATTTTCCCCATAACTTGATCTGATGCTCGGAAATGCTGCAGAATCACTGCTCAACATTGTAGGTTGAACGGCGCTGTGGGAATGAGCCAATGGCCCGTGATTCATTATACTCCCATTGTACGCCATAGGATACTGCAAACCTGGGATGGCAGGGTACGAGGGACCCATATAAGCTGCAGACTGCATTGCAGCATAGTGTCTCGGCGCTATTCCCGGAGGGATGGCAGCATTGACGCCGTGTATTGAACCTCTCTGATTACCGGGGGAAGCCATATTATGGTAGGCCGGCTGATTTTGGGCAGACGGCAAAGAGTACTGTACAATTCCGTATGTTCCAGGTGTCTGGAGCGGGGGGAGATGGAGTAAAAGTTATGCGGTGAGCAAAATGCCATGAAAAAAAAAAACCCTAGTTTGCAAAAGAGAAAAATGATGCATCAGAAGGGAAAAATTGCACGTGAATGTGAAAATTTCTAGGCAGATAGAGGACCATGAAAAATAGCGTGTAAGAGAAAGATCATTGACTCAGAAATACAAAGCTGCGAAAATACCTGATAGCTGATTCCATTATATGGAGGGATGTATCCCATTGGTAGAGCTCCGAACAACGAAGGTTGCTGAGCTGAGGGCGCGCTTGGCATATTGGAAGCCTGAAATTGGGCCTTCTGAGCTCTTCTAGCTTGTCTTTCCTTCTCTGAATCCGCCCATTTGACAACTAAAGGTACATTTGAACCCTGACACAGACAAGCGATAACAGAGTTTTGAAGAGATTGTTCCAAAATCAGCACCAGACCAGAAAAATGGAAAACAGTTCACACCATGAAAATTGAATACTCGTGGAAATCGGCAATGAGAGTGATGGGAATTTTACTTTCATCTAAAGTTTTAACAATGGAAGAGTTTGTACCATAGATCACGCTAATTAGCTGTAACTTAATTTACACATTGATAGCCAACGATTGACCTAAAGAAGCAATTGCCCATAGACTCAGGGTTGAACATGAAAGACAAGCAATAGTGGGAAAAGCACGGCATGATTTTGTCCATGTACCATTAGAAATTTCACAACAGGTTCCGAATTTTAATTTCTTCACAAGAAAAATAAGCTAGACCGTAATAGAGTTGTATGAAGACACGTAGGGTGAGAGCTCTGAAAAAGCAATAGGAATTTCAGGTGATGGGATACTAGCAAAGCACTTGGATGCATTATCTCTGACTAATCTAGGTAGCATACATTATTCAACGTCGTAATATGATGCATTCGGTAATGATACAGAAAATATAAGACAGAAAATGATGATGTGGTTTTTTATTTTCATGGGGACGAAAAGGTCACAAAGACATGTGATAGCCTTCAGGTTTCCTTTTTGTTGAAATCCAAATGCGTGTCATGAAGTTCAAACCCATATACGACGTTATGATGAGGTGCATTAGGTAATGATACAGAAAATATAAGACAGAAGATGATGATGTAATTTTCTTTTCCTGGTGACAAAAAGGTCACAAAAATATGTGATCTCCTTCAGATTTCCTTTTTGTTGAATGTACCTACTTTAGGTTTCATCAGAATACAAATTTAAAATTTAGAAAATAGGAAATTTAAAAAAAGTATCTACAAAAAAAATGAGGATACCGTCCTCAAATCTTATGCGTGGCCCCAAATGTCTAACACAAATAATAAAAAGCATAGTTTCCCTTTAGTTTTATGATCTGGACGACGAGTTTAAGATTACAGAGATTAATGCAAGTTTTTCCGAGAAAAAAAACATTTTATGATAGTGTAGTAATGCGAGACTAGTTTTAGGTGCCATTGGTCGTGTACACTACAGAGTGAGAGAATAACTGATTGGCTCATCCAAATCATAATTCTTTCTTAGTAGCTTTCTGAAAGGAATTTTTTGCTCTTCTGGTCCCATGGCATTTGTCTTCAAGAGATACTTTGAAAAAAAAAATCGAAGTCTAGAAAATGATCTATTGTCTTTCAAGGCACAGAGAGCTGGTAGGCAATTGTCACCCAGTGATCCGTTAAGCTGATCCCATCTGTTTTTTATAATTCCATATTGTTCTATTTGGTTGACGCCCGCTCTTCCTAGGCAAGGAGATAATTACATTAATGGCTATCAATTCCATTAAACAATATGCACTGAACAAGAACTTTCCAATTTGTACAACGATCTGAATCAAATGATGAGAAGATAGGAAATATGAAATCATGTGGATCCCGAAACCAACCTCCATCTTGTGCTTTCCGTTTATGGCTTCCAATGCTGCCACAGCTTGATCCTTTGTCTCATATTTTAAAAATGCGCACCCTGCTAGATGAATTCAAATTCAAATCACGAAACCATCTTTTGCGGCATATTTTTCATAAAAAAATGTCTAGTACTCCAATATATATCTATATATATGTGTGTGTGTGTGTGTGTGTGTGTGTGTGTGTGGAAAAGAGGCACTTAAAAACAGAGGAATAAGCAGAACACCTTTGCTTGTCTGTTGAGAGCCTCTAAGAATTTGTATCTCTTTGATATTGCCATATTTAGAAAATAATGTGGAGACCTCAGCATCGGTAACGTTCTTGGGGAGCATACCAATGAATAGCTTGCATTCTGAAATACATAAACAAGGGTTGAGAAACTCCGTCTAAACCAAAATACTAGCATCATATGCTACAAGACAGAATAGAATTCCTGGCATAGTAACCGCAAACAAATACCGGAGAGAAGAAACAAATATTTAACGTCCTGTCATGCGAAATAAATAAATAAATATATATATATATATATATATATGTATATATATCTCCTCTGGAGCTTTACCTAGCCTTTCCAACTCGCCATCTGCATATTTTACTTGCAATGGACTAGATGCCTGGAAAAAGCAGAAAGAAAGCGTTATAGAGATTAAAAACAACAGATGTAACGAGGAAGATCAAAGCCTAGACAATTGTGATCTTGGAATTGGTGACTACAAATGTAGGAAATCGGGTTGCGCATGAATATTTATGAAGCATGAAGTCCATAAAACTTTCATGCCACAATTTAATTCACATCATGATAAAATGCCTCGTGTTAAAAGATTGTGCGAGGCAATTGGTTTTTAGCTGTAAAAAAGGAGGGAGGGGATTCATTGACAATCCTTAATATCGTATATAGATGAAAAGGAAGACCCGCAGCTGATCAGGAGATCATAAAATACATACGAGTGATGATTAAAAAGAACCTTAAATGAAGCTTTCTGTAGAACCTAACAGCCATCTCTCCTTTTTTAATAGAAGTAGTGGTTCCTAGCCTTTGACAAAAGCTCTGATCCAGTCATCTCAAGATTTGTAGGCAAAAGTGCCTGGAACTAGATTGTAATATTATTAGAGCCAACTCCATATCCAAGATATCACTCATCTATGACCGTGGTTATGATCAAAGCGATTGGATTATTCCGGATCCTCCCTTATTCTGCCCAAATAAATCACACATTTCCTCAGGTTCCATGCAGTAAAGAAATTGTAATGGGAGTTTTATTCAAGCACTTCTTAAAAAATTATGCATTGAATCATTTCCCTGTATCCTTTTGTTCTGTGTTTCTCCCTGACGTTGATGAACCAGTTGGAAAGGTTTAAGTGGCTCCACGCACTTTTGGATTCTGATATCCAGTTGACTGGAGAACATCCATTCGGGGTTCCTTCCAGTGGAACCATAAACGAGAGGTTATCCATGTCCATTGGATCGCTTTAATGGCAAGAAAAACCTACTCATTTTTCCCTTACGAATAAGCTCGGGCATGAAATATGTCCAGTGATGGATGTGTTTCAGGATGTTCATATACTATTTGCATAAATTATAAGACATGGCATTAGGCATTCAAGCTTCAAACAAAATTATGCCTTAAATTCTAAACTATCAGCCTAGTTACAGAGACTCTTTGAACAGAAACTCATGCAGCCTGATTTCAACTGTCCATCACAATGATACTAAGGGCTTTCGTAATGATAGCTGAAATTCTAACGGTGCCAACGCTAACTTCTCCGACGAAATTTCTGCCAAATTTGATGTCCTTAATTTTGGGTATTTTTGTATTCTACAACCTTGCAGTACAGTTTTGGTTTGAAAATTACTTTAAATTATCAACTTCCTTCAACGGGTGAAAATAAAACAAACTAACACAGGTCCAGAAAGGCATGCATGTCGAAGATATACCATACATTGCTTCTAATTGAGTGAAGAATTCATGGCTCGGCGGATGAACATAATTTTATATACTTGGCTTTTGTTCCTCGAGCCACTCACCTCAGATGGCCCCAGCATAACCTCAGACTCGTGGAAAAATAGGTCAAAATTTTCTTCCCTCACCGAGAATACCAGACAGAAGACAGAAAGCGACCACGTTGGTCAAAAATAGACAAAAATCAGCACGATAGACTAAATAAACCGGACCCCCAAATGGACAAAAATGTAGATCGAAACCAGAGACAAAGTTGGCCGAAAAGAGGGTGGCGTCGTCCAATTAGCCTACTTGAGATCACGAAGAAAGAGAGGCAACGAGGGGATCCAATGCCGTACCCCTGGCAGCGTCCTCTTGTTGTGGCATGCATCGATTGCCTTATCCGCTTCCTGCCTTGAGGGGCATATCACGAAGCAGCACCCTGCGAGGCCCAGGAAGAAGATGTTCATGCAAAGGCAACCTGCAGCGTGCGGATCTACGAGCAGCAGCCCCGTTCGCATGGCCCTCTATCCGAGAGAGATTCACAATGGAAAGAGAAACGGACGGAGACGAGGAGAGACGAATTAGAGGGAGGAAGGGTCGACTGAAAACCTCGGGATCCCTTGGTGATCTTGTCCTTGATGATGTTCACCTCGTCGACCAGGGCAACCTCCTTGAGCATCGAGAGCAGCTGCGCTTCCGTCATGCTCTTCGGAACCTGCCCCACGAACAGCTTCACACTCTCCTCCCCTCCGCCGCCGCCGCCGCCTCCTCCGTCCCCGGCTTCACCAGATCTCCCCGCCGCCTCGCCGTTGTCCCCTTCCGCCATCCCCCGATCTCCTCCTCCGCCCTCTGAATTCCTCCCCACCCCTCCCCCTCCCCCCTCCGGCTCCTCTCTCCCGCTCGGTATTGAAGTTAGTTCGTTAATCAATGAGAGCCAGTTCTAGCCAAAAAGAATTCAACGGGGCAAACTCCCGCATTGCCGTCAAATCACGATCCCCAGTCATTAATTACCGCCCCAACTCCTCCCCGGAAGAACAAAATACACAATTTTTACTGCTTTTGTTAAATAATAAAAAATCACGGCGCCTTCTTCATCTCATAAATTCACGGCTGCTCTCCCGAAACTGCCCCTCCACACTGCTCATCTCGTAAATTCATGTCCTCTCCCCCCCCCCCGGCCGACGTGTACCCGCGAAGCCGCCACGTGGGACGGCGCCGGGCACCACCTGGCACCCGTAACGGCCGTTGTCCGGGAATCTCCCGGATCCTCTCGCCTCCTTTTTCGGGTTTTCTTTATTTGTGGCAGGCAAATTAAAAAAGATACCTATCGGATCTTCCTGCCCACGTCATTTTTCCCCTTCTCTGAAAAAAGAAAAGAAAAGCACAGAACCTTAAAAAACGACAGATAAGCAACACGTGGCACATTGTCCTCACGTGGTCCTTCTGTCCACGTCTTCTCTCCGCGATCTGATCCACGAAAACCCTCTCTCTCTCTCTCTCTCTCTCTCTCTCTCTCTCTCTCTCTCTCTCTTACTGTCTACATGTAACTATCGAAAAAAATAATAATTAATTGGATATATTCTTCAGAAAAAGGTGGTGGCATGTGTGTTCTTCGCGGTGGGTCAACATCAACGCCAGATATTGGAGCCAGCAGCGGGGGGCCGGGAGCGGGGGACCACCCGCGATGGCGCAGAAGTTCAGACGAGGCAGGCTGCCGATCTGACGGTGGAGAATAACAGGCGACAGCTAAATCTGAGAAGTGGTAGGGCTACCGACATAATTAGCGCGTGCGATTTGTCCGCGCCACACCCGGAAAGTGGTCCCCGGCTGGTGGCCAAGCGTTCGATCCTATTGGGTCACCCCGCAAGGCGTTATTATTTCTGATCAATACGAGCGTACGGCTCTGTAGGGTCCATTTTGGGCTAGGCCCAGACTGAGCTGCCCGCGGCCCGACAATTTTTTAGGCTTTCGAGGCCTAAGATCTTAGGCCCAGACATCGCCGAGTGCATCAGACCCGGCCCATTAACATTCCACCTTCTGTCGAAGGTTCCATCGAACACGTCACTCAACTTAGCACAGCGACGTAGGGAAGGGAATGTGAAGGGGGTTCCAAAGAGATCCGGCAGTCGTTTAGAGCAGGAAAAGTCAAGTCAACCTCGCGAAAGCTGAGTAGCATCGGAATACAAAAGCTGGCGACGGACCACGCCGCAGCACGCGGGCCCCACGTCAGTATCTCCTCCGGGGGCTCCTAGAACGCCGGGGCGACCTGCGAGACCCACGTCATCAGAAGCACAAGTCAAAAATGCCGGGGTTGGGGGAAGGGGGGGAGGCGAGAAGAGGAGAAGTAAACGCACCTCCTCCTCATATTCCTGCGCCTAAACGGGCCCTTGCTGAAGGCCCAATCCACTGAGATGATCTGCGTGAGGAGCTCAGACCCGTTCAACGCCTCTATTGCGGCGCGTGCCTCCTCATAGTTCTCGTACTCGATCAGAGCGTACCCCTACAACCAGAACGAATTCCTCAGACCCAGCGAAGCGTCCGATCCAGGGGATGGGGCCCACTTGAGCAGCTGATCTTGGCCGAAGAGAGCAAGTTGAAGCACAGTGGGCCTAGTTTGACTCAACACACCAAGGTTTTGGGAATATTCTAAAGATAGGGAAGAGTAGGTGACACGTATGGAGGTGTCTTTCAACATGGTTCATTGAAGGTGATACCGCAACCTAAGTCAACCTAAGTCAACCTAAGTCAAAATGGGAGACTTGAGAAGTGTGAGGATAAGTGTTAGAATTTTCACAAAATGGGTAGATTGTTTGACAAGTCCGTCATCTTGATTGAAATCTATTAAACGGTTATCATAGCAGGTGATATTCATATATGTAAGATAATTATAATGTATGAAAAAAAAGGGTGCTGGATGAGGTGGATCAGTCACCTTGACGAATCCAGTGCGGCGGTCCAGATTCAGATGAAGATTTTTAACTTGTCCAAACTCACGGAAAGAATTGAGAATGTCGTCCTCTTGTGCCTCTTCATGAACCCCCGTCACCAGTATAATCCATCCCTCAACGGCTGCGCAAACACAGAAAAACCCCTCCACTGAGAAAGATTTTATAAATCACGAAATAAATCGGATTTCAGAAAGTCTACCACAATCGGCTTCTTATAATGGCCGGCACTGATTTCTGATCTTATGTTCTTCTTGTGCATTACTTGCGAATTGCAAACAAAATCCTAATAAAGCTTGCCAGATTATTCTTGATCTGCCAAGATTTCTGTTTTTATCATGAGACCTGACTAACCAATTGAATGCAACCAAGCAGCTTCGCTGAACAACAGGGTTATGGCTCATGACAACCCCAGGGCATCAAAGAAGGGAACTGTGCCATAAGCGGAAAGAAGATGCTAGAAGATAAAAAGTCGGTAGAGATAGAACTCCATGACAATGAAAGACTGATTTAGAAAAGAAAAAAGCCTACACAGCCTGTTTAACTATTCCTTGCGAAAAGAAAATCTCAAAAAGGACCTTATTCATTCTAAAAGTTGGAAGACTAACATTGAAGTCATACCCAACGTAGATGAGAAAAACTATAATTTAGAAAAGTACCGATGTGAAATCTGTAAAAAGTTCTCAAAAGGGTGAGAACCTGATTATCCCGACTAGAAACCCCAAATGTAATCTAATCATCATAGCTAGATCAAGTTATACGTGAAAACTTATTCCCATATGAAGCAACTAGCTATTTTGCATAAAATGCATAATTGAGCTGCGAATTACACGATATACAAACTTGGTAATTTGATCAGAGAAATCTGAATTGATCCCCAGCGGGAAGCACTCTAAACATATTGTATTGTGCATGAGTAGAGCATGAAATAAGAGATTTTTCTTCGCAGTTGAATATATTACATATACGCTAAGATAAATATACCCACGACAGTTTCTTAGGTCCCAAAAACAGCAGGCTACATTAGTATTAAAAATATCATATCACCATTGGAAAACTGGCGGGACACTAGAAACCAGGAGTACATGCGAATCTGAAATGCACACAGGATGCCACATAAAAGTCTTGATAAGGTTCAGCAGGGTTTTCAGAGTATACGCTGAGAGTGTAACCTTAAATTCTGATAAAACTCGAAAAAAAAAAATACAAAAACAGTTCCTGACTATTTTTGGCATTGATGAGGGACTTAGTCTGCTATATTAATGACAGATGTCGCAGAATATGGGCACAAACCATAGTGTCTCGTAAGATAGACAACGATGAGTTTAGTAGTTAAAACTTTACCCGACTCCACTACAACAGATAATGGTGGTGTCTCCCTTTCACTGGCATAAAATCTCACCATAGCAAAGGTGCTGACTTGTCACAATAGTAGAAACCCACATTTTCCTAACTGAAGAGTAGCATTGTGTTTACGGCACGGTCCGGAAAACATTGTCTAGAACACAGACGGGCTGAGATATCAACTTTCTTGAAGATCACTTGACCTGCTCTATTTACTCTAGAATATCCTGTTTATCTCATTAGAAGCGCGATACTCGTCCCCATCATTCAGTTCCAGAAAGATCGAGAACCAAATCAGGTGAAAGAAAAAGAGGAATAGCTCCGGATACAAACTGGTCGAACGATGCATTGCAAACAAACTGAATCAAACGAGACAGAACCACCACAGAACCCTAAACCCGGAAAAAACGCGCGCAGCAACAGAGACGGTGATAACGCAGCTGAACAAAATAAAACCCTCAAATTCCACTGAGAGAAGGAGAAAAAGGAGCTCACATCGTTGAGGGCCCTGACTGCCATCTGTATCCAGAGAATCGAAGTCCTTGGCAGCGAGCCGGTTGTTGCGATCTACTTCAGCTTCCTCCCGGAAACCCCTTCCCTTGGTCTTCCTTGTAACGCTGGACTCTCCGGCGGCGTAAGCAGACCTTCCGCTGGTGATGGTGGAGCGTAGCTTCGGCAGTGGCTGTGGCACCGGTGACACGTCCACGTCGACGGCTCCGTCCTCGTCCATGAGGTCGTCCTCATCAGGCTCAAAATCGACCGCCTCAACGTCCGCTGCAGCCATAGCTCCTCTTCTTCCCTCCTCTCTCGCCTCTCTCTCTCTCTCTCGATCTAGGGTAGAGCTCCCGGACCAACAGGCATCACACAGGGGTCGAGGGGTTTTATAGCGAGGCCGGTCCTGAGGCGGTCGGGTTTTATCCCTCCTATCGGGTCGGAACCTATCCGGAAAAAGGAAACTTCATTTTCTGGGCCCTGAAAACCGACCCGCCCGGCCCATTTTATTTTCGAACTTATTTCATCCAGCCCAAAAATAACCGGCCCAATTTGAGCCGATCTCAACCCGTTGAAACCGAAATCCGCAGAGCTCACTAATAAGGCGCTTAATGGGTAGAGAGGAAGCTGAGTCCTGTCTAATCTCGTCTCATTGCCCGGGCACGTGTAAGAACCGAGCAATTTTCCGAATTAATAATATCAAAATTCGGATATTATAATAGCATCCTACATTCATCATAATTCCTAATATAATAAAAATTGAAAATCAGGAAATACAGACAAAAAATGCTGCACACCAAGTATACCAATAAATTAAGCAAAAGTAGCTGTTTTTTTATCTAATTGGAGAAATTTTGGGATTTTAAATTGGGCCGAAGGGATTGGGATGGCCCATTTTCAGAAATGTATACGGAATGATAAAAGTCAACTTTTTTGGTCATTCCTTGTTTGCAAGTACAGAGAAGGGGCTCCTGGCTATCATGTTGACTTTTTCTAGCCGAAGAATGCAAGACATTAGAAGGTTTCTGAAGCTGAAACGTTTCTCACTGATGATAGCTTGTGATCTTAACAATATGAAGAGCATATCTAGGGCTCTTGAAGGTTTCCTCAAGTAGAAACTTTCGCAGATCGTTCTGATAAGTGATCACAGAGTTGCTCATGGCTGCAGAAATTTATTATTAAAAAATAAAAAAGAAAGAAAAAAAAAGCACCCTTCCTGGATCAGAATGTGCATAGAAATTCTCATGGCTTGAATGGGCAATGGACAAGAGCTCTAGGCAGGGTTGATCACATCTCCTATGAGATGAGGCGAGCTGAAGGACTTGCAGACCAGAGAGCAGCGCTTCCCCAAAAAAACTTGGCTTGCACCAAGTAACCAACGGGTAGAAAAACATGCTGTAAAAGGGAACCAATGGGTAGAAAGATTATGAAAAAAAATTGTTTTTTTTTCTTTTTTTTGCCTTGTTCATTGGTGCTTTATGAATATAAAATCTCGAGAAGGAAACCATATTCTCTCTCATGGATGAAAGTAAAAAGATAAGCTAGAGGGGCAAAAACTAGTTTCTAGTTTTTCTTGGGGCAATCAGAGAATTTGATGCAAGTGCAGTGATGATGACAAAAAAGTCAGCCCACGTGCTCTCCTTCAATTCGACTCTCACCAACAGGGGCGTCAATAGAATCTAACCATAGTTATGCAATTCTTTCAACAGTCTCCCGGATCACTTCCTCAGGGGCTGCACAAGAACACAAGGCCATAGAAAAGGAAAAAGCTGGCGATTAAAGATCATGAAAGATCATGAACGCCGAGTTAGAAATCTGGGCTGGGTCGTTGATCTTACCAGGCAGGCCCGTGAAGAACTTGTACTGTCCAATTGCTTGCCTGATGAACATCTCAAGGCCGCTGACAACAGTTGCTCCGGACTCTTTTGCTTCCCTCAGGAATCTCGTTACCCTTGGTGTGTAGACCGCATCAAACACCACAGAGTAATTTTTCAGGGCTTTCTGCGAGATTCAAACCCAAGAGACTTTAGGAACGCATAGGAATGGCATCTGGCGCAGTATAACGTTACTAAAATCCCACTCGTCACACTGAAGGAGTGAAACTTAGGGAGAATAGGGTAAACCTTCGATAAAGGGGTGTCATCAATAGCTGGATGCATCCCGATCGATGTAGTATTTGCAATAATCGCCCCCTCTTCTGGGTGGTAGTTTTCCAGCTCGGCAAGGGACAGAGCATCTCCTCCCACTAAGGCAGCAAGTTCTCTAGCTCGATCTTGGAATCACAAAAATTAATTTATCAAAAATATAAGCACACTTGTTATTTTAACTATGGTAAAAATGGAAACATCCTCAACCAGAATTATAGCTTTATGGCAGTCTAATATGGAGAGTTATGATTGTTGAGCATGAACCATTTTTGGCATAGTTGAAGAGCAGAAAGGGAAAAAGACATGACAGCTTTAGAATACTATGCTCCAAAGCAATTGGCTACCTAAGACTGATTAGATGGATTAAGAGTGAATCTATTTTCTTAATGGCCGATCTTTAGCTGTCTGAGGCCCCTGAATGTTCTGATCTGCAAGGAGCAACTTTCATCCAGCATTACTTGGCAAGTAAGCAATTTAAGGATTCTTCAATAAACATGAAGAAAATGTCTATGATTTACATGGAAGATACAATGAGGAGATCCTTTATGTGACAAGATAAGTCTTCATCAATGATCTTATATCATTTTTTTTAATCCTTTCAGGCTTCTCGCTACACCTATCAAAAAAAAAAAAAAGTCCAACTCAAAGTAATTCTTTTGTTAAAGAAATTAATTAGTTCCCATGCAGACTGACCATTTTTTATTAAAATCCAACTCCTGACAGTGATTATCCCCAAAGAACACCGTGATGACACTAAACATTCAGATATGGAGAACATTTAATATCAATGTAGTCAGTAATGCGGAATCTTCTTTGCCGTTGAAGAATACAACAAAAAGAATTCCAAAATAGTCTTTTTCAAGCGTCCCACATAAGCACCACTCGTAATTTTTTGAGAAAATATTATTAAAAATAATGATGAAAAAGTAGACTAAGCATGGGAAGGACGCAGTTGGGAAACTCCTGGCTATGATGATATAAGTGACATAGGTTTCTATCATTTGGTTTATTTTCAAGCGTGCAGCATTTGAACCCATAAGATTCTCTTCAGTCAAGCAGTCGCCACTAATTATTTGCCAAGAAACAGAGACTCTGTCTAAATTCTTCCGTCAGGGAGATCACTCAGGTCCACGTAATATGACTGGATCTACTGATGAATCCATCTCATGATCACTCATAATCCATTTCACTGACAATGCAAATGACTCGTAGCTATTAATCGTACATTCACAAAACTCACTTGGCCATGATCTGTTAAACAACTACAACTCCCTTTGCATCTACACCACATCATATCATTTTGTTTTCAGTGTATAACATCCCACTTCATTGGGGACATGATCCATAGTCCAACTAGTACATGAGATAGTCAATGGCTACAAGATTACTGGTATCAAAAAAAAAAATCCGATTTTACAGAATAATAAAAATACGTGGGAAAAGTGAAGGAGGTTTAGCTTACCAAGTGTACGATTACCAATTACAACTCTTGCACCTTTTTCCTTGGCACCATAAGCAAGTGCCTTACCAGCACCACCAGCACCAATGACAACAAATAGTCTACCGCTGAGTGGCGAAGCATTCGAACTGTTTTCAAGTGAAGCTTTGAGAAAAAAATTCAAAGTCAGGCGATCTGAAAAATCAAATACAGTGCCGAGTACTAAATCGATACCAAAAATAAAACAAATTATGGAAATAACCTCTAATGGCATCCTCTATCGCTGAAATAGCACCAATATAGTCAGTGTTGTAACCAAGTAACTTCCCATCACTTGGTCTCCGAATAATCGTATTTACAGCTCCTATCGACTGCCAAGAATATAATTCATAGGTCATTAACTCTATCATTAAATCAAGATGCTCATGAAATACGATCTCACGAGTATCCCATTCAGATTATCTAAAAGTAATGAGAGAGATAGGACCAGCTACCTTGGCAATGGGGTCGACTTCGTCACAGCATTTTACTGCCGCCTCCTTGTGAGGAATTGTACAGCTGTTTCAGAAGAGGGCAAATATCTAATGGTTAGAAACCAAGGTCTGAACTATACTAGAATACAACTGAGTTATATGATGGGAAGCAAGTGTGAAAACGAATAGTTTTCAGCTTTAGCAGACATCAAATCCTATAGAACTTTAAGAGGAGACATAATATGTGAACCTACTATGCTGTGATTCTGAAGAGTGAACCTACTATACTTTACTATGGCCTTCTTTTAAGGAATTGCATATTTGTTTCAGGAGGGCAGAATATTCGACAGTTTAATTGAAATGGCTAATCTATGCCAGAAAACTGCCTTCTTCAATGGAGAGAATACACAGTGAAGAAGACTGTCTTACAGCTTAAGCAACTGTTATACTCGACAGAAATTTTAACAGGAGACTCCGTTGTGACCACTCATATTGTTTGCCAGAAAAGTATAAAATAACATTGCCGAGAAGAAGGCTAAAGACTTGGTTAAATATTCAACTATACCACAGTTTTGGCGTGGTGGCACTGAAAAGAGAATATTCTGAGCAACGACACGTTAGAAATGTAGAATGATGTAGAATAAGCCATTCGAATTTCTTCCAAAAGTCACAGGGCTCCGACAGAGTGACCAATGTCCTCACTGCTAAACACAATCGAGTATAACATACCACGAATAACTTTTCCCAGGAATCATACTTGGTATCTTATATTATGTTTCTTTATTTTCAGACCCGATTCGTGACAAGTACCCTGTACATTACACAGCTCTTACTCTGTCATAAGGAATTCACAACTCTTGCTCTGAGTTCCCCAAAACTAAACCTAACTTCATAGTATATATAAAACGCATTCGAAGCAAGCAAACCATCAACTCCGAGTGTAATTGATAATATTAAATCTCATTTAAGGATGAATTTCATACAAATTTTAGCATCACTAGTTTTCAGAGGGTTTTTAACAAATGAAGCAAAGAATAACGAGGGTGGTTCGGTTCTTGTACCAAACTCGAAAATATGCATGGAAAATAACCTACTTATGGATAGATATTGCGTATGTGACTATGCATACAGTACACCAAAATATCACTAATGCATGGGCAAAGGTCCATTGCTGTCGAGAGATAGAAAAATAAATTAAAAAATAAAATGAATGAAAAAAAAGCGCTGAACTACAAAATGTGATAAATGTGACGACTTAAATGATCATATCAAAAAGAAAAGGCAAAAATTGTTTCACTATTTAAGGAAATATTTTTCACAATCGTGAGAATTATCTTATGGATCACTCATTTCATTTTACCTGATTTACTGATCACCAAGTGCAAATGAAAGCCTGGTAAATCTCAGCATTAAAAAAAGGCTCGAGATCAAAGCAGTCCAAATAGTCAAACAAATGAAAAGCCTATAGCAAAATGAAGAACAAAAAAATTATGTTTGGTAAAATTTGATGAACCTGAATCCAGCAAAATCAGGAGCTGAGTAGACATTGAGGAAGTCGGTAAGATCATCCACCAAAAGAGGCACATAAACAGCATTTATTCCTGCAGATCTAAATGCTCCATTGTGCAAAAGAGGCGATTTACTGTGACCAACTGGCTTCCCAATAATGCCATAAATTTTTGTGTCACATCCTACGTTTCTGATGTTGTATACATTCAACAAATCCGTGATTGTCGGCTGGCCTGGAGCTGATTCTTTGCCTCCATCAAGTATGGCAAAAGTAAGGTAACCACCAAACTTTGGGCAAAGTATTCGGGAGATGACACCCCTCTCCCCCATGACCAAGCCTATTATTGGAACCTGACGCTTCAATTTGTTTAGTCAGCAGCAGAAATTTTCATAAATATATTATGTAAAAATGAATAAAATAATTAAAAATGCATATCGTGAGAAATGAAGAATAATCTTTTCAATATGATTAGTTTAGTTATCTTTGACTGGAGAGTGAAGGTGCTCTAAACGAAAAACATGCAGAAAGCTCTTGAAACATGAAACCTGTTGATTGGTGGTTTAGTCCTTTTCCAGTTTCTCCTCATAAGGTGCGTTACAATTCTTTCAAAATTAGACGTGTCTCAAGAACTAATCACTTAAAAATACTCAAGGACACAATGAAGGATGTTAATTTCACAAAGGCACGTGTGCTCACTTAAAACTTACTTGGTGATGAACAATGGTTTGGAACATCCGCGCCACATCTGAAATGTCAGCAGCGAAAGTGGCAATCTTCACTATGTCAGCCCCAGCAGCTTGTATCCTTGCAACAAGGTTGCCAAGAACTTCCATGGAAGGAGTACTTTCATAATTATGTGACGACACGATAAGCTTGAAATTATCCGGCTTTTTTTCTGATATAGAGTCAACGAATTCTGGAGCAACCTACAATGTAGACAAATTTTATTCTTCAGAAGAAAGCAAAAAATATATATATATAAATTTCAATTCTACAATGATTGAGACAAATTAAGAAGATTATCATTCCAGAGAGGTTTATAAGCCACAACATTTCATGCTCTTTCTGTGATCTATGTTCACATCAGGCACCCAGCTTTTCTCTGTGCAGCCCAACTAAATGATATACTATTACCTATCTTTGGATTCATAACTTGAAGTTTTTCGAATCAACTGACAACCGTTCAATTTGGGTCCGAAAGTGGATGCTAAGGAATGACACTGATGCGACTACCTCTGCTTAAAAGATGCAAGCATAATCCTCTAATATTAGATTAGGATCCTCTATACCTTTGCTTTTTCTCTCAAAATGTCTTGTCTTTTATTGGAAAGCTAACTATTCAGTCTGAATCTGATCACGGGTGGAATGCTCACCATCTGACTTCATGTGCTTACTCTAACCAGAGAAATAATATGCTTCTGGAAAATGACCATAAATAGCTCAGAAAAAAACATTATAAATTTTCAGATTATCTAAAAATCACCAATGTGGATAGAACACTCGTTATACATGATAGCCGTCGAAACTGTAATGCCACTACAGATCCATGAAAATATTAGAGGCCTCAGTCCCACAAATTAACATAGCCATAATAACAGATTGAGAAAATAATCCATGACGGTGGAACAGAGAGAACCTTGAGCTCCACATCAACGTAATCAGCTCCCATTTCCATGGCCAAACGAAGCACATCCAGTCTCTCATCATCGTCACCTTCATATTCGCCCCCTTCCCATTTTGGCCTAGTAAATGTACGCGTAATGACATGAAGGGCTCAGATGACTGCAGCCATACTCTCAGGTAACAGGAAGGTAATTGGATTGCATAGCGATGATAATGGAAAGAAAGGTGTATATCATGAATATTCGAGAGAGAAAATGACAAAATGTCCAGGAAATGCATATTATTCTCTGATTACTCACTTTGAGAGAGAGAATACAGAAAAGAAGATGGTCCCACCCTAATGGATTTGCGGAAATAAGTCTTCAAGCGCCTTAAATATCTATGATGCCGACAAGAGGTTTACAGGATTGACATTAAATCTTCATGTGAACAATGGCACTGGCAATAACACCCGAAATGAAATCAAAGGTCTTACAAAGGGTTTATTTGTGATACCAGCCAAAAAATATATTTTTTAAACAAGTTCCACTTGATGCTACATTTCGGCGATGAAGAAAATCGGATGGCCTAGACTTTCGCAGCGTCAATTATGTTAAACAACTTGGAAGACTAAAGCTTTCAATTCCGGTCTTTCATTCTCCAAATAGCCGTTTGATGTCATCAGGAGTCTTGGCAAGCTGGCCGTGACCATTGAAAAAACGGATAAGAGTTCGACCTTGGGCTTAAAAACCTCTATATGGAAACTCAACTTGCCGATATGTCATGAGACACGCTTAAATTATTTAATAACGAGCATTTCCTCGTAGTTGATGGTAGGTAAGAAGGCACCACAGCTGAGATAATCTGGAAAACCCCCAGATTTATCATGTTTTCGAAGAAATTTGGCTCCCCGTGGATGACAGAGCCACCAGATAGACGATTAGAGTCAGCACATTACGGCGGCTCGTAGACGATACACCTCACCGTGCAGATGGAGAGTAGAGAAAAGTTCGAAAGCAATGAATTTCAACTCATTTCAGCACTAAATGAAGTAATTATTCGGAGCCCGCATGAATCTGCCCCCGAACAGGCGAGATAGTTCACGGGATTTTGGAAAAACGGATCGAGATTGGTCAGTGGGGAGGCGGAGGCTAAGGCGCACCTGTAAGTGATTATGAACGGCAGAGGCCGAGCCCTGAGGAGGAGCTCCAGATCCCGGCGTGGGCTAAAGGCGGCGAGGTGGTCCAGCCTGATCTCGACGACGTCGGCTCCAGAGGCCTTGGCGCGGCCCACGTCGTCCAGCATCTGCTCCACGGTCTTCGCCACCGTTGGCACGCAGACCAGCGTCTCATTGTTCCTCCCCGCCATCTCTCCCTCGCTCCTCTACCCCCTCCACCAAATCTCAGAAGTAGAAGACGCACCGAGGACGGGGTTGATGGAAAGATCGACGGGTAGGTGTGGGAGTGGCCGACCACTCTCTCTGAAGGTGGGTGCCACTCTCTCATCAGCTAGATCAGACAATGCCCTCCTCGACGGGCCGGGCCACCGGCCCGGGCCCATTATCCCGAGCCCACTCCTTACATACTCATTCATACTTTAATTATTTCCATTCACCCCGTACACATCATATATTACATACGTATTCTCCTTGGACAACCCCTCGGTACTCATTTAACTTTTAATTATTATCAACCCCTGAATAATATTAAATTATACCAGTAACCTTCATTCGCGACAAATATATTGAACCCCCCCCCCCCTCCCTGAGGCCAAATTTTCAGAGAATGTTCCCTAACAGAAAAAATTTGCTCCCGAGTTCAGGGGGAGATAGAGAGATAGAGAGAGAGAGAGAGAGAGTGGTCAAACCACAAATATATAAAGCTAGTGTTTTTTTTTTTATTGAAAGAAGGCGCGTCGTGGATATTCTCATAATTTAAAAATACATATATATATATAAGTGCCCTCCAACACCATACATCTGTGGGGAGAGAAAGAGAGAGAGAGAGAGGGGGGGGGCTAACTACAGGATTCCATTCGCTCGGTAATCAGACGAACGGCGGCGTTCGCAGCTGAGAAGGCTCCGTGGAAGCTCTCCTGGTAAGAGAGAGAGAGCAAGTCCGTAGCCATCTTCAACAAGATGTCTCCCATGTCTGGATTCCTCGCCAGCAGCGACTCCTGGTACGACTGGGCAGCGACCCGGCTGATCTCCACGTTCATCTCCTCGGGGCAGAACTCATCGTCCAGCCACTTGTGCAGAGCCACTCTCAGCCACTCCGACTCCTGTAGCCACCGGCGGGAAGAGTATCAGAGAACACCCAGCATAGAGACCATCGGGCATGGGATTCGGTCTCAGAGAATAGATTAAATCACGAAATATTGCAGCATAAATGGGAGGATTATTATCCCAATCATCTTCCCTTCCTCATCGGATGATGGCGAAAGATCCTCGGAGAATCGTTAGATTCCAGAGAAAAGAAGAGAACAAATAGGTGCAGAAGCTCGAGAATGGGGTCGTCCTTACCTCGAGGGCTTTGGGAGGGGCCAACCAGGCCTCGGGGACCCTGAGGCCCTGGACGAAGTTTCGAGAGGCCTGTGGTTCTTCCGAGGATTCCCCACTGGACGCAGAGAGGTGAAGACGCCGGGAGCGGCGGCGGGATCTGAGAGCCCGCCGCGGCGCCGCCACGAGTGGGAAAGAAAGGGAAGAGCAGCGGTGGGGGGCGGACGCCGGCAAGGCCGTTACCACCGGGGAGGCCGCCGGAGCAAGCGCAGGGGGAGGAGGCCTCGAGATCGAGAGGCGCGCCGGAGGGAGCGGAAGAGGAGATCCCATTCGAGCCGGGGAGCCGCCGCTTCACGGTGGGGAAGCCGTCGAGCGCCCGCACCGGTCACCCCCACACATGACGAACCAACTCTATCGCAACCGGTGGTCCGAAGGCTCCCACTGGAGGGAGAAAAAAAAGAAAACCCTCGTATAATTTTATTTGTGTTATTAATATCATTATTATTTTCACTTCTAAAGTCGGAATGAATGGTTCATTTTGGGACTATTCCTGCCATACCCATCAAATATTTCATATAATTATATTCCAAACCAAAATTTATAAAAATAAGAAAATTATCAAGAACAAGAAAGTCAATCGATGGGTGAAATAAAAGCTCTCGCCTAATAAATTTGTATGGAGAAACCTTCCAAATTAAGTAAACAAATGGGCAGAATCTTGTGGATGGGAGCATGTGAGCAGCCATGGACTGACTCTGCACAACCATCACTCTACATCTCTGAGCAAATAGATGGAATATCGTCTAGAATTATGGTGATGATGTCATCTAGATATATACTAGTAGACTAACAACAAGCTTTTACGATAAAGTAAATAAATCAATATCAATGAGTGTTTCTTCTTAGATATACGCAATTGAATTGCATCAAAAAATTGAGGCCAAGAGAGGTAATTCTTTTCTGGTACCATTTTTGAAAGACCAAAATAGGAAAATATATGTAGATGATTAGCCATATGAGAAACTATAAGGTGTTTGCTTCTGGGGTGCTTCCCACAATTGAGCCTCAATGCCTAACTTCTTCTCTATAACGACCTTCCTTCTCCCCACTGTGAGAGCTCGTAAGAATAACTCACAATCGGTAAATGGTCACAAAATCTATGAGCAAGTAAAAGTGAGTATTCATGAAATATCTTCACGAACATGGTATGCTAAGAAGTTAGGCTCATAAATGTAAAGTGATCATAAGAAAATTATGATTAAAGCGAATTACATAAGTGAATGTGGGCTAGAGGAATGACATTGTTACTTTTAAATAATGTCCACAAATTATTTCACATATATATATATTATTTGTGGGAAAAATAAATATATAAAAATAATAATGTTATACTTAATTTTAAATAAAGTTATGAAAAAAATTACTAATTTTATATCCCTGCTGACACATTTATCTATGTAGAGACTAAAAATTTCAAGACAATTCTCCCATTGATTGTGGAAATATGTGATGTCATAGATGACAATTTCACAACTAAGATGATCGATGACCAGAAATTGAATAACTCGTCAACTTATCAACACACCATCTGATACATCTCAAGAGGAGACTGGACGTGCACTTTGTTTAATTCATAATTAGTCTTTTGTCAGGAACATCATCTGTCAAGCCATACTTTTTTTTCCTCTTATTTGAAAATGTGTATTATGGATGAAAAGTATACCCATGATTAGTCAACCAAAAACATTATCTTTAAAATACATATGAAAAGCTTTTTTTGAAATATTTGTTCACCAATCAGCTCGAAGAAAAAAGATCATTGAAATGTTTTGAAATATATGTGATGTCAAGGAAGTGGTGCATGATGGGTTTAAGCCCTCCACGAAATAGTGCAATGATGTTTTTCTCTTCATCGACATTGAAAATGCTTCTTTCTGTGTAAGATATCTCTTAATATTACAAGAAAAATTGAGATAAACTGCATCGCACATAATATTTTTTTCCATTCACATTCGTGCGAAATCCCTGTGAACATCTCTTGATCAAGCTATCAACGGGGACATGCATGAACAACTTAAAACAATTGAAGGTATAAGCGAAAGGTGCTGGTATAACCTCGAGAACATCAATATCGTCGTCGTCCCCCTCCTCCCTCCTCCTCCGTCGACTGGTGCGCCATGACGTGAGCGAGCCGCTGCGCCACCGGCGTGGCAGCTCTGTTTTTCTTACGCCGAAAGTTCGCCACGCCGGTGGATGTGACCGTGCATGGGGGACATCATCGGGGACGAGGCCGGCCACCGCTGAGGCGCTGGAGACGCTCGTATACCGGCTGGACACTGGACTTCCCAATGTCTCCGCCGTGACTCTATCCATTGCCGCCGCCGCATACCGGGCGATCCGGGAAAACGGAAGGATGAAATCTAAGCTCCCTCTGGATCATCAACACCTTCGAAATCGGGAGCCTCGGTCTTCGTCTCCTCGTTCCAGACAGAGGGGGCGATTGTTGGCGCTCACCACCTCCATCAGCGCGGCGGTGGAACGGAGCGGTGCCACCATTGATGGGAGTTTCGGCGGGGACGAGAGTGGAACAGGCGGGAAAACAAGTCAGATTCAAATCGAAGACATTCATCGGCCGAGCGGGCTCGGGCCTGATAATTTTATTTGACAATTTCCAATATATTTTTTAATTTTCTCGATAACTAATTCACGTGAATTACGTTCCTTATTACATATTTTATATATAAATACGTTTTAAAAAAGGTAAAAATGATTTTCATTTACGAAGGTGGAGATTGCGTCCGAGTGTCGTGGGGCCCACCTGCAAATCGTATGAGCCAAAGCCCGGCGCCGTTGGCACTACCAGTTTGTCGCCATATGGTTTTGAGGGGGGAGGTTTGATCAGTCTCTCTCCTCGAAACGCACTGTAAGAGTCCATCGCCATACGTATATACTGTGAAAGACAGACAAAAGCAACACTTGGTGGGGCCCCGTGCGATCTCACGGCCCCGGTTTCAATTTCGTTCATCCCCTCATTTCCCGCCTCCTCGATCGCACTCGCGAAAACGGCGAGTAGAATGCAAATGGAGGAATTACGAATCAAAAGCTGGTTTTTCTGAGCAGACATTCGTTCGATCGCTTCTCCTGTCCGGTCTCTCTCTCTGTGTCTGTATCTCTCTCTCTCTCTGTATCTCTGTCTGTCTCTCTCTCGCCAAGCAAGGGGAAAGTGTAGCTGGGCGTGGTGCTGTAAAATCCCTGTCTCCCTCTTATTTTTTTCCGTCCTCTCCACGCACGAGTGTATCCAGGAGGCCGGGGCACAACTTCAGCCGGGATGAACAACTATCACATCTACGAGGCAATCGGCCGCGGGAAGCACTCGGTGAGCTCCCTCTCTCTCTCCGGATCTAGGGTTTGCGTTCGACAGGAGGTTGTCAGCTGCGGTTTTAGTTCTGGTGGGAATCGGATAAAAATATCTGACGTGCACGTTCGCGTGTTAGGTTGTATACAAAGGCCGGAAGAAGAAGACAATCGAGTATTACGCCGTCAAGAGTGTAGAAAAGTCCCAGAGGAGTAAGGTCCTACGTGCGGTAAGTCGCATCTTGCGTTTGTGAACATCGTCATGATAAACATCCTGTCTTCTACCTTCGCGGTCGCCTCTACAAGCCGTGGGTAGAAGGATTGTCTTGGGGCCGACTCATTTGCTCTGAATCAGTTACTAAGCTGAAGTGTATCCCCAAATTACTTGCTTATTTTTATTATTTTCAATGAACATCTCAACTATGACCCCGTTAGATTCGCGATTGAGACAGGAAAAGAGCTAGGAGATGATGCAGTGGAAGAACCTTATCCTCCTTTGCACTGATTTGTACATTTAACATTTTGGTGTCGGACATCTTTCCCTAAATGTTCTCTTATGGTTGCAGGGTAAAATCTTGCACAAATTAGACCATCCGAATGTACTCAAGTTTTATAATTGGTAAGATGTGAGGTCTTTCGCCATAATTCTCATGACCATGCTCTCTAGGGAGGTTGTTTATTAAAGTTTCCAATTCCTGGCAGTTTTCTATCTTACTTTTTTATTTTTTTATACTTAAATAACGTTTTATATTTCTCAACACTTTGGTGATGGACAATGTAGGTATGAGACATCTGGCCACTTGTGGCTTATCTTGGAATATTGCGTTGGTGGGGATCTCATGAATCTACTGAACCAGGTATCACGAATGCATTAACATTTTTCAGCTGGCATAAGTTCAGAAGGAAAAAGTGCAAAATAGGTTACAGTAATGATGGCATCAATGATCAGTATCAAGAACACACTCTTTAGATTTGGAAACAGTAGAAGATCTCTGATATTTTAGTGCATTCTTATCTATGATCCCAGACAGGACACTTCTGTGCATGTTCCTACTGCCCTACTTCTCTTATCTAGTCAGCATGCAACTGTCTATCTCTTTTGGTATGATTCTTCTTTCCCATCTTACAAGCGATAGGTTGAACAATTGATAGTTGTATTGGCAAAAGACACTTAGTTGGCATTTTTTAGGTACATTTCGTTTTTGATATGGTATACTTTCTACGGGTGCTTCATCCTAATCACTGCTACCTAGCTGTAATTTTTTTGGCAAGTGCAATGCCCATGTATAAGATCAAATCAATTCAAGTTTACTTTCTGTTACGATTTACACCAGAGGAAATGCCTTTATTGATGTAACATTAGTCAAGAAATGTTAAAAGATAAGTGTTTCTCTTCTCATTTCTTTCCAGTCTCCGTCTAGGTTTCTCTTATCTTTGCGTTGCTGTTTCAGGACAAACGACTTCCCGAAGATTCTATTCATGATCTTGCCTTTGATCTTATCACAGCTTTGCAGTAATGAACTATCAGCCTTGGCCCTCGTACTTTAAGATGACCCAGTTTTATACATCAACATTCATAATGCCGGAACCATGCAGGTACTTGCACTCAAAGGGTATTCTCTATTGTGATTTGAAACCGTCAAACATATTGCTTGATGAAAATGGACGCACCAAGGTATCCTCTTCGATTTCCTTGTCTCTTTCTCCTCTTCTAATTCAAGAGCATGAGTTTTGCACGGGGTATACTTGAAATTTAACAATATGTGATCTTGCATTTCAGTTATGCGATTTTGGACTGGCTAGATATGTGACTGATATATCAACTAATTCTCCCTCTATGGTTGGTTACTCTCAGTGCATACTTTCTTTTATATTAAAATACCGACAAAACTTCTTCTCTCTCTTGATCAATGTATCACTTTGGTCCCGTGTAATTGTCTCAGGCAAAAAGAGGAACACCTTGCTACATGGCACCAGAACTCTTTCAAGATGGTGGTGTTCATTCCTACGCATCTGATTTCTGGGCACTGGGTTGTGTACTATATGAATGCTATACTGCAAGGCCTCCTTTTGAGGACAAGGAATTCACTGAGTTAGTGAAGTCTATACTTTCTGATCCAGTCCCTCCCCTTTCTGGTAATCCGAGTAGCTTTTTCTCAGATTTAATTGATTGTCTTTTACAAAAGGATCCAGCAGAAAGGATCAAGTGGCCTGAACTTTGTAGGCATAGATTTTGGAGGAGAAAATTCACGCCAATTCCATTACCTCCTCAGCCTGCCTTTGATGAGATGCTTCAAATTTCTGCCGGATTATTTCTTTCTGAACGCAATGGAAATAGGCCTGTTCAACAGAAAACACCATCAAAGCACGTTGAGAAAGATCCGAATGTTCAGAAGAAGGATGGAAATTCTGGTTTGCACACTAAAGGTTCAGTTACTCCTATTAAGAACGCACATTCCCGCCGGGCACTTCATTCAAAGACCTCTGGGAGAGTTGATGACAAGCAGAGAGGCTTTCCGAATGCTACTGGCGTGAATCTTCTTAGGCTGTCAAGGATGGCAAAGTTAAACCTCCAGAGGGACAACGAAAAGGAAAACTATAGACGTCCTTTGGCAATAAACTCTGAGAATGATGCTGAAGTAAAGATGGAGAACAATGACATGGAACTAGATTTTGGTGAGGTCCAAGAAGATGATACTTCTGATGAAGTGGATGCACCTGCGACCACTAATGCAGAGCCTCCTTCTATCCCAAATGGGGTTATTGATAGAAATGAAATCCCTGAGCAGAATACAAAATTAGCAGATACCAATGTTGAGGGCGACTCAGCTGTATTTGATGGTGACAAAATGCTCGAACAGACCATGTGCTCAGAGAATCGTGAGGGGACTGCAACCCCAATGAGTAATTGTGTACCAAGCAAAGCCCAGCAATCTAAACCTGCATCAGAGTGTGCAACTGATTTTTGTGCAGCAAGTTCATCTGATGATCTGTCACAGGTTTTTTGGCATTCATCTGATCTCTCCGTCAGGCCAATTATGCCCAACAGGAAAGCTGATAAAACGTCAGAATCAATGCCCATGCTCCCATTTGAAGCACTTCCGGCGAGTGATTTTGCCAAGCTATCCTCTGAAAAACTGGATTCATACAGCAATCAGCTAATTCAGTGTTTGAATGGCAATGCGCAAGTTTCAGAAAAGCAGAACGTCATTAAATACATAGAAATATTGGGTGGAAATACAGACGCGGCTAATATAATAACGAATGGACCTGTTATGCTATTGCTTGTCAAGATGCTCAGGTTGCCAAAGGCTTCTGCTTTGAGAGTGCAACTTGCATCTGCGATTGGCTCAATGATACGACACTCAACATTGATTCAAACGGATTTAGCAGCTTCTGGAATCATTGCTGCGTTGACCAATGGTCTAAGGGATAAACAGGATAAAGTTAGGAGATTTTCTATGGCTGCCTTGGGTGAGTTGTTATTCTACATTTCTACTCTGAATGATCAAAATAAGGATCTCGGTGCCCTCGAATCTCCATCGAAGGATAATCGTTCCATCCCTGGCTGGCAGGTTAGATTTCTCGTTCCTCTACCTTTATTAAACAAAGATCGTCACTTTCAAAAATCAGATGAAGATTGTGTGATTCATGGTTCTGTCAAAAGAGAATAATATAACGAGTGTTTGTCATTGTTAGTGTTTACCAGTATTAAGGCTGTAATAACTCTAACCACCATTCCAAGGTTGAAGTACTTGTCAGAATTTACTATTTGAGGCGAGTGGTTGACGTCTTATTTGGAAATATGTTTTGATTAGAAGTTGATAACTGTTAGATTTGGCACCTTCAAATATTCCTTTTAATTTGGAGGAAGATTACCATATCCCAGCATACGATTTGTTTCTCTTTTTAGTAATCACTCTGTCGCCTATGTGGATGGAAAAACATCTTCAGTGCTATTTGTTTGAAACAGTGCTTCACATCCTAGACAGGAGGGAAAAGGAGTTACACCTTAGTTCAAGTTTTTAATTGTCGATCTGCTCATTGTGAATTGACTTATATAGTTGGGGTTTTACCACTTGCTTTAAAATCTAGATTCCATGACCATGCCTTTATTTAACTGCAGGTCTCTAGTTCTGTGATTTCTTTGGTATCGTCGCTATTGCGCAGGGGTGAAGATGATCTCACCCAACTCTATGCTTTAAGAACTATTGAGAATATTTGTAGTCAGGGTGGTGATTGGGCATGTCGTTTTACAAGCCAGGATACCATCGGAAATATCTGCTACATATATAAAGCAATAGGGAAACAGGAGAGCACAAAACTGACTGCTGGCTCTTGTTTGGTTCGATTGGCACGTTTCAACCCCCAAAGCATACCGTTGATTTTTGAGAGGCTTTCTTTCAAGGAGACGGCATCAACTATTATTAAGGGCAGTCCGCGTGAACAGCAGATCAGCTTAAATCTTCTTAACATGGCCATGCTTGGAAGCCATTTATTGGCAAACATGGGCCGCCATCTCATTTCATTGGTGGAGGAAAAACTTCTTGCTCCAGGTCTTGTATCTCTTATCGAGCAAGGAACTGAAATATTACGCGGAAAAGCACTTATTTTTGTGGCCCTCCTTTGTAAGAATAGCCGTAGATGGCTGCCTCCTTTCTTTTGCAATGTAAAAATGTTACCTGTGGTTGATAGGTTGGCTAAAGAGAAGGATGGGTTTGTACAAAAATGTGTGGATGCGTTCTTACTGTTAATATCCTGTACTGTGCCTGAGATTCTGGCAAATGTGTCTGTGGATATTCAACAGATGATTGGTGGCAAACGTCATGGGCAGGTGACTTCTCTCACTTCACGAAGCAACTCAAAAAGCACTTCTCATCTCTTTCTGGTCGTTCTTCATCTTCTTGGAAGCTCTTCTTTCAAGCGGAGGGTTGTGAATTGTCAAGTCTTAATCCCCTTGGCAAATCTCACCAAGCTTATGGAATTACCTTTCCAGGTAAATATTTATCTGATTATTTAGTCCCCTTGCCCTTTTAAGATAATACTTTTACATAATTTAGTGATCGTTGTGGCACACTTCCTTTTTCTATTTTAGAGCCCAAATACTATTTTGATTAATATTTCTACTTCTATTGAACTGCAGGGTAGAGATGATTTCCAGACAACACTCCTTCGAATACTTGAATCCATTTCAGAGGAGGCTTCTATCATTCAGAATGAATCGAAAATCTTTATCAGCCAAATTCTCCCAAGTCTGTTCGTCCTATACAGGGGCAATAAAGATGGTGATGCAAGATTTTTGTGTCTTAAAATATTGTTTGATGTGATGGTTATTTTCCTAAGCGAAATGGTCGACCCATTGACCGGAGATTGTGAAATAATGAAAGATATTAAATCACTGACAGACGCCTGCTTTCTTCCCCTGTATCCCGTGATGATTGAGGACGAAGATCCCATTCCTATGTACGCGCAGAAGCTTCTAGTAATGCTCATTGAATTCAAGTACGTGAAGATTTCAGATATCCTGGATGTGAGGACGGTGTCACAATGCTTTGCGTTTCTTCTATGTGATCTTTCCGATGCAAATGTAAACAATGTGAAGCTCTGTCTGGCTATGGCATCTGCTCCTGAAATGGAAACAAAGATACTCTCTCAACTAAGAGTGGTCAGGAAAATTGGAAACCTCCTCGAGTTTGTCAATGCGAAGGCAATGGAAGATTTCTTGATGCCAACCTTAGCTCTGTGCAAGGCATTCATTTTTCATGGAATAGGTAACAAGAGAGCCCTTGCCTACTCCAGTGAGCCAGCACTTCTAGCCAATGCCGCCATGGACTTTGATGTGGTAGATCCGCATTACTACATAAAGGACATCACCGACCTATCTAGCAATGTCGGTGTTTTTCTGGAGTTGATTGGGGATCCTGATCAGCAGGTTGCAGATTTGGCATCAGAGTGCATGGTTTTGTTGCTCAAAATTGTACCAAAGGAGGCTACGATGGGACTCTTGACGAACCTCCCTAGAATAAACCATGTCCTGGACCGTCAGCTTGACGGTGTTTCCAGCTTATTGGTGTTGCGGGTTCTATATTCTCTGGTATTTTCCTGCAGACACTATCTATCTCAGGCATTGATATTGTCACTGCCCCAGGCTGATATCATGAGAATCGAAGCCACTGCTTCCAGCCTCAAGAGCTCCTCCCTGTCTGGTATAGCGACTGCTGCTGCCAGTCTAGTTCAAGAACTGCAGAGGCTACCTCGGTGCATTTGACCCTATGTTTGGTATGGTCCATAAACTTCACTGCATAATTTTCTTCCCATTCTTTCTCTTCAATTGATGTACTCCTTTGCTCTGTCTCACAGTTATTTCCTCAATCAGCAGTAACTTAAAGGTCATCAACAAGAACCCCGAAGCATCCACTTTCCTCTGGATTGGCGTTGGCTGCCTTCTGACGCCCATCTTCAGACGTTGTGTATGATATCACCACCCTTTTTGCTGTTCCATGCTTTTCTCGAGCTTTACAAGGTATCTCAGCATCAACAGATAGTCCATCTCTGCGTTATGGAACATCACCATCACCATCACCATCACCATCACCACCCTTTGTGTTTTCATCATCCTCATCATCGTCATTATCGTTGTCAACCGTGATGTGTTGAGGAGCTTCAGGATTGGGGGGAGGGGGGGGGGATTTATGTTCTTATCTGAATGATTTCTTCGCTTCTTCTCTATTTGGTCGCATATAGTTGAAAGCCCATGTTATGAGAGATGTATAAGTGAGTTCTTATGTTGTAAAATTCTTTCTTACTCATTTCCTTGGATAATATCTCTTCTTGAGTTGGCGAAGGCCCATTTACTGCCCCTGCCTCCGATCGGAAGAAAATCCTAGAAAACTGACTCCACACTGTACCCCTTGAGGCTTAGCCCCGCCCCAAATAAGGGCCTAGCCCTCTTTTGCCTGCACACATCTGTAGAGAGAGAGAGAGAGAGAGAGAGAGAGAGAGAGAGAGATGAAGCACCCTGAATAAGGCACCTGTCGCTAGGGCATGGGAAAGGGGGTGGTAAACTGTTGGCTTCTGTTGGACCCAGTTGACATTAAACTCCCAGAATTTCACCTTTTTCAGGCAAAATCTTGAGAAGGCTCAAGAAGGTTTGCTCATCTTTCTGGCTGTTCCAGGAGAAAAAAAGAAAAAAAAGAAAAAAAAGGTGCGCATCTGTCGGAATAGTTTGGATGATTCCGTCAGCAGCGTCAGGGGACAGCGCATGTGCAGATGCGCCGGGTTCCTTCACCCCTTTGGATTTCGTTTCGCAGCCACAATTTATTTCTCTCTCTCTCTCTCTCTCATCTTCGCAGCAGTCACGTGCTCAGGCTGTAGGGTCAAACTTTTGCTGGATCTCCTCTACTGTGCCGGAAAACAAGGATATGACTTTCAAACGATTTCTGACAGGCCAAGACAGGAGTCCACCTCGCCGCAGAGAGTTGAATCGTGCAGGGTTCATCAACACACGGCAATGAATGGCTCTTTTATTATTAGACAATTCAGCCTCATTTTCCGCTCGTTTTGGAACGATTTAGTTGCAGTTCTTGTCCTTGTTTTTACCGTTCGCCCTAATCTCTGCACCGTTTTCATCTCTTCGGACGGTCTCTCTCTCTCTCTCTCTCTCTCTCTCTCTCTCTCTCTCTCTCTCTCTCTCTCTCTCTCCCATAGAGTCTGAGGGGTGTTGCGGGGCAAGATTTGGGCTTCATGGACGTGTACGAGGGGGTGTGATGAGGCTCTGCCAGTCGACGCCAGCTCTGTGCGAGTGGACAAAATTTACCATTTGTCTTCTCGTCCCCGTTATTCCACTCCTGTTTTCTTCTGCACCATGTGTGACTCAGCCACCCTCCCCCCCCTCAAGTTGGCCGGCCACTGAGTGGGAATGGAGCGGAGGACAATGACGACGGAGATCACGAGCACAGGTCGACCCCTCATCTTCTCCTTTCTTCCAATATACAATGCTCTCTAATCGAACTGTGAATGAACAGAAACAACAACAGGGGGAAGGAGCGCCTACAGCTTTTGCGTACAGCTAGAGCCACCGCAGCAGCAGGAGGAGCCACGCCGCCGCCGCCTGTGCGAGGCACAGCTGGGAGGTCGCGGCGGAGGGGACTGCGGCGGCAGCGGCGGTGCCGAACGGAGCCAAGCCCGAGGGCAGAGGGTCGTCGGGGTTGGGGGGGCTCGGGTTGGACGGAATGATCGGCAGAGAGCCCGCCGGCGTTACGAGGCCCTCGGCGCCTCCGCGGGCGCCTCCGCGTGGGGTGGGGAGGACGGGCATTGCGTCGCGGCTCGGCGCCGGCGGCAGGGCGGAGTGGGTCGGGGCGGAGGCGGAGGGGAGGAAGGAAGGCGCCTGCGCGATGGAGCTGTGAGGCATAGACGGCCAAGCTCCGGTCGCCGTCGCCGTCGCCGTCGCCATCGCCGCCGCCGCCATCACGGCCAGGAAGAGGAGCCGGGCGAGAGCGCCGCCCATGCCGCCGGTTGCTCAGTGCAGCTCCGGCGGATTGGCGGCGAGGAGAACTGAAGCTGTGGTTGAACAATGAGCAAGAAGAAGACGTACGAAAGGGAGGGCGCTGCCTTATAATGGCTGGCCTGCGTGAGCGAGCCTTGAGTCACAGGGGCCATGGCAATTGGAGGGCAGGCTGGCACAGAGGCGGCTGGTTCCACACGTGCCGGATGCTCTGCCTGCTTCTGGCGTCCGCATCTGTCGCCCGTGAGAAGTAGTTGACCAGCAGAAGAGGGGGGGGTTCTCTTGAAAGCAGTGAATAGTCCGATCACAAAGCGTCAACAGGGGGGCGGGACTGAACGGCGGACTTCTCACTCTTTCCGCTCAAGCGGACTTCTTGGCGACGAGCTTGTCGATCAAGGTTGGCGGCGTCTTCCACCGTCACGATGCTCTGCGCGCTCTCCTCTTCCACGCTAATCTCGAACTCTTCCTCGAGGGCCATCACCACCTCAACCTGCGAGACGCCGCAGAAGCAAGCAGCAGTCAGCCGCAGAGCCCCGCTTCACACGGACGAACCAGAGAGGGATCCCGTTACCGTGTCAAGCGAGTCGGCACCGAGTTGGCTGAACTTAGTACCGCCCTCCACGGAGCTGTCAGCGGGGAGGGCCAATTGCTTCCTCACGATGCCGCACACCTTCTCCAGAGTCTCCGTCTTGGCCTGAACAGGGCGTTTGGAGGCAGGCAGGTCGTCAAGTCGGGCTTCTTGACCCCGCCCACACAGGAGAAAGATGAGGGATGTTGCGTACCGAGCATGAGACCCGGAGGCGTGGCGTAGAAAGTCGCAGTCGAACGGAAGGAAAGCTCTTCTGGGTGCTTAAAGAAAGTGATCCAAAGCCCGGGAGCTCATTGAATGCCTGTAGCGGTGGGTTAGTCCACAAAGCAGTTCGTGTCACTGGTCTGAGAAATGACTGAAACCCAGTTTTCTTCTAATCAGATCAAAGAGGCACGATGATGGGTACTAATCTGTGAGAGCATAATTTATCACATTAATTAAATATTATAGAGTAATTTGTTATCTGATACCATACGGATATTCAACGCACAATGGTTCAAATGAAAAAAAAAAAAAAAACCGCCAGAATCGCCCGCCACTGGCTGATATACTTCCATACTCCTAGGTCATTCCAAGGAAAATACGTGATACCCACAAACCAGAGAGGATCATGAAATAGTTGCCATCTTCAGGAATGCTTATGGCTGAGAGTTAATATTGCCTTTGGAGAAAAATGTTAGCCAAGTGTCCATCACAGATGCTATTAAGGTCAATAGATCTAAGCTGTAGAGCAGGCAGATGATGTCTTGTCGCCTCAAAGAAAGTACATGAAAAAATCTCAGCTTGTCCAGACATCAGATGTAATGAAAAGAGAAAACCCTACGAAGAAAGAGAGCAACAAGGCCTCCAGATCAAACAAAAGTTTGGGATTGATCTGCGTTGAACTAATCGCCGGTCCAGATTTAGAGTTGAAAAATGAAAATTAATATTTTTTAAAACTAAATGATAGAATGATCAATGAAGACTGCTGAGATCGAGGGGCTCGATCTATCCACACAAAACAACGCCGTTAGTGAAGCTAATACCGTGCTTAGTTAACCACCACAGTCCGGCACTAGTTCACTTGACTCAGCACCGTCGAGTCGAGAAAACGGAGCAGGGTCGAAACGACCGTCTGCAAATCTAATGTCCATCTATCCGCGAACAAGTTCGAGCAGGACCTCCCCCGGATCAGGAGCCGCAGAGGAGAAACTCCAGGAAAGAACGGATCAAGCGCAGAACAGGGAAAGAGCCACGAGAGTAATAGAGTCGGCAGTCTGCGAGATCAGACCTGGGATTTCAGAGGTGCAGATCGGGACCGAGCTGCGATGGAGATCGAAGACGCCGCCACGGAAGCCATCTCCCTATCTCTCTCTCTCTCTCTGGGGGACCCCGAGGCAGGCTGAGTGATCGCGAACCTCAAGGAGGGCACACCGGAAGAGAATGGGCGGAGTTGAGGAGGCACAGGAGTCGTTAGTATTTCTGTGGTGGGCCCACAAATGCCAGCGCACACCCCACGAAAGAGCCGATTCGAACGCCGGCCACGAAGCCAGAGAAGGGCCCCCCACACTCAGGAGGGCTCCAACAGGGGGGAAGCTGCTCTAGAATCCTGAAGGGGCCCACCCGCCTCCACCGCCACCTCACTCGGCTGGAACTTTCTAGGCCTGGCCCACTCAGCGGACTGCGCCAATGGGCCCCGCTCACGGGCCGTTCGGCCCAGATCGAGGCCACCATCTGCTCGGACTACTAATGGGCCAAATATTGGGCTTCATAGTTCGTGCTGGACCCACCGGGATCGGTTTGCCGACAAGTTTCTTCCTTACGAGTTTTTCCGTGCTTTTCACGTGGTTATTATATATTTTCGTTTTAATCCCCAAATAACATGAAATTATTTATTTGCCCCTCGATCTGCGATCATCTTCTCGATGTAAATTTAGCCATAGTTTTAGATTAATATTGCATTTCAAAGAAGTGAGATGCGGGCGTGGAAGAGAGAGAAATAGAGAGAGAGAGAGAGAGGGGTAGTTGACTGTCTCTCTCTGCCTCTCTCTCTCTCTTCCCTCTCTCAACGACGACAGAGTCAAGATGGTTAATGCAGAAAAATTGAGACTCCAGGGCGGAGTGAAAATAAAGAGGGATCTAAGCAAATAGGTAAATTATACGGGAAAGATCAAACTAATTAATTAAGACGTTGATAGTTAATTGTATATAAAATGAGAGTAATCAATCTTTGGACGCGTGTCCCCAACTGGTAGGCCCTAATCTCGTGCCCATGGAAAGCACTGCGTGTGGGGCCCATCTTTTGTCGTTTTCCGCGACGTCCCCCTTCCACCGGGCAACGTGGGAGAGAGATGCAACTACCTTAGCTGGGTGGAGAAGGGGGGAAGAATTTGAGGGGAGTGTCGGCGGCACTGGGAGGGTTTGCAGTGGCGATGAAGGAGGTGTGAAGGCGGGGCCAGAGAGAGGTAGCGGCAGCGAGAGGGTGGAGGCGAGTAGGAAACGTCGCGTCTACGCCGATCTCCGCCACCAACCGGCCCCCGGAAAGGAAAGGAGGCCTTTACTCCACGCTATGGCGGGGCGGCTTTCCGTCGTGGTGTTCTCCTCATGATGGTTCCAGCCCCCGACGTGCTTATCCCTCGATCCACAGGAGAACAGGAGCATCAACCAGTCCATCCAGATCAACCACTCCCGGTGGTTACAGGTTGAAAGAGTGTGAGTGACCAACTATTTTCGGACGAGGCACAAATACTTGTTGTGAAATCAAGTGTTTCATAGCTTAAACAAGTGTTCACCTAAAGAATGGATTCGTAACTTTGATTATCTTTTTCACGCTTGCTCAAGCGTTTTTCTGTTTCCTTCTCCCGTACCTAGCGCAGATTTTGTGTGCTGTGCGTGTTTGTGCTTAGAGCTCAGTTTTCCCCCCGCTGCCGATGAGTGCTACTTTATAAAGTAAATCCCTGTCATAGGCGAAGGGAAGTGTCGAGCTGAGAGTCCTGGTTGCTGCTGACGAATTCTCTTTTAGGAAGAGTATTCTTTCCTCTCCGTGATTCCAACTGTACAGTGATGACTCGTCACCCCCGTGGGAATTTACTGCTGTGAGATTCTGTTGATCTTCAAATGTTATTTTGGGTGGAACAGTACGTATTTTGAATGATGGAATAAATAATATGGGTGGACAGTGGGGGCCCAGAACTGGGCGTTTGTAGTTGCAGATGCGGGGGTGGTGGAAGAAGGCAGAAACGGGAGCGGGGCGGACGACTCATTTAATAATCTTTCTTCTCCTTTCTCTAGTTTTATTGCTCTAACACCGCCGTGGTTCTATCATTGGTGTGTTTACCCATTTCTGACAACTCCGGCGATTCCTTTCCCCTCCACAAAAGCCAGGGTGAAAGCTAACACTGTGATCTCTGCATCTTTTCTCCGCTTCATCTTCTTCTGCTTCTCGTTGATTTCCTTGCGTTTGGTTATGACTTGACCAATGGTACAGCGGTGATCCAGGCGGAGCTGTTGAGAGTTGATCGTTTTGCCTTCCTCGGTTGTTTGGTGGTTAAGCGGTGGGTTTTTAGGGGAACATGGCGAATAAACTCGTGGAAATCCAGCCTTCAGAGCTCAGGTTCATCTGTAAGTTTTCTTTTGCCAATAGATCATTAAGCATCGCCACAGCCGTTGCTTCTTTTGTTTAGCTTTCATTTCTGGTTTAGGTCATGAGTTGTTGCCCTCTTGCTTTGTATCGTTTTACTTTAAAAGTATTCGGATTGATTTAGGTGCATTCTGAACTGGAATCTGATTACTTGGGATCGCGACAAGAAAGTGTTCAGCATTCACGGATCATTGCTATCTTGCTATTACTAATTTGTTCCACATTGACCTTATCACATATTTGAGGACCATAGAGTGACCCTACATGATAAGCGTCACCTTGGAGTCTTTCTTATGCCTGTAGCATGCTATTCGTTCTATTAGCGGTCTTGAGAGCGAGGGGCGTTGTAATTGGAAGTCGGAAGATCTGTGATCCATGATAAATTTGATTCTCATCTTCTGTGTACGTAAATATGTGATGTAGAAAACGTTAAGATGACAACATTTTCGGTTATGGACCTCTGGACAGACCATGGAGGAAGCCGATCTCATGTTGTTGGTGCTGAGAGGGCTAGAAGAGGACACCGCATGTTGTTGATCTTAATCAGAGAGGGAAACATGAGAGGCACCGCACCCTAAGTGCTACGAGAGAGTAGAGATTTAAGGTCTTATCCCTGTACTTGAGTGATTCCGTTTGAATGGACTCATATACATAGGTTCTGTCTTTGTACCTGATAATAAAGCACAATGCTGACTATATTTCTTGGCCAGAATCCTGATATTTAGATATTAAGACTACAGAATTTAGGCGAGGCGTGGGCATCCACATCTGCCACTGCAGCGATTGGATCTTTCCTACTGACAGCATTCTAATCAACCTCTAGATATTGGGTTTGTCCAACTCCAAATACTGGCGATCGTTCTGTCTCAATCCCAACATAATGTCTTTTTTTTGTTAAGAGGAGTGCGCCGCAATGTCTTATTTATCTTCGTACGTGATAATAAAGCCCAATGTCGTTTTTTCGTTAAGCATCATAAATAAACACAGGACGTGCATGTACACATGCAATCTGCTGTAAAAGCACACCCCTCCCATTCAAGAGACAAAATCTTCGCCATTATTGTGCAGGTTCATCTGTAATTCAGAACTCTGAAAATTGTATATTTTTCGTTTCTCATTACATCGAAATGCTCTTTCTTTCAACCTTGTTGAGATGAAAAGAGAAACTAACCTAAAGACTCTACACCTAAATTTATGATTATTTTGTTACTCCTAGTCAACAAAGGGGCAAGTGAACACTATCAAGGCATCGATATGGTGTTCAAACATTGGTTACCAGGGAGGCAGAAACATTTTTTAGCTCCAGAAAATGCTCTTTCTTTTCATCTTCATAGTTATTTCAAATTCATAGTACGCTATAAATGCTAGTTATTTACTCATCTATTCCGATTTTGCCATTTTAATTATAGTATGTCGTTGTGATTGTTATGGGACAGTGGAAAATTGGGCGTCTGAGTCCATTTAAGTAGGAAAGGGAGCCTTCTCTATAAAACCAACGGGCTGCTACATTATTGGATTATGGTTGCTTCGTTTTATCTACGTACATCTGAGATATTCTACTGTGTTTCAGAGCTTTGGTGGAATTACATGGCACAATGCCATGGATCGTTCTGAAAAATTAATTCTCAAAAGTTTCATGTGCATAGATATTTACTTGTGATTTTAGTATTCGTTCCACGACCCTTCTAGAAGATTTCAGGTTTAAAGAAACTGTCGCAAATTTTGTACTCTATTGTATTCGGACATCTCTGGATTCTTATAAATGGGACCGGTGCTTTTGTTGATTTCTTAAAACCTCGGTGAAACCATGTAGGTTACATTTGTGCCTTTTTTTCTGGATCTCGCTGCGTGTGCCATGGATGCACAATCTGTTGACTCTTGTTGGACGTTTCAATCGATGCATAGAGAGAGGAAACGTTGGAAGAGGAATGAGTGAATGTGCATAAACCGGAAGATTTTGCTCTTAAGGCCATTGCCTTTAATGAGACAAATGCATCATATGCGGTGCACCCCGAGATAGAGCTGTCTTTTTTACCTATGCTGTACACGCTTAGCAGAAAAAGTGGAGTCAGTTAGAGACATTGCTATAGAATCTAGAATTCCATGACAAGCATGGGATTGGCACTTTATCACTTGTAGCATACTCTATTAGAGGGAATGGAAGAGAGAGAAAAGGTTTACGGAAAGACTTATTCTTCAACCACACATCCACTTCCTCCTTATTTTCATTTTTTTATTTAATATAATTATGAAACGTATGTGAAGTGCATACTTCTCCCTGTTACGAGTAATTGGCCAAAGATAGACAGGACGCTATAAGAAAGACGATGGGAATAGGAATGCTGAACTACTGCTCTAAGACTTGTAGCTGAAAATACAACCACTCAAACCATCAGCCAGTCTAATACGGCCTAAAGCCTTAAACCGAACTGATTTCGTGTCAATCACTTTGTGAAAATATTAGTCACCTAATGTCTTGATTCAACAGATGAGTATTTGTTCAGGCGTACGATTAATGTTGCATCTGTACCTTTAGGGAAGTTCTTGTTCCTGTGGGACATGTTTAGACTTTCAGGGATATTTCTGTTACGCGTGGTCATTAATGGAAGACAATTGTTGTGTTTTTGGTTGAAAGATATACGCACACGTATCCATTTCTTATGCATAGCCGTTACTTGGCTTTTTTCCTAGTTCAATAATTCTACCTTTGTATTCCAAGAAGTACTCTTGTGAATGTCAATTCTAGAAAACATATTATCGGTTTTATTCTTCATAATTGTCGCAGGTTTACTTTTGTGCTTCAGTTTTCTAAATATCATTTTATGATTTGGAGTTTCTCATTTTTTTCAACAAAATATTATCTCATCCAAAACGTTTGTTGCCATTTCTTTTATGGTACATAGCTCACTCTTGCTTCGGTTCTTAGTGTTAGGATAATTGAACATTGATTTATTTTTTTTTGTGACAGTTGAGTTGAAGAAGCAAAGTTCATGCTCTGTGCAACTCATCAATAATTCCATTCACTATGTTGCTTTTAAGGTGAGATCTCAAAGTTCATGCTCTATGCAACTCATCAATAATTCCATCACTATGTTGCTTTTAAGGTGAGATCTCTGATGCTCATTAGGAGGCATGCCCCAATTGATTGTAAGTTATTTAGAGTAAAATATGTTTCTCTCAATATTTTAGATTTCCAACGCTTATTTATTGTCTGCCGTGATTCGTCCGACTAAAGAATTGAATGGCTTTATTACACCTTGAAAGCCAATAAATGGTGCAAAAATATGGGAAACCATTTAAAAATCTATTATTTCGCAACAAAATCCTTTTTTATGTGGTTCGCAGGATTTTCCACTCTTTATTTAGAGTAAATGGCATTTTTTAAATTTTGGTTTCATTCTGTTTTCATTTACGTATCAAATGTCGTGAGGATTGGTTTTCTCAGATTATTCAGTTCAAGGCATAATTACTGTTTTTTTAATCAAGTGGAATTCCAGTTCCCCGTTTATATGGGTATTAGCAAACAACTTATTTGGAGAAAGCCATGACCTATCTTGCACCCAATGTACTCCACATCATGTAGGCCGTGAACCCGTCTTTACAGACCCAACTCAGAATCTGACCCCATTCGACCTGCGCCTCTGGTTCGCACAAATCATGAGTTTAATGAGTGAAGAAATTGCAAGTGCTGTTGATTTTACAAACAGGACCCTGATCCATTTGATCTGCCCTGCTGGTTGACGCAAACCGTGATTTTAATAAACGAGGAATTGCAGAAGCTCTTCAATATTGCATGTGATTATCTCCATATTGCAATGCCCATTCGGCATTCTCTTTTGCTTTTGGGGAAATGATAATCGGAATACTTTAGTGCCAGCTTCTTACGGCTCCTTTGAAAACCGTCTGTGGACTTTTATCTCCATCTCAACTTCTTCGTCTCTGTTCATATTGTCGACAGGTTAAAACTACAGCCCCAAAGAAGTATTGTGTAAGACCAAACGTAGGCATTGCTTTACCCAATACAACTTGTGACTTTACAGGTAAAGGTCATAACTGTACGACTTTACATTGATGTATATGCGCGTTAACATGTTTGTATTGACCACAACAAGGATGAGTTACTGGGACTAGGAAACCAAATTTCTAGGTTATTTCCGAATATTCTTTTCTCCGTGTGATCTCTTGACACTGTTCCTAAAATCAGCTCCATCTTTCTTTCATTAGTTTACGAACTGCATCCAATTTAAATGTAGTTACAATGCAAGCGCAAAAGGTAGCTCCCTCTGACTTGCAATGCAAAGACAAGTTCCTTGTTCAAAGCACGATTGTTCCATATGGAACCATGGAGGAGGGCCTTCAGCCAAATCTGGTATGCCCGGCCGTCACTACTACAGTTACACTTCTCAAGAGTTGGGGCTTCTTTTCATTTTTCTTTTACTGTTTTGGCAGTTCTCAAAGGACAGTGGGAACTATATCGAAGAAATCAAGCTGCGAGTAGTCCTTGTCAGTGCCCCACATTCTCCAGTGTTGCAGCCCATTAATGGATCTCTGCATCAGGATCCTCCTCCCTCCACAGCTCCTGTTTTGGATGGAAACCATGCTCCGAAAGAGCCTCCTGTCTTTAAAGAGCCTTCTTTTCCTAAGGAGACTCCACCAAAAGATCAAGTGCTGAGTGGCGTACAAAACCTTTACACTTCCAGGGTAATTGTTTTCATGAAGATTATACGCCTGCAAATGTCACATTAGTGGCTTGAAATTCCGTGAGCCTAGAAAATATGCTGCAAAAAACATATTATCTCATTTTTTTCCTCTCTTTTTCTAGGTATCCGAGGATATTTCTGTGGAGAAAATTATAGCCGCAAGAGTTGGCCGTTTGGAATCCAAATTCAATGAGGTCAGTAAGCTTTCTGTAACTCAACCACATATCACTACCACCATCATCATAGTACCTTCATTAGTCGTATCATAAGGTTGTATACTATCAGTGCGTTGGTTTAGGCCTTGAGAATAACCAAAAATCTAAGGGAGAACCAATGACCTCTATAATCTTTTCACCATTTGGTGGCTAAAAATAGCTCGATGAAGATTCTGTGATACCTTATCTTGCCTGTTTTTGCCAGGTGGCCAAGGTTGATGATCATGAGAACATAGCAGCAGCGAACGCTGCCCATCTGGAATCCAAACTCAAAGAGGTACCAAAACTTTTTTGGTCATCACTGCCACAACGATCATTTTGTTTTTGGTTATCAATAGCATACCGAGTGCCCTTTATTTTGTTAAATGATGCACCTTTTAGCTGTTTCTGAAGATCTGAATGTGTCTTTTTGGTGTCTATTATACGTAATAATTTATGTAAAAACCTATAATCATAGAGGCTTAACCTCATCCTCTGTCCTTTTCTTTTTTTTTTTCTCTGTACCAAAATCTTGTACCTCAATTACTTTGTTCTTGCCCGTTAGTCAACTCTCAACGTAGCTCTCGTCTTTGCCGTCATCTCTTCGCACTATGAGTTAATGCTAATATATCGATGATTTGTCGCTGAAATGCTCCATAGATTCTCACCCACAGGCATAGGTTGACTGATATCATGGTCTCCTTTGCAGGCCGAGCAGATAATCGCAAGGCTGTCAGAAGAGCATGCTTCCACGTCCCAAGAGAAGTCCAGGCTGCAGCAAGAAGTTGTGAGTGTTGGACTAACCGATAAACCCCGTTGATCTCGTTCGTTATCTGTGGCATAATCTGCTGCTTCCTGTAGGTGTTGCTGAGGAGGAGGGCCGCTGCCAAAGGTCAAGTGGGCTTCCCCTTCCTGTTCGTCTGCTTCGTGACCACGGTCGCTTTCATTGTAGGGTACCTGCTCCACTCATGACTTCTCGCTTTGGTAGAGCAGATGATTGATTATACGAGGGAGCTTTAAAGAGGGCGTTCTTCTCCGGCTCTGAGCCTGTATTTCTCAGAGTACAAACTTTTGGTCGTTGTCGTCTCTTTATATAGAGCAAGTCCTCCGTGATTTCTAGAGAGAGAAGAAGGCCCTCCGCAGAGCGATGGCCGCAGCGGGGCTATCCGAATGTGGTCTCCGCTTTCTTCACCGGCATCAGTAGCGGGGGTACCTCTGGGAATGGTCCCTACGGTGGCGGAGCCGGTGGGGCGCTGCCCGCCGTGGCGGCCCGGAGAGGAGTTATCCATCTCTCTACTGCTCCGGCAGAGTACCCGGCTGGACCTCCGCCAGATCCGGCAAGTTCACGGGCAGCTCTTCCGGCGGCACCTCCACCACGATGCCGTTCTCATCACCCAGCTCGTCTCGTCCTGCTCCGCCGCCGGCACCATGGACTACGCCGCCCGGCTCTTCCACTCGGTGCCCACCCCCGACCTCGTCCTCTGCAACGCCATGCTCAAGGGGTACACCCTCAACTCCTACCCCGCCGCTGCTGCCCTCTTCTTCGCCGGCGAGGTCCTCCGGCGAGGCCTCCCCCCCGACCACTACACTTTCCCCTACGTCCTCAAGGCGTGCGCCGCCATGGCCGATCCCAAACTCGGCGCCCAAGTCCACGGGAGCCTGGTGAAGACGCCCGGCGCCGGCGCGGACATCTTCGTGCTGAATTCCCTCCTGGACATGTACTGGAAGTGCGGGTTGAGCGAGCTCGCGCGACTGGTTTTCAGGAGAATTCCACAGCCCAATACCACCACCTCGAACATAATGATCTCCGGTTTCTTGGGCATGGACGAACTCGACTCGGCCAGGGAACTGTTCGATGGAATGCCGCTGAGGGACGTGGTTTCGTGGAACACCTTGATGAGCGCCTACGCGCGGGCAGGGGAGATGGAGCTCGCGCGGAAGCTTTTCGACGAAATGCCCAAGCGGAACATAGTTTCCTGGAACGCCCTCATCTCCGGGTACTCTCAGAACGGCCAGGTTGAAGAAGCGACGTCCGTCTTCTCTCAGATGCTGCATTCGGGGGTCGACCCCGACAGCGCGACGATGCTGAACGTTCTCTCTGCTTTGAGCGGAGCCGAAGATGACCTCGAAGATGAACTGGTCGATCGAGTAGTCGCCCTCGCGAGGTCGATGAACTCGGTTTCAGTCTCTACTGCTCTGCTGAATCTGTACGCGAAGATGGGGAGAATGGAGGAGGCCAGGAAGGTGTTCGAAGGGATCCCAGAAAAGGACCTGGTCACGTGGAACGCCATGATCGGAGGCTACTCTCACAACCAGCGGCCCGCGGAGGCGATCGAGCTCTTCCGGTTGATGACCCAGAAGGGCCACCCGAAGCCGGACGGGATCACCATGGTCAGCTTGATCGACGCCTGTTCTCAAATGGGCGCCCTCGATTTGGGCGAGTGGATCCACACCTTCATCCGGAAGAACAAGATACACTTGGACGTTTTCCTGTACACAGCCCTGGTCGACATGTACGCGAAATGCGGCGACTTGGTTCGGGCCCGTCACCTGTTCGACGAAATGCCCCGAAAAGACTTGCCCTCCTGGAATGCGATGATCAACGGCATGGCCGCCCATGGGCATGCCCGCGAGGCCCTCCGAGCCTTCCAACAGATGGGGAGCGACGGTGTCGCCCCCAACGAGATAACCTTCATTGGCCTGCTGAGCGCGTGCGCCCACGGCGGCTTGGTAGGTGAAGGCTTGGAACTCTTCCACCGAATGCACCGGCAGTACGGAGTGGAGCCGAGAATCGAGCACTACGGCTGCGTGGTGGACCTGCTCGGCCGCGCCGGGCGCCTTGCCGACGCGCGCGAGCTCGTCAGAAGTATGCCGCTCCAGCCCGACCCCGCCCTGTGGGGCGCGCTGCTGGCGGCGAGCACATTCCACCGGGCCGTCGGCGTGGCCGAAGAAGCAGCCCGCGAGCTCGCCGCGCTCGACCCACGGCACGACGGAAACTACGTGCTACTTTCCAACGCCTACGCCTCCGCCGGCCTGTGGGGAGACGTCGAGAAGGTCAGAGCCCAAATGAGGGCCAACCGGGTCCAGAAGACGCCCGGCTGGAGCTCCGTGGAGGTCGCCGGCGCCGTCCACTGCTTCAGGTCCGGCGACAGGACCCACTCCAGGACCGCAGAGATCTACAGTGCTTGGGACGAGCTCGTGAAGGAGATAAGGCCCATGGGGTACGAGCCGGACACGGGGGCTCTGCTCAGGAAGCTCGACGCGGAGGAGGAGAAGGAGGAGGCTCTCTATCGCCACAGCGAGAAGCTGGCCCTGTGCTTCGCCCTGATCAGCTCTGCTGGGGAGTCGTCTCCCATCAGGATTGTGAAGAACCTGAGGATCTGCGGGGACTGCCACCGCGCCATGGAGCTGGTCTCCGAGGTGACGGGAAGAGAGATCATCGTCCGAGATAGGAGGAGATTCCACCATTTCAGGGGTGGCAGTTGCTCCTGCGGAGGCTACTGGTGAAGCCGTCGGTCAACCCTTCCGTGCAGCAGCGAGAGTTCCTTTTTGGGAATATAAAATTACTGTATTTATTTATTAATATATTTTTTAAAAAAATTAAAACTGGTATCCAGTAAGGTGTCCCAAGGAAAGCCATGAACACAATTATTTATTTGTCAGGGGCATCGATGATATTTGGGCCAAGGGGACATTTTTGGGCCTGGGTAAATGACGGCCTAAGACATCCATCTATTTGGGCCAGATGGTTTGTTGGGCGTAGTGAGTTGGACTGGTTCGGCCCAGATGAAACCGAGGATCCATCCTTACGTTGCCGGCGACGTTCTTCCCTTTCCCCCACTTCTACGGTCTCCTGCTCCTCCACCGGCGTTCTCCCGTGGACTGCTCTTTTCCGCCGGATCCGACCGGCCGGCGCTCTCTCCGCAGCTTCCTCACATCTGCGCTCGCCAATCAGAAATCTAATCCGTCGTCTCTGTCGCCCGCGTTTCCCCCCTTCTTTGGCCTCCTCCGGTTGCCGGAAGTCCAGCTTCGTTTCGGCTGCATCCACCTTCGTCGACTGCCTATGTTCACGGCCCACCCCCGTTCGCCGGCCGCCCAGCTCCGTTGGGAGGCTGCCGTTCGCGGTTTCCATCGGCAAGTGCCTTTTCTTTCTCCTCGCCCTCGTCCTTCCCCTACCCTGTTTATGTGCCTCTCTCATTCCACTCTCGCTCTCTGTCGCTTTATCTCCGTCTTAACGTGTCATACTATTTAGGTGTCCCTCTCTCTCCATTCTCTCTTTTGCCCTTCCCTGGCTTCAGTATCTTTCTTCTTCTCTCTCCATTCCTTCTCTATCTCTCTATCTCCCTTCGCTCTGTATCGCTCTCGTTCTCTCGGCCGCAAATAAACATTTCTTAATTATTTTGGATAAATATGGTGAATATTCTGCTTTCTTATTCGTTTGGAGAGGAGGGAGGCAACGACATTGATTCTTTGACGTATCTTGCACAGGCTGTTATTGTCTCAATGGTATGCCCACTTGGGAGGGGGAAGATGGCAGCCATGGTGAGGCTTCTTGGAAATGGAAATTACCCTGAAATAACCGCAGGTTAGAATGTTGAGAATCTGATGAAATCAAATTTATTTGCGACATGTTACTTGATCCAATTTAGCAAACACGAAAACTGGTATGGTGCCTCCATATCTGTGTGACCTCATTTAAGTGTAATGTTACTTCTCCGAGGTGAAGGGCTTAGCCTTGAAATGTGTTCTCTTATACTCAGGTGTAAGATTAATACAGCACATGGACCTAGCATCTTTTCACGGCCCTTGATATTTTCTTCGTTCTATTTTTCATGATCACCTTATTATTCGATTGAATACGGTTCTTACGCTCTATATGGTTGTCGAATTGTCTAAGATAGCCCATTTTGTATTTCCTGGAATCTTATTTTCTAAAATTATGTAGAAATATACCGTAACTGGCCGGATATGAATTTTCTTTGGACAATTACCAATGATAAAAAAATATTAAATAAATGGAGATGATGACATACTTAATAAAACATATTTTTTTAACAATATACAGTGCAGCAGGAGTTTCCAGAAATTCTACGTGGTCATTTTCGTTGTTGTAAAGGTGCGAGTTATTCAGATTGAAACCTGCATCTAGGGACCAACATCGAAGAGGAAACCTATGTCTTCTGATAAGAGATCTTTAGATAAGAGCAGAATACAATATCCTGTTTACGAAAGCAAATATCTGAGCTTCTAAATTTTCTCATTGTGTAAAGAATTATAAGTTGACGTATCATTTAATTGATACAATGGCTTAGTGTTGACAACTATGAATGCATCATGTTTAAACTGTTGCAAAAGACCATTGCTACATGCATTGTTTTTTTGGTTGTAATGAATTTTGACAAAGCTAATAAAGCAATTTGAATTCAAGGGACGATCACATATTAATTACCTTCCAGAAGTAGATATCGAATTGCTCTTAGATCCTCGTTTCTTTCTAAATGGATAAAGCTTTTCTATCTTTTGAGATTACATTGTTCTCGTATTTAATAAATTTGTATATTTTAGTTTTTAACATCCACGGTGATATTTAGTATTCTCACGGTCTTTTTAATACATTTTCGCAGAGGAAGCTGGCCATGAAAAACTCGCTGCTCAAACCATCCACTGGGAGTTCAATGAGGCAGACGAGGCAAATCTTCTTGAGGAAGAAGGCATGTTTTTTCTCTTTATTACAGGGATCTTTTGTGGAACGCCTGATTAGACATAATCCGAGTAAGTGCTTTTCAAATGTCATGCCTAAACGTACTTATAACATCATATGGGTAAGGAGGGAACAATGCGGGAAGTAAATAACTGGTGACAGAAAAAATAGCATGTAACTAAATCAAAATTTAGGTAGTATTTTTCTGATGATAATAGCAGACATGTAAGAGAAAAGAGAGGGAAGTGATGAATAATGAAAATGAAAAATTAGTTGAGATAATTGAAAATCACTTAGTTGAGTCAGATAATAAGTGATTTCACTGAAAAGCACTAAATGAAAATTTTGATTTATTTATATTAAATACTTATCGGAGTTCATTGAGGAATTAGGACATTCCAAGGCTGGCAATAGCTGAAATCCTAGGCTGGAAATAGCTGAAATCCTAGGCTGGAAAAAGTGGAAAGGACACCATGTTTTGGGATGAAATTTCTGGGAATTCCTTTCCAAGTTTAGATGAACTCAGTTGATATATTTTGGACAACGTCTAAATGGGATTCCCCTGGGTTTAGTTAATCAGTTAGGACTGCTTATGGGTTGTTTAGAGAGGATTTAACTCAGTTTTGGGCAGGGAAATGGATGAAAGGGATGTAGCTTCGTAGAGTCCTTTAAATGTGATCATAATTTCTGTTAAGTGCTCAAAGTGGAATCACCCAACCCCCTATTTTCCCCATCGGTGTCAGTTTAAAGTTAAGTCCCACCGTTGTTGGATTCTGTTAGATAGTGATAAACAGACTTGTTTAGCCTTGGTTTGTAGAGTTTTCAAAATTGACCTCTCTGGACTTCTGACTAGGAAAATCATTGCGCTATTTAGTTAGATTTCGTTTTTAAATATGATCATAATTTCTGCCTGATGCTCAGATAAAATATTAAGGCTCGTCAGCTTCAAGTTCCCACAACCCTGACACAATTCTGTAGCCAACAGAATATACTGATGATTCGTCACTCCTTGATTTTCTTCAACCAAAGTCCATGTGGTACATCCCCTTGCATGTTTTTGGCTCGCTTGACGTATGATGCCTGAAATAGTGGTATTCCAATGGAGATGTAAGGGAAAAAGTTGCATTTTCGACATGGAAAAGTGAAGAGACCAATTATAACATGAACTGTCTGGTGAAATTTGTGTACCACCAATTCACACGGGTAGTTGTTATCTGTAGTTTCATAGCCTGAATTTCTTAAGCTGAGTTCAAGACACAGATCAATTAGGTTCGGCATTGTATGCCTTGTTCACTGAATATGATACGGTTAGAAGTAAAATTCTAAAAATAATGGCAATCGTGGCCTCATGATAAACTGTAAAAATAATGTCACCCAAGGAAAAGCTTTGATTCCATCGCAGTCAAGAGGGCGATTTTTATACTTTTCCATTACTCTAATCTGATTGGATTACACATAGCTTACAAAAATTGTGCTTACTTTTGATTAAACATCGCATAAATCTATTCAAGTCTAATCCTCTTCTTCTTTATACTTCTGCTGCTTATACCAGAGGCATACTTTGACATCGTTATTAGCTTGGGGTGTTATTGGTTTTTACATATGATTCTTTTTTTTCGTTTTCGTGGGAAAGTTTATATGCCCCTATTTTTCTGTATTTATGCACCTTATCTACTTTCTTTAATGTAATAAAATCTCATCCACCATTCTTCTTTACAAGGAAGAAAATAATCTCAATTGATTTCTTTGTGTAACATAGTGTGGCAGCTCTATCTATTTATATTCAATGCAACATAGTGTGGTATTATCATTTTCTGTAAATATTTAACTACTACTTTTTTCAGATATGCACGTCTTTGATTCTAGGCCACTGGCGGATCCCTTGGATCTGGTAAATCTTAATCTTGTTACATGACGGAGTCACATTTTCTTCTGTTCACCTTTTTTTTGTTGGCGTATTTGGCAATCGCAATGTTTTTATCTTTCATTAATTTTTTATTGTTATTTTAATGGGACTCTAAAGTTTCTACTAAAAGGAGTCATCGCGAACGTTCTAGGATATACTTTATTTCATTATAACGTAAATTGATTGCATAAATTGTAATGAACCATAAGTGAAAGGGCCACATCTACAAAGATGATGAATAATAGTTGAGGAATCTGAAACTGTGACGTGAGGGACGTTTCAAAACTTTAGATCAATCATGTAAGCATATTAATGTGTACTTGCCTTTAGGTTTTTAAATGCAAAATCCATATTACAGCAACTCCAAATAGGAAATTTTATGTGAGGGACTTAGAAATAGAAGATTTTGAAAATTTCTTCCAAAAGCATCCATCAATGCAAAGCAGTTGGTATTGTTCTGGCACATTTATGCAGGTGTATACATATTGCTTTCTCTTTTTTAGGGACCTGTTCTACATCTTTGTTGACATTTGCCACCTTTGCTTGTGCCCCCAAAGGTTGTAGAACCTAATGTTTGCTGTGACTACTACACTTCATGATGAACCAAATGAAATAACCTTTTTCAATCAAGATTTCAATGATGCTGGGTTTTGAAAAATGTTTGATTGTTATGACGACATATGACCTCCATTAGTAGAGGTGAATAATGGTGTACCCGGCCTGTTACAAAGAATGCTCCATTTATCCTGTTCGTTGGACAAGCTTGTTACATAAGTGCAGGAATATGGCATACTAGAAGTGGATTATTTATTTTGGATCTTTTTTCTGCCAAACTAATATGAAATTCGCTATTTTTTTTCCTATCCCAATGCTAGTGCGGATATGCTGGATTTTAAGATAGTTGAACCATACGTGGTTTGATCCTTCAAAGTCTGTTTAGGGCAGCCATCTCGAGATGCTTGAACTGAACTTGGCCAACTTGCCTTTTCGTTTATTTTTTGTTGTCTATCCTGGTTGTAGCATTCTCAAATGAATTTCTTTTTTCTTTAGAATTTCTTACCTTGACACTTTTTCTCTATATAAGTTTTCTTCTTATTCACTTATTCTAACACGAGTGTCCATCCATGCTGAAGGTTTGCTGCAATGCTTGTAAGAAGCCAGTTAAAGCGAGTCAATATGCAGCTCATGCAGGTTTGACTCTGCAACACCACGCTGCTTCTTCTTTTTTTGGGAGTTTAGTTTGACGTTACAGTCTTATGTGCTTAAGCAGGTTTTTCAGCGCCACTTAAAATACTTTTTTGGATGCAATAATTTTTTTCTGTAAAGCATGGTCTGACTAAGAGTAATGAAGAAAGTGAAGTTCATTTTGAAGTCAGAACGTGAAAATTATTAAAAAATCAGTAAAATATGCGCCGGACTTTCTCGAAATATTTTGGGAAATCATGAGTTTACTCGAGATGTTGCTAGAGATGTTGAGGGATATGGATGAACCATGGAAAGGGTAAAGTGCTTACTGGTGCCATTTCCCTGGTTTGGTATGGTCATCATCATTGCTGGACATTAGGCTAACCACCAAACGTACTAGGATGGCGGATCTGGGACAACGCCAAAGAAATTAGCTAATCTCTTTTTACCGCGGCTCATTTTCCAGATTTTTAAAAATCATGCCTAAGTTGATAGTTGACCATTTCGCCCACCATCAACATGCTTTTTATCCTAATAGTACGATACAAACTTATCTTGAAGTTCATGGAGTAAAGAATGTTTGCGTTAAATCTCGTAGCCCACGTGCTACAGATAGTGGTCTCCCTATGTAAATCCATTCGGTCTCCAGTATTGGGCTACATTTTAAAATTCGGAATTCAGTCCAATCTATGGATACACTACCTTTTCTACATGGTCCATGGTGTTATGAAACATTCATGAGTATTACATGCAGACAGGTTTGTTTATTTTTACAGGTTAATCAGTTTGAGATATTTTGCTCAATAATGTTGATCATTTCGTTTCCTGTTCTTTAATAATAACTTCCTAGCAAGTACTTTGCTTTTGTTGCTTCGGCTCTAAAATTAAGACGTCTAAATTTATCTAGTTGGCCGAACTATTCTTTTTCATCTAACATTCATGATTGCTTTCTTTCATTCAAGTATAATTTTCTCGGGGATAGCTGTTGCTGATGATCCGATGCATAAAACACTTTGCAGAACGTTGCAAATTAATAACAGCCGCTGAAGACCTGACTGCAGAGCTTGATGGAGGTATTAGTCACAAGAAGCCACAAAGAAAAGGGAGAAAAAAGTTTCAAGCAAGTCATAATAGTATCTTTCCTGATTTGAGAGTATTTTCCCTTAACTGCATTTAAGATTTGAGATGAATGCTTTCCTGTGGAATCAAAATAGCCTCTACTAAATTGCAGACTTTTATGGACGGTTTTTTTCATTAGACATAGATTCGACATTGAACAAACCCCGATGATAACTTCCTTGGCTTTCTTCACTCCAACTGTGATGGATGTGAGGTGTACTCAAAAAGGCATTTTTAACTAGATGTTATTAGCTGTTATTCCCTGCATTTCAGCATTAAAAAATTCCGCCAACAAATCTGGATGAAACGATTTGGCCACGACTGCATGTTTCGTTTTCATCTTAACAATCTTTTAGACCAGGTCTCTATGGTTGGAGAACAGGAAAAATCTGAGTCCCTGGATGGTGACGAGGAAACTATTTCAGAGTCAAATGTTCATGACCGAAATGGAATGGTTTCTCCCTTTTCCACAGATGCAAAAGATGGTATGTTCCCTGATTATTCTCCCAGTCATGTTTCGTTTATTCAGACACACCTGGAGACGGTGACTGATAATTAGATAAGTACAATTTGAATCTACTGTTCTTATCATCCTCTCAAAAAGTCCATTGTTGGGGAACCATTCATGATGTAGCAAAATGAAAGATATATAACTGACTGGTACTAGCCTGAAAATGAGGTAAACTTTTAAGCAAATTTTCGCAAGATTGACTCGAGAGAAACAGTACATCTTTCCTTTTTGCGCAGTAAAACTCTTCTGCTTATAAAGCTCATGAAATAGATGCTGGTTAAGCCGATGCAAGGTATGGATTTTGCACAAGAATATTGAGGAACAATTAGTGTCTTTGACAAATGAATAAGAGGATATGTTGACGTGTAAACCTATTGGATAATATTGTTCAATGATAGATTATTTATTTTCCTATTGGATAATATTGTTTACTTGCACAGTACATATGCCAAAATGAATTTTCCTAGAAACTTACTGTGGTTTGCTGTTAAATCATGAGACTCTGTTGGACTGGCAACTGAAAAAGTTAGCAGTTGGCTCCTTGGTAGATCCAACCACCTCATGTTCTTCATGTGTAGATTCTCCTCCCTTTATTGGCATGCTCCGGGGTTTATTTCACCTCAGAGAAAAATATATCTAATAAATCTACGATTTTCTAATGCACGATCAAGTTTAATTATCTGTCTGGCCGAATCTTTTGGAGACCTGGCTACTGAAAATCTTACTCCCTGGGATAATACGTCCTCCTTTCTTCTTGAGCGTAAGATTACATTACATGGATGGCTCCATGTATCAGGCCAACAATTCGTTCCACTGGGCACCAGTTGACTTATTTTTTTTCTAATTACGTAAACGTGATGAACATGAGTACCTACAAACCCACACCCATAAGTTTTGTGAAAGGGAAGTCCTAGATATAACACTTTACTTGCGCAGCTTGAATCCAAGTAGTCCAACATCACTGCAAGTTGCAGCTGGGTTGGTATTTTCTGGCTCGGTTTAGCAACTTTCTGAGCCCATTGTCCCATACTGAGTCACCAAAACCTTGATCACAAATCCCCCCTTCTGGCATCTGCAAGTTGCTGGCTCGCCTATTGTTTCTCTGTTCTTGGTGAGGTGCCTTTTTTTCTCAGTTTATAAAATCAGATTGAAGGGTCGGTCTCATGATCTCGACACTCATGCCCCCTCCAGAGCATTTCATTCAACATATGGGTAATATATATATATATATATATATGTATATATTTCTTATTCATGTGTCATTTTTCAGGTAGAGTACACAAGCGATTAATAGTTGGTAAAAGTGCAGCTATTGGGCATCGGAGGGACCAACAGATCTTGGAGCACAGCGAATATCGTCGGCATCCTCTCATTGGTCAGCTGCACAGTCTTCTCCCCTGCTCTTACTGAAACTTTTTTTATACTTTATCCAGTCAGCCATATCGTGTAATCCCTGCCGATGAAGTCAAAGTCTACCCTTCTCCCTCCTGATTCTCCTTGATGCCTGATCCCATCTTCCTTCCCCAGAGGCTCCTAAAATAGCAAAATTTGTGAGAGAGTCACCCATAAGCTACTTTTCTTCTCATATATTCTCCTCATGCTTGCTGCGTTTACCCAGTTCACCCGGACGTTCCCGCTCCTCTCGCAACCAAGATGTACCACTTCCAGGGTAATCGCCGGTTCCGGTCAACCCTTGGTCAACTCTACGTCGAGGCGGTTTGCAGAGATGAGGGCTGCGAAGTGAGCAGGAAATCAGTCGAGGACCCCCGTTTGCCGCCCTCAGAAGCCGCATTATCCAACAAGTTCTTCCTCGAAACGCCTAAAGATAATCCCTTTCAGCCGAAGGTGCGACTTCTCTCTCCTGAAAACTGCTTCCAGTTTTCCTTTTATAGTAATCATCCGCCCTCTTTGTCAACGTTTACCTGCGATCACGGTGAGTTCATCCGTTGACCGTGGGGCTAGTAAACAGTGCCTACCTCGCTCTGACCCCACGAGCCTTGTTGAAGATCGTATAACGCTCGCTTTCTCTCGTTGCTCGCAGATGAGACCAACTCGCACGAGCTAGCTGTCCTTCCTGCGCCGGCCCCCCAGTTCCGTGGCTCCACGTCAGCGCGTCTGTAGAGATCTTGCGGTCTTCCTGGGAAATTTTATTCAATTACAGCAACAATAGCAACAGCAACAAAAAGGAAGAAAAAAAAAAACTGGGACTTTGTGGTCCTCTCGTTCTAGCCGAAGGCTGGTTCATCTGTAATTTCCCATCCAAGAGCTGCTCCTCTTATTGAGCAGCTTAAGGTTTCTGACGGTCCAACTCAAGTGAATGAGTTCAACAGACTCTTACCTTCTTTTCCTAAAAATAGTATTTTTTCCCCATTTAAACCCTCGAAGGTCGTGTTTTCCCGTTGTTAGCAGCTCGCTCACCGCCGTTTCGGACATCTCGGCCCGCCGTCGCGCCGCCATCAGACGGTCCCACCCGACCGCCGCCGTGTCCCGCGCCGCCGGGTCGGATCATTGGCGCACGTGTCATCCTCCTTCGCACATTAAAGATATAAAGGTTAGGGGATAAGATCGGGACCACCACGTGGCATTCAATAGTCTTCTCTGACCCTCCCTCGGCGCCTCTTTGGGCCAGATTTGACTCGGGGATCTCTAGTTCCTTTCTACAAGATAAGCGGATCGCTGCCGTCGCCGGTTTTGCCGACTGCCGCCGTGGATGCGGCCTTTTTCTAGCAAAGGTCGGCGGCGACCATATCCACTGGCCTCATCAAAGTCAACGGCTTATCGAGTATTATCCGCTTGACGCCTCGAGAAATTAGGGCAGCGGAAGAAGCTTCCGTTGATTTTTTTGGCTCGTGTCTGACCTTCTAATCTCCGTCTTCTGGATCCGATAAGATGCCACGTCGGAGGTCTATCGGCGGCTGGCGTCCTTTTCACATGTCTCCGTTTACGCCGTCAGCTAACGCCGCCGCCGCCCACCGACGCCGAAAAAGAGTAGTAACGTGGGGGGGGGCTGGAGAAGGGGAATCTAGATGCTCCCGTCTCAGTCCCAGGCCGAGAGAGAGAGAGAGTTTGGAGGGTGTTAGTGGCAATTTGGGTATTATTGGTACAATGAGGGTTATAAGTTTCAGCACGGATAGGGCAATGTCGATATTAATCGAAGCAAGGAGGGTGATAAACTTACTTTATCATCACTGGTCGAGACAGCCGTCGACCGCTGTGCTTCACCCTGAAAAGGCCTACGAGGAGAGAGAAGCGAGTGAATTACTTAATTAATTCTTTCTTTCTCTCTCTCTCTCTCTCACTGTCTCTCTCTCTCTCTCTACATGCGTGTATCTCTTTCTCTCTCTCAGCAATATCCAGAGGCTATCGATCTTCTTCTCCATAGCTGCAGCCTTCCCTTCCTTTCCCCACAGCTCTCGTGAAAACGCGTGATCTCAGTGGAGAAGCAGAAGCGCGAAGCTGCTCGTTCCCCGCCTCGACGGGAGTTCTCCGCATAGCCGCCCGCCTCCTCCTTTACTAACCCAAGCTCTCCGGCGGACCGCACTTCTCTCCTTCCTCGATTCACAGCTTGTGGCGATTTCTACAGGACTCGTGCCGTCTGATCTGATTCCCTCTCCCTGGTCGTCGGGATCAACAAGCCCTCGACTGGTCGCCGCCAGGTCGACCGATAAAAGGCGGAGGCAGAGGAAAGCGGTGCTCCGGAGACAGAAAGTAGCTCGCCTTCCTGATCCGACGCCCTTGGCCCCTTCTTCTCGGTGAATTGGACGCGCAGACGCCACGTGACTCTTGCTGCTCCCTGGCCAGAGCAGTTCATCGCTTATTGTCGTGAATTGCTGTACATTTGCTTGAAGCAGCGGAGCGGAAGAGAGATTCCCGGCGATCTTTTCGAGCTCCTCTAAGACTTGGATTCGTGAGAGCTCCGTGTTTCTGTCGGAGGGGCGCAAATGTGCGCTAATTTCGGTCCTTGATCTGCGAGGAATTTCTCGTGTCTGTGCGGATTTGGTGAGGTATTGGATACATGTCGTTCAGAAGCATCATCCAGGACGTGAAAGGGGAGATCGGGAGCATCTCGAGGAAAGGATTCGAGGTGAAGCTCGGCGGTTATGGCCTGCGTTCGCGCTCTCATCGCGCGGTGGTCCATGATCGGGCAGCGGCGGCGGCGGCGGCGGGGGGGGGAACCGTCGATGCCCTCAAGCTGAGCTGCTGGGCGGCCATCCCCCCCGAGCTCCTGTGGGACGTACTACAGAGGGTCGAAGATTCAGAGGGCGCATGGCCGCGCAGGAAGTTCGTGGTCTCCTGCGCAGGCGTCTGCAGGGGCTGGAGGGAGATCATCAAGGAGATCGTCAAGACCCCCGAAATCTCCGGCAAGCTGACCTTCCCAATCTCTCTGAAGCAGGTCAGGCTATTCTTTTCCTCAGAAGATTAAAAACATGATCTTCTTCTGAAAGTTGTCCGAGACCTTCCCCTCCGCCATAGCTTACGAGTTTACTCTTCGGATTCATCACCACTGACCCTTGGAAAATCTGATGCATGGTCTGAAGCCCGGCCCGAGGGACTCGCTCCTCCAGTGTTTCATAAAAAGAAATCGAGCGACGCAGACGTACCACCTCTACCTTGGTCTTACCCGAGGTAATTCTGCTCATCTTCTCCTCAGCTGGCACTCTCTGCTTCTCTCTACCGCATGCTGAGCCACGCTTTATTTATTTCACCATCTTTATTTAGCAATACTGGTCTTCCATCCTGTGCATTTTAATTCTAGCTGCTGTTCTAGCCGATGTGCTCCATTCTTCCTATTCTGGGTAGTAGTCACAGAGGCGGTAGAATGTGGGATCCAATCCATGCACCCGATCTAGAATAGGAAGGAAGAAGTGCATCCCAATCGCTGACTACATTCTCTCTCTCTCTCTTTCTCTCTCTCTCTCTCTTTCTCTATCTCTGTGTCGTTGCCATACAGCCCTCACAGACAGCGGCAAGTTCCTCCTCGCCGCCTGCAGAAGCCGCCACCTGACCTGCACCGACTACGTCATTTCTATGAATCCGAGCGACGTATCCAAAGGAAGCGCAGCCTACATCGGGAAATTGAAGTGAGTTTCATCTGGGTCGCCCCAAAATCAGTCATCTGTGACTACCAAAGAAATTAATTTGCTCTTTCATCTTTGGCCAGATCGAACTTCCTGGGAACTAAATTCGTCGCGTACGATGCGATGCCCCCCCACGCCGGCGCTACGGTCGAAAGAAGCCGCTCCACCAGGCTGGGCTCCAGCCAGGTCTCCCCCAGGGTGCCTGCCGGGAACTATCCCCTCGCCCACATCGCCTACGAGCTCAACGTCCTGAATTCCAGGTGAGAAGCTCGCCATTAAAACCATGGAAACTCAAGATGGTTATTGCTCAATGGTCTCTCTCTCTCTCTCTCTCTCTCTCTCTCTCTCCTTTCTTCATGGTAATCCTTGTTGAATCCAGGGGGCCGAGAAGGATGCAATGCACGATGGACGCAATACCGGCGTCGGCGATGAGGGTCGGCGGCGCCGCTCCGACGCAGACGGAGTTTCCGATGGGTGGCGTGGACTCGTTCTCGTCGATCCCCTTCTTCCGAACCAAGTCCTGTCGCGCGGAGAGCTTCTCTTCGGGGCCAAGGGCGGCGGCGGGGAGGGGGGAGGAGCTGCTGGTGCTGGAGAACAAGGCCCCACGGTGGCACGAGCAGCTCCAGTGCTGGTGCCTCAACTTCCGCGGCAGGGTCACCGTAGCTTCCGTGAAGAACTTCCAGCTGGTTACGTCGTCGGGGAGCGGCCCGGACAACGAGAGGATCGTCCTCCAGTTCGGGAAGGTGGGCAAGGACCTCTTCACCATGGATTACCAGTACCCCCTGTCGGCCTTCCAGGCCTTCGCCATCTGCCTCAGCAGCTTCGACACCAAGATTGCCTGTAAATAGTATCAACAATCATGCGGCAGAAGGGAGAAAAGAAGGAGAAAAAAGAAACTCATCTTTATCAATACCCAGATGATCTCTTTGAAACGGCCGCAATCCGATCCAACGTCGGCTGGATGGATTCCTTCGAGAAGAGTTGAGAGGGTTGGACTCGCCCACGTTGGGAGCAGATGTTTCGTCGTCTCTCTCTTGCTGTATGTAAATTTCCCACTGCTGTATACGGGATGTTTCGCTGGTTCCGCTGCCGGTTTACGGATGGGCGTGACCGCCCGCCGACGGGATCTGAATGTGCTCAATATGCTCAATGTGCTCACATGGCACGAACGAGATTCTGCGTCAGCGTGGTCAAAATACGCGGCTCCGGTTTTCACGACCAGTTTAGTGAGATCAACGTGGTTATCTCTGAAGACGCTGGTCAACCTTCGAAGTTTCGATTAGATTCGTGCTGTCGTCATCCTCTACGGTGGTCTACTCTCTCTCTCTCTCTCTCTCTTCTTCTTCTTCTTCTTCTTCCCTGGACTCCGGCGACGGCCCCAGGAAAAGCGCCGCTATGGCGGTCGCCGACAAGGCCGACCCAGCTGGGGGCTTTAGTCAAATACAAGCCTCGCGGGACTCGTCACCCAGAGCGTTCCACGCGGTCAAAGACTCGGAAGGAGTCAAACACGAGACCTGACCCTCGTCTTCCTGAGACAAGGCACGCTGCCGAGTCAGCCAATCATCGTCGTGGTGCTGTAGAAAGATGTGATCATCGTCGTCTTCATCGAGGTTGCACAGACAGAAACAGGAGAAGGGAGAGCGAGAGGAAGACAGAGGGACCGAGATTTCAATGTACTTCTCCTTCTGCTAGATGTATTGTGCCTCAAAAATTCAGCAAAAATAACAAATCACTTCGTGTCTAGGCTACTACTCCTCGGAGGGACGCCCTCGCTTATGCATCAAGTCCACCACCATTATACTATGTACATAGAGCGAGGGGGGTGGGGGTAACAAATTAATGGCAATCATCTTCTTCTTCTTCTTCTTCCTCCTCTTCTTCTTCTTCGTCTGCCTACTACTTACTTACTGCTCCTCCTCTCAGACGGCTTGCATCTGTCTGGTGCCCTCAGCCGCCGAACTCGGTGTCAAGGGGATGGTCTCGTCGTCGCCGGCGGGCAAGTCGTCGGGGTGCAAGTCGGACCAGTCGAGGCTCCTGACGAACTGCGTGAACATGGGGAAGTGCTCGGGGGAGAAGAAGTATGCCCCCATCCGCTGGTAGGTGAATTGACCCACCGGGGACGGCTTGCCCTTGGAGAGGGTCTCCTTGATCTTGCCGAAGACGACGTCGGGGGAGCCGCGGAGGGAGGAGTTCTCCCCGGAGACGACGACCCCGTGCTTCTCGCAGGCCCTCATGATCTGTGCCACCAGCGCCTCCGGGCTGGAACGCGAGGCCGGCGGCTGGTGCTCGTCGGAGAGGTCCATGGCAGGGAGGATCATGCCGCAGGAGTGCCGCGCGAACACCTTCGCAACGGCCTCGTAGCCGTCGGAGTTGGCCGTGTTGTGGTAGCCGGCAGTGAGCTCGGAGGGGTGGGAACGGTGCTTGTACCAGGCGTGCATCACCGGGAGCTTGCCGTAGACGATCAAGGGGAGGTCCCCGAAGGCCGCAGAGGCGACGGAGAGGATGCGGTCGCCGTGAGCGACGAGCTGGCTGGAATACCAGGAGAGGAAGAAGTTGCCGTACGGGGTGTCCCACGACCCTCCGTGCTCCTTGAAGAAATTGGTGGACTCGGGAGACTCATTGTAGTGGGGGGCGTCGTGGGGACCGGAGAGACCCCAGAAATGGTTCCCGGTGGCCTCTGCGTGCTCCTTGAGATGATTCAGCATGTTCTTGTCGTAGCACTGGAACTCCCCCACTCCAGCGACTTGCTTGTTCCTCGGAGCCGGCTGCTGCGACGGGTACTTCAGCTCACCATCAGGACCAAGGCCAACAAGAACATCCTGCAAGTGGATGGAAAATCCCCAAATCTTAGATGGAGTTTTCACCAGACGATGAAGAAAGGCGAGAGGAAAACGCGCAGAAGCTCAATTTACCTTGATGGTGGAACCGAGGAAATCTGAGAAGGTGGCTCTGAAGCTCTGAAGGAAGCCCGCGTAGACCTCCACCGGAGTCTTACCCTCCAGCACGGGGAGATCATCGACTGCCAGGGAGAGGTAGTTGTTGTGGCGCTTGCCGGCCCTATCTGTGAAGAAGATGTCCGGGTTGCCTTCGCCGATCTTGGACACCCACTGCGGGAGAGGCATAGCGGGTTCGGTGGAGGCGTGGAAGTAGAGGGATGCACGGATCTGGAGGCCGGCGTCGCGGATCGTCTGGGCAAGGGCCAAGTAGCCCGACCAGTCGTACTTCCCCATGGCTTCCTTCTCCACGACTCCCCACCATATCGGTAGTTCCACGCCGTCGACTCCTAGAAGCTTTAGGGCCTTCAGTCCGGCTGCGATCGCCTTCGCGTGGTTCACGGTGTTGCAGTCGGAGACCGCATCTAGAGGAAGCCCCACGAATAACTGAGGGCTATCAGCCTGCAGAGGAGAAGCTCGATTGTAAGTTGCACCCTCTTGCAAAACCGCAGATCGTTCAAAGGAAACAAGCAAATCGAAATTTGTTCGCAATTATTGCAGTTTTCCCCCCAAGAACTTAGGATACAATATAATACCTTAAAAAATTTCCCGGAATATTTATCTGCAGAATAATCTGCACAAAGTTCGATTTATCTTTTTATTTTTTAAAAAAATAGAGAAATTGTAAGCAAAAATTTCATCCATCCACGGGATTTCATCATCTTCCTTCGAGGATCCTTCCAAGAGAAAAGTGAACAGGAGGATAAAGAACATACCGTCAATCTCCGTGGCGACTCCTTTCTCGTAGCAGTCTTCTTCGCGGTATCACCGGCCACCTCCGACCGGATCGCCGCGCGGATCGCAGTCGGCCTCCTCCGGCACCGAGGAACGGCCGCCACCACCGCCACGGCGTGGCTCGGCACCCCGGAGACTGGAATCGCGATCCTCCTCCTCTGCCTCGCGGGAAGATGCTGGACGCGGCTCCGCACCGGCAGCATCAGCATCTCCGTTCCCGCGGCGCTGGCCTGCCTTGCAACCACCGAGACTTCCATGGCAGCCCTAATCGAATCCAGAGGTATCCGCAGAGATGTGGAGATCGTGAACTAGGCAGCAAGGAAACCCTAGTAGATCTTCGATCAAGAATCGGAAGGAAGAAAGGTCGGACGGGATTCAAGCGAATGGATAAGGGAGAACGGAAGGGGATGATGATCACGGATCTTTCGAGACGAACGCTTTGAACGGGTTTAATCGATAGATATATGGAGAAGGGGTCTGGGATGCCCTATTTATAGACTTTGGAAAGCCCCCTCACCACGTGTCAAACATCATTGAGCCAAGTTAGAGCGTGGGGACCGCCTCCTTGTACCTCCTAAGTTGCTCCGCCGACTCCTCCTCTTTCGCCGTTTCCTCCTCCCCGCGTTTCACCGGATGCTCGTCCCCACATATTGCGTTTGCGGTAACCAGCAGCTTAGTGACGCTATCTCGCCGTCCATTCGGATTAACGAAGAGAAGTGGCGGTTCCAGCTGCGCCCCCTCTCTGGAATAGGAGTGACGTGGGCCGTCCTGATAGCCACGTGGCGCGAGGAACTTGGTAGAAGGCGCTGTCTGACAACCAAAGCGGGCCCCAACAGTCCCTCAGTCCTCTCTGTCTCCACTTCTTCCGGTCAAACTTTGGTCGTCTCCCCAGCCATTGGCGACGGCAGGCCGTCTGATCGGACGGACAACGGTACCACCCCGGATCTCCGTCCGATGCAAGCGCTAACTTGTGGACTCCACCTGACGGACCGACCAAGAGTGGCAAGCCGGGTGGATAAGAGCGAGAGAAAGAGAGAGAGAGAGAGAAGTAATCCGATCTTATCTCCTGCTTCAAGGCAGATGCCTTTCTGCTCGGGGAGGGGACTTCCGCGGCCGCCACGTGTGCGGCTCTTATGCTGCCAACTGTCGCGCGTCCAGCTCGCTCCGCCATGAATCTGGAAGTCTCTGGATCCTAGAAAAGACAAGTGGGCGTTAACACAGAAGCCACGATTGTTTCGAGCGTCAAGTTGTTCCCGCGGTTTCCCTCTCCCACGCGTTCCGTGCCTATCCATCCACGTAGCCGTGACCTGGCCGCATCTGACGGCCAGTTTTGTCCCGCTCCCCATGCCCCTCCCCCCATCCCCCCGCCACATACCGCGTCCCGATCCGGACCCCCGCACGGGTCCCACCCACCCGAAAACGGTCACATACGAGCAGAAGCCCCTAATTAATCGGGTCTACGTCCGGGTACTCCCTTCCGACGGTTCTGACTGTGCGGCGACTCATCGCTCAAAGCTGCCCAAATAAATTAATAATTGACGTGGCCCCCGTCAGATTTTTGTAGGGTGCCACTCGGCGCTGACGAAGCATTGAATCGGACCGATTTCCTCGTACGCATTGAACCGCCGCCGCATGGCTTTCATTGGGCCGTAAAAGAAAACCAAGTGGAGGGGATTTGGGTGGAATGGGCCTCGGCCCATTTAGTGCTCGAGACTATCGGAGAGTGTCGGCGGGGCGGCGGTCGTGCCGTCCCGTCACATGACGTGGCACAATGGACGCTGCAATGATGGAATCAAGGGTGGGGCCCGCTTGTGACGCATCCGCTACTCCTGCGCGTCTAGGGACGCGATAATGACGCCAGCGGGGGACGTCTTGGGCCATCCGATTGGAGAGGTTAGACTCTACCTCCGCCGTCTTTCGACACCTCATGTCGGAAGAGAAAGGAGAATATGCTGGGGACCACCCGGATACAGAGGATCTCCATCTATCTTGACCGTCCGTCTCCCACGTGCGAATGACTGTCGCGGGCCGCACACGTGGCTGGCGTCGATGGAGCGGGGCGGAGGTGGCCGGTCCGGTCCGGTTCGACCGGTCCGATATGCCGTGTGAACCACGTGGGGTTCGCGTGCGTCTCTGGTTGGTGTAGAAGGCCGCCGGTTCAGGCTCCGGCCGGCAGGTGGACGGAGTTGTCTCCGCCGCCGTGGGGGGCGGCGGGGTGGCAGCGATGGGACACCGCGGCGGCGGGATTCGCCGGCAAGCTGGCACCTGCTGATTGATGGACGTGCACCGGCCCTGCTGCACTTGGCTACTGTTGGTGCCCTTCTCGGTGGGATCTACGGCCACCGCCCACGCCGGCCCTGTTCCTTCCTCCTCGGTCCAGTCGCCGGCGGGTAGCCGCCGGCGAGGAGGGCTCTCCCCCTTTCCTCCCTTCTCTCGGGTCGCGCTCTGGTTTTTGCCGGCGAGGGTGAAGAAGCCATAGCCCAGAAAAGACGGGGGGAGAGAGTGGAGGAAGAGAGGGTGAAAAACGACAGGGGAAGCGGAGAAGAGGGAGGTAAGAAATTATAAACTGTAGGGCTCGGTTACCCGCATCAACCCCTACTGGTCTGCTCCGCAGCCCCACGAGAGCTTATCTCTTCCCCTGCCTCTCTCTCTTCTTCTTCTTCTTCTGCTTCGGCGGCGGCGGTGGCGGTGGGAAGGAGGCGGTGTGGATGATGGGGGGGGCGGCGTTGGCGGCGGCGGCGGCATTCCCCGACGAGGTGTGGGAGCACGTGTTCTCGTTCCTGACGGCGGACGGGGACCGGAACGCGATCTCGCTAGTCTGCAGGGCGTGGCAGCGGATCGAGCGGTTCTCCCGGAGGAGGATCTTCGTCGGCAACTGCTACGCCGTCTGGCCCCGCCGGGTGGTCGAGCGGTTCCCGGCGCTGCGGGCCGTGTCGATCAAGGGGAAGCCCCATTTCGCCGACTTCAATCTGGTTCCCCAAGACTGGGGCGGCGACGCCTACAACTGGGTCGCCGCGCTGGCGGTGGGTTGCCCCTTGTTGGAGGAGCTCCGCCTGAAGCGGATGGTGGTCTCCGACGAGTGCCTGGAGCTGGTCGCCAAGTCGTTCTGCAACTTCAAGGTGCTCGGTCTCGCGACCTGCGAGGGCTTCACCACCTCCGGCCTCGCAACCATCGCGGCAAACTGCAGGTGCTTCGTCGATTCCCTCGTCGCTGTCTCTTACAAATCCGTGTGCCCTCCCCGTCCTACACCTCCAAAACCCTAACCCTAATTTGGAAGTGACCGGGAGACACCAATGTTTTCCCGGGGGGTGTCGCCATTTTCTTTGGTTTAGATCACTCTGAAATCCACAATCAGCTACACCAGCCCACAGAGTTCTTTCCCTTTCCGCATATTGCATTGCCAGCAGAGTTCATTGCCAGAAGACCTCATTCTCTGTAGCATCACCAATGTGGGAGACTCCTGGTCTTCTTCTGGGCACCCGGCTGATTCGCTGTCTGTAATAGGGAATTACAAGCAGTCACTCTGTTTCTGGGTCGTTTTGTTTTCAGAGAGAACCAGTCGAACCCCAGGAAACCCTAAAAGGGAGGCTCCTCATCATTCATTAGGTTTCAGCGTCTTCGTGAGAAGAAGAACGAATAATGCTCTGCTGGTTCAGGTTCCAAACCTGCGTAATTAATGGAATGGGGGCTGCTGATCTCTCAGGCATCTGGAGGAGCTCGACCTGCAGGAGAATGAAGTGGAGGACCACGGAGGGCAGTGGCTGAGCTACTTCCCGGAGTCGTCCACCTCCCTCGTCTGCCTGAACATGGCATGCCTGGAAGGCCCGGTGAGCGCGCCGGCCCTCGAGCGCCTCCTGAGCCGCTGCACGCGGCTCAGGACCCTGCGGCTGAGCAAGGCCACGCCCCTGGAGAAGCTCCCCGACGTCGTCCGCCTGGCCCCGCAGCTGGCCGACCTCGGCACCGGCAGGTTCCATGCCGACACCGGCGCCGGCGCCGAGCTCTACCCCAAGCTGGAGGCCGCCTTCGCGGGCTGCAGGGCTCTGAGGGGTCTTTCGGGGGTCTGGGAGGCGGCCCCCGCCTACCTCCCCGCCGTGTACCCGATCTGCGAGGGCCTCACCTCGCTGAACCTGAGCTACGCCACCGTGCAGAGCCCGGATCTCATCAAGCTCGTCGGCCGCTGCCGGAACCTTCAGAAGCTGCTGGTGATGGATTTGATCGAGGACGAGGGGCTGGAGGCGGTGGCGGCCTCTTGCAAGCTCCTGCAGGAGCTGCGGGTCTTCCCCTCCGACCCATACGCGCAGGCGCCGCAGGCGCAGGCGGTCTCGCTCACCGAGAGCGGGCTCGTCGCGGTGGCCGCCGGCTGCCCGCGGCTGCATTCCGTGCTCTACTTTTGCCGGCAGATGACCAACGCGGCGCTGCGGGCCATCGCGCGTAGCCGGCCGGGACTGGTGCGGTTCCGCCTGTGCATCATGGAGCCCAGGGCCCCGGACTACGCCACGCTGCAGCCGCTGGACGCCGGGTTCGGCGCCATTGTGCAGAGCTGCAGGGGGCTACGGCGGCTCTCCCTCTCGGGACTGCTCACGGACCGCGTGTTCGAGGCCATTGGCGCGGACGCGCAACGCCTGGAAATGCTCTCTGTGGCCTTCGCCGGGGAGAGCGACGCGGGGCTGCACCACGTGCTGGCGGGGTGCCGTCGGCTGAGAAAGCTGGAGATCAGGGACTGCCCCTTCGGGGACGGTGCCCTGCTGGAGAACGCCGCCAAGCTGGAGACAATGCGATCCCTTTGGATGTCCTCCTGTATGGTGACCCTCGGCGCCTGCAAGGCCCTCGCGCGGCGGATGCCCCGCCTCTGCGTCGAGGTCATCGACGAGCGCCGCCGCCCCCCCGAGCCGAGGGATTCTTGGCCCGACGACGCCATCGTTGACAAGCTCTACGTCTACCGCACCCTCGCCAGTCCCCGCCCCGACGCTCCTGACTGCGTCTGGATCCTGTAGCACTCCCACTCACTCTCTCTCTCTTCTCGATTTTTAAAGAACCGTGGACTCTGTGGCCACCGGAGCCACGCCGCAGGTGGCGGTGATACTCTTAAATTCACCTCCTCTCCCGCGTCTGATCTCCGCTCTTGTGGAATTACACTGACGCCGGTAGAGGACCGTATGAACTCCCTGAACATGTATCGGCACGGAAGTCAAAATTTGATTAAATCTAATACGAAAGCCATGATTGATCAACTGCGTCTGATGGTGTTAGAAAAATCAACACGGATCAGATGGCTCACATCATCCACCGGCAGAATCAAGTGAGGACTATCGATGCTCCTCTCGTGAGCGAGCAATGAAGAGATAGAGAGAGAGAGAGAGAGATGGGCAGTCTTGCGAAGCCAGGAACCTAGCACCGAATAGTCCACGATAGGACAGAAAGTTCGAGTTTTTCAAGCTCTAAGCCTCCCCGTCTTCTACACCACGTCAAAAAGCTGGCAGATGCTCCTCGGCCCTCCTTACAAACACAAGTAAGACATCGACAGCACAGGCCGAGGTCCATTGAGAGAAACGCAGGCGGCGCCGGGTTTGCTGCGTTGAGCTCCCGCTTGGGTCTGCACCCACAACGAAGAAACCCGGTCCTCACCTTCCCCCACCGCAAGATCTTCATCTCGGGGCACGCGCAGCGGCCTCACGTGATGGCGGCCAAGCCGATGGCCTCGTCTTCAACGCCTGGTCCCGGGTTGGGCGCGGCGCCCCGCTGTCTAGCTGTGGGCAACAGAGCATACATACATTTAGAAGGAAGACCAGCACACAGTCGGACAGCCCACATGGTTTTGTTTTCCCCTAGAGAGTGCCTAAATTGTTGGAAAGAGCTTCCTAAGAAGGGGATCCTGAGGAGGAAGACGGCTGTTGTTCATGACCCAAGGAATCAGTGACACAGAAAAGGGGGAAGAAATAATAATTCATTGCATATGGGTTCTTAAGAAGATCTCTCGCTTTCATTGCGTATGTGGATCGGACGCCTCCACCCCACAAAAGATGGAGATTATATCATGCTTTCTCCACTTCGGCCTGTGGAACTGAGTAGCCTGAGGGGCAAGCTAACTATTTGGAAGACAAAGAAGAGCGGTTTTTTCAAGGCCACATCCTGGCTTAAATCATCTCAGTCAACCTCGGGATCAGTGTTTGACGATGTTGGCATTATTTCTGGTGGGTAGAAGAGGGGGTACAAAAAAGGTCAACTGCTTGATCGGTTTCTATAAGTAGGAATGGCCATACAAGCAACTGTAGGAATTGACCTCCCTCAATGTTGAAAAAAACATTTCTTGGCGCAGAATACCCAATGGCTACGGATTTAATATAAAAAGTGACTTGGATGAAAGATAACTAAACTACGAGAGAAAAAATCCCAAGTCAACCAAATCTTCAGTAGAGACGCATGAATCCGTCATCGACTTATTGGTACAGCGTCAAAGAGAAATTCTACGTCTTTTTGTGCAACAAGAAACTAGGGTTCTTAAAGAGTGCATAATTCTAGCGATGAATGATAAAAAATTGATATGGTTACCTGATATATTAGTTATGATATTAGCTGTTTTCTGTTGAGTGATCGCTTTCAGTTTGTTTCCTGAGGCCAACACCAGGAAACTCCTCATATGCTGCTTTTGCTCCTTTGCACTGCTTGTTTTTGATATGGCGTCCTCAAAAGCAAGTAGATCATCAAGGCGAATGCAAGGAAGCGAAAGCAAAACCTGAAAAAAAGGCAACTCCTTGTGTGAAAACTCGCATCAATCAATGCTATTTCACAGATGGAGCTAGAGAAGAACAGACCTGTCTTGGAGCAGCATCCATATCTGAGAAATAAACAAAAATCTCACGACAGAGGCCAATAAGATCAGAGCTGATGACAGCATTTGACTCGAGTCCCAAGCCTTGAATTATTGCATAAAATAAATCTCTAGCGACAAATTCCCTGAGTTCCATATTATCTGTAGAGAGGGCAAGAAGGATCACGACGCCACAAAAGGAGGCAACTTTCGACACAGCGTCACCATCCGTCCACATAAATGCTTCTCTACAAATTTGTAGCACGGGAACAGCAAGAACTTTACGGCTCAAAAGGAAGCTGGAAGGATTATAAAACCGTCAGTTAATCCACTGAAAGGCGTCACAAAATGGCAGAAGATGGATAAAGAGGCTGGCTGTTGTAGACATTACGCTATCATAGAATTGGAGGCGAATGCATTCAAGTCCTTGAGGGATGATGAGTCTGCGCGGCTAATACTTGCAAGCTGTTCAACAGAGGGTACCCCCTTGTTTCGAGCTGGCGAAGCTAAAAGAGATAAGAGAAGACATATCTCACGCGTCAAATCGCGAAGTAGCTTTTCCTCCATCACTTCGACCTTCAAATCCAGTCCAGATGGGTTGCTAAAGAGGTCAGGGACCTTTGCTCTGCCCTCGGACAGAAGATTATTCCATGAAAACTTGAGGGCTTGCTGACAGTGGATAAATAAAGGATACAGAATCTTTTCGATCCACTCCTCCCATAGATTTGGAGGACAGGATTTTACGAAGGGAATTAGTACCAAGTGTATAAGCTGGCGTATATGTCTGAAGTCCATTGCTTGCACATTTTCCATAAGCGCCAGAGCAAAAGATGAACTCTCAACGCAATGAAAAAAGCTCTCCCCTGTCATCAGGGACAGGCCCAGAACATTGTAGCTGCACGCAGGATACTCCATCATAATGAGCATCAACAAAAACGTAAGCCAAATACCAAATATTTCACACTAATTGACCAAAAAAAATTAACCGAAAAAATATTTTGCATACTATAATGTATCTTCTAAAAGGTCATCAACACCGGTTTTTACCCTGATATCTACAGAAAAATCGAAAGAGTAGGAATCAGATGTTGAAAAAAGACATTTTTCTTTCTGCGCTGTCAGTTAAAGGTAAGAATCAGATGTTGATTTCCTTTCATCTCTCAGGTGGGTGAAAGCCAGTTGATTAATGGAAGCTTTTTCGAGAGATAGAACAATGTCTGATGACAGTAGGGAAAGGGTGTGCCTTAGTCTACAGTAACCAGGATCTCCAAACATCATGAAAACAATGATAAAGAGTTAAACAAGCAGAAAATCCCGTTGGATGGACAGAATGACATTTAGTACAGCATGATGATTACCTGCTATCTCTGATACCCTTCAGCCAGTTTCTAGTGCTACTTTCATTTGATCCAGAGCACCCTTCCTTGTTCATCTCAATTGGAGAACATTCCGAGGTATTTGATTGACTCTTTGAAGGTTTAGCCGTGTATTCACCAAGTAGACTGGCTTGTTCAGCATGGCTGATAGTCATTGCCGCCCTTAGTTCACTTGGTAACGATTGAGATATTGGTTCGGACCACAGTGAATGTATTGAACGGAGAAGCTGCAGATCAACAAAAAGAAACTCACAACACTGCTCAAAACTCTGACATTCAAAATACTGGCAAACAGTCAACTAATCAATCATAACCCTTGTCATATAGTCAGAAATCTTTTACAGTTAAAGTTTCCTTTCTCTGATATTTTTTCCTGAATGTATACCTACCCTTAAGAGGGGAGGTAGCAACCATGGCAAATGAGATGACATGGGATGCTGGAAGGTGGAGACCTCAGCTGCCAACAAGGGGCTCTGTACACTCAGACTGGCCTTCTTCGTTCCACCCCTCCTGAGAGCCTTTTCGAAGAAAGTTACATTATGGAAGATTGACCACATGATTTGTTTGTCAGAACACAGACGTTTCATGCCTGATGGATCAGATAGATAAGTATTCTGCCATTCTGATTGTGTCCATTGCTTGCTTAAAGGTTCAAGTAACCATGCCAAGACGTCCTGTTGCTGCTGAAACCTGTAGAAATGAGCCCATAAATAAGAGAAGTCAAACAATTATGCAAGGACTAAGCGTGCAGATGGGTATTACCCAGCGGAAGAAGCCATAACGAGAAATGCTTCACCAAGAGTATTATGTTCTCCACGAAGTAGACGTCCCTCTCCTTGAAGGTAAGCTATGGTATCTGCGATGCCCTGCATGAAGAAAAAAAATTAACCAGAAGGAAAACAATTAGATGATGTGTTTGCTGCAACGTTTATACTTGGAAATGAGAGCCTATAACACTCCGAGAACGTTGTGCACTGTCAAAACAATTTACTCAAGGACACCCGCTAAGTACCAAAACGATATTAGCATCCGACACTGTATATATGTGAGGGATATGTTCATATGCTCATTGACACTGTATATATGTGAGGGATATGTTCATATGCTCATTAAGTGTCATCATCCAAAGCATTATACTCAAGCATCTCACCTAAGTGATACTCTCACAGGGGACTGTGAAGGCCAGCATGGGAGGACGAAACCAGTTATGCTTAGATGGGGCCCCGTGACAGATTTATCCATAGAATTTAGACACGTACTATTATAGATCTCTACAGAGGAACATACAACGAATAATCTATTTCTTAACACCGCATATTCCAGTCACATTCTTTACCACAGTACGGTCATAGGGTATAAAGTGAATTTATAATAAAAAGGAAAGTTCAATACTCTGAAAGCTACAATGATCGTCCCATTCTCAAGCTTATGTGTGAAGTATACCCATTGCTTAAATTTCCATTATCTTGTTTCTGTTCCTCTTCTACATGGTGTAATGCATCTTTGAATGATCAGCAACATTTACTGATCAATTGAAAAAATAATTGACCGAGGAATTAGTTTCTATTTCATTCTATGTTTCTCTGCATTCGCCTATTTAATGCAGACATAACTATAACGCAGGCTTGGGACTGTAAAGATTTATTCTGAAAATGGATTCCAACTTGACAATATCCAAGAGTTGATTTGACTACTACATATTAAAGACAAGTTTTTTAGTTAAAAATGCCCACCGCTAAGAGATTCTAGAAGATAGGTGGTCATGTGCTACAGCACGAATCAATGCTATTACAAGAAATGCAAAAAGGAGCAACAAGGTCACCTTCATATGAGGCAGAATACTTTTGTCAGAAGCTCTGGCAATCCGAAGAAATGATGTACAAATTTGCAATCTAGCATGGCGAGCACCGGTTGCACAAGAATCCTGCTTAATGCAGCAGTCAAACTCTTCAGTGCATAAATAACAAAGGTACAAGAAAATAATCAGGTTATAAAAAAAAACTCTAGGGACCTCAGGTGCAAGGGGAATTGACGTCAAAAGTTGAAAGAGTTTATCGATGACGCAACCAACTGCTTCTGGGAATGATCTCAAGAAAGGTCCGAACGCATCTAGATACCGTCCTAATATTTCTGCCAATGCTGGCTCGGTCCATTTTAAACCGAGAAGTTGTTGCAGTAGACCTTCAAGTTACAAGTAATCAACAACTTACAGTCTGACCTTGAATTATGATTTACGTTAACTAGAGAGAACTCACAGGACAACCTTCTAGGATACTCCTCAGACCAAATTTAACCTCATGAGGGTTGCCAAGTAAGACCGATTCCTCAAAAATGGCCCCGACTATTGTTTCCAACCCTAGCTGCATGTTTTCCAGCAAACTTAGGTCCTGCAAAGAAAAGAGATTCACAGGGATTTACAATATAAAAGAATTCTGACAGTAACTTTGAGCAGAAAAACAGAGTATTCTCTAACAGAAGGAACATTATAAACACCTCAAAAGTAGAACCCTATTCATTAGATACAGAGAAATGGAGAAAACTGCAGAGGGCAAGGGAAGAGCAACTAGTGGTTCCCATAGAGAATAGCAATTTACTCAACACGAAAGGAGAATTTGTTCTGCTTGACAGTCAAAAACCAATAAATTAATTCCTGGGTACTATATATTTTAATATCATTTTTCATGCTTAATTTGGAATCCTTGTGTTCAGTAGCTTTGCCCCTGTTGCAGAGTCATGGCAACTGCAGTCTTTTTATAACTGAAGCGTGTAGTTGTGAATTATGGTTTGACGTGAAGAAGATTATTTTTGGTTTTAGAAAATTCACACGAAATTAGGTTTATGTTTTCCTTTCATCTCTCTTGTATAATCATGTACCTTAGTCATAGGCCCGTATGTTTTCTTTAGGTGGTACGACCAGCTCTATCTTTTCAAAAAATGTCCCTTCGTCGCCATTTAAAAAAAAATTCTACTCCACAGGATTAAAAGAAATTAAATATTATTAACCCCCGGAGAAAAAATACACTAGTTTACTGAATCTCAGCTATGACCTTGATTGACATTTGAACATACATGTGGCATACCTTAGGTGGCACCGGAGACATTGTATAAGCACTGATAGTCATCTCAACTCTATGGGAAGTCTTTGCTGCAGCTATCACTGGATTGTGTAGGGCAATAAGTCTGATAAGTTCCAACTGCAACGAAAGTTACATTTCAGTGATGGAATAGAAAGCCACAAAAGTCAAGCATCTCATCACATACGAAGTGTATATATTGAGAGGGGACCAGTAGTCACAAGGGTGGGTTTCACAATTTATATCACACAACTTATTTCTTCATTTCTTGTTATTTTAGTGAATTGTGAAATGAAAGTACATGGGTCGTTGTTTTTTTTTTTTCTGCTCTCATTTATTATTGCAGAGCTACCAACTACATTGTGCAAATTATGATCGGTTGGAAGTAGTGTAAGCCAAAAAAAATGGAGAGAACATAGCTTTCACATGAAAGAGATGAACATAAAGGAAATGAACTCAATCTTTGTTGACTGAGTTGGACAGAGGTTGGATGCAGACAGTTGTCACGGCATCCCTGCAATGCCCTTAACTAAACAATCCTTTTGCACGGTTGCAGCCGGATATGATAAACGGTGTGATAAATTCGCCCGTGGAGGACCAGCTGCTCGTATGTATAATGGTGGAAATTTTATATCAGTGAAGCTATAAAAAGAAATTACTTCCGCAGTTTGACAAACCTGAAGTTCCGACATAAAAAATAGTATAACTTGAGAAAGCAAAATCTCTGCAGTTCTGACTGGCCGAACCAGTTTCTTTATAACGGCTCAGATACAGGGGAAAAGCCAAAAAACAGGCTACAACTAACCCCCCCGCCCCCCGAGGTCCCATGCTGTTTACGTCAGGGGTGGTAGTTTACGTTAGGGGAGCGGGCGAGTATTATTCCCCTTCCAAGTTTCTAGGCAAACCAGACCAAATGTCCTCTCTTGTTCTTCTCACAAATACGGCTGAGGTAGGAAATGAAACGAAAGAGGGTTATCTGCACCAGCTGATTGTATGGATATCCGTAAGGGTACCAGTGGTGATGCTAATGAAGATGGAGAATTGGTGAGGGTGAGGGAGATGGGAAAAAAATAAGTGATGAAAGAGAAATTCGAGCGTAGGACACACTAACCCGCATGCCTGTGACTTCTAACCCGACACCAAGGCAACCAGACAAAATAGGTGTTCATTAGCATCTTTGCAAATGAACACTGCTACCTCGAGTGTCATTGCCTAGTATCTTTACTACCTCGAGTGTCACATCAGAAATCTTAATAAAAAAAATTGCTGGCATAGTATTAGTAAATGTATATACATCTTTAAACGATTTTCTAAGTCAAGAAAAGGTGGACACAGAAGAAAGAATTAAAAAAAATGAAAACCGTAATACCCAATGAATGGTGGCAGGTGTGTTATATCTTCATAATAACCTCTAAATATTACTATCTTTAAGGAGCCTGTCAACTGATAAAATACGACGGAGGTTATGAGATTCCCAGTAAATTATCAATCTTATCAACTGATATCACATGCAGTCTTGACTTGAAGGGGGTTAGCGTTTCAATTGAAAGTTATTCATGGTTGAGACAGCTTCAGGCTAATGTATTGTACTACATGCAACTTGTACGCAGGAAGCTTTCATTGGTGACTTAATCGCACATCATCCATATATACTTAAAAGTAATCCTTATATCCAATTACTTCGGTACGACTGGTATGCGAAAAAACAATCCACCATAAGCAAAAGTCAGATCTGTGGCATACCAATTTAGAGCGGTACTGACTGAAGTCAACCTTGACATCTAGTTCACTGTTCCATAACTCTAAAGGTTCCACAGATGCAGCTCCAGATTGAACAGTTTTCTTGAGCATACGCTGGAACGAAACATCTAAAATAGAAGAACAAATATCATCGTTTATGAACACTTTCGCTCTGATCTTTTCTTTCTCAACAGAAGTGCCCTCCATAGCTTGTGTGGACAATTTTGTCTTGGAAGACAAATCCTTCATAATCGCCTATTACAAAAACATAACTTAGAATCTACTGTGATTCCACCAGAAACCAGAAACCATTAAGACAAAAATTAGGAGCTAAACTTACCAGCCAAAAGTTCAGTGAACAAAAGTGGAGTGTGAATTTGAAATGTTGGAAGTACACTAGCATCTGCAGAAACACAGAGAAACGCCCATGCAGAAATTTAGGTATTTGCTAGATGTCTGAAAATGATACATCATATCAGAAAAACATATAAAAATGTGAGACTCAAAAAAAAATTAAAAATGGAGAAAAACTTTCATAGTCAGCCGCTTTATTCGTACTCTGGAAGCATGAACCGAAATAGCCTCAATCATCGTAGCTCAAATGGATCACAAGTTCAGTCTTAAGGACAAATAAATACTAGTCAAACCTAATCTCAACCGGTATTCAATACACTAATGAACTATCCAGAAATGTTACTACTCAGATGCATATTATTATTCAATAATGGACTGTCTTGTCCAGTAACCTTCATTACCAGGTAACACAGTTGCTACTGTGTTACCAGGTTCAAATACCCAGAACCTGTGGTCTAGTAGCCTGTTAGGCCCCGTATTGTCGGGCCTAATTGCAGCGCCATTATCCGGGCAACCTATACCAGGAAAAGGAAGGCTAAGATACAAGAGGGTCTAGGGCAGATGGGCCAAGGGCCTATTAAGGGGATGGGTATAAGGACCCGTAGGGGTCGTAACTGTAAGCCACGTCTGGAAGTTTTTTGGGAGAGCAGGGGCGCTCTTGAACTCGCCCCTTGGTCACATTCTGGGGTTTCCTTCAGAAACCCTCCCTCTCTATCCCCTGCTCCTCTACCCTACTACTGATTCTTACCTTCTTATTTTCGAGTATCTACTCTCGGATCCTCCCTGTTTCGTGCCGCTATTCTGGGATTCTATCCTATCCATGAAACTCACTTCAAGGAATAAAGATTATGAGCCAAAAAGGTATGTCAGACGATTCAGAATCACATCAGGACTCAGAAAACCAAAACAAGGGTTGGACCATACCAACTTGTAAGCGACTACGGACTGATCTAACCCTGACTCAAATGAGCCTATCAATAAATCAATAGGGATCATGAACACCCTTCAAGAGCCTTTAAGAGCCTTTAACCGGTACCTCAGATGTATCCTAATTGACGTCAAGGATCAGAATGCTGAAAAATCAATAGGGATCATGAAGGTCAGTCCTTAGCTAAAGCATGCTCTAAACCAGTCCATGGTTCACAAGAAATGGTCCACGGTTAAAGGCTCTTGAACACCCTTCAAGAGCCTTTAACCGGTACCTCAGATGTATCCAAATCGACGTCAAGCATCAGAATGCTGAAAAATCAATAGGGATCATGAAGGTCAGTCCTTAGCTGACCTTCATGATCCCTATTGATTTTTCAGCATTCTGATCCTTAGCTGAGCACGCTCTAAACCAGTCCATGGTTCACAAGAAATGGTCCCGGGGTTCACAAGCACCCTAACCTCCTCGAGTATACCAAACTAGCTAGGATAAACATTGACAGTGAAAAAGCACGACAAAAACCCCAGAAAAGTATCGAAAGGTTGTAGCCACTAATTCCGGAATTTGAAAGACCAGATTATTCATAAACCAAACAAACCAGTTTCACTTGCCTGATACCACATGCATTGCATGTTTCACACCCTTGGAACTTCGACATTCACAAAAGCCAAGTCCATAGGTGATAACTTTGTTATCACCAACTTGTGCTACATTGCGACTAAATAAGAATGAACAATCTCAAGATAAGCATCATAAACATTAAGTTATTTGGCAACGTGACAACATAGGCTCAGGTCAAAGCACGCGTAAATTCATGTAAAGGACATTCATCATGTTTATTGTTCGTGACAGTGACTAACATAGAGTGAACCGTCTCCTCTTTTCTTGCTCTGCTTCTCTATTGCCTAGGGCAAACCATGCGCATCCAATGACAGTGAAGGGCACCGGATCCGGAGTTCTTAAGTGACAGTAACGCTGGATTTGGTTTTGCAATGGTTCAAAGGATGTGACCGAACCAAATCAAGAAGGAGACGATTTTAGGGTTCACATCCATAAAGGCTGGACTACCATACATTTGGACTCATAGATAAAATTCAAGCCAGATGCCTCAGGGTGAAATCAAAGTGTGGCAAACTCGTTGTTCAGTTCTGATTGAACATGGACAACTCAAAATGACTTTCTGTAACAGAACTAGACATAACTCCAATAGTGGGTGTGTTACCCATGCTATCAGGTGTGCACAACAAGTAAAAAAAAATTGGAGACTCAGGGAATATGATCACTTAATAAAATCAAGAATTTATCATGATAATATCGAACGCACCAATTTGTCTAATCATGGTAGTTCATACCACTAAGAACAGGACCAATTATACATCAGCCAGGATCTGAAACACCCCGTTCCCTCCCCCCCATAAAAATGAGAAAAGAAGAAAAGCTAGAAGTTCATACCAATTACAATATAAATATTTACTTCCTAAAAAGTGCAGGCAATATTTCTAGTACCTGTTGGACATACTCGGAGATCACATTGTCATCCTCAGCAATGCATTGCATAAATGATGATCCCAATGCCACCATACTCTCACAAATACATTCGGCAAATTGAACTTCACTTTTATCAACTCCAGCAGAACTAGAACTATATTTGCACAAGAAATCTCTCGATGCACTCATCAAAATGTGAAAAATATTTCTCATTGCATCATCAAATTCATGAGTTGAGTCATCAGTTGGCCGTCTCCTGCACATGAAAACATAAATAAAAAATAATAATGGGAACTGATTAGCCATATTCATGGATCTTTACTTTCGCAAATATTCAAAGCTCAAGTTGCTTTCGCACGAATACCTCTGGCAGACAAGTTTAAAGAACTCACAAGCGTGAACACGAAAGTCAACACAAGAAAGAAAGAATCCGCATCTGTTAAAAGCCAGATCAGCCTCTTTGGAGAGAGTGTTTCACAGTCAAAATAAGCTGTTAAGTAGTATAAGAGACAGTGGCATACACATCAATCAGCTTATATTTGGCAAGGTCAGATACGGGAGACCATTCAGCATATGCGTTTACAGCATTTAGGGCCGCAGTAACTGCAGCCGCATGCTGTTTTGCCACATCAAATTGTTGCATGCTAGCTTCATTGAACGCTCCTGTGAAATGTCTTTCAAGTAACTGCATTGCAGATAACAGTTAGTAGTTCTCGTGCACTTTGTAACTTCAATAATACAAGATTGTCCTTTTTCATATTTTGCTCCCATGGCATTTGGCCAAGATAAAAATGAGTCAGGAGTTGCTTTCATCCGTTTTTGCATTATACATTGAAACATACTCTCAAACAGGAAAGATGACTACTTCCATTTATGGGGTATCATGTGAATTTCAATCAAACAGGAAACATACACTATATAGGAGAGGCAAGATCTGCGGCAAGGACTGAGAAAGTCCACGTAACAGTAATCTTCGCCGATCACCTGTAAAGGGCGTCCGGTATAAAGTTTGCTCAAAACAGTGCAAAAAGGTTTTGCTAGAATAAAAGTATAGGATGCCATCAAAATGAAATGAACCTTCCAAATCTTCATAATGAACTGTAATATCTTCAGGAAGCCATCTCAGCAACATAGATACTAACTCAGCCTAAATTTTGAAAGAACATTTGTTTCAATATAAAATCAGTACATAAAAAGAAAACTGTAGATAGGAAATAAGAAAAACTGGAGATATATACTTCCATAGGGCCTTTGTCAGACAAAGAAACTAACGAAGGCAAAAGCACTTGCCAGAGATCCAAACCTTCTCTCCGAACAATCTAAGATTAGAAGAAAAAATGGCATGAATTATATCATTCAGAAAGATTCTTCTTATCAGAAGTCCACAATGGCAAAAGAAATACCTCTGCTATAAGGGCTGCAGTTTGGCTCTTCAAAGCCCATTCTTCGTGGGGGTTGGTCATCCCAGATAATAAATCAATAGCGGCATTGGCAAAGTTCCGTCTTTCTGAGGAGCTTAACTCTTCCCACCTTAGGCGAACTAAGTGCTATAATGTAAATCATTTTATAGATCCTTCGTGTAAGTATAAGCAAGCAAAACAATTCAAGAGTATGCAGATTTGTGTTCACATCAAACAGAGTTACAATGAAAATTGAAACAAATGTTTGACAACAGGTGGCCTACAAGACCATATTGGTAGGGGAATAATGTGAAACGCACAAGGTGGCAAAGACCAAGAGGCGGAATTCACTTCATGGTAGCACAGAGAGAGAGACGGAGGGAATCATAGAGAGATCTAGAATGGAAGTCTAGGTAAGGTGGATATGTTTGCGCTGTCTGCAGATCACTTTGTTCATTTCCTTCCACTTTACCAAGAGTTTGACATGAAATTATATACCATCATTTTTGTCATAACCTCTTCCCCTGGACTTCTTTGCATTCCTGAGGACCTTGAGTCCTCAGGGCACATCTAGCACATTTGACAACTCGTTGCTGCCAATTGTGCAAGAGATAACTATTAAACTAAACTGGGTAAAAGAGTCTTAGAAGAACTTGAATCAGCAATGCCTCTGTTGACTACGTTTGTGTTTGGAGAACTGTTCCATATCACGGTCAGGATAGTCCAAGTGGGATCACATTGGTCACATAAAATTCAAGAGACACAGAATCAGGATTGACTTTTAGATTTATGGGTCCTCCAATTGAATCAGCTGAGTTAAACTGAAACAGTTGATTCAGTTGAAAAAAAAAGAAGGAAAATTGAAGGCATATCTAAGTATTCTTATAAATAATTAAAGATGGCATATTAACACGGCAATTCTATGAAGATCCAATGGAAATACAGAACATGGATGTTTCATCTAGATAGAGATGAGTCTACGCCATCAGATGTTTATATTTATTCTAGTTTCCAGAAGACGGAATATATTGAATAGATCAAGAAAAGAAATATCTGAATAAGAAACACAGAAATTCAACAAACCCATGAGTGAAATCAATAAACACCAAACCATATGAAATACAGGAAAACTGCTTCTGTGGCAGATACCATCTTCAAAAAAGGGAGAAATTCATAGGACAAATAAACTTCAAAAAGCACAATGCCTTTTCCAAGATCAGTAAAAGCCATTGCATCTACAGAACATTATCAAAAAATAAACCGCCAAAAAAATATAATAAAAAACACACTGGCGATTCCGTTTAAATGGTTAGAATATTCAATAAATCAACCGATCAAATTAATCACTATCTGTAGCAACATTAAGATATCTAGTGCAGTTGAAAAAAAATTCTTACGAATGCCAACATTGAATAGCCAAAAAGACGTCAGGGCGTTGGTCAAATTAAAAGAAAAACAGTTTTCATTAACACATATGTTTTAGAGCTTGAAGCTCCGGCAACAAACACATACCTTAGAGACTTTCTGAAAGAAAGATGAAGAAAAGAGAGGTCTCTGCCAGATAATCATATCTTATGCGATGCTGTTTCATCTATAAATGTTTTTACAAATACGATGGCACAGAAGGAGGGGAGAAAGCAGGGAGAGCATCCAAGTGAGGAAGAACCTGCAACATCTTTAGTCCGTGCAACCGAATCTCAGATGACCAATCTTTTCTAAGCAAGATAAATGATGTGCTTCCCAAAAGACGAACATCTCCACTTTTAATCTGCAATTTTAAAGGGAACTGAATGAGGAGCCCACATAACATTGACATGTACAGGTTAAGTGAACTCTAGAAAAATTTACTACTGAAGCTCACTCTAACCTCCCTTTTGACGACAAAGTTGACTCATTAAATCTATACATGTATACATATTCTTACATATGTTATTTGTCAAAATTCACGCACATATATTCAGGAGGAAAACAAATTCTAGGATTGGAATCATGGCCTTGAACTCACTCTAGCTTTTTACAGGTGCCAGAAAGTAATTGTGTACCGATTCTTAGATCCCAAATGGTGCATTCTTGCACCTAAAAAGGATAAACGACCACCCAAACATCACCCCCCACCCCCCCCCTCAAAGGAGACATATGCCCGGGACATAAAATGTCTGATAGGCTCTAACAGTCTTAAATAGTATCATAGAGGTCATAAACCTACACCGGTGATGCCTGCAATCCAAGCGAAAAGGTATTCCCTTGGAAATGAAAAGAAAACTTCTGACTGCACTCCGTTATTGTGCCATAAAATAATCTGGTAACCGACAAGTGGGTGAGCTCGGTCCAACGCGTAAACATGACTCCGCAAAAAAAAAATTCCGAACCTGCTTTTCCCAAGCTAAAAGTTGATCACGAGTACAATCACAAAATAAAGGCTCGCCAGGATACCTCTCACGGTAGCCGACAGAGAGTCGCGGCTATAGCTCACTACATATCAGGTTGGCGACAAATCATGACACGAAACGATTCCAAAAAAGAACACGGAGGAAGGAAATGAGCAACGAACCGATTCCAAGTAAGATAAGGCAGTTCTCTGGGCATCCGTTGGGGAACGCCAGTCCATCGCCGTGGCTATGGCCCTGGCCACATTGGCGGCAACCCCGCCGCTGTCGTCCATCTCCGGGCACGACGCGACAGGCACAGTCTCTGATTGAAGAAGCCTATCAGGACCGCACCCTCTGAATCGACGTAGGGTTCGATTGCCGGAGGGAAATCACTAATGGTGGCATCCGATCAAATAAGAAACTGATGAAAATTACAAGGAAGAGAGGAGAGCAAGCAGGTGAGGAGAAGAGAGCAGAAGAGCGCGGTCGGAGCGACGTCTCTACGAGGAGCACCGAGGGAGCGGCTCTGGGAAGAAGGGAAAGCGTGGATCAAGGTACCGCAGAGGAGAACCTCCAAGGAGAAAGTCTGATGCTTGGAACCCACGCTTGCAGTTGATGAACTCCTCACTGCGCCGAAACGACGGAGCTAAGAAGACCATCAGTCACCGGAGTCGCCTGATGGATGCTCCCAACCAGGCCCACTGATTAACCCAAATAACACGTGTACATATCCAGTGACGTGGCCCCATTTTTGTTACATGATTCTTGAGATATTTAATAACTGAAAAATAAAAATAAATATAATCTATGAGTTTTCCAAAATCGGGGGTGTTTGGTTTGGAGGTAGGGATTTCTGGGAAAGCAGGGAATCTGGATGTGCAGTCAGTCGGTCATATAAGCGATCGGCCACAGCTGCGACGGCGGCGAGTCTAAAAGCTCCGCCGAGCTCGTCACTTCCTGCCGGCGACTTTTCGTCTCCGATGGCGGCGGTTTCCAAGGGCGGCGTCCGAGTGCCCGCGCTTCTCCTCGTGGCCCTCACCGCTACTGCGCTGCTACTCTTCTTCCTCCTCCCTGCCCTCTCCCCCGGGCGCAGCGCCACCTCGACCACCGGCATTGCCTGTCCTGCTTCTTCCCCGGTCGGCACCACCGTCGCCTCCTCCGCCGCCGGCAGATCTCCAGATCCAGTGACGGTGACGAAGGAAGATGTGTCGTGGCTCCGATCCCAGCTCGATCTGAATCGTCTCGGCGAGCCGCCCTCTACTGCCGACCAGTGGCACGCCCTCCGCAAGGGCATAAACCCTCGCACCCGCGCTCAACAGCTCGAGGATTTCCGCCGGTTAATCACCCGATCCCCATCCCCCCTGTTTTTCTGCAACATGTTCCGTCTGCGTCGTTTGGATCTGTGTGACACAGTGTAGCGTGCAGGTACAAGGGAATCTCCCACTACGAGGGGGCCGACGCCGATAATCACACGACACTTTCATGCCCCGGGGAGCTCCTGGTGGAGGAGCATCACAGCAATTACGGGGAGCCTTGGGCCGGCGGCCGCGACGTATTCGAGTTCCTGGCCGGCGCCAGTGGTCTTCAGCCGTCCGACCTCGTCCTTGAGATCGGCTGCGGCACCCTCCGCGTGGGTCTCCATTTCATCCGCTATCTTGATACCAGTCGCTTCCACTGCCTCGAACGCGATGAACTCTCCCTGATGGCCGCCTTCCGCTACGAGCTCCCTTCCCAGGGGCTCCTCCACAAACGGCCCCTCATAGTGAGGGGTGAGGACATGGATTTCGACAAATTCGGTTTGCCCGATGGGGACCAGTATGATCTAATCTACGCCAGCGCCGTTTTCCTCCACATGCCCGACCAGCTGGTGTGGGTGGGGCTGGAGAGATTGGCAGGAAGGCTGAAGCCTGGTAAAGGGAGGATTTTCGTGTCACATAATATTAAGTTCTGCTCGAGACTAGGATCACAGGAGTGTGAACGGCGGCTGGGAAATCTGGGGATGGAGTATGTTGGGAAGCGAATGCATGATAGCCTTCTGTTCAACCATTATGAGATCTGGTTTGAGTTCCGGAGGCCCAAGGCTTAGAAGAGTTGATCTTGTTTTTGAAGTGGCGTATCAAGAGTGAAGATGAAACGAATGTCCTCCCAAGGGGAGCTTCGATTATGGAAATTGGGGGAAAAGATTGTTTGCGATCTCTTGATCTGCAGTACGATTTCATGGCTGTTATATATGCTCGGGCTGAACCAGCAAAGGAGAAATTTGACTACCGTTGACGCTGTCACAAAGGTTAGCGACCCTGAGTACCCATCTGAATGCTCGTCACACATCTCACTACCAATCTATCTGTGTAATTCAATTTGTCAATCATGGAGACCATCTCTGCCCTTTTCAGCTGCGAGGTACAGTCCCATTTTTAGGCTTCTTAAATTGAAAGATCCCACGTGTACTTGAAATATGTCACATTCAGGAGTCAAGTCATATCGTCTATTGAATCATTCCATTCAGGACGCAGCAGTTTGTGTTCCAGTGATGATTGGTTTTGCCCTTAGAGCGACAATGTTGGTATCGCCATATTTAAATCAAATGATAAGTTTTATCTAAGATTTGTCATTGTTTTTACCGCTAATGGGGCCTTATAATTTCCAAAAAGAAGTAAACCATGGGTTTTTTTTCATCTAAAAAGATGAATATGTACTAGAGCTAGTTAATAGATCAAGATCATGTCCCATAATCAAGAGATATTTATTGCTTCTGCATCAGTTCCACAACTCTCTGCAACATTCTTCCAGAAAGCGTGATATTTGTAGCATAGCTCCTTTGGAACTTTATTCACAGTTCTCCATATAGCGAGCCTTTGAATATTACATATATCATCGTGTTTAGGTCAGCCCATTGTTGGAGACTCAAATGTGTGCGCATCTATGCCCCCCTAGAGAAAAAGGAACGAGGACTCCAATCATAAGGAAGCTTTTCCTGCAGCTAGCACCATGGTTGATAACAATAACTTATGTCAATGTTCAACCAGAAGGTTGCCGAATGGTGAAAGCATGCTAGATATTATACCGAATGATAGATAGAATCACACATACATCACATAGTCATTTATGCCTACTGCATCTGATTATCAATCCAGTTTCTGATGCCATTTATGTTCCACCATCTGCCCATGTTCCATTGGAGATCCTTACAAAGAATTGCACCTTATGAAAACTTTGGGCCTCCCTTCACCAAGTTTTCTGAAGGTGAATGGCTGCCACAGCTGCTAGCAATTAATCTGGTTGTGGTTGACACCCTACAGCCATGCTGTTGTGACCGGGAATGTTTCATCAAGAACACCATTCTCTCCATGAATCAAGCTTCCCCAACCAGGAAACATGAACTGCAACTCACTGCATGCTCAAAGCCATATCATGAAAGAAAACTTTACATATAAGTAACAAAACCATAATTTTCTCTACGTTTCTTAGAATATAGGTTTTATTTCAAAGGCTAGGAAGCATGTTGTTGTCTTCGTCTTGGGCCAGGAGTGCCAATAGGCCAAGCCTGGTAGGCCTTGCCGAGGCCCACCTGATGGTGCTCATCCTCTATATAGCTTCTACATATGGTTGGGATCAAAGATGAGTTTGGAAAATTGGCCACGCCTTAGGTCTCACATGGTCAATAAGGATGTAGCTTTGAAACATTGGACTGTATGCAGCCTTGAACATATCTTCTATGTTAATCAGCTTTTATGGAAACACATAAATGCGAAGGAGAAGTTGCCATTATTTCAAACCAAGAAATATATTAATCAGCCTTTTCCTGGTACCAACAGTTCACATTAGGTTGTGCCATGCCTCCCATCCCTTTGTGGATTCCATGGGAAACTATGATTAACTGAGCTTCAAGGTCGAAAGCAAATTCATATATTTCCATCATTGAGAGATAAGGTCTTACATTGAATGTGACTCAAACTGAGAGTTAAGGTCTTCCACTGACCCAATTTGTCTCCAAGTCAAATAAGCGTTAAGAGGCACTCCTCTGATTATATCCAAAACTCTCCACCAGGTGGCATTTGAGATTGAATTAGTCGCGGAACCCAACCTGTCAGTCTTAGTCTTAGTGGTTGAACCAGAACATAGCATGAACATCTAAATAATTCATTATTATTGCGCAGGTGCGATCTTGGTCATGCACCAGATTGAGACTGAAAAATTATTCCACCCATAGTAACCAGCCTTCCGGGTTGTCCCCGATAAATATGGAAATCTCTCCCTCCGGGGATGCTGCAACGTGTCAATCCAGAACTGCCCCATCAACACTTAACGAATTTTCGACAGAATCCTCGTCCAATTCGGGGCTGGCAGTGCATCAGGAGAGCCAAGTTCCTCCCTAACCCAATCAAAACGATGACCCAATCCTAAACTCCACCCCTGCCTGCCTGCCTGCCTGCCTGCCTGCCTTGTCTTCGAGTTTGAACTCCAGTAGGGACCTCATTGGGACCCTCCAAATAGCCATGGTTGGGAAGAAATGGGGGTCTCTTTGGATTCCCCCCTGGACTGGTCTAACAAATCTAGATTTGGCCCAATATAGGCCCAATTCTTCTTGGCCGGGCTGCTTCGATATGGTCAGGCCCAATTAAATGAGGTTGGGCTGCCTCATCATCATGGGCCCTCCCTTGACACTTAGTGTTCCACACTCACACTCTATTGTGCATGTGTCCTCACTATTGTGCAAACTTCTCTACTTATGTCCCTGGACACTACGTTTGCACATCCCTCACTCTTTGGCGTGACAACTTTTATGCATCATTGATTGCAATGTTGTCATGAAAATAATTTATCACTGTCAAACATATTTTTGATATCTAAGAAGAGTGAAATGAATTATTTATCATATTTTTATATTGATATCGTGTTTAAAACATTAAAGTGCATCACGCATGATCCAAATTTTACAAGTGTTAAAGTATTAGGTTTAATCCTTCTATGTCTACCATCAAAATTTCGTGTAATTCATCAAGTACGTACTAGTATAATGTGATTTTTTTCTCATCTTAGTTGTGCATTGTCAAGATCCAAGTTTCATATAAAATTTTCAATTTCTTAATTTTGTGCACCCCAATCAACTCCCATAAACTTCAAGACATTCTATTTTAATAATTCACTTGCTTGTGTTGCACTCGCCCTAAACATATTGATATGCTTCACACAACTCTTCTATCTTAAGGTTCTCATATGAACCAAAATAAAATAATAAAAATAATAGAGTTCATGGAAAAAAAAGTAAAAAAATAAAATGTCAAGGCTCTAGAAAAAAAAACCCTAATCCTAAGTTTTTGTGACCTTTCAAAAAAGTGTCACTTCTATCCTTTTCAAGTCATATGTAATCATAAATCTTATTTTGGTTTTCTCTCACTCTACCTTTTCTCTACTAATCTCATTTTTTTCCTACCTAATATTTACCTAAATACCACCCACTTAACCTTCATAATTAATACGTCTTTGGGTTCTTTAAGATGAAATCTAGAAAATTATTGTCATATCATGGTCACTAACTCTTCACTGGTTGATAGGTTGTCCTCTTGATTCAACACTTTTGGTTCTTTGACTTTTAACTTAGTTATATTCTTCTCCTACACCATCAACTAAATTATATATGGTCTCTTGATCATCTACATCCATTAATAAAATTTAGAATTTTCTTGTAAAAGTGTGTCACTTGTCATATTCTTCATCGTAAGAAAAACATAATCATTAGTCCTATTTTTTTGTGATTTTTTCTTAGTTAAATTTAGAAGTATTTTTCACTTGTTCACCATAATTATTTTATTGACTTTCTTGGAGGTTGATTATTGAGTCTTTTTAGCCCCCTTGTTGTTTGGTGATCCAAGTGATGTTGTTCTTTTTGTGCATCCATTGTGTTATCTCTTTAATTCAAGTTTGATCTACTAGTTTAAGAATTATAATTTTAACCTTAACATTTGGTCTCATATATTTGATAAATGTAAACTACAAGACGTCCCCTAACAATTCTTCTATTAAAGTTGACAGAAATTTAAAATCTTGTCTATATTATTCAATTAGTCTTATATTATTTTCTATCCATATATTATTTAGGCAAGTCCCCAATTGAGAGCAGCTGAAATGACATAACAAATAACGTTTTAGCTAAAAGGGCCCCTTGTATCAGTCCACTTGAACCACATCAATGCTACACTATCAAAACTTATATCCACCATTGTTAAATATTTTGCTTCCATCATCTTGTTCAAAAAAGAAAACATAGAAATACAATCGGTGATGTTTCCTCTGCTAAATAGGCACATCTCCCACTGACTTCTTCCCCTCCATGGTTCAACATATCATTTCACTCTTCTTCAATGCCTTATTCTTCAAGATATTATGCTCTTGAATTTATTTTATCTTTTCTCTTTATATATTATTTATTATACCAATTTGTTTTCTATGTTATGGTGTTGAGCAAGTCTCGAATTTTCATTACCTTCCCTTTTTCCATACGCATGTAAATTTGCTCTAATGTCAGTAGTCACATTACCAGCACAGATGTAACTCCGAAACACTTATCATATGCAACCTTACAACTTCTGTCTTCATAGATACTTCACAAAAATTGCACAAATATAAAAAGAAATACACTACTCCATACCAAGAAGCACAAGAGAGAAAATTCTGAGCATATGTTGCCCACTACCTTAGATATCACAAGGCCTTCAGATGTTTGGCCCATCCACCTTTCTTGCACTTGTTGGCGTTGCAAGTGTTACGCCCGCTAGCTCTCTACACTCTCACTATCATGCAGCCATCATGCTGCACTATGCCACCGCATGCTACCGCACGCTAATGCATTGTTACGTGTTACAATGCATGCAGTGCTGCCTTTCATGCCGAGGTCGTGCGATGCGTGTGCCATATGTGTCGCTAACGCGCAATTGTGGTACCATTTCAGTGCATCTGCCGTGCCACACTGATTATTTTGGCCAAGACACGACCGCATGAGCCTCCATTGCTCCTGTGTGTCATGTTGTGTTACTAGCCTTTGGGCTCGGCCTGGACGTTGACATAGTCAGACGGAGCCTGCTTTTACTTTCAGGCTGAACCAGCCAGAGGTCGTACTCTCCTGAAACCATCGATACCTCATTAACGATCTGCTACATCTCATTAAGGTACACTCCAGAGGGCCTCTCTCTCTCTCTCTCTCTCTCTCTCTCTCTCTCTCTCTCTCTCTCTCTCTCTCTCTCTCTCTGTATTCAGAGGGATAGACAAAGGCCGGTAAAGGACACCCGGGTCAGAGCTGTGGCCACGCTTTGGTCAAGGGAAGCAGAAGATTTTCATGTTTCATGCTCTCACAGGCCATTCGAAGACAGAGCCCTTTCGATCACTCTGAAGAAGAAGACGAAGGCGGTTACCTACCCTCCTCCCTTCCACAACCTCCACACCCTTTGCAGGAATATTACACACGTCACTCTGGAGGCACTCACACCCCCGATTATTCTCCGGGCTCCCTCTCTCTCTCTCTCTCCAGTCAAGTGAGATCAGACATCCTTCTCCGGTGCAGAGACACGGGAGCTCTCCAACTGAGGGGAGTTGCAGAGACCTTGCGGCTCCTGGCGAGCGTGGGGGACCTGGAATCCGTGCTGTTACAGCTGAGGTTTCCTTGGACGCAGAGGGGAGGCAGGCTCTTGAACCTTCCTCCTCCTCCAGCTTCCACCTTCGCCGTCCGACTCTTACCGCCGTAGGAACTCAACCTCGAAGGCGGCTCCAGGAGGCTGCGGGACTGCGAAAGGGAGAAGTCCACGGCGCTCAAGTTCTTGATCCTCGCCGGTCTCGCCTTGCCGTTCACCTCTCCGGCGGCGCTCCGCCGCTGCCGGCTGCACACAGTGGAAGTCATGAACCGAGGGAGGGAGGAGCTGGGGTGATGACTTCTGCACGCTCCTCCCTTATCGCCGCCGCTCTGGGGGCTTTCCGGCGACCCTTTGGGATCTCCGTCGCGGGCCGGAGGGCTGCCCTCCAGCAAGAGCTTCTTCTTCTTCTCCTGCAACTGGTCCTCGGCCTGCCGGAGGTGGGTCCTCAGCTTCTGGAGCCCTTCCTCGGCGTCCTTCATCTCCCAGTTGAGCTCTGCGATGCACATCTCCTTGCGCTGCCTCAGCTCCTGAAACAGGCTCCTTGATGATAATTCAGAGACGAGGCAAAAACCCCTCGCAGGAAGAGAATCATCAACGAGACGATCACCACCTCTGAAGCTTCTTCCCCCGAATCGACCCCCCTGGCTCTCCTCGCGAAGAGCAGGGAGCAGATGGTCTCCCCGATGTCGTACTCGCTGGAGCTGATGTGCACGAGCATCAGCACCTTCGATCCGACCCCTGAAGATCCCGAGAACAAACGATTCAATTCAATCAGGTTTACTCCGAGAAATGGATCGAGAGATTCTCGGGGCCGGAAGAACTACCGAGAGAATCCTTGAGGATCTGAGTGAGCTTGCTGTTCCTGTAGGGGACGTGGTTCTTCTTCCTCTTCAGGGCGCTGATCACGTCGCCGAGGGCCGAGAGAGAGAGATTGATGGCCTTCCCTTCGTCCATCGTCTGCCCTTTTGCGCCGGTCTTCAGCAGGCGCTCGCTCCCGCCGAGATCCACCATCCACAGCTTGCTCACCAGTTCCTCCGCCGCTCTGGCGGCGCCACCGCCTCCGCTCGCCGGCCGGCCGACGGCGATCCTGGTTAAACTGGACACCCAAAGCTACAACATATAAAATAATTACCAAACCCAAGATCGAGCGGCGGGGAGGAGACGAACCAGAAGCAGTTCAAGGACCCACCAATGCGATCGGCTGGAGGCCTCGTTGACGCTGGTCCAGGAAGTCGTCCTCGCCCTCTTCCCCTTCGCGTACCAGTGGCTTGCCTGCTTAAAGTCAACGACCCGCACCTCGGTGAGGCCCTCGACCTCCACGCACCCGCCTCCTCCGGTCTGGATGTTGAGACTGCTCAGACGATTTTGAAGAAGAAAGGTTGAGGATTTCAAGTTCGTCATCTGAAATGCAGAGTGGGTTTCCAGATCTGAGGTCGCCTTCGTCTTCTACCTCTTGGCGGAGGATGCCTTAGGGCCCAGCAGGTCCCTCAGAGACCCCATGTAGATCTCCAGCATGCTCATGGAGAAGGTGAGGGACGAGCCTGCGTCGTCCATGGAAGAAGCTTCCCGGAAGAGCTGCTTCATGGCGCAGGGGACGATGCCCGGCTGATGGGCCGTCCCTTCCTGAAAACAGAAGAGGCCCGGAATCACAACCAGTTGCAGACCAACCAGAGGAAGAAGAAGAAGAAAAAGGAGAAGAAGAAGAAGAAGAAGAAGAACCATGGTGTAGGTCTTCCCGGTGCCCGTCTGCCCGTAAGCGAAAACGCAGACGCTGTGCCCGTCGATGGCGGATCTGACTATGGGCTCGACCTCGGAGAAGACTTCCTCTGCAAGAACCGGCGGCGGCCGGAGGGCACTCTCAGCTGGGGGTGGCGGCGCCCGGAAGCCGGTGGAATTGCAGAGGCTTACCTTGAGTGGCCTCGGGAGGGAAGACCCTGTCCACCCGGAAGTCTTTCCTCGCTCCCGCCGATCTAATGGTGACCTTCTCTGATCCAGTGGTGACGGTGGAGGAACTGTTCGGCCGGACCCTGCAGAAAACCCTAATACTACCTGGAAGAGAAGACAGGTTTGAGATGATCATCATTTCTGGGTTGGAGCTATGGATGGGTCTTCGGATTTCCGACCTTTGATGTCCAGAATCCTGTTCAGGGCCTCCCTCCTCCTCCCTTCCAGGTGCCGCTGCTTCGATTTCAGCTCGGAGATCCGCCCTGCGAGACCCCAAACCCTCTGTGAGCGGAAGTCGCAGAATCAAATCCCCCGAACGGAGGTTGAAGACGACCTAGGAGACGCGAGACGGCGGCCTGCTGCTCATCCCTGTCCTGCTCCGGAACCACATTCACGTCCAGGTAGGCCTCCCGGCGGCAGAGCGGCGGCGGCGACCCCTCCGAGGGTTCCAAACCCGGAGACGCGGGCTCGTCCGCAATGAGAAACATCAGACCGCCGACTGAGGAACAGGGCGGCACTGCCGAGATCGGAACGATACGGGGAGAGAAGGGGAAGAAGCGGCTGAGAAGACCGAGCTATGGAGAATCGCCGCCGGCGGCAGACATCTCCCTGCAATGGCTGGAAGACACAATCTGAGCGAACTGGCGCAACTGTGCGGCGGCGAAAACCGGCTGCTAAAAGTGGAAGAAGGGCAACTGGGTTCCACTCCCCCGCGGCCGGAGAGTTAGAGAGAGAAAGCCGAGGAGGATTCAACGGCGGAAAACAAGCAGAGATTTACGAGAACCGGAGCTTCTTTCCCGAGCTAATGCAGCTGGCTTAGGGTTTTGATCTTCCCCCTCGGTCAAAACCCAATTAGAGAGAGAGAGAGAGAGAGAGAGAGAGAGAGAGAGAGAGATGGTAGGACCGCCGGTGAGGGAGGGCTCCTTCCAGAGCCGGCGGTAAAATAATCCCCGGCAGCTACGCCGACGCCCACTTGTCTCGTTGCTTGAGACCCCCTGGAATGGTGGGCCTCCGCTCACCTGTCCGCACTGCCGGCGCTGCGCAGCTGCGGGGAGAATCCTAGAAATCGAAGACAGCAGAGGGAGGAGAAGAGAAAGCCGGCCACCCGCATGAGCATCTCTCTCCTCCTTTCCTTCTTGGGGGGGCAACCCTCTTCCTCTTCCTTTCCCATCTCTGCGAGCACTCGGCTTGCCGTTGACGGCAACCTTGCCGCCACCGCCGTCGGCAGCGGAACTCCGGGAGATATCATTACCCGCCGGGAACCGCCTCCCGCGGAGGGGAGACCCTTCTCATGTGCAATCATGGAGCTCCGATTGAGCCTCCTCGGGCCCTCTGCTCCTCCTGCTCCAGCCCTCTGCACCATTAAAGAATGTAAGAGATGCGGACATCGGATGCCAAGAAATCTCCACCTTCGATCGCAACCTGGAGATCCGAAGAACATCATCAGGAGCAGCGCTCCAACAGAGCACCGATGATCCCGAAAACCAGACCACCTCTATCTGTCAGATCGAAATCCGAGCCCCATGGACTCCAGATGTTCCTCCCTCGAGTTCTTCCCTCGTCAAGATCCTGGCTTTACGCATTCATCTGCTAATCATAGATTTCTCAGGCAATCAAGATTCTCAGACGATCTTCGTCGCAGCTGGGTTCTTCCAACGGATCGATCCCGCATAAAAAATTGCTCAAAATATAACGATTTTTTTGTGGATATTATTTTTTCGTCTGATAAATTAAAATACTAATGCCTAGGGGTGTGATGGAGACGAAATCCACCAACCTTAATAATGGGCTTCGGCTTGCTCGCCGCTCAATCTGAACCGTTGAATGCCCAGAAAGGGCGATAGTGTCGGAAGAAGATTCTCCCTAAATTCAGGGGGATTCTGCAAAGTTTCCTCCCAAACAGTTGGGCCGCCTGAGGGCCCATGTATGCCCAAAATAAAGGCCCAACTCGTGGTAGTTGGGCCAAAAGCAAGGTGACTCGCGGAGACCAAAAATGGGAGGAAGGATTTTCGGCCCAATGGATACTTCGTGTTAAGGCGTGACGTGTATATACACTGGCACGTGTATCATTTCTATGAAAGCATGAGGGTCAACTCCGCCTCTATGGCTTCAACGGCTGCCTCGTCAGTGGTCACGGTGACACTTACGCTCATGCTCCGCCCTTCGGCGGCGCCGCCGCCGCCGCAGGTGGCAGTGGCGGCGAGAACCTCGGCGTTGTGCCTGTCGAACACCTGCAGGATCTGCGCCGCCAGCCCTGGCCGCCACGTGGAGGTTACACCGAAGAACGCCATCTTCCCGGAGACCATCACGGCGACGGAGGACCCCCCGCCGCTCATTCTGGCCTTCTTCTTGGCTTTCTTCGCGGCCTCCATCTCTCTGATCGTCCCCTCCAGTTCCTCGATGTAGTTGATCGTCTCGTCCACGATCCTCGCCCTCGGCGCCTGCAAGAGACACAGAGAGAGAGAGAGAGAGAGAGAGAGAGAGAGAGAGAGAGAGAGAGGCAGGAGATCGTCAGCTTCGGGCTGGTGAAATCATGCAGCCAACTTCTACTATAATGTGGAGGAGGAAGAAGAAGCAGAAGAAGAAAAGTTTTCGAAGCGACGCCTTCCATTCAGTCTTCTTCTTCTGCTGCTGCTGCTGCTTCAGAGAGAGAGAGAGAGAGAGAGACGTCTGATGGGGAGGAGGGGATTGTGTACCTTGGGGAATAGGTTGGGAACGACGGACTGGAGCACTGCGTAGAGTTCGTTCATCTTCTCCCTCCTGCTTCTCTCCATGCACACCGTCTCCCTGCCGCCTCCCTCCAGGCGGCGCTCGCACTTCTGGGGCGGACGGCGAGTCGTCGGAACTGTCGTGGACACGACGGTCGCCAGGCAGCGTCTCCCCTTCATGGCGGCGCTCACAGAGATAGAGTAGGAGCGAGAGAGAGAGGGAGCGGACGACGAAGAGAAAGAGAAAGAGAAACAGATGATACGAAGAAATGATTGAGATGGTCGTCTTCCTCGTTGTGGGGGGGCGATGATGGCTGTCAGAGAGGGGGAGGAGGGGGGGTTGCTCATTATCTGAGCCTCGAGCCGACATTTTCTGGGAGGAAAAGGATAGCCGTAGACCCAGGAGAGCCGCCTCCTCTTCCCTCTGCGCCATCCTCTGCTCCTCGTCAGATTTCACTACCAGTTCTCCTCCCTTTTTTCCATTATTACAGACTCCATTCTGCACCAAACCCCGCCCATGTGTTCCGATTCCCACCGGAAGGCGGCATTTACAGCCTCCTTCCCCCTTCTTCCTCCTCTCTCAGATTTCCATTTAGAGCCTGATTCTGCTCCCGTTTCTTCCTTGAGAGAGAGAGAGAGAGATGAGTCTATCCTCGCCGGAGATCGCCACCGTGGCCGTACGGTCTCTCCGGCGACTGGCATCGCTGCGGCTGCCGCCTCTTAGCAGCGGTCCGTGCAGTCAGAGATCGTTGGGAAACTTTTTGACTCGCCACCGGTCAGCGGGGGGGGTGGTGCTCCGCCATGTTCCGATTGTCAAGGGGTTTCAGAGAGCTGTCGCTTTCCAGGGGGTCCACAGGGACGTTGAATCTTAGGATGTTGACTTTCCTTGTAATAGGGCCGAAGCAGAACGGCAGGAAAGTCGTGGTTTTGACTATTGTTGTTTAACTATTTACAGTTAATTAACGATTTACGGGCGACCATGTTGCCTTCCCTGTTGCCGGAACCGGGTTCACGTCCATCGCGACAAAGTATCTGCAATCGGACGGAAGATCAACCCGGTTGACTGAACGCCCGGATCGACTGTCATCGTAGCAAGTTTTCAACGCTGGAATGAGGAAGTTTTCATGGCCGCCGCCGTCAGTCCAACCAGCATGTCCCTGATTTGGAAACTTGAGAGAGAGAGAGTGTTGAGACCTTGGGGTGGTGGTTATTCCTTCTCCCACTGCGCGCAGCAGGCGGCCTCGACGACATCTTGGCACCGCCGAGCTTCTTAGGATGGTTTACTTCTGACGATTTGTCCCGCTGAAGACAAGTAAACCGCCTTGTAATGGCGGCAGTCGTCCCTGGGAAAGCGCGATGGGGCGAGGGAAGATCCCACGCTTCGTATCCAAAGTTTCGTTGACTTCGGCGTCAAAGAAAAAGAATGTTCGAGAAGTCAACCATTTTCTGGTCATTTGTGTGCTTAACAAGGAAAGAACAGCATGAATCACCCCCAACGGCATCTTCCACTCATCTAAACAGTCGACCGGCCCACGGTTTGGCCTGGACTCTGACCTGGTCCTTGAACGGGCCTGAAGTTAGATGGCCAACGGACAGATGTACCCAAACTAGTCCTAGAATCCCAACGAACTAGGAGGTGGAGAAGTCGATTATTTCGAAAAGAGTTTGCCATAAAAAGATAATTTTTTCAGTTTCCATATGTAGGCAATTATTTGCGATTTTGGTAGTAGGCGAAGAGAGAGAGAAGGAGGTAGGTGACGGCGGTGAGCATGGACGTTGCGGCGGCGGCGGCGACGAGCCCGCAGAACCTGCAGGAGACTTTGCACTCCTGGTCGTAATGCTCCCCGGAGCCCATCCTGAGGGCGCCGCCGATGGGTATGGCGGTGCCGTTGGCGGAGAAGAGGAGCCCCATCACCGCCACGTCGAACAGCGCGATGCCAACCACCAGTTTCTTAGTCTCGCATTTGTCGAACGCCCACAGTACCATAGACCCCGCCGAATAGATGGCCGCTACGATATGGACGATGACAAAGTACCTGCAACAATTCCATCCCGGCGGCGCGATCAGGGAAGAGAGAGAGAGAGAGAGAGAGAGAGAGAGAGAGAAAGAGAGGGAGGGGGAGGGGAGGCGATACTCGAAGTCATTATCTCCGTCAGGCTTGACGGTGAATTTGGAATGGGTGCTTCTGGCATCGGACATGAGGATGGTTGCCGTGAGGGAGGAGACAAGGGCGAGAAGGCGGAGGATGAAGTTCACATACTTCGCGGGGCTTTCCGTACTCAACGGGGTTAGATGGGTGTGTGTACAGCGCACTGGCCGGCTGTTCACCGCAGAGGTGCCCTGCCCCCGGCAATTTTCCATGACCGCCGCCGCCTGTAGCCTCGCCGAGCTCTCGATGCGAGGAGATGTTCGCCGAAATCTTAAAAGAGAAGCTGACGAGGACCTGGACGTCTCTCCCTCAAGGAAAAGTCGTCTACTACTGTTTTCAAAGTCAACTCATCGTGAAAACCCGCGTTTCGGGGACTTTTTCAAAGACATTCGTCTATTACACGATCTCCTAACGGTTTCTCCACCGTGCGATGCGAATCCCACATTCATTGGTGTACATCTCCATCAGCAATTCTCATTTAATAATAATTATAAAAAATGTGATTTTTTACTATATTTAGGCCTCCATTCGTCATCTGATCATTTAAAAAAATCAATTCTATATTAGTCGCTATTAATTATGGCCGTCCATACCGCGGACTTGGTCGATGGAAAGAGAGAACTCGAGGAAGAGAGGGGGGATCTCTCTCTCTCTCTCTCTCTCTCTCTCTCTCTCTCTCTCTCACGCAGGCAAGCGGTTGCGGAAAGTAGGGCAGAAGCAACTAGACTCACCAACCATGACGAGGAAACCATATTTATCTTCTGCAAAACTGCAGTCGTCTGTTTGATTAACACCCGCCGTCAAATCCGATCTTCTGCGGAGAATTTCCTGTAGATCGATCTACAGAGACGACGACGCGTAGAGGTTGACGAGGGAGAGGAAGACGAGGAGAAGATAGGCGACGGCGGAGAAGGTGGACATGGCGATGCCGGCGAAGACGTGCGCGCAGAACTTGGAGAAGGCTTTGCATATATTGGGGCAGAAGTCGCCGTAGCCCTTCCTGAAGAGGATCCCCATGGCTGAGGCCGAGCCGAGGCCGGAGAAGAGCAGGACTACGGCCACCAGGTCGACCATGGCGAGAGCGAAGGTCAGCTTCTTCGTCCCCCCCTTCATCCATATCCATAGAGACGCCGCCGAGTAGATGCACACGATCGCGTTCACCGCCACGAAGTAGCTGCACCAGATCCTGTCAAGAGATGAGAGAGAGAGAGAGAGAGCGAGAGAGGAGAGACTTACTCGAATTGGGGGTTACCGGTGGCCTTGACCTTGAAATCTCCGGCGACTCCGGAGACGGTGAGCAGCGACTCGGCCTCCCTGGCGACGCCGACAATTATGGCGGCGATGAAGGTGGTGACGAGGGCCAAGATTCGGAGGACGTAGTTAACCGGCCTGACAAGATTCTCCGCCCTCGCGTGGTCGCCACCGCCATGGGCTCCGGCGGCGGTAGCCAGGAATTCCATCCCCGTCGCTCGCCGCCGGGGAAGGACGGCTGCGCTCAAAAGGGAAGAAAGGGGAAAGCACGCCGGCGGCTTGTGTGATACGCAGAATTCCAGAGAAATAATGAAAACCCAAGAGAAGCGAATAAAAAAGGGGAGACCTTGTGGAAACTTTATTGAGGATTACCATGTCTGCCGCCGATCTGCTCTCCTACCAAAATCCACCGCACGAGCAGACGCCATTTCTGAAGGAATGGAAGCGACTCCCATCCCTCACGACGATCTCCCTGCTCGTCACGGCGCTCGCCAGCTGCATAAACTCGTGGCAGTCAACGCAGATTCGCAGATTCTTGATCACCCGTATGGGCGGTCCAGAGGGGGTATTCAGTAGCCCAAAGGCCACGGCAAGCTTCTCGCTGTGCCGGCCGGAGGCTGCCGGCGGCGGCGGCGCCATCCTCCTCTCCAGATCATCAACCATCAGGTGGACTCTCTCCATATGCGGGTTCGAGCCATCTCTCGCCGTAAAACGATAAACCCTGTTCCTGATCTCAACCCAGCTCTGCCCCAGCTCCTTCTTCATTCCTCTGTTCCTCATCGCCCGCCGCATCTCCTCGGCGAGCTCCGGCTTCCCTGCGTCGTCGTACATCCTCGAGAGCAGCACGTAGATGGCCGGATCTTCCGGGTTCAGCTCGAGAGCTCTCCTGGCTGCCGCCTCTCCGAGCAGCAAGCTCCGCCGGAGCTTGCAGGCACCTAAGAGCGTCTTGTAGATCAGAGCATCTGGCTGGAACGGCATCTCCTGTATCAGCGCCGCCGCTTCTTCAAGCCGCCCAGCTCGGCCGAGGAGATCGACCAGACAGACGTAGTGATCCAGCTCCGGTGGAATTCCATGGAGCTCCCTCATGGCGCTGAAATAGTCGAGGCCCAGATCGGCCAGCCCGCTGTGGCTGCAAGCGTAGAGCACGAGCAGGAAGGTGATGCCGTCGGGTTGACTTCCGGAAAGCTTCATGCTTTCGAAGGCGGAGAGGGCGTCGGAGAACCAGCCATTGGAGGCCAACGCCGAGATCAGACCATTCCAGGAGACTATATTCGGCTCCGGGATCGATCTGAAGACGGCGCCGGCTTCCGTGGCGTCCCCACATTTTCCATACAGGTCAACGAGGCCGTTGACCACCGATATCTGCGAGTCCAGACCCGATCTGACGGCGTAGCAGTGAAGCTGCCGCCCCGCTTCGATCGCCGCCATGCCGGCAGAGGCTGACAGGAAGCAGGGGAGACTGAAGCAGTCCATCTTCAGCTCCTCCTCCCGCATCCGGGGGAGAAGCCCTAGGGTTTCCTCATGCAAGCCCATCTTGTTCAGCCCCGCCGCCAAACTGGTGTAAGTGATCTCATCTCTGCGGGGCATCTCGTTGAAGATCTTCCACGAGTCCTCTGCCTCCCCCAGCCTGGTGTGAGCGTCGAGCAGGGAGTTCCAGAGGCTCAGATCATAGAGACCTCTGCACTGGATCTTGAGAATGTAGGCGTGGAGCTTCCGGACCTGAACCAGAGATCTCGCGAGCTCGCAGCCCTTGAGGACGGCGGTAAGAGTGAAGGAATTTGGCTGAACTTGCGCCAGCTGCATCTCCACCAACGCCGAGAGAGCTTCCTCCAGCTGATGATAGAGAACCAGAGCAGTGATTAACACCGTCCATGAGACCACATTAGGAAGCTTTATCGCCGAGAACAGGAGCACAGGTTCTTTCAAGCTGGAGAAGCACTTTGTGTACATATCCATGAGAGCATTGCCAACAGAAGCATCAGGATCCAGCCCCGCTTTGATCACTCGAGAATGAAGCTGAAGCCCAAGCTCCGGCGTTGGCAGGGTCGAGCAGGCGCTGAGCACGCCGGCGTAGGTGAAGGAAGCCGGAGGGATCCCGGCGGCCTCCATTTGGCAGAACTTGCCGACCGCCCTCTCAATGTCTGAATCCTGGACGTACCCAGAAATCAGAGCTGTCCATAGGGTCACGTCTGCTTCGGGAGTTTGCTCGAACACCTTCAGGGCATCTCCCATTCTTCCCCATTTCGAGTACATATCCACCAGCGCCGTCTTCAGAACCAGACTGAGCTCTACGCCAGATGATATGAGGCGGGAATGCAGCGACTCTCCGAAGCGCGGGCCCAGATGAGCAGACGCCGATAAGAGCCTCGCGAAGGTGAACTCGTTAGGGTTGATGCCCTGAACCACCATGAAGGAGAAGAGCTGGAGAGCACGAGCCCACTCCCCAGCTTGCAGAAGACCAGAAATCATTATCGTCCACGAGACCGCGTCTCCCTCACCCACCTCCGCGAAGACCTTCAGCGCCTCCTCGACCATCTCAAGCTTGCCGTAGAAGTCCACCAGAGAGCTGAGCAGGACTCGATTGCACTGAAAACCCTGTTTCAAAATCTGGGCGTGGGTTCGGAGTCCAGGAAGGGACCTCCCGAGAGACGAACAGCATCGCAGGACGCAGGAAAGGGTGAACTCATTGGGGACGGCAGATCCTGTGGAGACCATATCGTGGAAGAGATCGAGGGCTTCTTCCTCCCGTCCAGCTTTCACCTGGGCCGACATCATGGTCGTCCAGGAGACCACATCTCTCAATCGCAATTCGTCGAACAGCTTACGAGCCTCCATCTCCCCGCAAGATACTTTGCAGTAGACGGAAAGGAGAGTGTTGTTGAGAAGAGGGTTATCCAGCAGACCGAGCTTGGTCATGGGACTGTGGATGGAGACCCCCCGTTTGAACTCCCCCGACCTGTTGCATTCCGACAGCAACCGCAGGCAGAGCTCCTCGGAGACGACGGCGCCGCCGCCGCCGCCCCGCGGAAGTGCTTCCGTTTCAACCCTAAACGAAGATCCCCGTTCCGCTTCCCTGAATGGGCAGTAAGATCGCCTTGCCGTTCCCACCGCCGCTCTCTCTCCGTTTGGTCGCCGCCGGTGATCTGGTCGGAGGGCGACCCCATCGCCGGCGAGGGAAGACGAGACAAATCCGATGCCGCGGGCGAGAGAGGTGCAGCCGATTCTGTCCCGCCAGCCGCCGCTGAGCATGCTCTGGTGCAGATGCGGCCGAGGGATCGCCGGAAAGATGGCCGCCTCCGTGGGCGTGGAGCTGCAGCGGCGGCGGTCATTGTGTTCCCACTTCCCTCTCGCCGCTGTATTGGACCCATGAAAGAGAAGAAACCCGGTCCCCCAAACGGCCCAATGGACCGGTTGACAGGCGCTAGACAGTCAACTGCATGAGTAGAAGGCCGTTCCCACCGCCTATTCCTGTACGACTCTTGCACGTAAGCCACGTACGCAATAACAATTGGGTCCCACTCCACACAGTCCGCATGACTGTACCCGATGACGTCATCTCCCTGACCCCACCGCCTATATTTGAAAGAGGTGGTTAGTTTGCTTGCCTGGCTTGGGCGCAATCGCTGTCTATTCAACCCCTCCAAAAGGTGGCGTGTCTGCTTTCTCCAACTGGGTAGGAGTTATCTATCTATCTAACACGTACAACCACAGCTAGAGAGAGAGAGAGGGGGGGAGGGTTGACTAAGAATCTGATGACACGGATAGTATCCGAACGATGCAAACCGTGCAGCTGGTTCGGTTTATTGGGTAGGAAGTAATTAAAGGTCGAGTGGGTAAGTTATGCGAGTCAATTCAGTCAGCTCACATTTACCATAAAAAGCACGATCTTTATGTCACTGGCAGGCGATAATTGGTCATTTTATCCTTTTTTATTATTATTATTATTATCATCCGGACCCCGCATGAATGGGAGCAGGATAGGACGCATGACGACGATAGCGATGCATCTGAACGCCAGCGGAGGGTCGGCTTTCCACCTAACTTTCTGGACAACAGAGATCTGACGCCGCAGAGAAGATCACGTGAATTTTTCAGATAAGTTCCTGAGATGCATCAATTTGCCTGGCTGGCGGAGCGACCGGTAGATAAGATTCGACAAGTGTTTTTATCAAACTGGACTTTTTCGAAATATTTTAGTGGGGCGCCGTCTTCTCCAACGCGGAAGGGCGTGAAAACCAGGGAAGAATAAAAGGATGACTCAAGTTGTGGACCGTCTCTCCGTATTAATATCTCCCCTTCACCCCTCGGAGCTTCCCATCGAGCTCTCTCCTTGTTAGCTATGGCATCCTCCGACGCCGCCGACTCCGGCAAGGCCGCCACAACAGACACCGAATCCGCGCCCCGCCGCGGCGGCGGCGCCGCCCCCGTCAGCTACTTCCACGTCGATTTCTTCCTCAGGCTGCTGCTGTTCGCCGCCACCGTCTCTGCGTTGGTCGTCCTCGTCACCAGCAAGCAGAACAAGCTGGCTTTCGTCCCCACGTTGCGCGTCTTTGCCCGGCTCAGAGCCAAGTTCAACGACTCTCCTGCTCTCATGTAAGCCCTCCTGAAACCCTAGAAAGAAACAAAAAAAGGAAGATGTTTGACCATCTCCCGCGCTGGTTCAGATACCTGCTCGCAGCGCTGGCCGTTGGCTGCTTCCACAGCCTCCTCACGCTCATCATCTCCGCCATCACCATCGTCAAGTCAGCCGCCTCCGCCAAGCTGCTGTTCCACTTGCTGATTTTCGACGCGGTAAGACTCTGTGGGTCTGACTGTGCTTCGTCGATAATTCTTTTTCGGGAAGGTTTTGAGACCCATCGAGCGAGATCTTCCTTGCAGCTGATGCTGGGGGTGATGGCTTCCGCCACCGGCACCGGCGCCGCCGTCGCGTACATCGGTTTCAGGGGGAACTCCCACGTCAGGTGGAACAAAATTTGTGGCACCTTTGACATGTTCTGCCGGTATATCGCCAGCGCCATCGCCGTCTCACTCGTCGCCTCCGTCCTCCTCGTCGCTCTGATCGTGGTCTCCTCCTACTCCCTCTACCGCCGCAGCCGTTGACTCCGGCGGCGCCGCCGCCGCCTCCAGTCTAGTTTCGTGTTCACAGGGATCTACTTTTAGTAATAATTGGGAAATATTACCATTCACAACATCTGTCGTCACCATACGTGACAAAGTCGTCTTCGTTACGTTGACTCCGAGGTCCCCTTTTGGACCGGGAGATAAGGATGCCACGTGTCGGATCAGTTCGTCTCCTTCTGTGACGTAAGCTCTTGAAACAACGAACCATGGATATTAATTATAGTTGAATGGGACGAAAGCTCTCTGTTGTCGCTGCACCCGCCCCCGCCTTTCTGATAAGGCGGATAGTTTTGACATTGCCGAAGGAAGCGGGGGTTCGAAGAATGTTGCCACGTGGCAGAAGAAGATGGGTTCCAATCTTCCGACCTGGTCCCCGTCGCCGGGCTGGGCCAGAATAAATGGGTCCTTTAGTGGGCCCAAACTTCACTCGTCAATAGCAAGTATCGTTAAATATATATATATATATATTGATATTTTGATTTACAAAAATGAATAATGTAGGGAAAGGTATAAATTTTATTTTTTTATATAAAATACAGTAAGCATGGATATTTATTAGAAAAATGGAGGGAACCAATTCAAAGGAAACCTCTGAAAATGGGTATATAGGCCCAATAAGAATCAATCTATAATGGGCCTGATTCAGGCCCAAATATATGATATTTGGGCCTTGTGGCGGGGGCGGGATTGGGGCTTTAATTTGTCAGGATTTTAGTCCATAGATCATACGACCGCGCTGCTGGGAGGGGAGGATGAAGAGCAGACAGCCTCCGCATGGCGGCGCCGCCACGGCCGCGGCGCAGAGGACGAGGAACCGACAGCGGCTGGGCGGGAGGGGCGTTGGCCTGTCGCTGATGTCCTTTGCGAACGCCAAGTCCACCGACACGGGTTACAACCCAGCCATCATAAGTGAGTCTCGGAAGATCGATCCCCTCCGCGTATTAGGGTTTCCCTGATTTTTCTTCCTCCGGTGTGCTGCTTTAGGGTTTTCGCCGTTTGAAGGGCATCTTCTGATCTCTCTTTTGTTTCAATACGTCGTAGTTTTACGCAGGATTATTATCGTATGCTGCCTTTCGTTGTCTTTGATCGTATGATATGCAGAGTGTCAGGAAATCGCATGATTAGGAGAAGTTTCTTGTGAATTGGCGCTTGATGGATTCATTGATTGTATAGATGATAGAATTCGGGATTGACGGACTCTGGCACGGAGTTGTGGTGAATCAATGAACGAATCAATGAAAGAGGTGCAGCGTAGCGATCGATAGATCGAATAATTTCTAGGAAAATAACGTTTGATTATCGCGTATCTTCCTCATTTCTCGCAAGTTGCAGCGGCTCCCTCATTGCGGCTTCATCCATTGTCTACCTGTATTGTTTCATATCAGAGTGTATATCATGCGCAAGCACAATCTCTCCTGAAATGGGACATTTGTCTTAATAATTCTAGCATTTGCTTAGATCCCAGGAGGAAATTTCCTCGTCTTGATCATCACACCTGTTGTTCTCTTGTTTCCTGTCCCCAGAAAAGCAGAGGGAGTTCTACAAGAACGCGAAAATTGTGAAGAAATATAAGAAGACAGTGAAACAAAGAAATCAACAGGAGGAAAAGCACCTTCCCGATGAATTAGTTCATGAGGTACGTAATAACTTTTTTGGGCTTTCCTGTGCGCTTTTAATTCCTCTATTTGCGTGTTCTTTGGAATGATCTGACGATAACCAGGGCATATGATTCAAAAATATTTCGTAAAGATACCAAACTGAATCTTTCTGGAACTTGGGATCATCCGTTAGAATCTCCGATCCTTCTCTAGAACGTGTAAATGCTCTACATCTGCATCTGCGTCTGCCTGGTGGGCTCTTATGAATGTGATGAAGAAGTTCATTGGATAATCGACGGAAGGACACTTTATGTGGGAGGATCAGCTGAATTGGATTCTTATCTTATGGTCTTCGCCTTCATCATGCCGAAGGTGCATAACTTAGATCTTCACTTGGTAGCATCTCTTGATAAAATAACCATATGAAAGGATCAGACCCCATTGATCCCTGGCGAGCCCATCAGACATGCGATTACAGAGGTGATGGCAGTGTGGGCGGCAGGGGTGGGAGGGATGCCTGATCGTGATTCTGGAATAGTCTCCTTCTGGGTTTTTTTTTCCTTTCATGGACTTATCGGAGGTAGATTAGAAGCACTAAAAATGGCAAAGAATTGAGAAAAGTCCGAGGGGGAATCAGATCAGTACAGGTAAGCTGTCTTTAGTATTCTAGGCTGGTTACATAGAGGGAAGAACAACGCTGGAATCTCGGGTTGACTGCTCGTGAGAGACCCATCGCAGAAGCTGTGGTTTCTAGTTGTTTGATGCCGCTGTGAATTAATTGTTGCGGAGTACGAAAGTTACCAGATTAGGAACTCGGGGGTCAATATATCAAAGCAATCTGGGTACCAATCTCTGCTTGGAAGATTCACAGCAGTGGAACGATTTCTGCTTATTTATCTTTTGTTCTGCCATCTCTCTCTCTCTCTCTGGGGAGATTTGGTCCTCCTTACTGCGCTCGATATTCTTAGATTTGGATGAGAGTTTTTGGGTGTCGTTAGTTTTCCTTTCCTCATCGTTCCTTGTGTTGATTATGTTCTGCCGGGTAATTTTTCGCATGTTCGGGGCGAGCAGGACGGCGACGAGAACGGGGAGAAGAACACGCCAGCAGATGCGAAGAACGAGAAGAAGAAGAAGAAGAGGAGGAAGGAGGTGCGGCTGCAGAGCCTGAGAGAGGAGTACGAGAAGAGGCAAGAGGAGAAGGAGAGGGAGAGGAAGGAGCGAGAGGCGGCGATCCAGGCGAGGAAGGAGGAGAGGGCGAGGGCGAAAGCCGGGCGCAAGGCCCTGAGGGAGAAGATGTTCAAGAGGACCTCCTCCGGTCAACCCGTCATGAGGTACCGCATCGAGCATGTCCTCCAGAACATCCTCCAGAGCCCTCCCAATTAGTCCCACCTGTATTTTTTTGCCCTTTTTACCCTCCAAACCGTCACACTTTAGTGCTTCAAAATTGTGGAATCCTCGGTCAACGCTCTAGATTTCCTCTCTCGGTAGAAACCCCGGAAGGCAAATACGGTCAACCTGCGGTCCCAGCCGGGCTGACAATGAAACAAGCTGAGACCAACTCATTGGCCGCCGACCCACTAACTCCTACCCTCAATATTGAATAAATATTGGAAATATCGGAATAGAAATAGCGTTGGGGCGACCTGGTTTGTCGCCCTCCAGCGTGAGCCTCCCAAAGCCGACAACGCCACCATCCTAAGGAATCACGTTTCCTCGGATGGCGGGGTTGCAGGCTCTGGGCATTCTATTCTGGCTTCGGAAGCCGCAATCATCTGATGGTACGCTCGAAGAATTCGATCACTTTATTAACAACGAAGGGGGAATTCGATAATCTGGGGTGGGTACAGCAGATGAGGAGGAAAGAGGGCATACTTAAAGCCGCCTAAGAACCGAAATGAACCGTCTTCCCCGCCGGAAGGAAGAGAGAGGAGAGGAGGGGTCGCCGCGGAGTACCTGGAATTAATCGGCGAGGGAAGAGGAGCGGTGTTCCTAGCAGCGGTGGCGGATGGCCACTACGTATTTGCGGCGCGGCGCAGAGCAGAGCACCATCAGCGTCAGCGCGATGACGAGGGCGATCAGCAGGCCCACGGGGTCGACCCCCTTTTCTTCATCCCCCCCCTGGAAGCAACACATCTTGCCCATCCCGACAGACGCAGAGAGCAGAAGGTCGAGAGAGCTACGAGCACCGTAAGGGCGAGAGAGAATTAGAGGGGAAATAGGTGGAAGGGGGGAGTATTTAGCGGGGAGAGAGAGAGAGAGAGAGAGGAAGAGGGAGGAAGAGGAGTCCAGGCCCAGAGACCAAGTCGCCCTCGCGACGCTGCGAGGAGGGCGATACGAAGGTGAGAACTGGAGTCGTTGCGAGGTCATAGTCAACTTTCTGGCGGTGAGATTCCTAATAATTTTCTTTTTCTGCCTCCTTTTTCCCTTCCTTTTCTTACTCCCTTCCTTCTTTCCACTTTCCATTACCGTTGGAAAACTCTTCTTATTACTGTTGCCTAAAATCTGCGGCCATCGGTGACGGGCAGCGACAGCGTCCGTGTGAGCCCCGCCACAAGTCAACGCCGACCGATTCCGAGAAGAAACGGTTGGTCGGTCACCCTCCCCACTTGGTGTGAACCATCCACCACAGATGTCAACACATCGAGCCCGGTCTTCTAGGCTCACACTTTCCGCAGAGGTGACGGAGAGAGGGAGAGAGAGAGAGAAAGCTCTCAATCTCTGCCAAAGGTCGTTGACCCAAAACGAGCGTGTCTCATGACTTCTGATTTAAGAAAAAAAAGGGTTAGTCAAAAGAACGGGTGGACAGATGGTGCCGGGAATTGGAGAGTTGAACTTGGGCTAACTAGATGCGCCGAGGCGGAAATAATTAGTCCAGAATAACATTGGATCCACTAGAAATATATTCATATTCCTCCCCGGATCCAACAGCCCGATCGAAACCCGACCTTTACGAACCATTAGAGCCCGTTATCTGATCAGACGAGGTCCAGCCGTCGACTTTTTCATGAATGAACGCCCAAAACGACCTTGTCATTATCCTTGTCTCTGTCTGTCTGTCTCTCTCCCCTTTTCTCCCTATTCTGGGCATTCTGTCTTCAGAAGCTACGATCATCTGATGGTAAGTTCGAAGAATTCGATCACTTTATTTACAACGGAGCGGGACTTCGACAAGCGGGTGAGAACAGCATAGGAGGAAGAGAGCCTCCGTAAAGCCGCCTAAGTATTGAAATGGACAGTTTTTTTCTTTTTGGGATCCGTCTTCTCCGCCGGAAGAGAGAAGAGAAGCGGGGTCGCCCGCGGAGTACCTGGAAATCAGTCGGCGGCGAGCGTTCTAATGGTCGGGCGGGGGGTCAGTGGGGTGTTTTAATAGCGGCAGTGGCGCTGGACGTACACGTAGCCCTGTGCGGCGGCGCAGAGCAGACCACCCACACCGCCAGCGCGGTGACGAGGACCAGCACGCACACGGGGTCGAGACGGGGGTCGTCCGACAGGCTGCAGAATATCCTCTTGGCCATGCCAATAGACGCAGGGTGCAGAAGGTAGAGAGAGCTACGAGCACCGCAAGGGAGTGGGGGAGAGAATAAGAGGGGAAATAGGAGGAAGGGGGGAAGAATTTAAAGGAGAATGAGAGAGGGGAAGAGGGAAGAAGACGAGTTCTGGTCTAGAGACCGAGTAGCCCTGGATGGTGATACGAAGGTGAGAACTGGAGGTCGTTGCGAGTTGATAGTCGACTTACTGTCAGTGAGATCCATTATAAATCTCTTTTTCCCATCTCATTCTTACTCCCCCTTCATTCTTTCTACTTTTCATTACCGTTGAAAACTCTTTTTCACCGTTGCCTAAAGTATGCGGGCGCCGGTGACGGCAGCAATGGCGTCCGCGAGGCCCCAGCTACAGAAGTAACGCCGACAGATGGCCGGTTGGTCACCCTCCCCGCTCGGTGTGAACCACCAGAGTATGTCAACATATAGAACCCAGTCGTCTAGGCTCACACTTTCCACAGACGGTGAAGGAGAGAGAGGAGAGAGAAGGGAAGGGAGAGAGAACGGGTGGACGGATGGTGCCGAGAATTGTAAAGTCGATCTTGGGTCAACCAGATGCGCTGGACAATTAATTATCCAGAATAACATTGGATCCAATTGAATTATATTTATTCTCCTCCCCAATTCAACCCCCACCTAGATCAACCATAAGACCAAGTCAACGCATCAACTGCTTCTTTTATTAAGCCCCTAAACTATCCTTGCCACGTTACTGTTCTATAATCAACCCCTATTATATATAGTTTTCCCTGTCTGTCTGCTTAGGGTTTAGGGTTCAAGTTGCTGTTTTATAATCTCCCATTTTCTCCCTGTTGGGGATGAAACGAGCTCCGAGGCTAGCCAACCTGCTAAGACGCACCTACCTGCTTTGAATTTAATCGACTCAAAGAGGGCCAATTCCGCATGCAGTATGCCGGCCCGGCTGTCGCAAAAATACAGATCTCTCAAATAGGACGGCAGGTAGAAGCCAGCCCAAACAAATCCAAGAAACCCCCCTTCTCTCTCTCTCTCTCTCTCTCTCTCTCTATGCGTGGGTGGCAGGGTATCTCCGTGGGATCACTGGGGAAGCACAGGAGGAGCGATGGTGCGGGTGTTGTGAGAGCGGCAGTGCCTACACTTCATCCCAACTACGTGGAAGGCCAACTCAGTCGTGTCGTCGCAGTCATTACAGGCGATCCACACCTGCATCGGACGACATTAGACGGACCCATCACGAAACCACCGCTCCCTCTCCCCAGTCCAGCCCCCTTTCAACTTCTCCGGTTGACCCATAGAACCGGCGAGCCATTCACCACGTTGGCGCCCATCGATTAATAGAACCAAAAAAAAAAAAGAGAAAAGAAAAGCAGAGGGTACACGGTATCACGTACCTTTCTGTTGTGGTAATCGTCGGGCACCGCTGTCGCGTTAACCTGAAGACGATGAACGATGGTGAACAAGCTGCAGGGGTGTGCAATGGGAGGGGGGGCGTTTTAGACGCGCTGACCTCTTCGTCTTCGCGGTCCTTCCAGCTTCTGAACACGTCGATCACCGACTTTGAGCAGATGGGGCAGGTGTATCTGGTGGATGGCACGAGTCATGAAATCGGGATGGGCTATAGAAATAATGGCAGCCGACAACGAGGGAGAGCAGGATGTTACTGGTAATGCCGCAGCATCTCGTTCAGACATTCTGAATGCATCGTGTGACCACACCGCAGGACCCTCGTCTCCTTGAGCGAGTCGAAGAGGTACTGCGAGGAAAGTTCCACGTGAGCGTCTCTGCCCCCGAGCTTATGGGGGAGCGTCCCCACGAGAGAAAGATACCTCGTAACAGATGGGACAGTGGTGCCTCATCGAATTTTCCACGCACAGGTGCTTGTTTCGGAGCTGGCCCGAATAGCAAGACCCTGCGATCGCATTACAGAGAGCTGTAAACAAGAGGGGCAAACCTACTCTCGGCCTAATAGATCCATTGCTGTGGAAAATTGCGTGGCATTATGGAGCAAATGAGCCTACGAGGAGCGAATTCTACCCCCAAATAATGATTTAATCATGCCCAGAGAGAAAACGGGATGAACAGGACGTACCGCACTTCTGGCAGTGGAAGAAGTTTTCTCGCCCACCGACTCTGGTTTTCAAAACGATTTAAGTCAACGTCTCTCTACGCAAAAAAGGAAAATTGTGCCCAGTTTATGTGAGAATTAAACAAGAACAGCCGAAGATATTGCTGACCTGCATATACCGCAGTCATCGCAGTGATACTGTTTCTTCTCGGTCTGAAAGAATTCATCAAAAGAATGAGCACCCGATCAAGTGTAATCAAGTAATCATTCTAGACGCCACAAGAACATCAAAAGGGAAGTGATCGAGCAATGAATGAACTGCTTACATCATCGTCGTAGAACTTGCAAATGCCACAGAAGTACTCTCCCATGTTCACCCCACAGTTTAAGCATACTCTCCCGGCCTGGAGGGAAGATGGGGAAACACCGGGAATGATGTCAACCGACGTTGGGGAAGAAGGGCGAAGAAATGGTCAGACGCATATAAATCTATTCACAGTTGTAGGCAAGGTCGTCGATGGAGGGTGTTCACCGGTTGCTCTGTGTCACAGATCAAGCAGATCACCTGGCGAGACCAAAATCCGAAATCAACCCTCAGTCGATCGAGGTCGAGCGGCCAAATAATGGGGCAAGTCCAAATGGAGAATGATGGGCTCACCCTCTGAACTTCCTGGCGGGGTAGCTCGTGCTGATCAGACTTTTGCGTCCTCCAGGACAAGGGCCAGAGAGAGAGAGAGGAAAAAGATGAAATCCGTGCCAAGCCAGGAGTAGAAAAGAAAGAGCGAGAGTCATGAGGCAGATGAGGGCGCCGTGGGAAGAGAAATACCGTGGATTCGTTGTGACAGTGACGGCAGGTGAAGACCTCGTTGCAGCAGGGTGCTCTAATCTTGCACCTCCTCCTGTAGTGCTTACAACTGTGGAGCGCGCCGCAGCTCATAAAATCAATACGCACAGACAAAGGTAGAGATAAAATACAGACAGCCCCAGGAGCAATGAGTAACAAAATATACGAACCCGTAACCCATCTTCCCGAAATCCAGACGGCCACTCAGTGCAGAAGGCTCGACGCTGGCATTGAAATGGGCAGGGGAGGTCTCCATGTCTCTCGGATCAGCGTGGTGAGCTGCTGCGGCGATAGATAGAATAGGAGTGAGAAACCGGGGAGAGAGACGGAGGGAGAGAGTACATGTCTGACGATAAAATATAATTTTTATGGTGTCTGCAAGATAAGCTTCCCTGAAACAGACGGAATATTAAATTAAATCAGGAATTCGGCAACACTGAAGTGTCGGAGAATGGCTGAGGATTGGGTCGGTGATCAGAGTACCCACGCCATGCCAGGCCTACGGAATTATTGAAGCAAATGGGGAAAGAAGAAAAAAGGTGCCATCTTCCTGCGGCTGCCTGTACTCCGGGGAAGGAGAAACGGGGGAATTGTTAAAGGTAGTCGCCAAACGGCTGGCCAATGGCGATCTTCCTGACATCAATTGCAGAAAAAGACAACGAACCTTACCCCCGAGTAAAGGTAACCTGAAGTCCCGAAGCGTGTTGGTTGAGTCCCCTCCTCCGACCGTGCCCGCCAGGATTTCGCAGTAAGTAACCTGATGCCGTTGAGAGAACTCGATGGAAAAGGCATCAACGACAACGTCGTCGGAATCTGATCGAGGAAGCAGACCTGCAGACCGTTGGCTTCCAGCCCCGCCGTGCCTGCGGCAGCCAATGAATTGATGACGGCGAGTAGCGCAGCGAGACGATCGGTAAAAAGAGGACTGCAGCAGCATCGGTAGCTGAGACGGCGGCGACTCTCGGGAATTGGCGACTGTCCTTCTTGAAAGCTCCCCACGGGTCCTCTGCCGACGTCGGAACGAACAGAGGGGGAACAGAGGGGACTCTTCCGGCCGCTATTCCACTTATGAATAATGCCTATCGGTGCCTGCAGCCATTAATCTCATCGTACTTTATTACCAAAAAGATTATATATTTTCATTAAAAAACATATTAAAAATCAGAAACAACACAACAAGATCGGAACGGTGTAGCAGGAACGTGTCCTCTCCTCTGATCTCGGAGTAACAGCACGTCTGAAATTGTCAAAATCCGTTGTGCGGGCCCCACGACGCCGCGCCTTCTGCAGTTGTGCCGGTCATCGTTCGGCGTCGCCTCCCGCTCCGAGAGGCGATGGGGTGCGGCAGGTCCAAGCCGGAGGTAGACGCCAGCAACATGATCGAGGACCGCCACCGGCTCAGGAAGAAGACAGCAGCCCCCGGCGCCACAGCGGGGTTGGAGGGGAGGTCATCGCTCGTTGGCGGTGGTGGGGACGGGACGGCGGCTGAGAAACTGGTGTCTCGAGACCCGTCGGACCGGTACTTCTCGTCGAGGAATGAGGAAGAATCCGGAGACGACGACATGAGGAGCGAGTACTACTCCCCTCGCGGCGAGCCAGACTGTAAGAGATAGCCCCAAGCTGGATACAACTTGCTTTCCATCTTCTTCCCTTTCCACATTCTCCATATCCTCCCTATTTAGTTCCGAAGCATATCCAACTCCGGCGATTGGATCTTGCAGAGAGGCTGAATGGCGATCTCCGTGCAGAGTCTGAAGAGCAGCCTTGTGGGGGAAGAAACAAAAGCAGTGGTGGGGACTCGCAGAAGAGCAAGAAGATCGGCGGTGGGGAAACCGGATGTTCACATCTTCTTTCTTCTGTAGCACAACATCTTCGTCATCATCTTCCCCAACGTATTTGAAACATCTCATCTGCTAATAATATTGTCATAGACTTGAGAGATTTACTTGAAAGTTGAGTAGCTTCCACATCGAAGAACTCCTAGGACGAATAACATTACAGATAATTGTTTATGGGATACTCCTTGATATCTTGCCCGCTACGTTCCATAAGGATATGAATAGAATGCTAGAATTGTAGACCAAGAAAAATGTTAGCGACAAGAAAGCAGGAACGCTTGCGTCGTGCCGTCGGTTCGGGGATCTCCCAGGTTATCAGGCTTTTGGGGCGCAAGATCTACGGATCTTTGCCGTGGGGGAAAGCGAAGAGCGACGTTCTCTCGACATTGAAAAAGAGAATAAAATTATAGAACGTAATAACGAAATATGAGTCATAATTGGAGGCTGTCTAGTGTTTTCTTTTGCGAGAAGTGGATTCTGGATGAAAAATTAGAAACTTTCCAACTTTGTACAAATTGATGAAAGCATAACATACAACCACTAGCCATGTTTCCATGTCGGATTTCCTGCAACATCATTCCCCTAGGGGGAAATCTGTCATTTGATTCAATTGATCTCCGTATTTCTAAAATGGCCGAAAACTGAGTACACTTGACAACGAACTACTCTCTAACGTACTGATTCAGTTTCTGGAGATGCAGTCGAAGACGCGATTCATGAGAATTTCTCAGGACTCCGGTGCTATTATTAGCGTAAATCCCAGTGAAAGAAAATAAGAATGTCTTCGGCAGTAACAGCGAGAAAAATTTCGAGCAGGATATTTGTATCACGAGTGACAGTAAACTATGCGTTCGAATGCGTGGACGATGAGGGACACAATAAAGAAAACAAATAACATCTCTGAGAAAATAATTCCCGTCAATTCAATTTCACCGATAAATCAACCGCGAATCCCTCGAAAAAATACTAAAGACCAGCAATAACCACAACATTTATAACACCAACCTCTATGAACTACTCCGGATCATCCTTTCGAGAGTCATCATCGTCGTAAGAGATCGTGATCCTTCCCGCATCACAGGGTTCCTCGTCGTCGTCCTCCGCCAGATGGCCTCTGTGGCACTTTTATAGCTTTATTCCGAGGTCGTCTTCTCTCGGCATCACAGCGAGAGAGGGAGACAGCGCGCGAACACGAAAGCCGATGTTTCTACACAAAACACGTGGCAGCACTCGCCATTTCCCTCGTCCTTTTCCCGCCTCGTCTTGGGCCAGACTGATAGGCTTACAGACGTTTGTTGGGCTATCGTCGGGCCCATCTACCCCTCTCCACGTAGACAAGTGAGGTTATCGACACCGTCGCCTTCAGAGTCTCATTCAGTCACCGTAGTCTTATCCTCACCTCGTTGGTCATAGGGAAGAATAAGACCGGCGGAGGCGATTCCTCACTGCGCAGGAACTTTCAGGCGCCGTAGACTTCGAGGCCATCATCTCCGCGGCTGGTCCTCCGCCGTCGCCGTCGAAGGGAGGAGACCGATGGAGCCGGTCCTCCGCCGCCGTCCAACGCCGAAGGTGATCGGATGCGGCAACCGCCACCGGACGGGTTGGTCCGCCAGATCGCTCCCCCGGGCTGACTATTAGTTGGTCCCGGCACGTATCTGCTTAGAGTTAATTACCAAAATACCCATAAATCTAGCGATAACTCCCACATATGGGGACACATTTGTTATGGGGGTATTTATGTCCTTATAGGATTATTTGGGGATGCGTGGCGATCTGCGGGTGTCGGTGACGTGTCGTCAGTTGGAAGATACCAGGGGTGGGAGATATCTTATTCCGCTCGCTCGTATATATGAAGGAATTGCGGTGACAGTTCGCCGAGGGGGAAGAGAGGTCCAAAAGGGTCATCAGAGGAGACTGCTAGGAGGGCGGGAAAAGACGGGGAGGAGGGAGGCAGGGAGGGAGTTGTCCCCGGCGTCGTCTTCTCGTGGCATCCTTCTGCCGATCCCCATCCGAAGTGGTCTCCTCGAGCTCAGAGGCGGCGTATCACCTCTTCGTCGTCGTCTCCCCCTTCTCTACGCCATCAGCGTGCACCAGAAGGCTCATCGGATTTGCCGAGGATATAGAGGAACCCTAATTGGAACGCCGTGTGGCTACTGAGCTCTCGCCGAGTGCATCGATGTTGTCTCCTTTATCCCCGATGCATCTCGTTTGATCTTTTTCGCGCTCGTCTGTCTTCTATTATCTTGGTATATCTAATTTCTTCCCCGCTTTTTGCGATATCGGTGACTCTCTTATTCAGGCCATGGAGCGGTCGCTATGGTTGAGGGCGACAATTTTGATGTGCTGTTTCTTTGTGGCCCCGGGGGTGAGAGGTAATTAAGCACATCTCTTGCCCTTCTCCCTCCATCTCTTTCTCATTTCCTCTCCTATGTCGACTTGGGCATAGTGCAAGTTTTTTCCATGTTACTTCTATGATCAGTGACCAAGTTTTAACGGAAAATGTTGAATCGCGAAGAACTACCGCGGTTTAAGATGCTCCGAGCTTTCGATCTCTATTCAGACTGGTGTTGTGTGGTCAAAGTAGAGAGACCTGTGCAAAGGCATCGAACCATAAGCTTATCAATTGATCTTAGATCTTTGATTATATGTTTGATTTCAGTAGGAAATAGTACAATGCTTATGCAAAAAGTATTTATGTTTGGGATAGAGGACTGACCTTCCAGAGAGCCAGCTTGACCAAAATAAGAGATGGATAATAGTCGTGAGTGCCAAACATGAAAGTTGGGGATTACTCATCGTTCTGTTTCCAATAACATTTTAATAAATGCGTAATGAAAATAAGGTTTAAACTTTTGGGTTTGAATGAGCTTCAGGTACTTAAGAATCAATCAGGATTGCATTGGCAACGTGATTTAATTTATTTCTACCAGTTCATTGATGGAACAACTTGGCCATCTTTTCGTCCATTGATAGTTAAGAAAAGTTGATATTTCTATGCTGGGAGCTATCTGCAACAAAAACCTTGTGTGTTCTTGTGAGGGTGGAACTACTTTTACCTCCATGTTATTTTAAACGAGCTGACTGCATGTTGTAGCACATGTTTGGGAAAATGTGGGGGCGACATCTGGTTGACTCCCGATGTCAACCAGTTGTCATAACACATACGACCGACCTGAATCTGGTACCTGTCTGACCACAATGTACCTCCCTAGCTACACTAGGATTACCCAATACTTTCATTTCGATTCATTTTAGGCAATATGAAAATGAAACGAGGTTGCTTATAACATGACTTCTTTTCCAGATAGATGAGGGAAAGTAAGTGACTTCAACTTCTACATAAAAAGCTAAAAGTGCAAAAGAAGAATAAATTTTCCATGAGAAATGGCGTGTTTTGATAAAGGCTCAAAATGGGAGTACATCCCCTTTTCGGGCTTTCATGTGCACGATTCAATGTCTGCACTGCACTCTTGGTGATTATACCCATGAAATACTTTCTTTGGATTTTAATATTTATGATGTTTTTTGGTGACAGATATTAAAGTCAGGAATAAGGACTATTCAGATATTTACAATCACACTCTTGCTACAATACTTGTGGAGTATGCCTCAGCAGTGAGTTTCTTCACAAGGCTTGGGCGCATATTTGCGCATTTATTTTTCTTTTAATTGATAAATATAGCCACAGCTTCTTTTCGTCGGACTGACTTTGTCTAAGTTTCGTTAACCCCAATATTATTATGATAATTTTGATTACCCCATAGATATTTACTAGTTACCAAATAAATTTCTGACCTAAAATTGTACTCAGATGTTTCCAAACTTCTCTTCCATCTTGCAGGTGTACATGTCAGACCTGACTGAACTGTTTACCTGGACTTGTTCGCGTTGTAAAGATAAAACGGAGGTACCTTTTGTTTTCCTCGTTTTAAATCGGTTAATTTATGAGCAACTATCTTATGTTTCTATTCAGTGATGTGCCTTTTCAAGCAAAATATTTTTGGTTCCCATCTGTCTTATGGATTTTATTGATTTTTTTCTCTGGACAGGGTTTTGAAATCATTGAGTTGATTGTTGATGTTCAAAACTGTTTACAGGTAATTTGATTCTTGGCATTATTAATGCAAACAATAAACGCCACTCATCATAATAAATATCCGCTTGTCATAGTATCTCACATAATTATCCTTTCTGTTGCAGGCTTTTGTTGGAATAGCTGAGAATCTTAACTCTATCGTAATTGCATTTAGGGGTACTCAAGAACACAGGTAGAAATAAAGTGTTAAATTGTTATATTATCGTAAAATGTTGAAATATATCTAGCACGTGTAAAATGGTGACAATTTTGTATTAAAATAATTTTAATGTGATTCTCTATGGGATATTTTCAGTTTCCTTTTTGACGGCAACAACCTTTGGCAGACTAAACCAATTCCCTTTATTTGATGGAAAAATTCCTCCAAGCTGATAGAAAGGAATCAACATGTCAAAAATCACATTCTCAAAGAACCCCCCTCCAAGACAGTCATAAAATTTGTAAATAGGTTATCTTGTCAATCTTTCTTCCTTGTGCCCAGATCATCTCAAATGACTTTCATTTCACTTCAATCGCGATTATTTCCATTCGATCGTCTTTGTGCAATGGTGATTTGAGAAAATATTTTCTGATCGTGAATATTTTAGTTGATCTAAAAAATATGGCTTTTACTTGGTAAGTTAGCACTATGCTGCTCAACATGATTGGCCTGATTATTAAGTTGCTGAATCCTCGTTAAAATTTTACATAAAATGACGGTCACAACGGATTCCAGAACCTGGTTATCATATTCGCTACGTGTTGATTAGATTTGTATACGCAGAGTGTGGACACAGAGAGAGAGAGAGAGAGAGAGAGAGAGAGATGCGCGGCTGGCTGGTTGCCAACACCTCAATGACAAAGAAGAAAATGAAGGAAATAGTAGATGAGAGGCTTGGCTGGGACTTCCTTAATGAATAGTATCTAGGCCTTTACATCCCTAGCTACTCGGATTTCTTTTCCTTTAGTCAGGATTCTAGAAAGCGTCTTGTTTATTGGAAAGAAAAGGTATAAGCAGAAAATTAACTAATCTCCAGAATGTACATTTCATCTTTGCATTTTCAGGTCAGAACCAGTTTATCTTTCTTTTATTATGGGGGTAATTTAGCATGGTTCCAACCCTTTCAACAGGAAAAATACTTACATCATCGATTTATTTGGGATTTATGCATTTAATGCTTGGAAAATATTTTTGGATAATTGTGTGGGATATTTCTTTCTTTTTAACTTTCTCTTCTCATACAGCATACAAAATTGGATAGAAGACCTTTTCTGGAAACAACTTGATCTGAACTACCCTGATGTTTCTGATGCTATGGTCTGTAGCCTCTCTCGTCTCATTCTTACTAGCACCCGTACGCACCTTTATTATACATGTTCATGTGATCCTTTTTTTATCCCTCTCAGGTGCACCATGGATTTTATTCTGCTTATCATAATACAACACTACGCCCTGGGATTCTGACTGCTGTGCAAAGAGCCAAGAAGATCTATGGGAACATTGGCATAATGGTTACCGGGCATTCAATGGGAGGAGCCATGGCTTCCTTTTGTGCGCTTGATCTCGCTGTAAAAATCGCTTAACTTCCATTCATATTCGATTGTTTCTTCATTGTTTATCTCGTATATGCACTGATTGCTTTCCTTCAAGAGCTTTGTTGCTTTCTGGATTGGTTTAAGCAGGTGGGTTCTTAGAGTCGATAACCAGTGGACCTCTGCACTTGAATGGGCCCAGTTTTACTAATTCTGGCATATCCATGAAATATTTCTTTTCCTGGATTAACTGCTATCTTGAGTATTCGCTCCAAACTGGATCGTTACTTACTAATTCTCTATAGAAAACCGCGTCATATTCTCCTGTCTAACTCCAATCCATGGCCTAGGCATCGGACGTGTTGAACCACGGCTTGTACTTTGATGCTAGTGTTTACTTGTGCCAGCGTATCTCGCTCTGTTTGACTTTGCCCAGCATACGGTTGACCTTCTGTTGGTTTTTGATTTAACGTGGCTCGGCGATCCTTTAAACTGCACTACTCTTTTCCCGAGCCCCAGCTCATCGTGATGTTTCTCGCTCTCAGCTAGTGTTTATTTGACTTTGACTTTGCCCAGCATGCGGTTGACCTTCTGCTGGATTTTGATTTAACGTGGCTCTGCGATCCTTCCTACCCAGGTCAACCTTGGTGAGGTCAACGTTCAGCTCATGACATTTGGACAACCACGGATCGGCAACGGCGTTTTTGTTTCGTACTTCAAGAGACACGTACCGAAGGCTGTCAGAGTGATCCATGAACGTGACATAGTCCCACACTTACCGCCCTACTACACCATGTTCCCCCAGAAGACGTACCATCACTTCCCGAGAGAGGTAACACCCAGCTAGCTGTTCTCGTCAAGCTGGCGGGTTCTGCTGAGTATATTTCAGTTGCCCTAACAATATACACAGCCATATATTATAAACACGTTTAAAACTTGGTGATAAAAGAGGAAATAATTATTTTTTTTATTTTATTCTATTTTTGGATCTGTCTGGAAAGAGGTAAACAGATTTGGAAACCCTTTTTATATTTATAATAATTTCCGCATATTGGTGCATAAATATGTTTCAGTGTTCATCGAGCTGGAGTTGGAATCACATGATTTCCATGTAAATTATTATTGCATCTGATTATTTATTTATAGCAAGCTGCGACATGATTTCAGGTGTGGCTTTACAATATAGGCTTCGGCAGCCTCGTCTACCGGGTGGAGAAGATCTGCGACGGCTCCGGGGAAGACCCATCGTGTAGCAGGTATGGGGGAAGAAGCCCCCCGCGGCTCCTGTCTCACCTTTTCTCTCATCTTTTCCTCCCCCGTTATTATCTCCCATTATCTTCTCTCTCATCCTCTCCCTCCTCTGCTCTCTCTGGCTCACCTTCTCTCTCATCTTTTCCACCCCGTTATCAGCTGCCACTACCTTCTCTCTCATCCTCTCTCTGTCATCTTTCCCCACGTCTTGTCTCTCTGGCTGACCTTCTCTCTCATCTTTTCCCCCCGGAGTTAGCTGCCATTATCTTCTCTCTCATCCTCTATTATATCTTTCACACCGCTTGTCTGTCTGGCTCACCTTCTCTCTCATCTTTCCCCCCCTTAGTAGCTGCCACTATCTTCTCTCTCATCCTCTATTATATCCTCTCTCTCATCTTTTGTCTCTCTGGGTCAAGGTCCGTTCCCGGCACCAGCATCGCCGACCACCTGATGTACTTCGGCGTCGAGCTGGAGGCCGCCACGTGGGCCTCCTGTGGAATCGTGATGAACCCAGGAACGGTCGGCTTCCGGGCAGACACCGACGGCAACCTGGTCTTCTCCAGAGACCCTGCAGCGGCCCTCCGGCAATACAGGGCGGCGCCCGCGGGCTCCGCCGCTACCGCCTAAGGATCTCCCCTCCGCGCAAGAGGGTGGGAGAAGCTGTGCTCTGCGCCAAGACTGTACATAAAGACTCCGCTCCGAGCTCTTGGCCAAGACTGTACATAAAGACGCCGCTCCGAACTCGGAGCCTATTCTTTATACGCATCTATGTATGCATTTAGTGGGCAATCCACGGGCTTCATACCATCTCAGGGCTCGCTGTCTATGGCTGTTCTTGTGGTGTAGTGGGGCGGCGGATTTAGGGTTTTTAAAGTAGTAATGACTTGCTGTCAGCGGGCACTGCTCTTGAGCGAGTGGGTGGGGGGGTGTGGCGGAAGCTTTGGAGTCAGAAACCCACCATTGCTACCGCGAATCCAGCTTTACAGGAAAGAACGTTGGGCTCTGATTAGGGTTCTTTCGAGCTCCAATGATTTCGGAAGAAGATTTCGTCCCCAGGTCAGGCGATTCTCAGAGAAGGGCAGGCTCTGTTAATCTCGGGACATGAACACATCTGAGCTGAGCTGAGCTGAGCGGAGCGGAGCTTCATCAGCATATAAGATGAGATAAACGCGTATAGCAGCAAGGATATGTCTCCGAATCAAACCCAAACCCTCCACCACCCACCCTGCATATCCTATGGTGGCCTAGGTTCATGGTGAACAGGAGCAGAGAGAGAGAGAGAGAGAGAGAGAGAGAGAGAGAGCAAAAAGAGAGCATAATTCGGCGTCGGGGTGCCCCATAAAAGTTCCCAGAGTGAAAATTATACACCTCGGAGCTACCCAGCATCTCCCCCTAAATAATCATATACAGGGGGCACTTACTTGATCGGTTTTGTTGGCCACAGAGGCACTGGACTGATTCGTAGAACACCCACCCACCCACCCACCGGAGATTCCATCCGATCTGTGACGAGCAGCGACTGCACAATGAAAGAGATTCAACACTTTATTCTGTCAGGAAAACCTAACCGGGAATGAACATGCGTGGGAGCTCCTCCTCCTCGTCCTCTCCTTCTTCTCCTGCTTTTTCTTCTTCTTCCTCTTCAACAGCGGTCGCTTCTTCATATCATCATCTTCCTCTTCTGTGATGGACCCGCGAGACAGGGCTGGACTGCGCGAGTGTGCCTGGCAAAAGGGCGAGGTGTTTCCCCTACTCGTGTGTGCTGTCGAAGCTTCCCTGAGCATTTGTGTGCCTCCTGTCCCTCCAATTCTCGCCCCAGACCTTCGCCTCTGCAATCGCCCGTTCTCTGTCCATATCTCTGTTGATGTTCTTGGCACCGTTCCTCGCCTTTGGAGCATTCATGGGGCTGTCCCTCTGAGATTCTTGGCCCTCCAAGTCGTCCGCAAGGACAGACTTTCTCCCAGAGCCGCCACCGAGCTCGCCCCTGCCCACCTCCGCGCCAAAGCTGACTCCCCTGGTGATGTCCCTCTTCCTGAAATCTGGGGAGTTTCTAGATGGGGAAAAGCCTGCCAGCTGGCTGTCGGCTCCCACACTGAGGCTCTTCCAGTCTTCTCTGACCCTCGGTGTTGAAGGGCCCGTCCTGCTGTTGTGGGCGGCGGCAGCATTTGGATCATACGACTGCGAGGCCAAGTAGGAGAGCGCCGTCACGACGTCTCCGATGAGCGGTCGAGTCGCCGCCTGCTCCTGCAGGCACATGGCGGCGACCGCTAGAGCTTGGTACAGGCCGCGCATTGGATACCGACTTTGCAGCAGCGGATCTGCCATCTTGGGAAACTTCCTCCTGTCTTTGAACAGCGGACGAGCCTGATGAAAGTTTTAAAAAATAAAAAAATAAAAAATAAATTATACTTTGTCCCTTATAACAAGTCTTGAAAAATTGTATAAAAATGATATTATTAAAAATCTTTCCCATTGAAGTAAAGACCACCATCAGACATGATCTTCAGATGAGATGTGTTTCTTGATCCATGCAGCCATCTAAATTGACCAGTGGAGGAGAATAAGATGCTAATAATGGCAAACAGAGGCATACCCATGCGACAAGATTGTGCTCCCCGGCCGCCCTCGCATTGTCAATCGCCTTGCGCCCTGTGATCAATTCAAGGAGGACCACACCGAAGCTGTACACATCCGACTTCAGCGTGAGCTGCCCAGTCATTGCATACTCTGGCGCACAGTAGCCGTACGTTCCCATTACCCGTGTGGAGACATGAGTCTTGTCGCCAACCGGGCCGAGTTTCGCAAGCCCAAAATCAGAGAGTTTGGGGTGAAATCCCTCATCAAGTAAAATATTAGATGATTTAAAGTCCCTGTAGATCACTGGCGGATTTGCTTTGTCGTGCAAGTACTCTAACCCTTTAGCTGCACCAGCTGCGATCTTCATCCTTGTGTTCCAGTCCAGCGGCTCCTTGTCAGGCGGAATATCTAATGAGAAAGACAGGGAAATAAGGCCACGCAGATACACAGAGAATACAGTGAAAAGGTATTTTCACTAAACCCCTCGAATAATATGATGAAAATCTGATGGGCAACGGAGCACTAGATTGCATACGACGATTGAAATCAATTCGAAATCTTCCTCACAAGATGAATTTGGCGTATTTAAAGCTTCGGGAAGAATAACAATGATTGTGGCCATTCTGCTGAACACTAGAAGAACAAGGGGAGGCATCGGGTTGGACACAAGAAACTATGAGGAAAGCAAGAAATATGAGAAGCTACCTTTCCAGCCACCCATGAAGACAGATCCTTCTTGGATGCAGACATGGCGGGTGCTAATGATTAAGTAGATGTGGTGAGTTATGGACAAGGAAGCAGACAATAGAAGATAAAGAATGCTCAAATGGGAAAGCTTAATGAATGCCACCATATTAATTAAGGATGTTCAATGAAAAAAAGGTTTTTCTCCTACCGTCGGTGATCACTGGATATTGCTGTAGTTAAGGGAGAGAAAAGGTTTTCTGTCTGGTTCTAACTGGCTAGGATATACCTTTTGAAGGTGGGTGGCCAATAGGAGGCCTCATATTGGACAGTTGTATTGTCCAATATGAAATTAGATTCGATTCGCCTCCACAAGACAAAGTAGAGGGTGCCTGAATCAATGAAAGACACAGTCGCAAAGGGGGGAACTTCGAGTAGCTTGCCATCACTTTGAGTATTACGGTAATGGATAACTAAACATGTCTATGGAGCTTAGAAATGTACTGAATGGTTTGTAGGTTTTCCCCTGCTGACTACGGAATCCATGATATTAATGCAACGGAACACCTTATCTGGAGAAAAACAATTGAAAGACGTTGCAAAGGGGGCATAGCTTATCCGACCAATTTCAATTCCTTTTGATCCCCATGAGAGAGACCAAGGTGGCAAAGGTAGGAGAAAAACATTGATTTCCCTTGGAAGGAACGCTTCCTGGAGGGTGACAAGCTAGCGTCTGGGGAAAATAAGAACCGAATGGGAATTCTTCACAACATCAATGAGCTTCAAAACAAGATGGACAATCAAAATGGCCATGTATTGATAGGATAGATTTATGATGGAGTAAGAGATGCAAGGACTGCCATCGATTTCTCCGGATTTATACCGATGTTTTTGGATATCATTCAAGATGAGCTAGCTGCAGGCGGTGATTAGAGAATTCCAAGAAATCTACTTCAATTAAATTATTCAATGCCACCTATGTGCCATTTATCCCCATAAAAAAGAACGAATACAAGTCGAATTGGTGGAAGACAACAGCATTGTCTTTATAGAGGAAACTTCCAGGAATAATTCAAGGAACTCAAAATCATAAGTTCAGCAGGTTAAGCAGATTGATAAGTACAAGCCCTAGAAGCACAAATTATGGGGGTACAAGTTCGAAATTATTAGGATTTTACTTTCCTCTTTTTTTAAAAGCTTCAAGTTTTTTCTTTTCTTTTCGTTTCTGGATCTCTAGATCTTTACAAAAACAATCTCAATGGAGGTAATATTTTTTTAGGAAAGGGTAGTGTTTTTCTATCACTCATTGATGCAATTATTCGCATTACACTAGCCAATTTGCAGAAATCTGTATCTGGAATCCCAAAGGTAAAATAGAGAATCAGCTATAAGACACATCCCCTGTTACAAAAAAGTTGAACAAGAGGAAAGAAGATTCAGAGAGTTCGCAAAGTAAAGGGAAACACAGTATCTCCACCAGGAAGCATCACAAAACTATAACGACAGATATCCAACATCAAGGAAATCATCAATATCATCATCAAAAACTATCACTGACGCTAATAATGCCCAATCTCTCTGAGTTATAACCACTGACTCAACTTCTTAGGATTCCCTAAACAATCTGGAATTAGTCTCCTCTAAAGCACGCATATAAAATCGTAGTCACATTATGATAATTAATTCATTCATCACATATTGACAGATGCTACTGCCATCAATACCAAAAGGAAAATAAGTATGAACCCAAGACAAACCCTCTCATCATTTAAGGTGCGAAAAATTAATTTTCTCCATAAAAAATTACACAAATGAGTCGGCAGCATGGAAAAGAGGAAAACTTGTGTTATGAGGTTATTGCAAGCCATGTTTTGTTTCCTTTGAGGCCTGGGAAATTGGATGCAATATATGGAAGTCTTTCAACCTTTTTGACGGTGTTTATACCGTGACCACAAAGTGAAATTATGTTTTCCTACACTGATTGTCCATGGATCAATAATTTAAAAGATGATGAGTAGTCAATGAAAAAAACCAAATCTATTTACATCAATTTATCGTCAAAGAACCTCAGATCCCTCGCATAAGTGATAAGAATAGAGGCTCAATGTCCAATAATCCTACTGTAAACAAACTGTCTGTGGCGGTTCGCACCAGGGAAAAACTTTAATAATTAACTCGCTCTCCATCAACAGATCCCTAATTTAATGGGATTTGATCAACCACTGAGAAAACATAGACAGTAAAAGTCGTCCCATCAACCTGGCTTCGAATAGACATTTTGAATCATGAAATGATGCGCAAGGATATTGTTACTGGCACTAAGCCCATGCTACCATCCTTTTTGTCAGTCGCCTATTGGTGCTTGTGAGGAATTTTTTAAAAAAAGTGTATAGACATGAATTTGAGAAATTTAATAACAGAGAGATAGTACAAGACTATGGCATCTCTTATGAAAAACTATGAAGTCGGCAACTCTGGTTCTACTTCTGCATTCCTATCTATATTGGTTGATCTCATCTAATATATTGATTAATTTTTACAGATCAGTTTCATTTTTCTTCCAAATAAGTATTGGGCTCCTCTAGCATCCCTGAAGGAAAAAAATCAAGGTAATTATTAATCAATTTAAAATCATAACACAGAACAATGTGTTTTCCCTAGTGAAACATCACAATTTGTTTACAAGGACAAGTGTGCGAACAGGAGAAGTAATCCAACCATGATAATGTCAAAGACGCCGTTCTTTATGCATGAAGATGAATACGTCCAGAGCCTGGTGAATATCTAAAATACAGGAAGGTATGGACCTAACCGTGCAAATGATCTTCCAGAGATCCCAAAGGCATAAACTCATATACCAAGAGGCGTTGGTCTCCATCAGCACAGTAGCCAATCAAATTGACCAGATTAGGGTGATGCAAGAGGCTTAACATGAGCACCTCTACCAAAAATTCTCGATTGCCTTGAAGGCCATTCCTGTCAAGCTGTTTCACCGCAACCACCTGCCAGCCAAATAAAGTGCACCTTTTTTTTTAATCTCATTCTAAGATATCGGATCTGTAATAGAAAATTTGTAGAGCAGATATAATTGTCCATTTTTTGGGAGGAGAACAATAATTAAATGATCGATTAAAAGAGCCAAGTCCTATCCAGAAATCTAACCTGCCCAGTGCTCTCCAACCGACCTTTATATACACGACCAAAACCCCCTTCCCCCAGAAGGGACTCTTGTCTGAAATTCTTCGTAGCGGCTGCAAGCTCACGAAAAGTAAAGATCTGGGCAGCAATGTGTGTTGGGCCATCTTTCGGCACTGGTGTTTCTTTCCTCGTCTCTGTACCACTCCGTGACTTTAATTTTTCTGCAAAAAAGAAGAAGTTAGCAAGCCATATCTACATGCATTTGGAGGAGGCAGAGAAACGTATTGAAAAGATAGAGAGTCCAGCCTCAGAGCGACGATCATCAAATAACCACCGTAGAGATGCAAACTTGAGGGACCGAGGAACGACTTACGAGTTGAAAGCATCCACCGTCCAACAATCATCCAGGAAATCAAATAAAAGGATAATTTCCACACGGATCTGACCAACAGCATTTGCAGGTACAGTACTAAAATATTAGCAGAGAACACACACGTCGCGTCACTTGCAAGGCCTTCCGCGGATGCTTAATTTGCAGACCAAAATTCTCACACCTCGACGAGATGGACATTAAAAGGGAAGCCGAAATACCGGAGCCAACTCTGGCCGCATGGTGAGAAGACGGTGCCGTAGACGAAGGATCCTTCTTCGAATCGCCTCCGGCCTTCACCTCGTTCCTCCTTTCCTTCACTTGCTCTGACGATCCGAAGCACGGGAAGCAGCCCATCACCCAACTCACGACCGGCAGCGCGAAACAGAGAGACCCCGATGGAGAGCGAGAAAGGGAGATTTCCAAGTTGCAAACTGGAGATTAGACTCCCCCTCCACCATCACCTATCCCACGCCATGCCGGCGATCACTTCTATCCGGCGCGGCATCCACTGCCGGATCAGATCAGAAACAAAAGCCAAACGCGGAAATTATGGAAATTCGTGTAGAAGAGAAAAAACTGGAAGAAGAAAAAGGAAAGGACGGAGACAGCCGGCAGGAGAAGGCGAGCAGAAAAGGAAACTAGAGCGAGAGAGAGAAAAAAGAGAGAGAAAGCGGAGAGAGAGGAGAGAGAGAGATGGGAGAGAGAGACGTAAAGAGGGCAAAGGGGGGGGGGGGAGGGGGAGAGCAACAAAGAAAAGTCAGCTCAGAGTGGAGACCCGCGTGTAATGATTTCCTTCTGTTTTAGCGGATGATCGTGGTATTGATTGAGTCATTAAGAGTGGCCGTTAAAGGCCTGCAAATTTTCAGATTAGACCCTTAAAAAATAATTATTTAAATAATTTTCCACTTTATCTTTAGGCATTCGCCGTTTCCCCCCCCCCCAGTAGTTCCCGACTTTTGCAAATACTCCCCGTGATTAATATTTTCTTGTACAAATGTCCCAAACGGCGGCCGTTGAAGAGACCACACGAAAAAACAAAAACCTCAGCCGGGACGGTAACCCGTGCCATCCGCTGTCAGTTCCGTCTGTCCCTGTCGGGAAATTAATTACCTTAACCCTCGAACTTTTGTTATTATTCTTGTCCCCATTCTCGCTTTGGTGCCTGATTTACGACCCTTCTCCTACAAACGCCCCGGTATATTAGTTTATTATTGTACGAAAATTATATTCGCTGTCCGGTTACCGTTGTTTCAAACGGGCCCGGGCTTTGGGCTTTTCTGAGCCAGCCCCCCCGGGCCCAGCAATCTTTTGCCAGGCTAGTGGCCAGCCCGGGCCACAGAGAAATCTCGTAAAAAGCCCATCCGATTCTCCTGACGCGTGGACTACTCCTCCCAAACCCGGACCGGGCGGAAAAAGCCCATCCGATTCTCCACGGGGCACGTATACTTCAGGGAAAGGGGGAGAGAGAGAGAGAGAGGATGATCGGGGACAATTACGTGACAAAAAATAATAATAAACATCTTATTTTTCATAACCAGAAAATGACAGGATGATAATAATAATAATAGGTGGTATTATTTACGGGGTACCATCAATCAACACCCTGATGTATATTAATTAACTCGACTTTATGCCTGAATTAGGAAAAAAACCAAGCTCAGCCAAGTCGATCTCACAACACCGGCCCTTTTATTTATTTAATTTATTTTTAAAAATATATTTTATTGCATTATATGGAATTTATGGGCATAATGTGTTCACGTCGTTGTTAGCACTAATTAAGGGTGTTTAAGAGTGCTGCTGGGGCGGTCGGTTATTGTCCCTTCTAGACCAACAAGATGTGGCCCATTAAGAAGAAACCCAGTGAGAGCCCATTAGGCCAAAGGTTGGGCCCACTCACGGTTAGTCTGGATATGACGGAATAAAGGCCGAATTCCGCGACTGTTCCCCGCTGTCTATTCCCCACGTGCGAATCCTATCTGGCGGGAAATCGGAACTCTGTAATTAGGGTTTTGCAGACGCCGCCGGAGTTGCCGAAGGAGGACGAAGAAGAAGAAGGACGTGAAATAGGGCCACAGCCACTCGGAACTCTGGAATTAAGGTTTTGCAGACGCCGCGGAAATTTTCGGAGAGGAAGAAGAAGTTGAAGCAGAAGAAGGACGTGGAATGGGGGTTACAGCCATTTGGCGCCTGCGTCCCTCAGCATGGGGAGGAGCTTGCCGCTAAGATGGAGGGACATGAGACGGTCGGTGGGGCCGACGAGCTTGCCGCCGACGAACACCGCTGGTACCGGCGGGCTGCGGCCGATGAGCCGGAAGAGGGCCATCTCTATTTCCTTTCCATGGGGTTCCTCATCGAGCTCGTAGGCGGCGTAGTTCACCCCAAGGTCCTGGAAGAAGGCCTTCACTGCGTGGCACATGCAGCAGGAGCTCGAGCTGAAGATCACTACCGCCCTCTGCGTGCTCAGCTTCGTGACCCGATCCATGTATTGTATAGTATATGTATCAATATTCACGGAAAGAAGAACGTGTTGCAGAGATAGAAGGCGATCTGTGTCTTCTTCCTCTGCGGCTAGTATTTATAGCAGCTGAAGAAGATAAGAGACCGGCGATGGGAATGAGTACGGATAAGTTCATGGCGAAAGTTATTCTCTCGTCGACCTTCCGCATCGCCTGTGACATGAAAGCAACGTGATGGGGCATCCGAAGGAGCCCCGCCATAGATACCTTACCTCCGCGTCTAGGTGGGAGCTCTTTCGTTGGTCTCATCCTCCAGAGCTCATCTCCTCCTCCCCCCTTCGGGCCCCGCTCGATCGATGGGCAGGGATTAATCGCTGCTTTCCTCCTGCCCAAGGGACAAATCAGAGAGATTGAGCACGGAGGTGCGGTGAGTCTGCCCATCTGGCCAGACGCTGCCGAAAGGAGGGGACCCCAAGAACAATGCATCTCCCCATTCGATTCGACGTTGTTTTCCTGCCCTGAATTGTATTCGATCCTCCGGAGAATTCGAGATCCCCACTCCGCCAACTTGCCGCCGGCAGGAACGGCGGTGGCACGCCGCCGTTTCCTTCTCTCTCCGGCGGTACGAGAAGAAAAAACGCATGGGAAATAGCTGAGAAGGAAAAAGATGGGGATGGTCGTTGTGGCTCTGAAAGCGGCACGTCATGGCTCGCATGTCAGCTCAGCAAAAACCCATCTCTGGATAAGGTCAACGCTATCCTCCTCTCATTTCTAGATCCCTCTGACTTCTGAAAGGCTGAGATGAGCCGATCTGCTCCAGCCGCACGTGCACAACGGCTGTGAGCTACTGATTCTGATAATGCGTTCTATGGAAATAGCAATAATATAATTATAATAAAATTAATAACGCCACGGTAATAGATTAATTCAGGTGATGGTATTTTTTATTAACGATATATATTTTTTAATCCACATAAATAAATTTTGATACTGTTTTATTGGGCCTGGATGCAGAGATGTCTGGGCCGAAATCGGTATTGGACAAAGTGGACCCGGCCCATTAATATGGGGTCACGTCACGCCAAATCTTCATCATTCGAGCGGAGCAGGGGATGGGAGAAAACAACCGCGCTCCGCTCGTCTCCCATCGCTCTCCGGGGAAGCAGACAAAAGGTGGAACAGAGTGGAGCATCATCACCATCGCTCTCCTCCACAGCGTCGTCCTTCCTCCGGCTGCCCAGGCCTGCGGGCGGCGGTCCCCCCTTCCGCCGCCGCTTGGCCCCATCTACCACCTTCCTCCTGCTACCAGGATGAGACCGATGCTCTCTGGATCGTTGGGGGGTGCGCTTTTGATCTTATTTATTGATTTCTTACCGCGGGATGCTGGTTTGATTTGCACTGCCTGGCATTGATTATCTCTGTCCCGTTGCTTGAATTCTGGCCCCCCCACCTACCCCTACTCTCCGGCATTCGAGCTGCTACAGGCCTGGCGGGTCATGGATTGGGTTTTTTTTTTTCGTAATCTCTCTGTTTCTCTCTCTATCCGTGTCTGGAGCGCGGACAGAGTTGTCTTTGTTTAGGGACTGAGAGGGGCATTGGAGTGAGGAAGCTACGTCGTCGTCTTCCGTCGCCGCTGCGGAGGAGCACGGAATTGATAGCAGAAGAGCAACATTTAATGCTCCCGTCACCTACTGCTGCCTCACTGCTTGCCCCTCTCCCGACCGAGTCTCCAGGGTATGACTACCGGCTCAGGCAATGAGTGAAGATCGTGATGCCGTGAATGGGACTCTTGCCCTCGGCGGGAACAGTAGCGCGGAGTACTGTCTGGTGGGTTTCGAGGTGAAGGGGACCGAGGGAGAAAGATTGCTGGCGAGAAGCTCGAGTTCCGATTCAGGCTAAACATGCTGTAGAACATCCTCTTGTTCCATGTCTCTTCTCTGGAAGTCGTCGAAAATAAACGGTACTTCCGGCTGCTTCAACTAGCATCTCTATTTCTCTCTCTCCCTGTCTCGCCCTATCTATATCCATCTATCTATCTTGCTTGCTCATGCTGGGAAGTTTCCGACTCCGGCGGCGGTGAGATCTCCGTCCGAAGGCTGACCTAGTTCTCAGCATAGTGCTATTCTAGGTTACCCGGTAGCTGCTCTCCATTTCTGCTCCTACCCAGAGATTCTTGGGCGGAGCACCGCATCCCCCCTTCGTTGTCGGTAACAATTTCCTCGGCGTCACAGTGGAGAAGGCAAAGATGTTCGGGTTTTCTAGAAGGCGGATAAAACTTGGGAGGTAATGGTTTCTCTGCTCATTTTCTCCCGTCAACCAAATAGTTCCCCCAGTAGAAGGATCCATAGCCAGTATTCCTTGCTACAGATAACCAGGCCACCGGCTGGACCTCTGCAATGCTGTTCTAACAGTTCGTCTTGCTCGGATTTCGCAGGCTGAAAGTTCATCTGGGGGACCCATTGCAGGGGACGAAGAGCCCCATTAGACCGACCAAGCGCCACAGCCACCAATCCAGTGTAATTCACAGCCACTACTTGCTTAGTAGGTCAATGTATGTAGCTATCCCATTGCAGAAGGAGGGTTTCTTGCTGAGCTCCTGAGAGATTTTGCAGAAGGAGGACGAGGGATCGGGCTCTGTGCTCGCCGCCAGTGGCAATTCTGATGACGTCGCCCACCATTCCTCCTCTGGGTTTGACTCTGCTTCCGCCAACTCCGAGAACTGGATGGTGGTTTCAACGTCCGGAGACAGCCCCATTCCGCGATTCAGTGTACATAGCTATCCCATTCTGTGGTTATGCCATGATTCTAATCCATGACTGCGGTGAAAGAAACTGACGGAGATCACTTCATTTGGGTTTGCTACCCAGCATGCGGCAACGGTGGTGGGAAATAAAATGGTGGTCGTTGGTGGTGATTCTGGCCGTGGACTCTTGGATGACACGCAGGTAAGGGAAGTTGGCCAACTTTTTGTATTCAGGCACACTGAATAAATGGGTTCGAGCCCTCCTAACATGGCCTCCCAAATCCCCATCCAGTGTGGTCTGCAAGTCAATGATCTTCAGCAACTGTCTTAATTCTGGCAATCTTCATTTCTACTGCAAACGTTATAGCAGACCCTTGGATTCTAACCCTTGCGACGTCTAGTTCTTATCTTGTGACCCTGGGATTCACTTTGATTGACATCATACAAAACGTACTGCTTGTGTCTCCAGATACTTAGTCTGGACAAGCTGACATGGGCTGCTGCGTCCCCAAAGGTTTACTTGTCTCCGACCAGCCTGCCTCTGAAAATTCCTGCGTGCAAAGGTCATTCCTTGGTATACATCTTCTCTTTACAATACCTCTTGTTTACGTAATCTTAGCTGAGACTCGCTATTTTTTCTGATTTATACATTTCTTTATTAGAGGTGAGATTTGTTTCTCATGATTACGTCAGGGACTTAAGCTTAGAGAGTCAATTTCGGGGGCATTGTTGATTTATCTCAATTACAGACTGATGTGGCTCATGATCGCTGTTTCTTTTTGAGTAGGTCTCATGGGGGAAAAAGGTGCTTCTGATTGGGGGGAAGAGTGACCCTGGAAATGACAAGGTTTCAGGTTGTTATTCGTCATTTTACCCCACCTCTCTTTAGTGTTCTGAAAGGTTGATTAAGTTTCTTAACCTAATTTGTCCTTGCGCGCAGTTTGGTCATTTGATGCAGAAACAGAGTGTTGGTCCCATATTGAGGCAAAAGGAGACATTCCGGTACTTCATCTTACACCATTTTGTTCCCATTAGGCGTTTGGACATATCACACTCCTCGTGATTAGTTGAGCTGATTTACATTCGATTTACAGTCGTTCCATTTCCATGTTGTATTTACCTATCTGAAATTGGGACCCAACACTGGTCAACGAGTATGTCTACATTATCTTGGTACAATAGGAAAATAATCGTCGTGCTTCTTTTTTCATGCCGATATCATTATTATGTTCTATCAGCCTTTTGACCCTAGAAAGTTTGGCTGGCCGTGTCTTCAAACTTATGGTTACTGGAGTAAGTTAAGTGCTGGAGAGGCCTGCGATTGAGCTTACCAGGCATCAGTCATGTGTTGTGCCAGAACCTCCCAGCAAAGAAGCCTTCCTTCTTGAAGTTTCCTAAACTTATATGGTCTTATATGTTTGTTTCATGCTTTTGGAACTAATGCGTAGTAAGGTTCGTGCATTATTGCTTGGGAGATAAATAAGTGTTGATATTTAAATTGCCTTGCAGGCTGCCCGCAGTGGCCATTCTGTGATCAGAGCAGGGCCTGTCTTGATCCTCTTTGGAGGAGAAGGCCTGAAGGGAAAGAAACTAAATGATCTTCACATGTTTGATCTGAAGTCCATGATGTGGCTTCCCCTTCACTATACGTGAGTAGAAACTTTGGTGCAAGGGCATCATCATTCAATGACGCTACATTAAATATCTGTTGAATGAGTTCCTGCGGTAAGCTCTCTCTGGAGCGCCATTCGTTGACATTTAACCAAGTTTTTTTTTTTTTCATTCAGCGGGGCAGGGCCCTCTCCTAGATCCAATCATGTGGCAGCTCTTTATGACGACAGAATTCTCCTTGTTTTTGGTGGGCAATCCAAGTCCAAGATTCTGAACGACCTTTACTCACTTGATTTTGAGACAGTACGTGAACTTTGGGGCTTTTATAGTGAAAGACCGCCTCCAAGTTTCTCATTTCCTTTAATGCCGTTAGTTTAGCTCGGTAAGAGTCTTACTGTTCTTCTTCTAGATGGTATGGTCCAGGATTAAGATACGGGGGCATCATCCATCGCCTAGAGCTGGTTGCTGTGGAGTTCTCTGTGGTACTAAATGGTACATTGCTGGGGGTGGTAGCAAGAAAAAGAGTACGCATCAATGACCCTGTAAAGTATTCTCGAGATTTGTCCAGACTAGTATTGTCGTGCCTTTTTTTGCATTATCTGCATGTTTGGCTGGCTACATTATTGTTGGACATTGAATGCCCTTGTCGGAGTCAGTTCTTTTAGTACCCAGTTAATGCTGGGGGAGATATGCTTCATTTTCAACCCTGCTTGTTCTAGTTGTAAGATCTTGATTCAAAATCAATTTATCTATCTATGGTTTTGCAAAAAATTATGGCTCCTACCGCGAAGTTTGCCTTAGAGTGATGCCTCTGGACATGTTGGGATACAGCAATTTGACAGGGTGTGGTCGCACAGCCTCTCAAAAATAGAAAGTAGAACGTAGTCTCCTCACCATTGAACTGAACAAGCCTGAAGAAAACAATGGGCCCTTCTCAAAAAAGAAAAAAAAAGAAGGAAAGATCCACCCTTTATGAATACTCCTGTTTTCTTTATTCAGATGGCTGAGCGAATCAGTGTTCCTCACCAAAAAAATAAAAATATATCAGTTATTCAGATGTCAGGCTCATGTAAACTGCTTGTCAGGATACCCTTTCGAATGCTTGCTTAAATAAGCAGCATGATAGATGAATAATTAGTTTAGAGAAAAGGAAGCAATCCAACATGAGACTTTATTCAAGGTGTTAAATATGCAGGTTAGCCCTTCTTTTGTGAGTAGTGATTTAATGCACCGGAAGTAATTAATGAAAATGAAAAAGGTGAAATTTTTTGTTACTGTCATAAATATTTTTCTGATGTTAGTTAGCTCATACGGCGAACCATATTTGTGAGAAATATTTACAGAGACAATTGAGCAAGGTATTTACTAATTAAGACATGTAACACTTCCTATGAACAAAGTCTCTTGGAACTTCATATTTGACTAGTTTTGGTCAATGGATTCCAAGTTCTTGCGGGAAAAAATCAGTTTGATGTCTAACATGCAGCCCCCTTTTTGCTGCATTTTCAGGATACGCAGAAACCCTAATCTTTGATGTCGTCAAGCTTGAAATGTCTGTAGCTGTGACATCATCTTCTGCTTCTATAACCACAAACAAGGTGAGGCTGTGAATGGCTGTGGCTTCTGATGCAGGGACATAACCAATCAGAGTTCACAGATGCGGCAGGAATCATATCAAATAATTCCTGCTTTCATGGCGTGTGCTGACTATTTCTTGATCTGTTTGTGAAATTCTGTGCAGGGATTTAGCCTGGTTCCTGTCCATCACAAAGACAGGGTGTTCCTCGTTGCGTTTGGAGGGAGCAGGAAAGAGTCTTCAAACCAGGTTGTGGAGCAGACCTGGGCACGAATGAGGGGCCCACCTGAAGATCAGATCCTCTTCGCTCTCTTGGTGTTCTGATTCTTTTAGTTTCTTCGAACAATTTCAGGTCGAAATACTGATAATTGTGAAGGATGAACACTCGGTGGGTTGGCCATCTGGGCAGGATAATGACTCGTTGCTCTTCAAGAGGCGATCCACCGGCAGGGTGGGGCTTGGTGTGCATCTCAGGAACGAGGGCCCCGTTGACTCTGTTGCCAGACATGGCATAACTTCCATGATTGACCATCATAGCTCAGGCCGGCGGTCGCTCTCGGAGACCTCTGGTAATGGGGTCTCTCTCCGTAAACAGTTTCATCATGAGGAGGAGAGCAATTCTACCCACACTTTGCAGAAGGCTCATGAAGATGGAGGCGACGGTGCGCAGGTAAATCGTGATGATATTATAAAAAGAAACAGGGTTTCTGAACCTGATGCGCCGTTTTTCTGGCTTTGCCCGGTGGTTGACCTTTCTATTCTCCCAGAGAACATTCCTGGTTGACTCATATTTATTAAAGTTGCTTTCTTTTTTTATTTTAAAAAAACCCTTTTCGTACTTGAAATCTTTCTGTATTCTGTTCCATAGACCATGGATTTAGGATCCGAGGGGTGTTAATTTTTCGGATAATTTTTTGGCAAATCCTGTTGTACTAGTTTCATGAAGAACAGGTCACTTGTTCTTGTTCTGTCCCACTTTTTTCATGCGCAAAACGATTTGTCTTCATCCATCTCCTTCGACCTTAAATCTACACGGCATTTCGCCCACTTTTATGACCACCATGTTGTTGACTTTTGGTGCAGAAAGTCAGACATCAAGACTCCACCGAAGTGACCGTCCTCACAACCGACTCAGAGGACTCCAATGACTACCAGAAGCAAGGGAGCGAGAATCCCCTCGAGACTGAGGGCGTCCCGGGTTCGTCGAACATCTGCGTGCTCTATGAAGCCAAGATATCCGCCTTGATTCGGAAAAATTCCACACTGGAAGGCCAGCTGGCCTCTGCGCTGGCGGGTCGCGAAGCCGCGGAGAAGAACCTGTCCTCCGCTGTGAAGAACAGGCACGACATGGAGAGCAAGCTGGCCGAGGCGGTGAAAGAGGTGGAGCTGCTGAAAGAGAAGCTCGCCGGTGTGGAGCTGGCGCAGGAGGAAGCCAACAGCCTGTCAAACGCCGTCCACACCGACAACGTCAAGCTGGAGCACGACGTGGCATTCCTGAAAGCCATCCTCGACGACACCCAGAAGGTGAGAGCCGCCAAAACCTAAAAATCTAGCTGAAAGTTTTGATCTTTTCATTTCCCCTGATATTTTTCTTTATGCCCACCAAACCCTAGGAGCTGCATTCCACGAGGGGAGTGCTGGCGGCGGAGAGGGCGAGGGCTTTCCAGCTCCAGGTTACGACTGCAGCTCTCATTTTTATCGAGGGGGTTTGCTAGAAATGGAGCGTTGACCCACCTCATCATCTTCTTCTTCTTGTTCCATCCAGGTCGAGGTCTTCCACCTGAAGCAGCGCCTGCAGGGGGGAGGGGGCATGGACGCCAGCAGGACCCCTACTCCGAGAAAACCCTACCATGCTTAGTTAAATCTTGTACAGCAGATTCCCAAGACACCGTCCGGATCAAGAAAATATCAATTCTTTTTTGGGCTATCTTAGCGGAAGCTTGTAATTATCACGACTTTGACCGTGTTGCCGCCCTTTCTCCTCAATCGGCACAAATCTTTTTGCTTGAATGAACTTCACTTTATCTTCTCTCTCTCTCTAAATGGCCAGCCATTTTCCATGCCCTTTCTCGTCAATCAGCACAAATCTTTTTGCTTGAATGAACTTTCACTGTATCCTCTCTCTAAATAATTAGCCATTTTCCATGCCCTTTCTCCTCAATAAGCACAAATCTTTTTGCTTGGATGAACTTCACTTTATCCTCTCTCTCTCTAAATAATTAATCATTTTCTATGCCCTTTCTCCTCAATCAGCACAAATCTTTTTTGTTTAAATGAACTTCACTTTATCCTCTCTCTAAATAATTAGCCATTTTCTATGTCCTTAAATCAGCACAAATCTTTTTGCTTAAACTTCACTCTCTCTCAGATGGGTAGCCAATTTTCCATACCCTTTCTCCTCAATCAACACAAATCCTTTTTCTTGGACTTCACTTTATCCCTCTCTCTCTCTCTCTCTCTCTCTCTCTCTCTCTCTCTAAATGACTAGCCATTTTCGATGAAAACCTGAAGAGGGTCCGAAGCAGATTTCACGGATTTCTCACAAGTTTTTCAAAAAAAGAGGTGGTCTAGCAATCTGCAGTCGGCAGGAATATGAACAGCTGCTGCATGAGAGGCTCGGCGAAAAGGGGGAAGGGGAAGGGGAGGGTGTAATAATACAGCGATTCATTCCTCTTCGGGGGGCTCTTCCTCCTCCTGCAGGAGGTTCTCTCTGTTGTCGTGGGCCCAGAAGCCTCGGACGTCGATGAGCATGCTGGCCACCGTTCCTCCCTGCTTGCAGGCGAGGAGGTCGGCGAGGGTGATCTTGAGAGGGTCCACCGGCTTCACCATGTCCCAGATCTCGTCTCTCACGTCCTCGATGCAGAGCTCGTAGTTCCCCCCATCGATCCACTTCTGATGAACATCTCTGCAAAATAAATAATAGAAAAAGAGATCATCAATCAATTACCCGATGCTTCTGGGTCGGCAACAAAAGCATTCAGTTCCATTGATGGGAAACCAGAATGGGCATCTGCTGGCTGATCAGAAGATTTTAATCAGTGGAATCTCCCTCTTGCGATGATTTTTTAGAAATTTCAGATGATTAATAAAGAACAAAATAATAAAACGAATGGTTCTAAAGTTGGTGTCTTGCAGTATGAGACTGGCAGAATCTAATGAGCATCTCTTCAGAAAAAAAAGAATATCATCAATCAATCGCCCAATGCTTTTTGGATCGGCAATGGAAGCATTTATTCAGTTCCATGGATGGAAAATCCGAATGGGCATCGGCTGCTTGAGCAGAAAAGTAATCAGTGGAGTGTTGTTCTAGCAGAAGGAAATCTCTCTCATGCGAGGATTCTTAGAAAATCCTGATGACTAGTGAAGAACAAACAAAGCATTGACATGAACGGTACCAAAGTCAGTGTCTTGCAGTATGAGACTCGCAGAACCTCCTCGTAGTTCTACAAGCAGGAAAAGTACAAGTTTTGATGTAGGAAGATCGTATCAGGTTAGCATCTGTGCTGTTGAATGCCACCCTTCTCTACTTCCACAGCAGCCCAGCAATCGATCACACACGGCAAATAATCAACAACAAGAAGGAAAATTATCCAAAGAGAAAGCCAAGACAACCATCGCCGTCTATCTATCTCAGGTATTGAGAACTATATGCTCGTATATAAGATTCAAAGGAGCAGCAGATCTGAGATGCATTGTCATATTATTCGTTGCGTGATCTAAGACAACATCAGAACATCATCAGCAAGCTAGTTTGGCATAATATCAGAACGTGGTTCTGCCGTAATAAGAACATTATAGGCGTAGAGGCAAGGCAGCATCATTAATACCCTGAATGGCATATTTTCAGCTCTTCTCAGAGACGGTGAGTTGGGTAAATTCCTGATCAAAGATACGGTACATTTTTATTTAATTTTCTTCGAAAATTTCTTCCCTTCGCTTCTATTCAATGAGGACTGCACAGGATAAAAAATGACCGTTTGCCAAAGCACTTTCGCTGATCAAGGCTAAGATTCAGCAGGTTCTTGATTCAAAAGGATTGGGGACTTTCCTCCGTTGAATATTTCTACATAGAAACCGATATTTTTGCATTATATTTCCTAAGCATAACTTGCTTTAATTACCTCGATATGCTATCAACTGTGCTACGAAGGCTTCAAGTACCATTTCAACAATTTTTCTAAAAAAGAAATAAATCTGTAATAATTAATATAAAGGAAAAATTTAGATGACTCGTCCTGTTAAAATACCTGAAAAGGGTATGCACATCGGCGGTTGTCAGATAGCCTCTGCCATAGAGATCAAGGCACCGGAATAGGTATGTAAGCCCTTCTGGGGTGTCTTTGTTCTCCAGAGCCAGAACAAAATCAAGAAAGCTTTCAAAGTCCATCTCTCGAGAATTCCCTCCTCCATTCTTGCCCCGCCGAACATGCTCGTCAAATACTGGAAACAGTATGGAGAACAAAACACCAGGGACATGCTTATCAATATGACAGGTTCGAGCAATGGGAACTTCAGATCATGTAGTGGTTGACACCTGTGTACTTAATGAATTCCATTAATAAAGTATCTCCATATTAGTTTTGGGAATATCTAAAACTAGGCATCTACCCCCGGAAGTAAGGGAGCGGACCTTCTCCATCGCCTTTGAAATGATGAATACAAAGAGAAACTTTACCCTCTAACATATATGCCTACCTAGCAATATGTTTTCATCCTAAGCTGTTGTTGGCATGGTGGGAATTCGTGATTGTATTATTTTGCAGATATTAAGAACTATGATCTGACAACTAGAATCTCATGGAGTTGCAACAAAATTAAATTATGTTTTGGTTAAATTTTAGAACAACAGTTTTGGACGGTTATGAGAATGATTTAGAAAAAGTTGGAAATGCACAAACCCCTCTCAACAAAGATGTCAGTCAACGTTCCATCAGCATATTCTCTAAGCTCTGGCTTGCTTAATGTCCCGTTCATATCTTTATCGAGAGCAAGAAACATGTCTGCCATGATAAAAATGTGGAAGAAGATAAAAAAAATCAGATAAATTGAATCATACCTCAATCTTTATTTCAAGAAAAAATTCACAGTTAATGATAAAAGAAAAAAAAGTGCAAAGTAAAATCTGAAACAAAGAAATTCTGACTTTAAACAGAGAAGGGACTCTAGAAAGCATAGAGTCTCATAAAACAACGAGACAGGAGAGCATGGACCGGCGGCCATTGTACAGTAAAGTAGCAGTAACACCGTATGAGAAATGAAATTACGAATTATAACCCTAAACCATGTCACCACGGCCATACCGCATATCCTTTGGGCAGATGTCAAAGAAAACCAGTTTTCAGCTTGTTCTGTGTCAGTGACTTCTTCCTCACTTTCCTGGAATAAATAAACGCAATCATGTGAGAATGAACCGGTGGGACGTGAGTCCCCAGGAGAAGAATCCTCTCTCAAACTGAATAAAAGACATTCCTCCTCATACACCGGAAATGGCAATATTAACTATAGAACCCATGATACGGAGAAAAAATAGCTTAACTAGGCATCTGATTGAAGTAATACACTTACAAAGTTTGTAAGATTTATTGGAAAGACAACTCTAATTCAGAAAACATGAAAAAATAAAATTAACTGAAAACAGGCTTGGGACAACAAAGTAGACAACACAAGTTAGGCGTTAAGTAGATCTCTGATCATGGAAGGCATGTACTCTCACAAAAAGAATGTCCAGTCCATTTAGAACATATACATTCCAACGCTGTTATGAATTTTCAGGAAACAACCATCGAGTCAGCAAACTTTTTGATTGAAAAATATTAAGCACGAATACCTGATGAAGTTCCATAAGCTCTTGGAGACAGTTGCTAAGTAAAACTTTCTTTATGCATGCTTTCCCTACATAAAATGGAAAATACTTCAGCTCAGTACTTTGTCATTTTCACTATAAATAAACATGGAAACGACATGCTTATTTGAAAAATAGAAGAGAACTTAAAAAAGACGCATACAATCACCTGCTTTGAAATAAATAACTAAAAATTATGGAGTCCTACTTTTGCAACAAGATCAAATTTCGCGAGAAATCAGCAACCAAAGACAGGCACCAAACAAGCAATAAAAAATGAGATTAGCATCCACTTGTATTTTGCCAGCAAACTCGGTTAGTATCCAGAAAATCAATGACTTGTTTTTAACTTATTTTTTACAACATAAATCGATACATGACTTCTTTTCCACAACCAATCTTCAGTGATTACTGTCTATGAATTTAAATGGAGAAAGCTGTTTTCAAAAGCTAAGGCATGAGAGGGCATCTAGTAAGAGGAATAAACAGGAGCAGAGCACTGTAGAGGTATATCCTTTAACAGCAAAATATGCATGAAAACACAAAGAAAATACCATCTGAAGAATAATCTGCAATTCTAAGACTTATCATCCTAGACTGAGAGTAAAGATATCATTAATCTTGGAAAAAAACACAAAGTAGGAAAAAGATCCAAGAATAAAGTGCATCAAACAGAACATCAGGTCAACTAGCTATCCCCAAAATAATCAATTAATTAGCTATACTGGAAACAATTAAAGACAATCGATTTATAAATGTGATCCTTCAAACAAAAAAAACTCATGGTTCAGGTTGTGTTCTATACTAATTAATATAATTGGAAGGTCTAAGGAAACAACATCTCTTTATCAGTCATTCTAGAAGATGGAATAAAACTCAAAATCTCATTAATACGGTGTCCATTCTGAGGAAGTAAGGAAGCAGGAGACAAACCTCGCCTATGAGGATCACAGAAGAAGAAGAATTTGTGTGCAGCAATTCGGCAGTACATTTGAACAAAGGCTGGAGGCATATCACGGAGCTGTGCCAAGTTAGGAATTAGACCCCGTATGTATGCTTCCATTTCCTGCATGCAAGGTAAGATTATAGATAGATTTACACGCCCATGGTTAATGCATCTAAGAAAACCAGATGGCATAATTCATCGATCCTGACAAACAAGATCAAACTCAAGGATGAACATACTTACATGAGGCTGAAGAAAACCATCAGAATCTTCATCAAGCTCACTCATGTCAATTCTTGCTTGAGTAAGTGAAACCTGATCGAATTGAATAAGCGTTTAACTATTAAACCATACACAAACTAAACAAACTGAAGAAAAGTTCCTAGGAAAACCATTTAAATTGAGGTACACTATAAAAATATCACGGGAAAACACAGTACAGAAACATATATGTGGTATGAGACACAAATTGAAGATTTAATCTTTTCAGTCAAAGAAAGACGCGGAGCAAATATAGACTAGAGTTAAAAAGACAAAATAACTGCTTGAGGCTTTGCAGTGCCCATGGAAACAGAAATCAAAGGTCATAATCTTAGAATGATTGGTAGGTGGGGGGTTACACATGAATAACAGATCCTGTTATCTCAATGAATCCATAATAGAGTACCGTAGGAAACTAACCGTTCTCATCACATATAAGTAGAATGGTAGAATAGCTATTCTGCCGGATTCATCCTTCTCAAATTTCATAAAATTAGAGGGGCTGAAAAAGCGTCGACATTTTGGGCCAATTTGCTCTGTGCACACGGATGCAATATGGCAGAAATCTTCGTAGTTCATCTGAAAAAGGATATCCCAATGCGTCAGTGATACTAATAGCTATCTCTTAAATGAACTGAAGACGGTTAAAAGAAACAATAAATGTTCAGAGATAGACGTAAAGGGTAGGTTAACCATCTCTTGGTGAGTGTAGGCAAGAATAATGCAATAAAGTGCTTGGTAAGTGCAAAAAAATACGATTTATTTTCTTAAGTGAATAGCAATACCACATGCTCATTTGATCCTATGACATCCCAGAGATACAAATACTAATGACGGAAGTCCAACAAATCAGAATATAAATCTTTTCGACATACTAAATGACATAGCGCATCATCCAATTTTGATATAACATTACGATCCATGGTGCTCTTACATAGACGAACAAAGCATCTAAGGGTCCTTGAAAGAATAAGCCTTATCAATCTCAAACTGTTTTCGTTAAATTGGGTAGTACCAGGCATTAATCAAATATAAGAAAGAAAGGGCAAATGTGCTGGTCACTTATTTAAGGTTGTAGTTTGTCTAAATTCCTTATGAAAGTCCAGAGAGTATGATCTACACGAGTCTGATCCACACGTTTGAAACTCAACAAATAATGCATGGTTGCTTTCACCGAGTATCTTATTAGAATGGGAATTGAGCAGCAGATAAATTGTCACCGAAGAAATTATGAGGTTGGTTTTTTTCTTCTTTTCCCCATTCTTTTTAGTTTTCCCATAAGGAACTTGGCTAAGATATAAGTAAAACAAGGAAAATTAAAACCGACAATGCCTCAGATAAGAATGATTCAAAGAAACAGACCCGAATACAACACCCAACAAATGACCCTAGTCTGTCAAGAAATGGCATCCAAATGAACTAAATTTATGAACAAATATTTATTAAATTGGAGAATCACCAAGTAAGTCGTCAACATAAAAGAAAAACTACATGCATGCAACAGATCACAACATCAAAACAGGTGAATGGCAATGTGCGCTGTGCTGCCCAGCTGAACCTAGCCATGGTAGCAATCCACAATGTCCAGGCTAGACAGTCAATACATTTAGCCAAGTTTCCTCATTCCTAAATGGTATCGTGCAAGTTTTTGCGTTCCTTGCAAAATCTGAAAAATTCATCAGACTCATGAACGCAAGATCGGATGAAATATATTTTTTATATGCTGCCTTATAAAGTTGATTCCATGAGATTACTCTCCAACTAACTTTGCCCCAATGTCACCAAACAATAGACCTGGGTTTATTTCCCCAGGTATATCTCCTCTCAAGAACTGGAGCACACAACGAATGTAGACAACAGTATAACATAAAAAGCAGATAAACCAAACCTAAAGTGTACGAAAGATCTGAGGCTTACCTTTTCAGCACCGGTAGCATCGTCAATCATGCAATTTTCTCTCAAGCAAACCCACATGGCATCCAAATCATCAGCATTCAACAGGAGATCTGATTGTTTCTGTCAATCCCACATTTTTTTAGATATGACATCAAAAATATTTCACTACCTCAGCTTGATGCGATTATCCATAGGCTCATACAAGAATATCCACCATCAAGAAGAAAACAGCTCTTGAAGAAATATTGAAAGCAAAGTAAGATATTTAACACCCGCGTACCTTTAAAAACCTGTATTTTGCCAACCTCTGTACTCTGTGACTTATCGATCCTTCCTCAGGTTTCTGTACTTTAAAATAAGAGGAGAAATCTTTGTGAGAAAAATCTACCAAGAACATGAATTAGTGGAAACAAGGGGAAGGCATATGGAAGTAAAATGTCCTTGTCATTTCCAGATCGCTACTTTTAGTTTGTGAAGATTTTTAACATGATAACTATCCTTAGGTCTATTGTACATTTTTACAGGCTCAGAGAATGACTAGTCATAGAGAATGAGAAGGATAGAACATAAACCATATAGAAAAGATTAGTCCATGCCTTCTTGTAGAAGCTTGGAATCGTGCCTGCTTCAGCATTTTTTTGTTGTCTCTCTTTAAAGATTTCCAGCAAAATTCTCTTTGTTTCAAGCTCTGCACGACAAAAAGTTATCATAACTGCCTTTGCAATGGGTGAAATTTTCAAAGTAAAACTTATAGAGTGAAAACAAAATGACATCTAAATAGCATTAAAATGACTTATACCCGTGGGAACACCACACAGCACGAAGATCAAGATTATCTGAAACATTTAGCGTATCATGATTCATACCTAGTGATAAATATAGCACAATTTGCACAATTTAATGAGAGGAATCCAACGATCAGTATACTCAGAAGCTGCAGCTTACGAAGAGGCTAAACATAATGTTATGATCGAGGACCAGTAAGGAGATGTAAGTAGAAGAGAGAATATTTTGATATATTTCTATTAGAGGACGCCCTTCTAAAGAAACAACTGGAATACTAACGAGTTTCAACGACACCAACAGTACCATGGCCAGTTAGAGGTTAATCTTAGTGCTTATATCGTGTGAAAGATATGGTATTTAATTAGAAAACTAAAAAAAGAGGAGAATGCTATCCAACTTGATGGCGAAGATATACTCAATTCATTTTTCTAAAGCAATAGACAATAGACACCCAAAACTCATAAATTTATTTTGACAGTTCACAGATCACTTAAACGAAGCATGAACCCCCAACAAAGAAGAGCTTAACAAATTGGGAAACAAAGGCTCAGAGATGCATGAAACATAACGCATGTATTTTCAAGTTATCCTACCATAACCTAATCCAAAAGACATATTCAACATAAACAAACCATAGACATCCCTTGCAACTTTTTCATTGCATGGTTTCTACTCCAAATGTGGCCTACAAGATCAGAAGATTTACGAATAGGTATTCACTGAATTTTCCTTTCCCATTTTTACTAAAAACGGCTGGCATGAAATCTGCGCAAACATTTGGAGATTCCCTTGTCCAAAGGGTCGTGTAAGAATTTCACTGCATTTTTGGGCCCCTAATGCCTAAGAATCACAATTTTCCAGCAATAAGCCTCTTAATGGATAACTGATGCAGATCTTCCAGCCAAAACTATCATTTCATGAGTTCTTTTCACTCACAAACGTTATTTCTAGGATACTTCAGCGCCGATTTCTGCACAGCTATAATTTTATACATAATCCGACGATTCAAATCGCATTCACTCCACAGTTTTCTCAGAGAAAACACTACTGATGGCATTCCCCTGGGATACCTAAAAGAGTACGCAAATGCATATTTTATAAACATAAGAATTATCATATAGAACTACCATGACGCAAAGATGTTCACCGCCTGCAACAACTCGATTTTGACAAAAATTTTATGAGGTCTTTCAACTCTCTTCCACTTCTACTTCCCACCTTTTCTCACCAAAAATTTCCTCAACCGCCATCTTATTTCATTATAAATCCATTGCACTGGCCACAGAGATTATCCGGGCATCTCCATATTTTAGTCTGCACAGATAAGTTTTCCTAAAAGAACGAGAACTTTTTAAAACGAAGTACTTCCGGAAATCTAGCCAAGTTCCGGGAAGACGAACGCCCAAAAGGGTTGGAACGGTCTGATGTGATTTACACGTAGAATGCAACTCAGACCACAGTCGAACATTGTAACACGGGTCCGCCATTCCCAGGAAAGAAGAATGTCCACGGATCTTGACTCCAGTAACTAAACCGGCAAAAAGAAGCGAAAAATGGACACAAGAAACACATGAAAGGGAAATGGAGCAGAGCAATGAGGAGGATATCTGCTAGTCAGGGAAGAAGAAGAGCACTGACCCATGAGCGCCTCGGACCCAAGGCCGGCGCCATTGCCGATGAATCTGCGAAGGTTTCGAACCCAGGGCATGGACGCCGCCGGGGGGATCTTCCGTGGGACGGCATCGTGACCCCCTTCACCATCACTGGAGCCGCTATACATCTCTCCCCACCTCTCTCCCTCTGCGTGTTCGTAAAAAGGAGTTACACGGGCCACCAGATCGAGACGAAACCAGAAATGGGGACATAAAAAGTAGTTAGCTGGCCGACTCGGACCTAAACAAGGTATTCGGATATGATCCATACCCGAATAAGTGTTCGAACGTCTTCTTTCCGACGACCCGATAACCATAATTTTCAGGGCACACAAATTGAGAGCATACCTTGAAATATGATAATTTATATATATATATATTCATTTTATGGGAAATATTTCTTCAAAGGTAATTCATTGATTGACAAGCCCAGGCCAAGACAGTCGATAGCATAATCACCCCTCAAAGGGTTAATACCCAAAAAGTTGGTTTTTGAGGGGCCTAATTGAAAATATATATATATATAAAATACGAAAAATATTCTTTTTCATTGGAAAATATTTCTTCCAAAATGGGGGCTCCAACATACAATCAAACTTTGGAAACCCAGACTTATGACGAATTCATCAAATTCACCCGTTGACTTACCAACCCTATTAAATACAACCAAGAACACATTGATCTCAGAGTTCCTCTGCTTCCCCAATCAGGTTCCAGTTGACTCGGGCATCTCATTGCTACTCCACTTTTCCAGGGCCGTGCTCTGCCGCCAGCTCAAGACCGCCCGGTCAACTGCGGCCTTCGCCTCGTGGACTTCTGTGGCGGAGAACTTGTGCTCGATGATCCCGAGTGGTCCCGGGCGGAGTACGTTGATGACAGTCTCCACATCCTGCTCCATCCTCCTGTAATGACAGAGACCATGAGTCAACCACCATGCTATTTTCCCAAGAAAGAAACTTGGCAGCAACCAACTCTGATGAAAATGTTCCAAAGGATTAAAATCAGGATTATCCGCATTTTTAGAGGAAATAATTAGATTGGGACTGTACTGCATCCACTGCCGATTATTTTTTATTCTAATGAACCAAATTGATAATTTCTCCTAATCTTAATCCATCTTGCTTCTGTTGATGAGGGGCCAAGCTAATAGTACATTCATTAAGGCAGAGAAATCGATCTAAACTTGTGATTGTATTGATGGGATTCCTCCATTCTCTGTCATTTGACTAATGCCCACCAATGTAAGGTTCTGATGCCAGCTCGACCTCAGATAGTCAGATGGAGAATCTGGAGCTGATGTGGAGAATTTCTGAAGGGGATAAACAGTTCTGGGATATGTAACTCTACCTCAAGGGCCCTGGGATCATACGAAGAGTTGGAGAGTATAATCGAGTGATATCATGTCAGCAACTCGACGGAATAAAAAGGTTGACTGGAAATGATTTTATCCAATTATTTTCGTAAGAGATGAAGATGTCTGAGGAAATGTCAACGTTGACATTGAAAAAAGATTAGAGTCTTTTGACTAATGGCCACCAAGATAAGGTTCTGATACCAGCTCGATCTGAGATAGTCAGGTGGAGAATCTGGAGCTGCGATGGATATTTCTGAAGGGAATGAACATTTCTGGGATATGTAACTCTACCTCAAAGGGCCAAGGGATAATGCGAGGAGTTGGCGAGTAGAATCGAGTGATATCATGACAGAAACTCGGCGGATTAAAAAGTTTGACTGGAGATGATTTTATCCAATTATTTTAATAAGAGATGAAGATGTTTGAAGAAATGTCAACGTTGACATTGAACAAAGATTAGAGTCTATGTCTTTTTACTCATGGCCACCAAGGTAAGGTCATGATGTCAGCTCGATCGGAGATAGTCGGATGGAGGATCTGGAGCTGAGAATTTCTGAAGTGGATAAACAGTTCTAGACTATGTAAATCTACCTCAAGGAGACTTAGGATAATACGAGGAGTTGGAGAGTAGAACCGAGCGATTTCATGGCAACAACTCGACGGACTAAAAAGGTTGACTGGAGATGAATTTATCCAAATATTTTCATAAGAGATGAAGATGTCTGGGGAAATGCCGTCTATGTCGTCTAGCGTTAGGGCAGCGATGATAATGGCATTCTCTGTACCAATCATTCTAAGGTATCTATGAAGGATAGTACCCTCGAATAATCACACAGATCCGGTAAACTAATCTATTTATGTAGGGAAATAGGCAAAAATAGCATTAAAATCGTAATCCAAGGTAACGCAGATCCGCTCGAAGATCACAGATGCTACCTGATGATTTTGGAGACATTCAAAGGGAGTGGCGGCCACAAGAGATCGAAACTCTTCCTCGCCATCGCCTTGGGGATTCCTCTTTCCTCTGTAGAGCCAACCGAGAAAGAGAAGATGAAACAAGATACGATCGGAGAAACGAAGAATCCGACATTAAACAGGGATAAACTGGAGAAGAACAAGAAGATGAGAGAAAAACCTCGTCCCACCTAGAAACCAGCCCAGAAACGCACAAGAAGAAAGTTTTCCTCAAGCAGGAAGAACAGCCTTCCCCTTCGTCCGTTCAAATTTCTACAAGCACCTCGCCTGAGTTATTGAAAGTTGTTTAATGCTCCTAATCGCTCCCGCTGTGCATCAGTTGTGCCTGAGTCAGGTGTGTGTGTCTAATAGAGAGAGAGAGAGAGAGAGACAGAGATGAAAGGAGGAGAGAAAGGGTGGGGATGGAGTACGTGCCGCATAAATGTTGAGCCACGGAAGCCCGGATTTTCGCACGTCTCGACACCCCAATTTTCTCAGTTTTCAGCTAATTATGGTTTTTCATAACGCGGAAATAAATAATTGAGCAATATGTCGTATCTATTTTATTAATATATTTATCAGGGACTTATTTAAATATTTGAGTCCCCCCTCCCCCATTCCAAATAAAAAAAACACCAAATAATGGGAAAATTATTAAAAGACAGATATTTGTGGGATTTTAGGGAGAGATGTAGATTTTCAGAGGGTTCTTGGAGAAAAAATCACAGACAAATTTCCTTCATATTTAATTGGAATATCATTAATGTTATGATTATTATGAAAATATTTGTGTCCCAGTCCCCATTTCAAATCAGATATAATAATCGGAAAATGTGGCATTTTGGGGAGAGATGCAGATTTTCGGGTGGATCTTAGAGAAAAATAGCCCAAATAAATGAGAATTTCATTTAGAAGTAGTATCATTGATATTGTAAAATATTATATTTTCTAGGGGAGCCAAGTGGAAGATACTCTTAACGGATCATTCAGAAGGTCGTTGTAGTCTTCTTCCCTTGGTTGCATGAGCAGGTACAAGGATAAGATTTTCTTCTCTTCTCCGGCGCCGGCGGCGAGTACGGGAGAGCTTCCCGCCGGAGAGGATCGCCGATCAGGGGAGCCAAATGGCGGCTCTCGCACAGCTCACATTCCCTCGCCTTCGTACTTGCTGCTCCACTGCGTCTCAGGCCCGCTCTGCGTCGGGGGACAACAGGGGGAAGACGCCTCCTGGCCGCCGGAAGCCGTCTCGTGGGGTGAAGGCTGAACCCCGCATCGTCTCCGACCATCCCCCGGAGGCTCCCTCCCACCGATTATCCTCAGCAGGTGGAGGCGAGGCCACAACCTACACCCGCCTTCCCCCGAAGGATGATTTCCTGCTGCCGAGTTTCGCCAATCCTGCCCGAATGGAGGTTACTAGCGAGATCAGGCTCAGTGACTTGGCTACAGCCGCTCCCTTAGTCGGCGAGGAAATTTTTTCGGAGAGGTGGGCGGGTGATGAGACCGGGGACGAGGAAGAGGAGGAGGATTTCGAAGAAAATATATTCCAAGGATTGGCGCAGTTGGAATTTGGGGGCGACGAGAGGGAATTGCTGGCATCTATTGGGCGCGACGAGGAATTGGATGTTTTCGAAGGGGAAGGGGAAGGGGAAGGGGAAGGTGAAGAGAAGGAGAAGGGTATCCCCGCGGTGATGAGGTGCTTCGACCGGGCGAAGATTTATGTAAAGGCGGGAGACGGTGGAAATGGCGTCGTGGCATTTCGAAGGGAGAAGTTTGTGCCGTATGGTGGTCCTTCAGGTGGTGACGGGGGAAGAGGAGGCAATGTGTACATAGAGGTCGACGGCTCCATGAATTCTTTGCTTCCATTCCGGAAGAACGTGCACTTCAGGGCGGGCAGAGGAGCTCATGGTCAGGGGAGAAAGCAGGCTGGAGCGAAGGGTGAGGATATGGTGGTGATGGTGGCACCGGGAACGGTGATAAGAGAGTCCAGGAAAGGTGGGATAGAAGGTGAAGTCCTGCTAGAATTGATGCACCCGGGACAGCGGGCTCTTCTCTTGCCTGGAGGACGAGGTGGAAGAGGAAATGCTTCTTTCAAAACAGGGACCCAAAGAGTGCCAAAAATCGCAGAGAATGGAGAAGAAGGCGCTGAAATGTAAGTGAGTCAGACCAATTATCTATCTCATTAAATTGCAGACAATATTTATGCTCATTGTAATCCAGAATATTACTCTTTCGTTTCAACTGTCGATAGTTGTGTTTGCTGGACTTATATGGCTTCTATCAATAGATAATTTTATGGTTGCCTAAGCAAACAATACTGTTTCAATGGATCCAAACTAATTTTGGGAGACCGCAAAAGTTTGTTCAATTTCTTCTGTGAAATTCAATTTAATTGCCAGGTTTCCGCAAAAGGACATTTTAGAGAAAAAAAACGCTTCTGGGGTTTGATACTTTTGGTGTGAGCTTAACGAAGCCTATTTTTTCTAGATGTCAACGATAACCATGGCCGCTGCCTATGAGGACAGACTGAGAGAGTCTACTCATCCTGAAAGATCTAGGGTCTCCTTTCTGTCAAGTTTTGTTATTTGACGCAAAATATGTACATTAGAAAGCTCTTCTTATCTCTTGTCAAGAAGCTTTTCAGAAATTTTTGAGGATATGGGATTTTTTTCCTGATGTTTGTTCTCTCTTCAACTAGCACATGTTTGATAGATTTTTAGTTTGACTAGAAGTAGGATTATGATATTATCACCATTGAAGTTTAGGTTTTTGTTTTAGTTTGATCAGGAGAACAAAATTTGGTGACATCTTGTTCTATTAGCATGATGAACTGAGCGTGATAAGGCCAAGAGATTAAAGAGAAAACAAAAGTCAAATGCTATCTACCTCTGGTAAAAAGGGAAAATCCTTTGCTCCAACACCAGATCATGATCCACTCCGGATTGAAGAAAACAAGCAGCCTGCGACCATGGTAAATGAAGACGTTGATGCATCTTACTCAGCTTTAGGGACCGAGGAGGCTATTTGACCCCTCCCCAATCCCCATGATCTCGGAATGTGGAATATTTTAGGGAACAGATGTTTTACCTGCCTTGCAAAAGGGGCTTGAGTTTTGGGTTATTCCAGGTTGGTAAATCACTTTAGAAAATTTCATATCATAAAAGACAGGGCACTCTCCCTATTAAAATCAACATCCTGCTACCCCTTCTATTGTCCGAAATAAATCTAGCTGATTTTATGTCTTGATTTTGTGTTATCGCAAGGAGAAGAGATACTTTTGTGAATCTATTGGGTTTTATGTTCTTTCTATTTTAGTTAAGAAAACAGTTTATTTCAACCGATCATTTTTTTTCATCAGGTGGCTGGATTTGGAGTTAAAGTTGGTTGCTGACGTAGGAATAGTGGGTGCACCAAATGCTGGGAAAAGCACTCTTCTGAGCGCAATAAGTGCTGCTCAGCCAACCATAGCAAACTACCCCTTCACAACATTACTACCAAATCTGGGGGTAGTTTCATTGGACTATGATGCAACCATGGTTGTAGCAGACTTGCCAGGATTGCTTGAAGGTGCACATCGGGGTTTTGGTTTAGGTCATGAGTTTCTGCGTCACACTGAAAGATGCTCAGTATTGGTTTGTAGATCTTTACCTCATACTCTTTCTCCACTATCTTTTCATTTAAAAGGATTCTTCTATCTTGTGTAAGAATTCGATTTAAATATGAACTCTTTCTAGATGAAAACTAACTCGTCCTTCCTTAGGGAGGCGATTAGTTACGACAAATACACATGAAGATCATTTGCGAGCAGTAAATCTGAATAAATTGGAACCAGAGTCTGTCCTAGACGTACATATGAACTTTGTTTTTTTCTTTTCTGGAAGAGGAAAAGAAAAATCTTTGGGAAAATTTATACTCAGCTTCATAAAGTCCCATGAACATCAATGTTTAGTTCGTTATCTGTTCACCCTTTGTGACGGCCAAAGGAATACGTCTCATTTTGCTTAGATCAGTGCAAAAGACATGACAGTGGAGAGATTCATGATTGTCTGGTTGAGCTTATGTTTATTACAATGAGGATTAGTTATGATTAAACAATAACTGGAGGACCAGACCACAACTCCCCCCCCCCCCAAAGTCAATTTCTTTCCCGCTCAACCAGTGGAGTGGCAGGGGAGAGTGGTCAGTGACTAGTAGCAGAGACAATGACACTGATCGATAATCTTCGTCTTAGGGTTTATATAACCATAGATGTGTTGGGGACCTCTTTCAGACGTCCTGTGCGAGGTTAGCTACTCCAGGAATGTTGGCACATGTTTCTTAGCTATTTTCAAGCAACTTTTCCAAAGATTCAGACCACATCCTCGTATTATTGTTATCACTAGATAATCTATTTAATATTCGTGTTCACATGTGTTTTTTGCATTTGTTGCGTGATTACTATCTGTGGTAGCCATCTGATTTTGTTGAATGAAGCCTTAAGAATTTATCTAAAAGTCGTACTGTTCTTGTTCTTTAGAACTGATTTTAAAAATAAAAATAAAATCTTTAAGGCGTAAGTGATTTTCAGATCCTATTCTGCTAAAAAGTATTAATAAACGGTGTTTTTTGATGGTTAGGTTCATGTGGTTGACGGTTCCGGCGAACAGCCCTTGTACGAGTTCGATGCAGTTCGTTTGGAGATTGAGCTATTCAGCCCAGAGCTCGCAGAGAAACCATACCTAGTCGCATTCAACAAGATGGACCTTCCTGAAGCATACGACCAGTGGGATTCATTCAAGCAATGCTTGGAAGACCGCGGCATCAATCCTTTTTGCATCAGCGCAGCCAACAGGCACGGAACTCAGGATGTTGTTTCCTCCATGTATCAACTTCTTCAGAGCGAGTGGAATGCAGAGAAGGAAGCCCAAGGTCATCTCCTCACACCTCTCATGGAAGTCAAAACGCTATCTCCTTTCCTTGGTCAAACTTAGGATATTGTTTCAGGGATTTGTGCCTGTTGCAGCAACTGGGTTGGCCTGATTTATTTGTCTGACTTATTCTTGTATAAGTCATCATGGAAAACACCCATTTGTGTTTCGTGATTCTTCCTGCTAATCGGTTTCATAATCGCCCCGTTGACTTTCCCGACATGAATGCCCTCTTTGCCACTTGCAGACTGGACGGCTCCTCTGAATTTGAACCATGTGGCGGAGACGATTCAGAAACAGCGGAGCGCTTCGATGAGCGAGTTCGACATCTACCGCGACAACAATTCTAGCACTTGGTTCGTTGTTGGAGCAGGAATTCAACGCTTTGTCCAGATGACTAACTGGCAGTAAGTTCTTGATTTTCTCCTGAGAGTCAGCAATCCCGTCTTCTTCACCTATTTCGCAGGGCACAGTTCATCACTTTCTTACAGACCCAGTTCTTTCCTTTATTCGCAAAATTTTCGCCTTTTGTAGCTTTTGTTTCATCACATGACTCAGTCCGAGTGAACCCCATCGAGTATGGTAAAAAGTCTCTCTCTCTCTCTCTCTCTCTCTCTCTCTCTCGCTCTCTTCCCTTTCTCTCTCTTGCCTCGTATGAAACTTGCCCCCTCGGCCCCCAATAGAAACCCAATCTCTCTCTCTCTCTCTCTCTCGGTTTAATTTTTGGTCATTTCAACAACAATAACAACATCAGCTATTCCTATTATGGTAAAATGTATTGCTAACCGTCCTGTCTGGCTGTTACCTGGTAAGCACATCAGCTTCTCTCTCTCTCTCTCTCTCTCTCTCTAAGAAAATGTTTTCTCTTGGTCGCAGCATCATCTTCTGAATCAGAGTGAACCGTCGGCTTAGTTTCAGCATTTCTCATGAAATCCCTTCCTGTACCAGGTACTCGGAGTCTCTACGAAGATTTCAGCACGCTCTGGAGGCATGCGGGGTGAACAAAACCCTCATAAAGAAAGGGGTGAAAGAGGGCGACACCGTGGTCGTCGGCGAGGTGGACGCTCTTCCTCGTATCCCCTCCTCGTCGTTGACTTAGACATATTATTCATGGAGATAATATCTTATCTTATCCTTGGGCTCTCGAATGTGATGAACTATTTTATATGCTCCTCCTCAGATGGAGATGATCTGGCACGACTCTCCTAAGGCGTTCGGTCTCTCCAAGCAAAAGAAGACGGTGGCTGAGGAATGATCTGGGCTACGATGGGAGAAGGTTTTCTCTTCCTCTCTCTAACCCTGGATCTGTGTCGAGTTGCTGACATCTCTCTCTCTCTCTCTCTCTCTCTCTCTATCTCTCTCTACAAACTGCCATGGTTGGGATTTGGAAGTATCCTCCACTTCGTTGGAAATGTTTGCGGAAGAGTTAAGCTTCAGAGACTGTTATTGGCTTTAGAGAGAGAGAGAGAGAGAGAGAGAGAGAAAGATAGTTGAAGATTAGTGTTCAAGACACTGTTCGCGGCTTCTGTGCACACCCAAGACGACTGCTGTACGCCTTTATGTGCGTATAAATAAACTATAGACTGATAGCGAGAGAGAGAGAGAGAGAGGCGTTTAGCATGTGATGTTTCTTTCTCTCACTAGGGCGGAAGACTGAGAGTGAGGAAGACGAGAGTGACTGCGTTAATGGAGGCACTGCTGCTGCGGCGACCGGGCCTGCCGGGAAGCAGACGGATGGATGGGTGAGAGACTGCTCATAAGCACACGTAAAGCCCTCTGCGCTTGTGGGAGTCTGTACCCATCGGCCCCATCATGCACGCCATAAGAACAGAGAGAGAGAGAGAGAGAGAGAGAGAGAGAGATGACAGAGATTGCTGGAGATGGGCTCCATTGATGGATCAGAACGGAGGGTAACCAAGGGTGAGTAAATCAGCCATGGAGGAGATGGGTGGAGAGTAAAAGCTCTCGAGGCTGGCGGTGAGCTCCCACGAGCTTACTTCCCACATGGGATCCAAACTTGCACCGGCGAGAGGACCCATCGGACACATGCCGGCGGTCGGCGAGGCGGAGGCGGAACTCCCGCTGCTCGCCGTGCGGCGGCGGCGCTGGTTCGCCGGCGACGTTCTGCCGTTCTCACCAAGGAGGCAAGCGTCGGGGATTATGCTGCTTAGGTAGCCGGACTTCCGGTCGCCGGAGAGCAGGAAGAAGCCGTCGCCGTTGCCGTCGTCGTCGTCGGGCGGCGCCGCCGGCTCGAACAGGACTTTGGAGCAGGTGGCGCAGTTGGGCTGGCAGACGAAGTGAGGCAGCTCGCAGTGCGCTTGCGGCCCGGGGAGGAGGAGCGGGGGCGGGGGGGGCGGCGGCGCCACCGGCTGAGGGTTGCCGGAGTAGACGAAGTTGGTGCGAGCTTGGGTTCCTTTCATGGCGAGGGCGGCGCGGTCATAGGCGGCGGCGGCTTCTTGGGCCGTGTCGAAGGTACCCAGCCAGTGCCTCTCCTTGGTGGACGGGTCCCTTATCTCCGCCGCGTACCTCCCCCATGGCCGCCGCCTCACGCCCAGGAACCTCCCCAGCTCCGCCGCCGGCTTCCTCCTCCCTCTCCGCTCCACGGCGGAGCTCGGCGGCGGAATCGCCGCCAGAGAGAATCCCCCCACCGGAGACTCTTCTGCCCTCGTCGACGCTGTGGACATTGTTGCAGAGAGAGAGAGCTTGGCGCATGTCCAAGGGATGCCGGGGCTCATGGGGGGCATTTAAGGGGCCGTCTCTGATCATAGGAGGAGAGGGAGAGCATGTCCACGATGTGATGTCTGATCACTCTCTCTTTAAACATACCCCAGTATGTACGGGACATTCATCACTCTCTCTCTCTCTTTGTCGCTGAACCTGGATGGATTGGCTCATCTTCTTTTCGAATGGGGGCAGGTGGGCGATACAGGCAGGCGAAGACAAGCAGAGAACTCCGGCTGAGCGACGACTCACGTGAATCGTGGGCCCCACGGGCCATCCCCTTCGCTCTCCTTTGACCTTCAGTCTCTCTCTCTCTCGCTACACCCGTCGGGGCTGTAAGTGCGCATGGGGCCGACGTGGACGCCGTCAAATCGGAGTCCGCTCACCTCCAGTGAGAACACCCAAAAAGAAAGAAAGGTAGCTGATTCCAGAGAGAAAAAGGAGACGATTCGCCTCCCCCCAACAGGTGTCTGATTGAACGCCTCCCTTCCGAGACCCAACCTTCCTCCTCCATCGTCCACGTTTTCTTCTCGGCCTCTCTCTCTCTCTCTCTCCTCTCTCTCCGTCCGCTTCGGTTCTCCTGCGAAAATCTCGGATTTTTCTGTCCTCTCCAAAAAGCTCCCCCGGGTTTTATGGGCGTCTTTGACTTCCTCTTCCGACACACCGAGAAACAGAGAGAACCAGAGAGAGAGATAGAGATAGTGAGAGATAACTCTAGAGAGAGAAAGAGTTAGTTTTTTAAATTGCCCACCAATACCTTCTCTCCCAGTTCGTGAATGGCGGTAGGCCTGCTCCTAGCGATATCTCTTCGTATCTCACACGTCCGCCCTGTCTGACATGAGAAGACAGAGAGAGAGAGAGAGAGAGTCCCCTGACCTGCAGAGGCTTCTTCTTCTTATTCTTCTAGTTTATTGTGTTAGGTGCAATGGATTTGTGTCCTGGGCTGGAGGGTTTGGAAAAAATTGAATTGATCTCAGAGGGGGTATCTGAAAGTGTGCGGCCCCCGAGCGTTCAGAATGGCCACGATTTCCCGGACACGCATTCCGTACGCGTCCTTCTCTGGTCTGATTGCCCCCCCTGCACCACGCCGCCGTTTTGGCGATGGAGTGGAGGGCGACCACGTGTCTCTCATCAATCCTCGGCCGTCCATTCTACTGATCTGGACTCCACGTGGCGCAGCGTACGACCCGTACGTGTTTCCATATTGTACGATTAGCGGTGCATTCCGCCTCGTACGTGAGCCATATGCAGCTGAGGACAAAAGCCGCACGTGTCAGAGGTCCTAGGATAGGGGCCAGCGGAATGTGGCAGGCACGAGGACCTCGAAGCAAGTGTTCCCCCGCACGAGTGCAGCCTTTGTTGGTCATAGGTGCTGTATGGTCCGGCCCATTTATGATATGATATGGGCTGGGCCGCTGGCCAGTACCCATTCTTGCTCAAGCCAAAAAATTGACGGGCCAGGCCTGCTGCAAGGACACTTTTAATACTAAAGCCTCGTCCCCGGCCCATTACCGACGGTAGAAATTGCAAAGGCCTGACAAAAAAAATTCCCAATATATAATTAATAAATAAATGGAAAATTAAAGGAAGCCACACTTTTGACCTGACATAAATGAATGAAATCACGGTGCGACATGGGAAATTCCTAAATTGCCCAAGCACCCATTTTTTTAAAAAATAATTTGATTATGATGAATTATTTGAGGAAAAATAAGAAAAGCAGCACTTTTTATGTATCCTGTGTGTGGAAGAAGAAGAAGAAGAAGAAGAAGAAGAAGATGTCGTCGTCAAGAAGCGATGAACACGATCGGATGGAAAGTGGTAGAGGAATGGAGTTGGCAATGGGAAGAAGGCCGCTTGCACCGCGTCCGGGCAGTGGGTCTCGTTAGATCGACGATCTCTGCATCAAGCCGTTCTGTTCATTCATTCCAGGGGTATTCAGGGGACGATTGGGTGTGGTCAACTGGGGCCACCTGATGCGTGGGTCCTCCAGAGATGAGGTTATCTCTTTCAAAAATGGACGCCCGCGGCCATTCCTTCTCCTTTCACTCTGAGAGCCCCTTCTCTGCTCCGCTCGCGCGAGCTCTGGCTCCGTCATGGAGCGCCTCTTCGCGAGCTGCAGCCCCGCCTCCTTTCTCAAACCCTTGAGCATCCCCCAGCGCAGAGCGGAGATGCCCGGGCCCTTCGCTTGGCGTCTTCTCCCGCCGCTTAGAGCTCCCAAGATAGTCTGCATGGCGGTAATTCCTCACGTCCGTTCGCTTGAAATCGTCCCATCGCCAACTATCGTGCTTGTTTGTTGTTTCAAGGGTCCATTTGTCTTCCTGTGCTCCGTCGTCGAACCCCATTTGTTTTTCCACTTTCAATTATGAATTCCTCTTTTACACGAGTAATAACATTTGGCGACCTATGCAAATTTCTATCCTAATTTCCTGTAACTATATGACCTAGAATCGTTTGTACTCTATGCGGGGATTCCCCCCATGGACTTCTGAAGATGCGTCTGACTTTCCGTATTTGGATCTGTTTTCTGAATGTAGGAACCTTACCTGATCACGAAACTGGAATCTGCCGAGAGAACATGGAAAGAACTATCGGTATGCTTGTGTTACATGTATGTTGCCCACTATGCGTATCTATTACTGAAGACCAGTTCATCATGTCATCTTGAAGAAAATTCATTGCTTTGACGATAGATTGCTCTTTTGTTTCGTTTAAAGTTCTACATATTATCCATGAATCCATATGGATCGTCCTGAAAATTTTATTTATGTAAATCCGACATTCCGTTGATTTCCTCAGACTTTTCTTGGGAACTTACAGGTGTTATATTGGATGGAATACTTGCGTGTGGACCAAGTATTATTGGCCAGAACTATGTTTCTCTTTCTTTGATATAAATATGGGATTCGTGTATTTCATTTTTGCTGGCCATCCCAAAGTTGATCCTACATTTTTTATCAATAATATTATCAATACTGCGACGATAATGATATCATGGGCCCAAATCTCGCATTCTTCCTCATATGGGCTCTTTCAAGCTCCGCACTGCTCCCATGGAGTGAAGAAGGGAGTTAAGGACGGAATTAGCAAGTTCAAGTAAACGTGCAATATGTGGTCTTTGGTGTGTCCATAGAGTAAGAAAAAAATTAATGGGGATACTAGGAAGAAATATAGTGCTGATTGGTTGATACCCCGAAGCCATCCAGGGAATTCCTTTGTTTTAATTTTTTTTTTTTGAAATCCTGTGTTCCTCCTAATGGTCATATATTTGATGACGAGAATTGAAGGCTCTGCCTACCAGCTCGTGCCAATGTGATTTTTAGAAAAGGAAATTGCTTCTTCGATTATGCTATTCAAGATTGATGGACGTCCTCTTCCTTAGGATGGGGCGGCAACGAATAAAGAAAAAGGGTTCTGGCCTTTTTGATAGATTCATTTTTTCCAAGATGAGTTGTGGTTTATCGAGAGAAACGAAATTTGGCCACAATCAGTGGCTTATATGAGAGTTGACACCTCATATGCAAGATATCAGTGGCTTTTATGTGATAGCTGCAATTTGAACATATCCATCTGATAGCGCTATGACTATATTTGGGTTGCCTGGTTGACGCATGGCATCTACAGAAACATGCTTTCTTCAAGATTTTTTGGATACTCGAATTAGGATTCTATCAATGAACGTTTTGTTCAAAAGCATACAATTCTTTTGTTGTGTGAAATCTACTATCTTTTCTACCCATTGGGCCATAACCCAAAATCAGGCTTAGGTTGGGCTGTCTTGACACAATCTCATTCAGTACAAAGCAAGATAAACTCGATTTAGACAACTGGAAGCAAAGAGGCCTATAATCATTTGTGATCCCACAAGAAAACGAACAAAGTGAAACTTTGAAGCAGAGTCATAAAGCTTGTAACTGCAGATCAAGGGGTGACCAGTTTGAACTCTTTTGACCAAAAAATGGCGATTTTGTCCATTTTACGGGAAGAAGTTGCAAAAGTCATGCAATATTGTGATTATAATCCTAAAGAAGGCAGTTTGCATTATTTCCTTTGTTTTACTATTTATGAACACACTTTACACTCAGTTCATTTCAATTCCTATGATTAGATGGCAACTTCATGTATCTTCTGTACTTAGATCTCACTCAGTTGTTGCTTAACTTTTTTTGGTGAGATTTTTTTTTCTGCCTGTTCTGTAGTGAAACCACTTCTGATTCTTTCCCTTTCCAGGTTAAGCTAGCAGATCCTGATGTGATATCAAACAATAGCGAGTACCAAAAACTTGCACAATCTATGTCTGAGCTTGACGAGGTAATATGTGACCTTTTTTCTGAATAATTTTCATTCTGGAAGTTTCAACAGTTCTCACTCTGGATGTAATTTATGTATTCTGAAACAGGTAGTATCAACATTTCGGAAATTCAAAGAATGTGAGAAACAGATTGAAGATGCGAAAGGTGCAGCGCTGCTATTTTGTATTTGATGATCAGGAGATGATGATGCACACATTGACACATGCTTTGTGTCATAATTGTAGTGCTGGAAAAAGAGGATGGAGGTGACCCAGATATGGCCGAGATGATAGCTTTGGAAGTCGAAACATTAACTAACCAACTCAAAGAGCTTGAAGATAAGCTGAAGGTGTTGCAGGAGTTTCATTTGTTAATCTCTTTGCATTTTTTATCATTAATTCACATATGATCCACTCTCTGAAATAATCAGATCTTCATCTTGGTAATTTCTGACTACATATAATATTTTATTATCTATCACTTATGGCCCTGTCCTCTACATTGAGGAGTTTCTTAGGCTTGGCCTTGTCTAACTTATGACCCTGTCCTCTACATTGGGGCCAGACCATCGTCTGCAAATTATCTGCATTGGATCATTGGAAGTACGAAACAGAACATGTAATCAGTGTTTGATTCGCATTGTTAGCACATTGGGCGAGTGCATACCTCGAGATGTGAGAATTGGACCAGTTTTAGACTAAATACGGTTGGAATTTTTTTTACATCTTCCTTTTGCACAAAGATATGCATGCTGCATATTCCCGCAGTCACATTAAGAGAGATATAATATAAGTCATATTTTTTTGAAAATATATTTCTGCGTCTCTTCCTGTCCTTTCACTTGCCCATTTTAGAACGTGTCACAATGCTGTTTGTCAACTAGGATATAACCTCTTTAGACGACCGTCTGGTCCAACCTTAATATAATCTTGCATATTTTCCTTCAATCCCATGAATAGTTTCTTGCTTCTGTCAAGCTTCATTTATCTAGCATTCCTATTGATGTTCTTTACCTTTAAGTAACAGGTATTACTCATTCCAAGTGATCCTCTTGATGCGCGGAATATACTGCTCGAAGGTAGATATTTTTTCTGGTGAAAACTGGTTTTTTCTCTATCTAATTTGTAATTCGTGCCTGTAAACTATGTTCTATATTCCTTGGAGCCTTTTTTAAAAGAAAGTGACGAATATCATCGTTTTTTGTTAAAAGCTTTCGTCATTTCTTGTCGATGATAGTTTCAGCCGTTATATTCCATTTATCTTTCCGAAAGTTTCTGACGTGACCTCTTTGTTCTTTTCTTGTGTTATTATTATGTCTGCAATTTGTTATTTCAAATTCTATCATCAATTTCGGCAGACACTGTAAAAAGTGGTTTCAACGCTATGATTGCTTTTTATATAACATGTACTTAAGTGCTGGCATCGCTCGTCTTTGTATTTTATTTAGTATGCTACTGTCCAGTGTGTAATTATTAGGACTGGCTAGGTTAAAATTATTCCTGTGATTTCAGATTCTAACCCTATGAAATATTAATCTTCGACCTGATAAGAGGACTCATTGATAATTAATCTGTGATATCTTGATATCCCTTATTTTTTATTAGCTGTTATTCATTTTGGTATAAACAAAGTATGATTTCTGTGCGAAAAATAACAGTAGTTTAATTTATCGACATGGCTGTTCAAATAGTAAAGACCTTCTTAGGCTGTGGGCAATGCACATGATTTTTTTCCTCTCAAAAAAAGAAGAATATAGCTTCTTCAGCTTAAAGGATGCTTCTTGTTGTTGTCTACTACTTTGTACTTCTATTATTAGTCTTTTGTGAATGATATTCGTTAGCAGTTATGGCTCACTTTTGCCTTACACTTGACACAACTTTTTACTTCTTTTCCATGGTTTTCTTATGCTGCAATTTTTTTTTTCATTTGTTTTTCAATATCCTGACCTTTTTTCTGCACGTTGGGAAACTAAATTGATGATTTTGCTTTGGCAGTACGGGCTGGCACGGGTGGTGACGAGGCAGGAATATGGGCAGGCGATCTCGTAGGTGACTTCGATTCTGTCCTTTTTAATAATCAAAATGGATGACATTCATGGGTTTTGGAGTCAGCGTTCAGATGTTGTGATATGTTGAAGTTTTTACGTAGTTATTGCAAAGAAGGAAATAGAAATTGGTGGCGGTGGAGAGATCTTTTGCTTGTCAATCTAAGCCATGGTTCATAACTGGCATATAATGTCTTCTTATGACTTCGCCAGTTGATTACAAGAAAGGAGAGACAAACTAGCACTTAATGCGAGAGGCTTTCCCGTTGGTTCACTTTGTAGGTGACCACATCTTATTTCTTCCCTCATTCCACATGGAGGAAGCCATCAGGATCCACATCTTCGCAGTTCCATTCCTTCTTTTTTTTAAAAAAATCTGAATTCGTCCTCCATTATACTTACATTCCAAAAAACATTCCTCCATTTATTTCCATATAAAAAGTTGTCGCCCTAAAACGAAATTAAGCGTAAATCTTAGAAAAAAGATCTTTATCATGGGATACAAAAGGATCAAACAAGCTAGCTACCAAAAAATTCATTAGTGATGGTCTTTTTGCCATTATTCTATTTTGCTTTTGCTAGGCTTTAAAGGTATATATATTTTTGATCTTGTTTTGCAATAGTTTGGCATTACTTGGTTAATCGCGTACAGTCTTCATAGCCTTTTATGATTAGTTTTCTCCTTGGCGACTCACCATCAACTCATTTATTTATTTTTGGTTATTCACCTGAGCAATTATGATATTGAAGCAGATTCAGGGCAAGTGGTCAGATCTGTTATGACTTAGCGATTAAGTGGAAGACCCTTTTTTTCTATTCCAACTACTAATATGATTTTGGTTTTCCTTTGTAGGTTCGCATGTACCAGAGATATTGTGAGCTTAATTCTTGGAGGTTCACGACAGTCTCTTGCTCAGATGTATTCAACAAGCCTTTCCTTGCTCATTTTGACTCGGTGTTGTATTTACTTGACTAAACACGTTTAGTTCAGGCTGAAAAAGGTGGATTCAAGACGTATGTCATGGAAGTGAAGGGAAGGAGCGTTTACAGCAAACTGAAGTATGAATCTGGTGTTCATCGTGTGCAACGTGTTCCTCAGACTGAAGCACAGGGTCGTGTACACACTTCAACAGCGACTGTTGCCATCATGCCTGAGGTAAGTTTTCCACATTACATTTCATTCTTCAGCTGTCACTCTGACTATTAGAGTTTGTACCTCCAACTGTCCAACTACAGTGGGTGAACTCTTTGTGAAGCACATAAAATTCTTAGCTAGTCGATTTTAATCTAGTTTATGGTCGAAGCATATATCCCAGATTGTTTTTCGAGCTCTTGCTCCATGATTTCCTTTCTGTGTCACTGGCAGCCTCTTGGGGGGGGGAGGGGGGGGGGACAGATATTTGGCGTTCCTCTAATGATATCATGGTCCAGCAGTACGTTCTTCGTTATGGATTCTTTCATTTCTTTTGGTTTTGGTTTAATATCATGTTTGCTTGGCTCCGTCATTTTTTGCCATCCCATTGGACGACCAGAGTTACATGCTTTAGCAGAAGATAAATTCCCAATTCGAAAAATCAGTCTTTTAATGATCTGCCTCCACCATAAAATATTTTATTTTTATCAATTTTATGGTGTCAGCCAACAGTTTGGAATCCTGTTGCTGGTTAAGTTGAGATTTTCCATTGAAGAAAACTACAATTGATCTCCTCTGTGTCCTTAGTCTCTTATTTTGGAAGAACTGAGGAACTTATTAAGATGATTAATGATGAAAGAAAAGGCAAAATAATTATAATAGTAGGCGTGGATTTTTTTCGCCTCCTCACTGATAATCTTTATCCCCACTTCACTTTATTATTTTTATGGTAGATGTTTAATGAACGCTGCTATACTGATGAAAATAAAGCATAAAAACACAGTGGAAATTAAATTACAAGAGGTCAAGAAGTCTCTGGAGTAGCCCCAGTAGAAGAACAACATGCTGTTGCCTCACTGTTGGAACGAGATCTATCCTCACATTAGCATCAGTTGCACAACGGTGTAATGACTGTTGCTACCATGATTCTCTGATTATGATATGCTCGAAGATTAGCCGAATTTCAGAGATTTTAAGATAATTCTTACGGGTTAAAAAACAACTTGGTACCATTCGAGTCCAAAAATTTCCCACCTTTTCAGCTCAACGTGTTTCTGGGTCAGGCAACCTTGCTGCCTGCTTGCAATTAATTCAGATTTGAGAGATACATGCATACCATATTGTAGAGAAATTTCCACCGAGCTCAAATCGTAGAAATAAGCAAATCTACTAAGAGGATGAATGGATCTTGGTGCATCCACTTTCTACTTTCCCATCGAATATGGTCTTTAATGGACTGCCTAGTAAAACTGGTGTCTAAAAGCGATATAATGGTATATTTGGGCCACTAATACCTTCTCGTGCCTTTCCAAGGACTAGTGGTGTAGATCTTGTTCACTTAGAACACATTCTCTAGCTCAAGTGCACGAGAGCTTCCCATATTTAAGCATGTGTTCCGTGCAGATTATGCGATGGATTTCTCTGAAGTTATGACGCCCTTCATTTCAGGCAGATGAAGTCGAAGTAGTGATTGATCCCAAAGATATTGAGCTTACTACAGCAAGGTCTGGTGGTGCAGGAGGTTTGAACTAGAACGCAAACCTGAAGGCCCATAGCATAATCTGCAGGACCCAGTTCAGATATCCTTGAGGCTGTTCCTTCCAGTGGGATCATATCCACTAATTTTTGTCCCATGCAGGGCAAAATGTCAACAAGGTCGAGACGGCGGTTGACCTTTTCCATAAACCATCCGGGATCCGTATCTTCTGCACTGAGGAGAGAACCCAACTGAAAAACAAAAATCGCGCGTTTCAGCTGCTGCGTGCAAAACTGTGAGTCTTCTTCATCTGGAATCCCATCGTTGTTAGAATCCAGTCCCTTGAAATTCTCTTTCCTTCATTCGTTGATTTTCTCCGAAGATGAGTACTACTTCTGCTCAAACACTCGACCCAATCATTGATGATTTTCTCATAGACTCTGGGCATGGATTCCTTGGGCATTTCTTTTGAGCATGATATGACCCATTTTTATGTAAGAACAAGGAACAAAAGTCCATTTTTTGTTGTTTTCTACCATTGAAGGGTTGAAGTTTCCAAAAATGGAAGATACAGATCCTGAATTTAAATTATTTTTGGAAACATATCAATTGACAGAACCCTTGATAAAAGCAAGAGATGCTGTGTATGAATCACTCACATATTCTTCTGAATTATATGTGACGTGTGATTTTCTCTAAAGATTCTCTGATGCACACTTGACTGCAGATACGAGATTAAAGTGAGGGAGCAGCAGGAATCCATAAGAAATGAGAGGAAGTCCCAGGTATGAGAGAAATCGGGCTCCATGTGAAGTAGATTCTATCCTGTCTCTGCATGCCGTACAACATCCCAGCCTGTTCTTTATTTATTCTTCCTCATCTATGTTGTTTGTTCTTACCGAATGATTTCTTTCACAGCAGCCGGCCCTTCTTGATTGCCTCAACAGCCGAATCAGTTCTTATTAATTCCTTCCTAAAAATTTCCAGAATGGAAGAATGCATGAGACTATATCTTTTTTCTTTTAATTTGTGCGTAATAATAAATCGGGGAATTTCTCTCTGGATGCATTTCCTAATTACCCAGAAATATATTAAACTGAGATTGAAATCTTGAGAAATAGGATTGTGAAGCAAGCTACTCGGATGAAATTGGCAGGTGGGCACTGGCGCTCGTTCCGAAAAGATTAGAACATATAATTACAAGGTGAAGCTTGCCCTCTTGTTTTTTTTATGATTTTTTTTTTATTTCTTCTTCACCGGAAATGGAAAAATAGTTAATTTATGTAATGTGGGACTGACCAATTTTATAGGACAACCGAGTAACTGACCACCGTCTGAAGATGAACTTTGAGCTCACGTCGTTCCTCTCTGGTGATATCGACGCGGCTATTCAGGTCAGTCAGCTCCTCCTGTTCTCACCATTCCTTCTCTCACCTCAATCGGCCCGGTATTGATGGGTGGACTTTCTGCAGTCTTGTTCGGCGTTGGAGCAGAAGGAGCTCCTGGAGGAACTTGCCGAGTCCGTCAGCTCATCGGCTCCCTAACCTGGGAGCAAAGTCAACCCCAATACGGATATATTTAAGGGATAATGGGAGGCAACATGATCAGGAAATCCAGTCAACGGGAGAAACCCCCCCCCCCTCTCGCTGACGTGAGCTCCGTGAGTGAGAGTGGCGCCGGAAAGGCGACTCCCCTTTTGTTTTGTCGATCCCATTTTTCTCTTTTTTTTGGTTCAATCATTCTTAATGGCCTCGTCTCAAGATTCTTTCCTTTTCATCAGTGGATTTGACCATGTTCGAGGTCTCCGGGTCTCTCTCTCCCTCTCTCCCTCTCTCTCTCTCTCTACATATGTTGCCAGGATGCCCATAGTCCACAGCTTTACTGGGCATGCATATGAGAGAGAGAGATGAAGCATGATTGATCCCCGTCTTCTTGCCCAAAGATCTGACTGATTGTTCCTCATGAAGGATCTTCAATATTCTCTCTCTCTCTCTCTCTCTCTACATATGTTGCCATGTTGCGAAGATTCCTATAATCCACATGCATGTTAGCGTTGACGCCAGCCATACCTTATTCTTCCATCTTGGGCCCGACAAAGCTGTGGACTATGGGCATCTTGGCAACATATGTAGAGAGAGAGAGAGAGAGAGATGAAGCATGATTGATCCCCTACCTTGAGTCGAAGGTCAGCTGAAAGGGTTACCTCGCAGGAAAGCTTTTCACAGAAAATCACTATACAGAGTACAGAGATGAATGGCGGGGGGAAGAAAGATTCAGCGATGGACCGAGATTTACAGTAGCAAAAACTGCATTCGAAGCTATCCATCGCGGCCAACCAGAGGAGGTCTTATTCTCTACTCCATCTTTTTCTCCCTATCCTCCTGCTTCTGCCGAGATGGGGAATGGAGGCGGGGGAAGAACCCTAATTAATTACACATAGTAGATCATACCTACTTCGATCAGGCTGATGTGAGGGATGTTCAAGGCGACGGCGGGGCCCCGGCAGTTCTTCCGGAGGAAGGAGTAGGCGACGTCGATGGCGAACTTCTTGAGGAAGGACGAGTTCTTCCTGGCCTTGATGTAGGAATGCCCCATCACGTACGCGACTCCGGCGTGCTTGGCCTCCACGAGAGCCGCGAGCTCCTCCTTCACCAGAGGATCCTGGTACGGCGCCTCCGGGATCTCGAAGCGAACTCTCCTCCTCGTCTTCAAGCTCGGAGACTCCTGCTCGTAGAGCATCTGCAGGTTCTGTAGGGTTTCCGATTTGCTGCTCCGGACAATATTACCAGGCGCCGCCACATCGGCATCGTTCCGCAAGATCAACCTCGATCCGATCCCGTCAGAGGTCCTGATGACGGCCATTCTTCCGTCGAGGGAGGAATCGACGCTGCCGGAGGGGGAGGAATCCGCCTCCATCTGGATGAACTCGGCGATGCTCAGGATCAAATGGTTCTCGAAGTTCTCCTCGTCCTTGGGGACGTCCTTGTAGCCGTATCTCACGATGCAGCGGTACATCCGGTAAGCTCGGGGCCCGATCCGGCCGATGAGGTACCTCTCCTCAGGCGGGACGTGAGGAACGGGGACCGACTTGACGCAGACGAAGACGAGCACCTGGTGGAAGGCTGGAAGGTTGGTGACGAAGTGGGAGAAGATGGCGGGGACGCCGGTGACGAGCTCGGTGTAGATCAGGCCGATCCCTGGGACGCGGACGATGCCGAGGCTGGGGCCAAGGTTGAGGATCCACTTCATGGAGACCTTGTTCTGCAGATCGAAGAGGTACTTCCTGCGGGTGCCGTAGTGCCAGACGTACATGACGAACATGAAGATGAAGGAGAGCGCCACCGGCACCCATCCTCCCTGCGGGAACTTCATGATCGACGAGGAGAGGTACAGGCCCTCGATCGCCCCGAAGAAGACGAGGAAGGAGAGAGAGAACCAGGCGCTCTTCTGCCACACGAAGAGGATGACCAGCGCCATCAGCCACGTCGTCACGAACATCACGAATATGCACGCGATCCCTGCACAGAATCAAGGCAAACCGAGTTCCAGAAGAAGAAGAAGAAGAAGATGGAGACGGAAACCTCCGGGGGGAAGGAGAAGGAAGGAGGCGAGATCTTACCATAAGCGTGGCCGATGATGGTGGTGTCGCGGAAGCCGACGGTGACGGCCAGGCAGAGGACCATCAGAATCCAGTTTATCTCCGGGATGTAGATCTGGCCATAGATCCACCTCGAGGTGTGGACGACCTTGACGCGAGGAAAGCAGCCCAGGGAATGGCACTGCTTCACGATGGAGAAAGTGGCCGATATCACGGCCTGACTGGCGACGATGGCCGCCAGGGTCGCCACCAAGAAAACCGGCCAGAACACAGCCTCTGCAAGGGAAATCAATTCCGGCGAAATTCCTGTGAATCACGTCCCCGCGAGCGATCATTTACGCAGAAAGAAGCCAAAAGAAGAAGAATCAGACGATCTTACTGGGGATTGATTCGTAGAAGACGGTGGGGACATCGGCGAAGTTCTTGGAAAGATATGCTGCCTGGCCCATGTACTGCAGAACCAAGCAGGGGTAGATAACCCCAACAAATGCCAACTGCGAGACAAGACAGCATCGATCATGAACAGAGGATCTCGAATGAAAAACTTGAGAAAAATTCCAAGTTAGCACTGTTTTTTTTTCTATCTGATCACTCGGCATCCTGGGGATCTGCTCTCATCCCATAACTGAGAAGAACAGTCGTTTCATTCCCATCACAGACCACGGATTCTGAAGAACTACTGCTGCATTTCTCTCCATCTGTTCATAGCTCTGATATGGGTTTCATAAATGAAACTTTGGGTTGAACGTAATGTGTCTATGGTAAGAATGAAATTATTTCTATGATTTCTATGCGGATCAACAAGAAGAGCATGGTGAAAGCGCAGTCTGCACATACCCTGATGGACATACTGGTGAAGTGCCCAAGGTCAGCGAACATTGCCTCAGTACCTGTGGATCCAAGGATATGCGGACATCAGCAGCGGTGTTGACTTACAGGAAATGAAATGGCAGGGAACAGGAGTTACCAGTAATGGAAAGGAGCACGCCGCCAAGGGAAATCCAGCCGGCTACTCCAGTTTTTCTGAAGAACTTGAAGATGTAGTAGGGGTTGAGGGCACGATAGACACCGGGGTTCCAGTGGATGATATTGTATAAGCCAATGGCGCCAATGCTCAAGAGCCATAGAATAACAATGGGTGCAAACAGGAACGCAACCTTCTGGGTACCCCAGTGCTGCAGAGCGAAGAGGCCAACCAACACAATGCAGGAGATGACCACCACCGCACCTATAAATGGAAAAAGCTCACTGTTCAACACAAAACAGTTACCCTAAGGTAGATGTCCAGAACAAAGATTGCTGAAGTCAGACTGTTTTTCATTCACAAAAAAACATGGGTTAGCTATCAGGTGATAATTATGCTCTCTTTATACTGCCCAACAGCTCTCCCCATTTAAAACACTTGATCTCATGTTTCACAATAAAACAATTCATGTCAGCAGGAGATGACTACCACCGCACCTATAAATGGAAAAAGCTCACTGCTCAGCACAAAGAGGGCTGAAGTCAAACTGTTTTTTCTTTGTCTTTTTTATTTTTTATTTTGTTTATTTTTTATTTATCAATGGGTTAGCTATCAGTTGATGATTATGCACTGTTTCAAATGCTTGGTCTCATGTTTGACAATAAAACATTTCCTAGAAGCGTTATTGGCACCCAAATGTCGTCCTCCAGGGGCTTGGATTTTTTATTTTTATTTTTAATTGACATCTGTACCAATGTCTCACATCATGTTTCATCTTCCCCAGAAAGAAAATTCTCTCAACAAACCAACATTGCTTTGAATTACTAACAAAAAATAATAATAATAATAGTATCGTGTAAATTTCGACATGGGATTTTGTGATATCATACAGGCATTAATATTGTGATGCAGCTGCCAATCCACCTGCCTTAGTTCCAATGTTTGCCGAGGTAATATTGTGCTCGGGGGAGTTGACTCGAGGGGGCTCAAGAACAACGAACTGGGACTTGCTTGGTTAGCTGAAGGATACTAATGTCGACAGAGAAACATCATTAATGGGGCAGGCGATGATCCTTGTCACAGCCTCCAATCATTCCAGGTGTTACCAGCCATCTGAAGGCAGAAGACAGTTAAAATGAGCACATTGAAGTCTGTACTGGACGGGCAATAGAAAAGGCTGGTGGTGTGGCAGTTAGAATGACGACGTGAGCGATCTCCCTTCCAGTGGATTTCCAGCAACAACTTTTATAGCCGAAGCTGGTGGTGTGGCAGGGAGGTGACTAGGCAGCAGGTTGAGCTGCTAGGCAGCGATCTCTGGGCAAGCATCAATAAGCATAGATGGATCTCTGGTACATTCTCTAAAGTTTTTCGGTCAACAAAAGGACATTTTCACTGGAGATCTCCCTTGGTGACATTGTCACACGTAGTGAACTCAACACACTATTACATAGTTCCAGTGGGCACCTTCAATGCGACATCACAATGTGGGACCTTTCAAACCCGTCATTTAGCAATCAGAGGCAATATCCACTTTCTCACATGGACGATTTCCCAGAGCATTATATGATTGATAGCTAATAACATAAGTATGCTGGATACTGAAAACGCGATCTAGTAGGTATCCCTGATGCTGTCAAGCTATTCTGATGAAATCAAACTGGGGCTTCATTGAGAATCAGGATTCAGCCTCTGCTATATTCTAGGTGTGATGCTTACTTTTAAGTCAATGATCCATTCTGTAAACGAGCTAAAGCCTACACCAACACTCTTCCTTTCTTAACAGGATACCGCAAAATACTCCAGTTTGTAAATGGTACAGAGTACCAACCACTTTGGAGAACTTTCAGCATGATTATATTCCTTTGTGGAAAAAACAGGAAAAAAGTTTAGTCTGTGTGCTTCCGCATGCAGCTTAAAACAGTTACAAGAACTTAGATTGTGTATTGATTCTTTTCTTAGTCCTTGGTTTTTTAAAACCAAAGTATCAAACGACCTTTTCTCCTTCGTCATTTTTATATGTATTCTGTAATGGGTTAAGATCTCTCAAAGCAAACATCAATGCAGTTTTCTTAAAAACTGCTACAATTGAATATTGAAAGTTCGAACTAGAAAAAAAGGACTAAGATTGCCAGAAACACATACCTGTCCAACATAAAATGGGATTTTATGCAGTTTTTATTGACTACAGTGTCTATGATTTCTATTGACTACTCATAAAATGGATCAACAACCTAATATGGGATTTTATTGACTACAGTATCTATGATAACATAAAATACTCCCCTAGATGGAATAGTGAGAAAATATCAGCCTTCCAAATCCAGCAACTTCTCCATGTAAACAAAATATATTTTCCACAAATAAATACAGTTTTATCCCATTTTCCTGAGTAGAAGATGCATGACTCACACACGCATTTAAATTTGTATATACGTTCTTATCTCTGGGATCAACAGAACTTCATAGTTCAAAGTAAATAACAAATAAATGACCACATATCTTTTGAACTATTAAGGTCTAATATTCGAAAATATTACAGAGGCTATATCCTGATCTTAAATTTACAACGTTTTACTTATATCCGTGAAAAGACTATTGTGATTTATAATATGAGTAGAATATATCTCGATTGCTTAAGTATTTGAGTAGTATTTTTCAAAGCCTTTATATAAAAGAAACTACACAGTGCATCTGATACCTGAACCATGCAAGAGTTTTGAAAGGGGTAAAATCCCTTTTTTAAATTATTTTTTGGAAGCAGAAATTGCGAAAGTTGACATTTACCATCATGCAGTTTTTTAGCACGAACTTGAAGCCCAGAAATTGATGATAACACTGCAAGAGGGAAAGAAAAGCTCCAAGATCAGCCCAAGTTTTCAGAACAGTGTAAGGGGAGGAGAGAAGCGATAATCAGAGTACGGAAGACAAATCATGAAAAGATGTTTAAGCTACTAGAATAAAAATACTGTTTCGGAGGAAAATTCTCCAGAGGTGGACAGAACCAAAATGTGCCCTGAGGTTCCACCAAGCGTCAAGGATTTAAGATACGACTTGAAACCATCTCCTATCTCATCCCATCCCAAATGAAATGAAACAAAAAGTTAGAGTAATACAGTAAGGCAGAGAGTTCATACCAGATATTGCTGGCGTAAGAACGCCATCACCTATCACCATGCATGCACCGAAAAGAACCACAAGAAGCAAAACAGTTCTCAGTCTTTTATGCTTCTCAAGAAACCTTCTTAATGGAGACGGTGGTAAGTTGCGAGTTGTTGGCCCATTCCCATAATATGTAGATAATTCCTCGTCAGCTGCTTGTTGATTAGGAAGCAAACTGAACTTCGCATGTCTACAGAGAAGGGAGTACAGAGCAAATGTGCCTCCTATGATGATAAGCGGGAATCAGTTTAAGAAGTGATAATACATCAGGTAAAGAAGTGATAAGCTATCTGGGCTCACCTTCACCATTGTCATCAGCGCTCAACACAATAAGCACATACTTGACCAATGGAATAAGGGTAAAAGTCCAAAATATGAGGGAAAGAACACCATAGATTGTGTCTTCATCTTGAAAGTCGCGTAGCCTACCAGAGAATACACTTTTATAAACATAAAGCGGAGAAGTACTTAAGTCCCCATACACCACACCAAAACTCTGGTATGCCAACAGCAAGAGTTGCCTATATTGCGCTCTTGGATTAACCTACAATCACGAAACGAGAAAACAACGATCTGGATTAGCCCATAGTCTATTGAATGCCACTACTATAAATCATAGTCACAATCTCCCTTGTTCGGAACCCATCAGACCAGATAAACTTCTAAGAGTCCAAAGCAGAACAAGTGGGGGGACCGGGGGGGGTAAAGTAAACACATGAAAAAGTGTAGTTCCATAATAGCCAACGAAACTTGATGTACTGGAGACATTTCTACTCATTGAATTGCATAAAAGAGAATATAAACTAAGACTTGGAAATGCCTTTTTCCTTTCAAATAGAGTACCATAATAGCCAACGAAAGTCATAACATAGAGAGGAGACACTGAAGTTCATTGCTTTTTTATAATGAACAAAAAATCAAATGTTAGAACAATGAAAAATAAAAATGAACAGTTGAACAGCTTAAATTTTGAAATTCTTGAGGATGCCTCAGAACAAAAAAATGCTACCAGAACACAGCTGTTGACTACTAGATAACTGAAGTGGAACTGACAATTCATCGAATCAACAGAGACAAAATAGAACATCATTGAAGTTTCTGATTAAATTTTACAATTCAAACCATCCACGAAAATAAGAACATATCTAATTTTCCAAGTCATTGAATTAAAAAAATGGACAAAAAATCAAGGCCATGATTCGATAAGGCTCATGCACGGCTCATATGGCATTAGAGAGCTGTTTAAGTGACGTAACTACTGATATGTCATCAATCTCTAATCACATGAATACCAGGATTTCAATAACTGAAGAGACCGATGGTTCCTTTTCCGTTATGTGCGACAGCCAGTTCCCATAACAGCTCTCCAATGTTGAGGGATTTGATGCCAGGTTGCGCAGGTTTCTTGCTATAAATGGACAAACTACATTGAAATTCTTATTCTGAAAATCCTACCGAGGCAACGGAACTCAGCGTATGAGGCCAGAAATGGTCTAAGAAAATGAATTGCATCTCTAACAAGAACACAACCCTGATTCCTACCACTAAAATTTCCAACTATGGGTCGAGTGCTTCCCAAAGATCCCGTCCAGACAGAAATATGCACATGCAGAAAACTGGTTCGTTTCTCTTCGAGAAAAAGGGATAAAGCAAACTCCCGTCTTCATGTACGAAACCATAAAATACCACACCAGTCACAAACCCGCGCGCTTATCCACACATGCCTGCCCCACCGTATCGAAGCCGAGTGCGCAAACAAATGAGGGGACGAACTAACCCGCTGGCCTCCGGAGGCGCCGCCGATCTCCTGATCCATAGCGGAAGGCCCTCTCCCTCCGTTGATTCAAGTGGCCAACTTCAAAGACCCGATCCTCCTACCTCCGGAAACCTCCACAGGGAGCCAGGCCGATGGGAAGCACATCCCAGTGGGGGAAGAAGAAGCACAGAAGCCGGGGATAGCTATGCCGAAGGGGAAGGTGGAAGCAAGAGACGCCGACGCCAGAAGAAGCCTCGCCTCGTCAGCGTCGGAGACTCGTAAGACTATATAATACTCCAGCGGCAAAGCCGGCCCCGACTCCCCTCTGGCCCACACCTTACCTCACCACACCTCTCACCATTGTCTCGTGCGGGGATTTCTGGTTCTTCGCTCCTCCGAGGCTCGGAAGACGACGATAGGTACGGCCCGATGAGAGCGATCGAAGAAGGTGAGCACCCTCCCCAGACAGGAGGAAAACCACTGCGCAAAATCTGGTCTAGATCGGGGGATCCCGACGGCCGATGATCAGCCCCATCGCTGTAGCCCTCGGACGGGTACGCACTCCGTCTGATACGTACCAACTTTTAGAGGCATGCGCCTGTGTGGGACCCATCTCTAGGAACGACGCACGCAGCCGGAGTGACGCACCACGGAAGAAGACCTCGTCGATGGCTATGTTGCACCACGGAGTTTTTTTTTTTTAAGAACTCCATTACGTGTGACACCTCCCCCCTTCAACCAAAAAATGAAAGAAAACATTATTGTGGGCCCCACACTGGATTTATCGCCAATTCGGATTTATCGCGGTGGCATCTAGAAAAATAATCAGGGAATCTTTATAGCATCAACATAAATAAATAAAAAGCCGGCTCCAGTTGCATCCAGAATTTACGAAAATGCCATCCAGTGTCAAACTTGCTCTATTTTTATATTCCCTCCGACGGCGACGTCCGGCAGCGTGGGCATTATCGTCAACTCCCACCCCCCGTTGACATGCCCCTCTTGTGTCACGTGGGTCCCACACCGGATGGATAAGGCCGCCGATGATCATGGGTTGGCAGGGGGGACGAGGGGTAAGATAGAATTGCTCCCTTCGAAGAGGAAGAGGAAGAGAGAGAGAGAGAGAGAGTAGCGGAACATTAACAATCAAATGACTAGTTCATACGCAAATCATGAGGGAGAAAGGGAGGCAGTGGGGGGGGTGGGGGATTGGATGGAATAAAATATTAAAAAATATTGCATTTACAGACCCCGAGGCCTGATCCCAGAGAGGGCCAGGGTCTTAGATCACAGAGATCTACCGAATTATGAAGGCGAATACAGGCAAATTAAACCCACGAAGGAGGAGGAGAGAGAGAGAGAGAGATGTACGCAACTGGTGGGTTTATGCATCTGGTGGAGGGGGGTAGAGGGTTTCTCTCTCAACCGATCCCAAGCAAGAACCTGAACATGTCGCTCAGAGATATGATCCCTTCCACTCGCTTGCTTCCAGCCTCCACGATGATGACCCGCCGGACCCCTGCAAAGGAGATGGAAGCCCCATTGCAGGAGAGAGAGAGAGAGAGAGAGAGAGAGAGAGAGAGAGGAAATGGGGATGGATGGACTCACCGGGGTTGGCCAGCCTCTCCATCACCTTCTGCAGGGAATCGGAACGGAGGCACATCTGGCATCGCTGCCCGTTGAAGATGCCGAATGGGGAACTAGCGTCTTGCCCGAGCTGCAAGGCCTGGAGATCCCAATAGACGGGAGAAAGGAGGTTGGAGAGAGAAAGCAGATGGGAGATGGGAGCCGGCTGAGCTGGGAGATGGAGAGTGCACACACCTGCTGAACGCTCATCTCATCGAGGTGAAACTGAGCGTAGGCCCTGTCCTTGGCCAGAGCGGTGATGTCACTGTGAGAAGAACCAATTGAGCATTTTTTTTTCTAAAAAAAGAAAAAAATAAATGGCAAAAACTGAACCTGATTCTCTGCAAAAGTGAGGGAAATAAATACCTCCTGCAATAAATATCCAGTAACGAGTCATTATGATCGACTATTGGGATTGAGCTAACTTGAGCTGCCAGGGATGAAACGCAAGACGTTTGACTACAGAAAGCAAGGGATGAAATGAAGATCTCCCCTTCCGGGATGCTAGGAGAAGAGACTTTACCTTGGACTAGCAAAGATAAGGCGGCGCTGAGCGGCGAATTCGGTCTCAGCATGGCCAGAGGACGCTCGTTGGTGTCTCCGATTTTCGGGACCCAGCTGCCCAAGCGGAATGCGCACACCGGTTGCTGGAGAATCGGCAGGGAGCTCGCAGAATGCCGGAACTGCCGGCAGATACCTGCGCCATGGAGGCCGGAAGGGCTCAGGGACCGGCACGCCCGGCGATGCGCCGCGAGGGAAGAATCCAATTGTATATAGTTATGAGAAGAACTTACATTTCAGGATTCCTGAAAGAGATGCGAGATGCAGCAGCTGAGGAAACGACCCATCGGCTGCAGAGGAGTGGATGATCGGGACTGTGGCCACCTCGTTCTGCAGGATCTTCATAGCTATGTCTTTCAATGAATCGTAGGGACCCCCCTGTGCAAAGTGGAGGCAAGAATCAATGGCGAGGTTTCTCTGACAATATTTCACAACGAATTCTCCTGAAAATTTATTTATTCTTTAAACTCTGCAATAATGCTTTTATCCAATGATTAAAGCCGGCAACGACAAGAATAATAGTAGAAGTGGGCTAAGAAATCCGGGTGCTAAACGGAAGAACTGTGCAGTACGGTAGTAAATAAATAGAATGTACGCGGAAATAAAGTAAAATACACGAGAAAAAAATTGTAATGAAAACCTTGTTATGATTTATTTATTTCCGTGCAGGAGTCAATATTACAGTTAAAGGATCTGTTGTCGTAGATGGAGACTTACATAAATTAGGCCCTTTCCAGACTGTCTACCATGCCCATCGGCTTGCCTCCAGATCTGCTGCTTTCCCTCTTTCCAAGCAGATATAGTGTGAGTTTCAAGCTCTTCTTCCGTCAGATTTGAGGCATGATTTCCAAGCTGCGGCAAACGAGAAGAATGCATGTCCGTGATATAAGAATAAAAAAAAAATGCAATGTACCAGAAAGAAGAGAGTATCGGATTCGCAGTTGCATCACAAAAGTCAACCAGATAACAGACGGAAAAGAGATCTACATATGATGTCCCCGTCAATTAATAACCGAAGACAAATGGATCGATAAAGAACATTATTTTTTTAGGCTAAAATACGGGCTAGTTAATCACGATGCTCGTCCGCCGGCCTGGCTCATTATCGGATTAGAATGACAAATCATCCTCAATGCGCCAGTATCTTGGCAGCAGCTGATAGATTCGTCATTGTCCAGATGATATGACACGAAAGCAGACACCAGTAATCTTGCCAGTAGTCTGACTCCAGCGTACTGTTCCTCCAGAGGGGGGGGGGAAGTGATGATTGATTTCAGGCAGAATGCACAATTATCTAACAATAGTGTTTTCGACTGAGATTTGGTGTACCAGATCTTCTCTTCGTTCAAAAATCTCCACAATTATTTAGCAGTAACCCACCACTTCCACGCATTCTCTTGTGCCCCCACAAAGCAATCCTCATCGTTCCATGCACTTATAGTCCTTTCAAAAATGTAATGACCGCAAACAAATTCTATAGACCATCTACAGGTGAATTTGTAGGAAAAATCTCTCATTTATTTTTCCTCATCCCCACTTACCCCCGACCATGAACTCATGCCAACAGGATGGTGGAAACATTGCTCAAACAGAGGATAGATACAGCCCAGAAGAGTGTTTACAAGTTATCAGTAGTGTGCATTTAAATGCATTTAACATTGAAATACAAACCTCCGTTTTTGCTCACTTTGATTACTTTTAAGGTGCCATAAACTTCCACCCTAGGTTACTTTAATTCTCCTTACGTTGCTAAAAATTAGGTTCTTAGTATATATGACCAGTCGGGCTAATTGTTGATTGTGAATCAACCATTGCTTCACTTCCTCAGGACATAAAGAAATCCTAGATGTTTGCACCCAAAAAGGTTGAAAAAAACTCTTTCGGTTTCAAAGAAAATAATAGGAGGAAGTGAGGCACGCCCATTAAAGGTTATCTTTCTCTGCTGTCAGAAACATCAATCAAGCAGAAGGCGAAAAAATAAGATAGCTAGTTGAACAAAGAACCAATGAAGGCACCAACCAAATGACAAAATGTCCCCGGCATGATCCACAGGACAACAGAAAGGCAAGTAAAGATCGGAGAAGATTAAACATAGAAATTACTTAGGTCAAGTCTACCCGTAGAAAGGGAGTAGCATCAACTTGCCCATAGGACATTGTTGCTGACCTTGTTTAAAGAAATTTCTATCTGACAAGAACATAGCAGTAACCTACCAGTCATGGATGTTAAGAAGCAATCCATTTTCAAATCCTCAGATATGGCAAGAATGAGAAGTTCATTTCATAAAACGAAGTGATATAACGGGAAAAAAGGAAATAACGTCGATCAATCAAATAATATTTTAAATCGTTTGACAAAGCAATTATATTTTCGAAAAAATTGCTCATACTCCATTTCACAGATCTCACGTGAAGAATAAAAAAAAAACATATTTGGAGAGTTTTGCCATTGCGTTTTTCATCTCTTAACGAAAATGTGGCAATATGATGAGTTATTTGGTAACGTTCTAGTACCAAATAAAACATTGCTTGTAAAACGATGTTTGAACTCTCATTACATAACCCTCTCAAGATTAATACCTCTTTCAAGATCAATATAAAGTCCATTGCGCTAAGCACTCCAACAAACTGTCCCCGGTAGGAATCCCACAAAGGAGCCACAGGAGACGCCTGAAAACGTCATGAACAAAAGAGAAATGCAAGGACATAATGTTTAGGAACGCAAAAAAGAAACTCAAAAGAGTCCATATTAGTAGCTAATATGACTACACATGATCCGAATTCTAAACACCAAAACGAAAAGTCACTTATGATAAAAAGAGAAGTAAAACAAACACCTTGTGATTTCTTTAAAGCCATCATCGGTTTGTTGCAGGTCAAATTAAGTCAATGGCATAAGTCGAAATGCTATCACCATTTTAAAATGGTACAGTCCTTGAGATATGACATATCGAAAGTCATCCAAAACTGGGAATCTAGAAATTTGATATGAACGTTTTCAAAACAGATGCTGAAAAGCTACTTTCATGAATACATTTTTGGACTTTGCAGTCCGCCATGGAGCGAGAGTTTGATGAAAGAGACCATAATTAATACACAAAAATAACTCTGATTAAGTGCAATATAATTTTCACTGCTTAGAAAAAGTGCCATAACAGATTCCAAAGACAATGACTATGAAAGATTCAAGGAGTTTTCTGCACGTCCCTGACACTGGTTTATGCTCCCTTATGCATTCAAACCCACAAACTTCACTAAATGAAATGGGCGAACATGCCAATTGCCATACACGAGAAGAATTTTTTTCCTAACGTAATGGATCCTTCCTCAAGCAAAATGAGACAGAGTCAAAGACCCCTAATGCATCGGTGAATTTTATAACAATAAGACAATGATTGACGTGTCATCTCCATCCATTTCGGACCATAGTCCTCCCCCTCCCCCCTCCCCCCTCCCCCCTCCCCAGAAAAAAAGAAGAGAGGATAAGGGTTTTTTTGTGGGGAGCGAGCATCAGCAATGAAGAAGACATCTCAGGAATATTTTAACTCTCATCTACCTAAAAAATAGAAATAAACAAGGACACATAATTTACAGCAGGAAGGCACAAAAAATCATCAGTTTGCTGTTTTTGTGTGTGTGTTTGCGTTTGATTGAAAGAGGAAGAATCTAAATAGACACAGGTAAAGGATGAAAAAACAGTCAATCTATGAAAGAACATTTGTTTCATATAAAAGTCAAATCCTTGCACCTGACTAGAGTAGTGACATGCAGGTCCAACGTTTAATTAATCTTCCAAAAGAGGAAGGAATTTTTCATGTGAAAAGAATAAAAAAACATAGCAAGGTACAATGGCATGCTTGGACTAAGAAGAAAAACACCTACGACCAAAGTTCCTAACAAACACTTAAACACCATGCAAATAAGGCCATCAATCAGCAAATAAACACAAAGTGCAAGTTCATTCAGTTATCATTGTTAAATCACCAATTCTGAGTACCACTAAAAGAATGAGGCAATCATTGACAAAGAATAAACACTACTTCGGCCACTCTGAATGATTTTGTTTCCCTTTTGCAGAATAACTCAGCTAAAGAAGGAAAGCACTTCATTGCACCAAATGGCAAGGTAACAACTAACCTGTTCATATAGGATGTGAAATGCTTGCTTCACAGGCAAATTAATGTCGAGTGCAGTAACCTGAAATGATCATGATAAAACAGCAACGCACTCAAAGGTACGATAATAAAAAGAGAAATTATAAACGATACAACTCCTGCAAAATCAGAAGCATTCAAACCTTGCCAGAATCTGGAAGCAATTCATAAGCCGTGTGTGCTGACAAGAATAAAGATATTCGATGCCGTGATACATCAATGTCAGCTTCTGGAACCCTTAGAGAGACATCCTGTATGATGCCAACGACAGCCATGATCATCTTGGTGGGAAAATTAACAATAATACTACAAAATTTGAAATCCATCATAGAACAACATATTAATGCAAAATATTATATTACCGAAGCTCTAGCGAACCACTTGTCAATCCCGTTCACAATCAAGAAGATAACATCCACATATAGAACGTCCTACAGAAATGGAGTGACCTAACCTGTATATTTAATTTGTAGCTTCGCAAAATATACAACATTTCGGAATTTTTTCATCATTATCAGTTTCAAGAAACAGATGCCTGTTCCCTACGAATGGCTAATCAAAACTCATGCAGTGGACGCCCCTGGCAAAGCACCATATGCCAGGACATGGAGATAATATCAGCGAAATTGTAGGGGTAGTGTCTGCAATACAGCTGGTGCAGACATGCATAAAAAATAAGCACTGCGTCAGACACAGCTGATGCACAGAGACCACGAGGAAAAAATATGGCAATCCATATTTCTCTGAGTCTATAAATATACTAAAGCAGAATACTTTATACACTGACTCAAAGATAAATCAGGATGATAAAGAAACCAAATGCAGCATGAATGGCTTGGATGAATCGTAATACTCACCAAATAAACGTAAGACATTGAATTGGGAAAGACTTATTATACTTCTTATTTTGCAATAGTAAATGACGACCTGAGCTCAGTTAATAGTAATTCCTCTGAGAAGTATGGTAGAACTATCATTTCGCTGACGTATCCTTTTCCATTTCTCAGTGATTTCAGAGAGTAGGAAATACAGGCCATTTGCCGACAGTGTGAAGAATAGAACAAAGCGTCCGACTGTTGACATATATCCCTCACATTCTACTCGGATATTTATGCAATGGGAACTAATATGAATTGTTCGTCATGATGATACATCCACTTAACACCACTTCTATACAGTTTCTAAGAGAACAAGGAATACATTTGGTAAGAAATTTTTTCAATAGATGACCCATTCAGTGCCAAAAAAATATTCCGGATCACCAAAAAGCATATGGAAATAATATTTTTTTATATACAATAGTATCTCAAATAAAAATAACTCCAAATTAATGAGGACAAACAAAACGACCTAGCCACAAATTATGGAAAGGTGAAATACAATGCTCCCGATATAGGTTGAGGTACATCGAATTCAACTTACCATACGCTGAAGCATTTCATCGTCCACATCCACGTTCATTCTGCTGGTGGGGGTATCAACTCCGGGGATTGGAGTCACAGGATCGGGCTCCCTTGATACAAATACAGTATTCACTGTCCCATATTTCCCGGTCACAAAGGGTTGGCGTTCATCATGCCGCCATTCCCCATCAACAAAAAATTTGTACTGCATTAATAAACGGAAAAAATATTCAGATTAACATAATACGGTAGTCTATAATGTGATGCAAGCACCTAGGCATGCACTGATAATTTTAAGTTTGCATGTACTTTTGTACATCTTCAAGACCGGGTTCAAAACATATTTTTCATATATACACAGTAGTTATCGTGAATGAAGATCAACGGCCACATCAAAATGTACATACGTCCGCCCTCTCCCAGTGATGAGAGAGACTGAATCGGGAACATAATGACCCAGAGAATCGGGGGATATAGCAGATCAATACGCATATGAACATAATGACCGATGAAAGTCATTTCAAATATTCGATTAATCTACCCTATTATCACGGGGAAAAAAATATATATGAATTACCCATATTCAGGTTTATCTGCTTATTTTCCTGGCATATGACCGTTCATGGTAGTGACCTTCCCCACAGCGCTAGACCCATAATCATGACGTTTGGTTTCATTTGTTTCCCCGTCACCATTCCTTTCGAGGGATGGAACTGGGGTTCCTTTTCCTTGATTTAGGTGGGAAATGTTTTGAACCCTTTCCTGAGCAATTACCGAGTTTCAAAGACTTAATGTAAACAAAAAGCTGTATTAAAACGATTACCTGATGAAAACCGGGCGTCAAGCTGCAGATAACCTGAAATACAGTGGGGCAACCCTCAACTGGGGACATTGGTACGTGCTCGGACCACCTGGGAACCACATTTTGTGCAGATATAACTTAGCCCGAGCATCACATAATTAAAAGCGAAAGAAGAATGAACACATTAATCTGCTATATTCCAATGGATCGAAACATGATAGCCTTAGCCATTAAAAAATATATATTTGCGCAAAATCGCAGACAATACTTGAGTGTCTTTCATCACTCGTGATGAATAAATTTAAAGGGCATTTTCTCAGATCCAACTTCCGAGTTTCTGTCACGAGATGCATGTCACCCCGTGAATTATTCATATTCCACACCGAAGAGAAACGATAAATATTCTATAAAAAAAATGACCTCGTGAAAGAACCGCTGAGGAGGATCCTCCTTCCTCCATACGGCCAAACAAAGCGCGTGGGAATCAGCAAAGCGCCTGCAGCTGCGCTAACATCCTGCCCCGGATCCGTCCCCGCAGCAAACATCGGGTCAGACGTTCGTCAGTGTGTTGAAGGAACTAGAGCCTATTCCAATGCTGAAATCCTCGAAATTGTCTTCGTCGGATATATTCAGAGATTAATCACCCCGAGCACCGAGTCGACACAAGACTTCGAGATGCTTGCCGATAAGAAAGACCACGTCCCAATACACGACCTCCGGAAGAAAGGGCGGGTCAGAGTAAAGGAAGATAACCCGAGACGAAGTAGAATCCCGATTAGCGGTACTTCCTGCGACGGGATCCTCCACACCGAGCGCAGAGGACCCCTCAGTGATCAGGCATTCCTTGCCTGCGGGTAAGGAAGACCGCCGCGTCTCATCTAAGCGCCAAGACCCCTCCCGAAAAGAAACAACCTGGCACGGCACAATCCTCCGCCAAACGAACAAAAATAGTGTGACACAGACACACACACACAGAAAGAGAGCACGACTCCGAGGAACCCCTTCCGCTCAGCACAACCAGTAACTCCAAATCTTACACCTCGCAGCTCCCCTCTGATCCAAATGCCAAGAATCTTCTCGGAACCCTAGCTTCCGCAGCAGACGCGAGCATGCACAAGCCTTAACCCTAGAAACGCCACCGTGTATTCGGCGCGGAAAACTGGATCGTCATCTGCACGCCGAGCTCTCGGAGAAGAAGAACCCCGCAGAAAATTGCGAGAACGATCGAAAAACCAGACGACAGTAAAATAATAATAATAAATAAATAAATACGGAACTCGGTGGAAACCGAGATAGAAAACCGATGACTTAATCGTCCTCTTTTCTTCCCCCCTTTTCTAAAATTCCATATTTTCCGTGACGCAGATGGGGAATAAATAAAAAGCAGAGGGCGCCCAGCGAACGACCAGCAGATGGAGAGAGAAAGAGAGAGAGAGTGAGTGAGCGAGAGAGCGAGAGAGAGAGAGAGAGAGAGAGAGATAGACGTGTCGTTCTGCTGTTCCCGAGAGCCACCACTCCCTTTATTCTCCGCTGGTGGGGAAAGCATCGGTGGGCCCCGCCAGCGGGGCCCAGTGACGTCACAAACGAGACGGCTCTGGTGTTTCAACTTCTCACGAAAACTTTCGTCCTTTATGAGTAGAGCAGCTTTCGACGCCGTCTCCCCTGAACATTAAAAGGCCTTAAAACTCGGCCGAGCGAGGCCCGCGTTGACTCACCTCCCCCACCCTCCCCCCTCTCTGTTTTCCACCCCACGGTTAATTATTATCCCTCGATTAAAAAAATAATTAAATAATAGGACGCATGATGAGACTATTTATCTACTCCTGCATCATTCTATTGAGTTATTTTTCCATTTCATGCATATATTGATTATATTATAAATCGCGGTCGATTAAAATAATTAACCAAGTGGACAAATTTACAGCAGGTAAATGCCTTTTCTTAAAGTTAAAAGTGTAGTTAATTATGTAAATAATGTTATAATAAATATTTTCCTCAATAATTCCACTGCTCTGAAGGTAAAATTCTGACAAAAAACCCTGCTCTATATATATTATTTATCTGATTGAGCATGATATTCTATCAACGTTCTACCATATATTCCCCTCGTGTTGCTAAGTCTGCACCATTATTTCAAAAAAATATCAATAAATGTGAATAAAATATATAGTGGGATACTTTATTTGCCCATAATAGTACTAGTAGGAGTAAATGACTAATCACTACCTTTTCCATAAAAAATATTTTTAAATATTTTATTAGTCCCCCGTTAATTTGGTGAGTGAATAACGAGTGCAACTTTAGTCAACGCAGGGGGGGGACAGATACACATTTTCCCAAGTTATTTAAAATCACATAATCGACAAAATGGAGTGTACAAAATCACATAAACCATTTAGAAAAATGGGTGAGAAAACATTGTAATATAATTAAACAAGGCATATTAAAAAATAATTAAAAAATAGAAGAAAAAATTGGGGAGAAAAATGATAATATAAACTAAACAGTGCAATTACGTATAAATTATATATATGCATTTATTGCCGTGAAAACAGCCCGTAGTCCTCGTGAGTGCATGATCGCGAAATCTCAAGCCTGCTGCTTAACGAACATGAGACGAGAGTTCGGAATATAAATGACAAAACCAGGTGAGGAGAGAGAGAGAGAGAGATAGTGAAACGAATTGTAAATAAATAAATTATTAAGGGTAAAAATTGAAAACTAACAGCAGAGATGTTGGAACTCACGACAAATCAAACGAATGGTTAATAATGATGTTCTGAAGGGTAAATTGACTACTCTCTCTCTCTCTCTCTCTCTCTCTCTTAAACCACCGGCCCGGCGATCTTTCTAGTTAACGTCCGTTGCTGGCTGTCGCCCTCCTCTCTCTCTCTCTCTCTCTCTCTTTTTCTCTCTCAACGTGTGTCGGGCTCGAAGAAGGAACAAAGAGACGGAAAAACACGACCGGGAGAAATAGTTGGCATTCTCCTCGCACAAGAGAGGAAGAGGGGGGGAACAGCGGAGAACCTCTGTCGGGGGAAGGGGAGGACGAGGAGAAGATCGGGAGGACTAGGGATTTCGGGAGCTGTGCACTGGATCTGCGGGAGGCGGGGGAGAAGGGAAGGGTGGGGGGAATTGGGGGTGATCGATCGGGTAGGAAGGTTCGACGGAACTGCTTCCGATCGAGGTTCCCGGAGTGGCGAGATGGGGGGAGCTTCTGTGGGGGAGAGCTGGAGAGCAGGCTCGGGCTCTGGTTAGGTGGATTTAGCGTCCGCTTGAGGAGGGAGAGGCGGGGGGGAGGGTGAATAGTGGAGAAGTGACGGGGTTGGGAGGAGGGGGCCGGGGTCTGCATTTGGATGCTGTCCTTGGCGAGGAGAGAGGATGCCAGAAAGGGGGTGGGGTTAGAGGTGTTCAAAAGGGGCGGGGAGATGGAGGAGAACGAGCTCGAAGAGGGCGAGGCCTGTTCCTCCAAGGAGGACGACGCCACCATTGATCCAGACATTACTCTGTCCTACATCGTAAGATCCTACACATTCTTTCCATCTAGCTCCCGTGTCCATTTCTCCATCTTTTTTTCTCATCCTGTAGGAGAATTTTACACATTGTTCTCGAAAATTCTTTTGTTTTTGACCTCTCACCAGTTCGGATTGCCTGATCGAGGCTTTGCATTTCCCCTGGTCCCATCTTTTGTCTTGGGTGTCGTCTGAAATACAAGACAGAAATGCTCAGGGTCTTGAACGGGTTTTGAAATTTTTTATCGTAGCATAGTTAGAATCACAGTATCCTAAAAAGTTCAAATTTTGATTTTTAGGATACTACACACTAAGGCCTCTGTTCCAATTAAGTAGCCTACAAATCAACCGGGTTCTCGTCCTATCGTCACACTCTTTTCACTTTTTCTTGTCAGCTGTACTGGTACTTATAATAACATTTCTATTCAATTTGTTTCCTGCGGCAAGCTTAATTGAGGGTACTAACAAGAACTTTCCTCAACGTGTTTGCAGGATGAAAAGATTCGTGATGTATTGGGGCACTTCCAAAAGGACTTCGAGGGTGGAGTTTCTTCAGAGAACTTGGGTAATTTCTTCTCAGACGTCTACCACCACTAGGGCCGAGCAAATGTTTAGCTGCCACATTTTCACAAATAATTATTCTTTGTATTCCAGGGAGAAAAATTTGTGACTACGGTTCATTCTTGCCTGCAAACCGATGTCTCGTCTCTATTCCATCTCAATCTGGGAGTCTGCAGAAGTTGCCTAACCACAACACATCAAGACCTCCATACAGCACATCTGCTGAGGTATCCATGTTGTTTCTATTCTTCCTTCTGTTATGTTGGAGAAAGAAGTCAATTGTTGAACTTGAGCATATTCCACTTGTCACATAAGATACAATTTATGATGAATCCTTACAGGCTGTGCAGCAGAACATGATATTTCATACGAATACATCAGTTCCCCTGAAAAAAGCCTCCGTTTCAAATGCATCGCCACTAGATGCTAGAAAGAAAAACGAGGGACGTGTAAGCATTCCAAATTTTAGGGAATGTGTCCGTCAGCATGATGTGGCCAATGCAGACTCTAAAAGCACTCATCAGAAGACATTGAAGGTTCGCATTAAAGTTGGATCTGACACTGCCGTGGCGAAGCCAAATGCTGCAATTTACAGTGTTATGGGACTTGAATATTCTCCATCCTCGTCGCCAGACAGCCCTGGTACAAGTGGAGGGTCTCATCTGGGACGTCAGAGTGTGCTTCACGAATCTCCTACGGCTGTTTGTCAGGTCAATATCATAAATTCTAAGTATTTTTTTTTCTTTACTTTCGAATATTTCTCTAAACAGAGAGATCTTGTCTTCATGTGATCTTATACTTGATTATTTCTCTTGTGATACAGATTATGACGCGTTTCCCTGTTCCTGCTGAGAGTGTTCTTTCACCTCTCTCTGAAAGTTTCTTGCAGTTGATTGAAAGTGCTGTTGACATTTCAAAACAGTCCTCCAGTTCGAGAGTCACAAATGAGACATCGGGGAGGCCGTTATTTTCAGAGGAATCGAAAGGTGATGGTAGCTTGAGGGAATCTGAAAATGTTATATCTAAAGTCAGAGTTTTGTCTTCTGGCATAGCGAAGGACGAGGCGTTGGTTGGTGGGGTCAGTTTGGGCTCTAGAAAGATGAGGAATTCTGGGAATGAATCTCTACACTTGAAGGGAAAACAAAACTCTAAAATGAGTTTGTCTGATCAAGTTTCTGAAGGACGAGCAGGTCAGCATAAAGATGCTTCATGTGATTCTCCCATGGAAAACATAAGTAAACGGGAGAAAAAGTGTAATGTATCTAAGTTCGAGGCTGACGGATTGAACTTCAGGATGGATGCGAATGTTAAGTCTGATGAGCTGACTGAAGAGGAAGGACATCAAGGGACCACATTGCATGGGCAACATAGTGAAAAGCCATTGAAATCCAAAAATCAAAGTCCTGGAGCTAGAAGAAAATCAGGAAACCAAATGAACGTCGTGCAATCTGTGGAATCTTCCCCGAACAATTTCAAAAATGTTTCTTCTGTACCATCTAATGAAAAGAAGAAAAGCTCTCATTCAAAAATGGACCCTTCAGAGTACAGGAAAAATTCATTAGGGCGTCCGGAGTCAAGTAAGGCTCACAGTCAACAATGCCAGAATGATGCTGCGGATGATGCAAAGTCTGAAAAAACAGTGAACATAACTGATCCATCTGAAAATCTATTCAGAGACAAGGGAAGGGATAATAGGATAGATCATGACAAGGTTAGTTCTGCATTTTCTGATAGGGCAAAGGAGAAGGTGGATGTAAAAAATGATCAGAATCCGTCCACTAGTGAAGCATTTGAAAATGGTATGAAAATCACGCCATTGGCAACTAATGGGCCGACTTCTCATGCGACTCCAGCACCTGCAGCTCTTCTTGTCAAGGAGGATTGGGTCTGTTGTGACATATGCCAGAAGTGGCGCTTGTTGCCTTATGGGACAAACACTGATCACCTTCCTAGTAATTGGCTGTGCACAATGCAAGACTGGCTGTATGTACTTCCCTGAATTTATTTTGTGAAATTGACTTTATTTTGCTTTCTGGCCGATGCTGACGGTGTTCTTATTGTTTGAAACAATGACTAAAGATAAACAACCACAACAGTAGCAACGAACTCCGCTACCCATGCTTTATTATATTCGTTGCCATGTAGATCCAACTCTTAATGTGTTTTGAAAATTATTTTTCCTCACGTTTTTTGATCTTATCACATGTATCCTTTTTCTGTTATGTTGATGCTGGTTTTTTCTAATTGCATTTTATGTTAAATCTCCATCCAGGCCAGGGATGAATAAATGCAGTTTTAGTGAAGAGGAAACAACAAGAGCACTCCATGCTTTATATCAAGCTCCTCTTCCTGAGACTCATACGGCAAATGGTCTGAGTACTTTGTCTGGAGCTCTTTCCTGTGATACGCAACATGGAGATCAAAATCATGGTTTGCTCAATCCTTCTAGTCATGGAAAGAAAAAGCTCACACTGAAGGCTGGATCTCATACCCCTGGTCACCTGACACAACCTTCATCCTCTGTTAAGAAGAGTCGGCAGATTTCTATAAAAAGTCGAAGCTTAAATGATGTGAATCATGTTGCACCACATTCATCAGGTAAATCCTCTTCTCAGCATATGAACAAGTCCACTGAGTTGAATGTGGAGACGGATTATGACAATAAAAAGGCACAAAAGATGATGGAGCAGTACTTGGATAGTGGTAACTATTAATCTCTTTTTTTATTTAACATAGATTCAGTCTTACATAATCTTTATATTAATCTGCTTGATATGTAGGTTCCACTGGAGGTGAGTTTCTTGAGCAAAATGGCAGGCCTTCAAAATCCAAGAGCAATCGAGGGTTTGATCAAGATGGGAGTAGAGTATCAAAAAAGTTGAAGGCAGAGGGAACGCTTTATGCCAACGATTGTTGGGACTCTGAACATGATATATCTGAAAGGCTGGCATCGATTGGTAATGATAATCTTCCTTCTAAAATGACTGGCTACGGTTCCCTGAAGGATGATGACAGTTCTTCATGCAAGAATTTCAAATTGGATTCAGAAAATCGTCCACCAGGGTCTAGAAAGAAGTCCAAACAGCACCCAATGGCATTCTCAAATGGATCCCGTCCAGAGCAGTTCAGTAGTTTTGATAAGGAAAATTCCAATAACGAGTCTTCTGCGAAGAAGAGGAAATCTAAGGAGAGGCAGGAAGATTGCGTCAATCTTGATACTTTAGTTGGAAATGGGCTGCTTGCAGGTGACAGCGTAAATGCCAAAGAAACGTATAGTGAAAGTGATTCAAAGAAGGGAAAGAAGTCTAGGCTTTTAAATGCCGAAGGAATATACTCTGATCGGATTGAACAGAATGGAAAAGTTGCTGAGAGGGGTCAGCTAACTCGAGTTGTGTTATCTAAGACCAAGGGGCAAGTATTTAATGGAACTGGAGAGGTAAATAAATGCACTGAACAAAATGAGCGAAAGGGACTGTATAAAAGTCACGCGTCTTCTAAAAGAAGCTTGGATTGTGTAGATTCCCGGAAAAAGGATTTGTCTTATGGACATCCTTCTACAGCGGCTGTTTCAAGTTCATCAAAAGTTTCAGGTTCCTGTAAAAGTAAATCCAACATTCATGAAGCAAGAGACTCACCTGTGGAATCTGTCTCTTCATCACCTTTACGGACATCAAATGATGACGAGCTTGTGAATGAAGATAATATGATAGGCAAAGAAAAAGATAAATCTTATGCTGTTGACATTCGTGGATCTTTGGATGCCTACCAACCCTTGGATTCTGCATTTTGGGATCCTGCTGAATTGATACATGATTACCAGGGTCGTGAAGGGGGTCGTTTATCAAAAACAAAAGATGAGATTCAGTTAAGGGCATTTGGTAACATGCCTGATGATCCTTCACTAACCGAGTATGAATCAGTTACTGGTGCTTTGAACAATCAAGGTAAGAATCGTGACTGTGATGAAGTGAAACCAAATAATCACAACTATTCTAGCAGTTCTGATCAACGGAAGTCAATTAAGTGTTCTTCACGGTCCAGAGAGAAACATAGAATTTCTAGGTCTGAAGTTAATATAAATACGGGTGAGAACTCAAATTCTTTTCCTGATCAAGATGGGATACACTCTGGAAAGGATGGTCATTGGTCAAGCTATGATGGTGGTATTGATTCTCATAAAGATGCTCCATATCACAAAGGTGTGAAGGACGCATGCAGTAAATTGGAGAAGGACGAGAAAAAGAGAGAATCAAGAGGAAGCCAATCGAGTGAAGGCAGAAGGGAAGATCAGTTGAATTTTGGAACGCAGGAAAATCTTAAGAAGTCTCGTTATGTACGCTCCAGGCAACAAGGAGATCTCTCAAAAACTTGTGACGTTGGAACTGTCTCCACAAAGATTGGTAAGTCTTATATTGAGCATAACCCTCAGATATTACGAGAGCCACTTGTTCAAGGTCCTCTAGCAGCCCCTTCTGATGTCAAGGGAGATAAATTAGAATTGTCGCTGAGTGAAGCGACAACCTGTGAGGCAGAAAAGGTACACAAACAGCTTTTGAAGCATGATTGTCGCCATGGACAGCACAGTAATTTTAGGCACCCAACCCCCAACAGGCTTGACGGGCCAAGCCCTATTCGAAGGGACAGTAATCACTCTGCTGCAGCTGCTCTTTTAAAGGAAGCCAGAGGTTTGAAACATACTGCAGATCGTTTGAAGGTTTGCCCACTCATTTAGACCACCTTATGGTGTGAATATGCTGTCACTTTTCTGGAGCTAACTTTCAAAAAATTGGATACTCTTTCGCAGAATGAGGGACTGGAAAATGAAAGCACTGGACTGTACTTCGAGGCAGCATTGAAATTTCTTCATGTGGCCTTCCTTCGTGAGACCTCCTGTGCTGATGGGGAAACCACGCAATCAATGGAGATATATTCCAGCACAGCAAAACTCTGCGAGTAAGCAAGAACAGAGACTTCTTCTTCTTGTTCTCTTGCAGACTGCCTGAAAAATGTTGGAAACTTGTTCCCTCTGATTTGAAATCACATGCATTTTTTTTTTTATGATTTTACTCAATTAGGTGCAAGAAATAGACCCTCAACCAGTAAATTCTTATATTGTTTTGAAGAACTGTGATAGTTCATGCTATTTTTTCGGGTTTGGTCTTCCCTCTCTAAAATTTTTTTTTGCTAACAAAGGGGATTGTGTTCTGGAGTACTGCTTCTTGGTATCCTATTTGAAGTTCAAATGAGGCATTTCTCATCCTTTCCTATCTTGTCTTTTCTCATTCACGTATCACATGGACAACCCCAGGGAGGACTGCTTTCTTTTGTGTAATGTTCCCGGAAGGGAATGAAGCGGTCACAGTAATGAAACATTTGGACATTGGTGACTGCTCAAGTACTGTTTCACTTTCAAGTACTTCAAGTACATGAAGCAGGCTTTCTCACAGTGACTGCTTCATGTACTTGGTGACATCTGGATCACTGTGCGGATTGTCAAGTCTAAAATTGAAAAAAATTGCTCTGTTGTGGAAGGGAATCTACATTTTTATTCTCCAATTGATACTATTAAAAGTGACGAAACATTTGTTGCTAGGGACTCTGCATAATATGTGATATCTGTTGGATCACCTGCACCAGGGAGATGACTAATTTGCATTTACTCATAGTGTATAGTTTTAAATTTAAGCTAACTTTGGGCTGCCTTACATTGAACAGATATCAGTCTCTTCTCAGCACATAGATCTGATTTTTAAACCTATATGCCTTCGTTTGTGCACATCACACTCTCTAGTGTCCCCAACACTCACAAGAAAAAGACATGCACAAAAGAAGAAAAAGAGACAAAAAAGAACAACCTGATCCTAGCACGCAGTCAAGGGCTATGTAGGGTCTTGAGATCGAGTCTCATGCTAAATAGTTATCCTAGTGAAAAAGGATGCACCTATAAGATAGTTCATATGGAGCAAAATTATGCGTGCTCATCCGTCCGGGTTATTTTTGTCTGACTAGGTTTCACGAATGCAGATTTTGTGCTCATTTATACGAGAAACACAAAGAAATGGCTGCTGCCGCACTAGCTTACAAATGTATGGAAGTGGCAAATATGAAGGTTGTTTTTTCTAAAGATTCTGGAGCAAGTAAGGATCGGAATGAATTGCACACAGCCTTACAGTTGGTTCCTACAGGTAATAAACTGGCCATCATTCATCGCATGAATTCTCTTTTAATGAATTGTCATTTGTTTTACAGTTTTGATTCTTCTGTTGCAAACAATTCTTGGTGTCATTTTCAGTTCTTGTATAGACTGATTGTGGTGTTATCTTCCATTAGGCTTTCCTGTTCGTCATAATTAGTTTGAACTCATTGATCCTATGCCACTCCTCAGTGCTGTAGTTTGGGTATGAAGGTGTTAGCTTTTGTTTTAAGAGTGCTCACTGTTCCCATTATTGTCGTGAAATGTGGAATTCTTGTCTGTGCGACATTTTTTGCGAGTTAAAAATCCTTCTTATAAAGGATTCATCTGAAAGACTGAAAAATTCTATTGTTAAAATGAATCAACTGATGCATAGTAAAATATTGTGGAGGTTGATTTTGTTGAAATTGGATGGTGCTGATGGGAAATCTACTTCTATAATTTATTTATTTTACTTCAATAGTTGGTTACTTTTCTGGAAAGACGAACGGTGTGATAGGTTGGACTGTGTTAAGTTTATTTCCTGATCCAAGAGGAATGTTAATGTGGTTGCCATCCAGTGGAAATAGGAGTAGTAGTTTACTTTGAACATCATGGAGGTTTTTGCTTCCAGTCCTTTGTTCAGCATGCAAAGGAAAGAGGAAGAGGAAAATCACATCCAGAGGAAGTTCTACCTTCTGTAACAGTGGATATTCAACATATCAGTCGACAACTATATGGTAGATACACAGGGTGCATAGGTTCATAGAAAAATCCTTGTTTGGAAGAACTTAGCAGTCATTTTATAATATAAGCAAATATTATTATATACTATATATATTTTTTGAGAGATGTGCTAGTGAATTCAAATTGCGTGAAGTTGAAGAAGTGAAACTTGGCCACATAATGATCTTTATGCAGGATATCTGTCTCATTTTGTTAGATATTGGAGGTAATCAACTTCCCTTGAACAAAGTAGAGAGTAGAGATGATTTGAAAGTGCGCGAACAGTCTGAATTTCGTGAAATTGAATTAGAGGAATTTTGCCAGCCGAGTCTCCTAACGGCAGGATATTCATCCATGTTTTCTTGGTCTTGAGGATTAGTCAAGATCAGAAGAACAGTCCCCAGACGTGCATCATATTGAGATAACGGGAGAATAATTACTTTTGACAAAAAAAAAATACGTTGCCCTATGCAGCTGTTCTGTACAGAACCTGTTTGTGGTTTTTTGGGATAGTCGTTGCAGTTTCCTCCTTTGTTTTGATCTTTGGAAAGAGAGCATAATTTTCTCTCAACTTTAGGAATATTCTAGCCATTTTCTATTGATAAAAAATATAAAAGTGGAAAAAAACCACAAAGAGAGAAACAAAACCTATGGCCTGGCATGCAAATCTCTTTTAATTGGATCATCGATATTACCCGCCAATTCGTCTTCTTTTCCATCCAGAAGGATGTCTTGATCTCGAAAGGGAAATTATTACTTGTTGGCGGGGATCATGTTGACAACGTCTGCTTTTCTTTTCTTCTGACTTCTCTTTTCTCCAGGGGTGGAGAAGCCCTTAACCCAATGGGATAATGTTTGTGTTATAACCTAAAAAATGTACCTTTCTGATCTTTACATCACCCGAGGTGGAGAGTAGTCGTCTCTCCTTTGGGAAATTTTCTCACAAACTCTCCAACTATTTGTGTGCTTTCATATGGAGCTTTTATTCTTGCTTGTAATCCTCTTACCTGATGAATCACTGAAAAATACACCTTGGGAATTGTTGGAACATAGTCTACGTATATACTGTGCTAATTGTTTGAGCGTTCTTATGCCGTATCTACTTATGTTCTTATTATTTTAACATTTGAATTTATAGGATACCCATGAAGGGAAAGTTTATCGCTGGCATTGACTTCTGTCAGGATTTTTTTATAGGCGAGTCACCATCATCTTCGGCTTCGGACGTTGATAACTTGAACAACCAGAACATGGGGGATAAAGCTGTTTCAGCAAAAGCTGTAAGCTCTCCGCATGGCACCGGAAACCATGTCATTGCACCACGCAATCGTCCGAACTTTGTGCGGCTGCTGAACTTTGTAAGTTTCTTCTGCTTAATTTTAAACTCTTTATTTCCTATGATGTAAGTTTATATTTCCTAAGATATTTCCCTTTGTGGTCTGTCCCAAAAGAATGGATGAACTTTGATCGTTTTTTCAATTTGATAAATTATAACTAGTTGGAAAAATACCTCGAGGATTCCCTATCATTAATACATAAAAGTCCAATTATCGTAATCTTTAGTTGGTACAGAAATAGGATCACCATTAGCTGGAGCCAAGGGATTCATGAGCGAAAACATAAGCAAACGAACATCTGCTTGAGCTTCTAATTATAATGGTGTACTTGAACAGCCATTTAATCCCCAATAAAATCTGCATCCAAACCACAGAAATAATAAAAAAATTGTGATTTCTTAGAATTTCCTGCTTCTAATCATAATGGTACACGAACACCCATTTGATCCCCATCAAAGTCTGCATTAAAACCACAATAATAACAAAAAAATTACCATTTCTTAGAATTTCCTGCTTCTAATCATAATGGTACACGAACACCCATTTGATCCCCATCAAAGTCTGCATTAAAACCACAATAATAACAAAAAAATTACCATTTCTTAGAATTTCCTGCTTCTAATCATTAATGGTACTTGAACAGCCTTCTGATCCCCATCAAAGTCTGCATTAAAACCACAAAAAAAGTAAAAAAAAGTATGATTTCTTTGAATATCTTATAAGCAGAATGAGAGGCTCCCCTCCTCTATATAGTTTATCGTACCTTCCATCTCATGGTGATAGCAGCAGTTGTATTGTGGAATGCTTAAGTGACTTTTACAGTGCCGAAACTCTCCAAATAAACAGGTTGATCATATCTCAGACCATCTAGCCAGAGGGGCAGTTAACACTACCTTTGGTGCTTCCCTTTTCATCCATGAAAGCTCTTCTCTAGCTTTCTTCTTCGGCCTCCTCTTGCTCTGAACCATTTTCAGCAGAGTTCCCCTGCTGAAACTTTCTCTCGGCAATGCGGGCGCTATCTGACATGGTAAAATCGTGTTTCCCCCTACAGGTGCAAGATGTGAACGATGCCATGGAGGCCTCGAGGAAATCCCACAGCGCCTTTCATGGCATCAACGGAAGACCGGAAGAGTCGCGTTATGAGCCCGAAGTGGTCGCTTCCGTGAGACAAGTGCTCGCCCTCAGCTTCCACGACGTAGAAGGGCTGCTACGCCTTGTACGGCTGTCGATGGATTCCATCACCCGTTAGCCTCGCCGAGCGTGGTTCACTCCTCCTGTGAATAGCCCCATGCTTCGTTGTGTCTCGTCTCCCCCACCGACGAGGAAGGAAATGGAGAAGCCGCAGTCGAGAAGCTTTCTAGGATCCATCTTCCCCCCTGTAGAATGTGTACATAGCGTTCGGCCTCCGCCTATTCTTGTGAGATCAGCATAAGCGCGGCACATACATATTGTATCCCCAGGCGGACCAGACGACCTCGCCAACACGAGAAAGCAACCGTATGTAAGCTGAACAGTCGGCAATCTGTTCTGGTTTCAGAAATGGGTACCCCCTCCCTCTTCCTCCTCCTTTACAGCTATGGAGCGAACAAGAACTGGGTACCCCATTGTTCTGGGTTCTGGTTCTTGCGTGCTTCTTTTCGCCTTTTGATGCCGCAGGCTGGTGGTGCTGATTGCAAGAGGAACCGACTGTACAGGGAAGAAGACTCGGACCGGATCTTCTTCCCTGCTGCGCTTGGAAAGAGGAGGTGAGTGGATGCCCTAATCTTCTTCTTCTTCTTCTTCCTCCTCGCTTTGGGTTCTCATGTTGCTTGCGTTTTCTTTCTTCGTGGTGTTTTTTTAGGCGGCGGAGAAGCTTCGTGTGCAGGAAACCAGCGAGATGTATGCCGTTTGTGCTGCGTGCTGATTAACTTTAAATAATTTAAATCATCATTATTTCACTGTTACTAGAGATAGATATCTAGAGAGAGAGAGAGGGGGGGATATCTAGAGAGAGAGAGAGAGAGAGAGAGAGAATAAGGTGTTGGGTATAAGTGTGCGGCGCCAGGTCCGGCGGCGGAGGAGGAGGTGGGTTGGAGGAGCGGGGTGATGGGTCCCGAGGTCTGCTCCGGCGCCGGGGAGATCAGGGTCGGCCGAGTCGACGACGTTCAGGAACTGGGCAAAGCGCAACCGGCGGCGGTACCGGAGAGGTACTTGCGAGATGGCGGCGACCGGCCGTCACCGCCGCCCCCCGTCGGTGTTCACTCCGAGAAAGTACCCGTCGTCGATATGTCCAAGCTGGCCGTAGGCGGCGGCCACGGCGACGGGGGCCATGAGCTGGCCAAGCTAGCTTCCGCATGCGAGGAGTGGGGGTTCTTTCAGGTCCCTTCTTCTTCTTCTTCTGCTGCTGCTGCTGCTGCTTCTTCTTCTTCTTCTTATTATCTGGCTCTGCGATGGCAGGTGGTGAACCACGGCGTCGAGGAGGAGCTGATGGCGAGGATGGAGGCGCTGGCCATGGAGTTCTTCATGCTGCCCCTGGAAGAGAAGGAGAGGTACCCCATGGCCCCGGGAACCGTGCAGGGCTACGGCCACGCCTTTGTCTTTTCTGCGGACCAGAAGCTCGACTGGTGTAACATGCTGGGGCTCGGCCTAGAGCCCCCCTCCATCAGGGTCCCCGAGCTCTGGCCGGCGAACCCCCCCCTCTTCAGGTCCCCATCTCCCCAGACCTCCAAATCCACGGCGGCGCCGCCACTCCTCTCCCTCTTCTGAGATATTCCTACCTCTTTCTCTCTCTCTCTCTCTCTCTCTCTCTGTAACTGTCTGCAGCGAGACGCTGGAGCTGTACTCTGCGGAGATCGGGAAGCTCTGCCGGAGGCTTCTGGCGCTGGTGGCGGCGAGCTTGGGCCTCCCGCTGGCGGCCTTCGACGCCATCTTCAGCGCGGCGGTGCAGGCGGTGAGGATGAACTATTATCCGCCATGCCCATGGCCGGACCTCGTCCTCGGCCTGAGTCCCCACTCCGACGGCAGCGCCCTCACCGTCCTCCACCAGCACGCCGACTCCGCCGCCGGCCTGCAGGTCCTCAAGGGCGGCGCCTGGTTCCCCGTCCTCCCCCTTCCCGGCGCTCTGGTCGTCAACATCGGCGACACCCTCGAGGTTAGGCCAACCCCTTCCCTCCCTTCCTCCGCCATTACCGCTGAAGCCGCCTTCACCTTCTTCTGTTCAGGTCCTCACGAACGGGAAATACCAGAGCGTGGAGCACAGGGCAGTCACCAGCGAGGAGAGGGAGCGGCTTTCGCTGGTGACCTTCTTCGCGCCGGGGTACGACGTCCAGATCGGTCCCTTGCCGGAGTTCGTCGGCGCCGCCAGGCCCTGCCGCTACAGGAGCTTCAATCACGGCGAGTACAACCGCCACTACCTCTCCCGCAGGCTCCAGGGAAAGATGGCGCTGAACTTCGCTCTGCTAGACGCCAGCGAAGGCGAGGAAGATCGCCGGAGCGCGCCTCCATAGTCGGAGCTCGAGAATCGGGACGAAAAGCCTAGACTGGCGCCATCACCACCATCAATAGCTCCAGGTTTAGCCTCTAGCAGAGATTGTGGAGAGTCCCCTCCTGTGCTGATGTCGACCGCCGCCCTACCGCAGAGGAGCTTCCACTGTGATAGAGGACGGAGAAGATCTCTCCTGCATGGGTGCGAGCTTCTAGGGTTCCTGGAGAGAATCTAGGAGAGTCTTGGAGAATAGTAAAAGGAAGAAGAAGACGATGAGCCCTGACGTGGAAGAGGACAAACGTACAATATAAATAATGTTAATGGGCCATAGGTGATTAGTTGATTTTGTGCGAACTTTTTTAACTAATGAATATTTAGCTTGGTCGTTAACTTATGCCGCACGTTTGGTATTTTCCTGGTCCGAGTAAGTCAATGGTGCGGTATCCGTTACCGATAATTCGAGTAATTCTCGGGTTCATAAGGATACACCAGTATCCTTTATACCAGTTAGAGAGAGAGAGAGAGAGTAGTCGAGTGGGGTTCTCTCTAAGCTGCTGGCTCTATATGTACACGAAGAGCTGGCGCGTAAGGGGGCGTGACTCGTTCTTCCGGCTTGGAGATGGCCGCGGAGCTTCTTTCCAACGCCTTCTCCGTTCTTGACCTTGATGCCGAGGACGATAGTGAGCAGACGAGCACCGCGGGCATCTCCGCCGCGGCGAAGTCGGCCACGAATGGGAACCATGTCCGGAAATCAGGTGAACGGGGAGAGCGTTTTTTCCTTCTTCTTTTCCCTCCTCTTGGTTCTTACGAAAAATATGCGGCTGCGCCTTGAGGGATGCCGGTTGGATTGGACTGCCTCGTCTGTTTCTCGAAGTAAGATAAGGCGGTCTGTACTCGAGAGAGTTAGGTTTTGTAGGATGAGTTTGGGGTTCACTGAAATGTCACAGTCGGGGAAGTGAATTTCTCGGATTTTTCAGCTAATGATCCTCTCTGCTCAACAGCCAGGGAAACCACGGGGAGGATCCGATGGAATGGAGTATTGTTTGACATTGCTTTATTTTAGAAAACCATTTCATTGGACGGAAGAACCGTAGCTGAAAGTTGGGCATCTGAGGAGTGTGGTTCAATTTTTAATTGGGTTAAATAAAAAAGCCCATAGTCTAAATTAGAGAAGAAGGTTTACATAGGTTGTTGAAAAGTTTATCAATCGCATCTACATTCATGTCAATATTACGTTGATGCCCGTGGTTATAATACTGATGTTAGTATGCCCTTTGGTTTATGATTCGGTTGTGGAACGTGCTTCTATCTTACTTTTATGGGCTCTTTTCTCATTCCGGTACTTTAGATTAAAATGCATTGCCAGAGTCTATAACCTATAGATTACAAGAACTACAATTTCCAGAGATAAAACGATAGAAAGAATTGGATACCCTCAAAGAGCACAAAAGTTCATGTATTCTTGACTTGGAGGAGGCAAAGCCGAATATTTAAAGTTGAGTACGTCTGCTATCGATCAGAATGCACTTCTCGATGGCATTTGTCTAACAAAGGACATGGTAACTGCATGTACAATGGAGAAACTTTAAGGCTCTCAAAATCCTACCCGGTCCTCTTCCCTATAAGTGAGTGTAGAGACACGCTATAATTTCCAATGATGAAACTTGAGTAAAAGCATTGCCGAAGTCAAAAACCTGTAGATTAAGAGAGCTAAAATTCTAGAGGATAAGCGATAAAAAGAATTGGATAACGTCAAAAAGCCTAAACGTTCATGAAATCTAGACTTGGAGGGGGCAAAGCCCAATTATTTAAAGTGCGTCTACTATCAATCAGAATGCACTTCTTGATGGCTTTAATCTAACAAATAACATGGTAACTACATGTACAATGGAGAAACTTTATGGCTCTCAAAATCCTACCTGTCCCTCTTCCCCAAGTGAGTGTCGAGATATGCTAAAATTTCCAATGTTTTTTCGTACATTCAGGAAAAAAAAAGGAAGGAAAGTCTTGGGATCGGTACTAGCTGCCCTGTACCAAATATGGCATCCAACTATGTTAATTGGGTTTTAAGTGCAGGAGCTCTTAACATTTTGATGTAGCAGAAGTCAAGAAGGAAATCGTACCTTGAACCAAGAAGGGACGAAATCTAAAATCTTTTGATCTACAAGGATTGATAGAGTTGATCCTTGATTCTAAAAGGATTGAAAAACGAGTTCATTAAATCATCAAATGTTTACTTGGATTGATCTTTGAATTATAAGGATGGAAAAAAATAGAGTCTCTTGAATACACCTGAATCTACAAGTAGAGAGACATAGAGGAGAAAAATACTTTTTCTGTGTTGAAAAATGAATCATTTGACTTACAGTACATGCCACCTTAATTTGGATGGAAGCAGCTGTAGACCCCCTAAAAAATGTCATCTGATAAGAAACTCTCTAACCATTAGCAATTATTGTGCCGAAGAAAGAAAACGCACTGTAACCTTCCAGTGCCTAACTAAACAATTATTGGACTCTTCTTATTTTTACTCGTTCATGTCTTTCTGGGTTGTACATTCTGAGCTGCTTCCTTTTCTTGAAAATTTATTCTACATCACTTTAGAGTTTTGAGTTGAAGTTTAGAGATAAATCTTATTTAGTATCAGAAGGATCTTATATTAGCAAACTATTAGGTGAAGGATCGAACCAAAATTAACATTTACAGTCCTAGACTTGATTTACGCAAGTGTGAAAAATGACAAAGAAGATGTATCAAATCACAATTCTTATTTATACCTAATGCAAAAGTTTTGTTGAAAATGGGGGCGCATTGGGTTCATAATTTCATTGGATATGTCTTATCTGCACTGCCAATGGCTCAATGCAAAAGTGTTAATCAAGATTGTTTTCATATATGCGGCCTGTAAAATTCTTAGGTTTGATGAGAAGCTGGTGTCCTTTAGAGATCCTTGTTTGGCCCACTCATTTTAACAAAAAAACTCATTTATGGTCGCAATGATAGTCATGAATCACCTTTGCACAATATATAATAGGTGGGCCTTGGCATCTGGTGTCATTTAAAAGATTTTTTTAAGATGATCGAACTCTAATATATGCCTCATAAAAAAATGAAACATAATAGACATGCCGTTTTAAAAAGTACTTGTGAATGTTTTTTTGATGCCAAACACATTTACACCTCTGAGATTTTTGCAATGACCTACGATATGAGCATCAATGATAAGTGTTGATGCGGTCGTGGATGGTAGGTACTGGAATCTTTTAAAACATGACTTAGGAATATAGGATAAACACACTAGTATGCACCTATTATGTTACTTTTTGGAAAAAGATTGATATAGTGTGCTTATAGGTCTCCAACTTTTGGATATTTTTGTTGTATTGGAAGCTCTCATAAGGTGCATGCAGATGCCAAAAATAATGGGAATAACAAGAGTACCCTTTTCCCATGTTTCATAATCAATTTGTTTTTTTCCCTCGTTCGCATCCATTGGCTGATTATTCATGAAAAAGTTGCATTTTCTTATTTCATTGCTGATCAAACTATGGATCGTTGATAAATATCTCATTGTCATGGCATATCCTTTTTATATTTATTGTTTAGCGTTTTGCTTGACACTGACATTGTTCTACAATGCAGATAATGGTAATAATATAAGTTTGATGAATGAGCGACGTCCTGAAGTAAATGAGCTAAGCTGTGCAAAAGTCTTAGAAGAATACAGAATGCCTCTGGCGTGGATTGACTTGGAAATGACCGGTACCTGTTTTCTTTGATATACATTCTCTTCGCAAAAGTTTTTTAATATCCACTTTCGGAAATAAATATACAATGAAACAAATAATCAGTTGAAAAGTTATTTACTGATATTTTCGGACGATCCTGAATCTATGAGATACTCCATTCACCATTGTTATTTCTTAAAACTGATGCCTGAACAAAATAAAAGCTGACTTGAATAACTCCATTAAAGGTGTAATATATTAAGTTTGCTAGTGGTTAGATGCGATTTTCTCCAAATAGGGATGAACCATGTTGTTTTTGAATTCTTCAAGTCCACCCAATTGTTCTAAAAACAATCGATCATGTTGTGGGTTCCACGGCAGATTACAATGACAGCTCTCTAAATATTTTTTGTCTCCTCTTATTATTTGTTTTCTGAAACCCTTCTATATTTTATTCACCTGTTGTAGGTTTGGATGTTTCTGTTGATCGTATATTAGAGATTGCTTGTATAGTGACAAATGGTAACCTAACAAAGTCAGTAGAGGTGAGTTTTATCATTTACCGTCGATTTCCTTTGGTTCTTATCATTCCCCTATCGCTTTTTCCTCTGATCAACTATTTTCCTTGATGTTTCATTTTCAGAAACTCTAGTTTCGTATTTTTGATATTTTCTTTTGTCACATAGTTGCATCGTTTTGTTGTTACAATGGCTGGTGCTAGCGTTCAAATACTTGAATTGGCATAAAATATTTTATCGTAATATTGACATCTAACAGCTTGATTGGGTCATCCACAACTGTGCAGCGTGCCTAGTTAAGTCTGGGTATTAGCGTGCTAATTCACTGGAGTGTAAGATGCTGCCACTGTAAACAATTTTATTTGTCGACTAATATTTTTAAATTCCATCAAATTGCTAACTTCTGCTACATTTCATTCCGTAATTGGTTGATTAATATTTTAAGTAATTTTGTGCAACATGCATGCAACATGTTTAAGGTTCTGCGCAAGTGTTATTCTTAATGTAGCACTGTGTTTAATGCATAATCTTTATAACATGGACAGGCAGAGAAGTGTGCACAAGCAAGGTTGTACACTCCCAACATGTTTCTAATTTTGGACCTGGAACACTGTCTCTAATGATGATTATTTAGCCATCAGTGTATTACATTTACAGTTACATTGAATCTGATCTGTATTCAGGGTCCTGATTTGGTAATCCATCAGCCAAAGGAGTGCTTGGATAGTATGGGGGAATGGTGTCAGGAGCATCACGGAGCTAGTGGTATGCTTTCTGTCTCAAATCAACGAAATCGGGCATTCATACGATACAAGTTATTTCGTATCATTTTTTGATGGATTTTGATCGCTCACTGCTTATTTATTTTCCCTAGTTTCTCACATCATCAATGGCCTTCTCTTCTCAATCTATTTTTTAGGTTTAACGAATAAAGTTCTTGAGAGTACAATTACAGAGAGCGAGGCTGAGAAACAGGTCTACCTTTTCTATTATATCAAGCCATATTATGCCTGCTTAGCTGTTTTCCTATTTTCAGTAATTGATAAGTACTAAAAATAGTTCATCATGTAAAATAATTTACAATCCATCAATTTTTTAAATGGGACAGTGTTATGGCATGTATTCTGTGGATTTCTGATAGTATGAGGAAGTGTGTGAGGTTTGTGTGGAATTGAGGGGAGTCTGCTTTTTTTTGGGGCAGTTAGGTTATTATTTCTTCTCCTGCATCATGTTAGCGCAGGACACATTCGATGTATGGAGTTTTCTTGTGAGCTCATTGATCACGCTCATGCATATGCTCTCTTCTTTATTTAATATTTATATGGTCCATCAAGAAAGTCCTGGGCCTCTTATTCCCGAAGCAGTAACATAGCTTTATCAGGCCTCCTGATAGCTAATCTAGTCAATGCCTGAAGCAGTAAAAATCGATTTGAGAATTTTAGTTCTTTTACATGGGAATTCAAATTCATTCGTTAACTATTGCTCAGAAGCATATATCTTGTCTTGGGAATACTAGACTTATGTAATCTCCTCCGTTGACTTGGATGTGGACGTGGCAAATTTCTCACAGTTTTCTTCAGAAAAAAGAAAGGAAAACAAGAATCAATGTTGTTAGTTCATCTGGTAGGAATTGAGGAGTGGTTTCACAGACCGAGTTCTAAATCGATGACACATTGTTTATATGCTGTTCTTGTTGGAGAAGAGATCCGAACAATAACCATACAAATTAAGCCTGCCTCATTTTCCACCTCACTGTAATTGGGGGCCTTTGACCGTTGCGTGAGTATATGATATATTTCCCTATTTGACTTTCACTTATTATCAAATCATGGGTTTTGTGTACAAAAGATGGAGACTCGACAATCTTTGCAGCTGATCAGAATTATTAATTGTCGATTGACTAAAACGTTCTGCTGGCTATCTTTCTTGATGATGTTCATCTGGTTTTGTAACTATAATTCTCCTTGATGGAGTTACTCCCTTGCTGCCTATAAAATCCAAATTCCTGCCGCATAAATAATATTGAAATCAGGAGAAGGAGGGGGAGATGTTTATGAGGTTTAAAATTTTCTTCTCAACAAATATCTTACCGAGTCTTTAATTTGCAGGTCATTGATTTCATCAACAAACATGTTGGAGGCTCATATAAACTTCATCTTGCTGGAAATTCTGTGTACATGGACCTGTTATTTTTGAAGGTCAGTCGTCGTGTTTACTCCATTTCTCCTTTCCGGATCTGGCTACAATTCATCAGATATTTCCTACCCAGTATTGGCAAGCAATCAATTTCCCCGGAATGGTCAATATCTCTATAAATACCTACTATTTACCCTTCTACAAAGTGCCTAGGTTAGCATGAACACATTTGACTTTCCCTCATTGAGATTCCTTTCCACAGAAATATATGCCGGACTTGGCGAGCCTTTTCTCTCACGTGGTGGTCGACGTCAGCAGTGTGAAGGCCCTGTGTGCGCGGTGGTATCCGAAAGGTAATCTAATCACCCGAGGCAAAGTCAACAGGGATGAAGATCTTTGGACTAGTAATTAATTTAATCCCAGATGGGGGGGATGGTTTTTGTTGTTTCCCTGCAGAGAGCAAGAAGGCTCCCTCAAAGGAGAACAACCACAGGGCGATGGATGACATCAGGGAGAGCATCAAGGAGCTCAAGTACTACAAGGATAATATATTCAAAGCCTCAAAGTCCAGAAAGTGACTCCAAATGGCCGTGCTCCTCCTCTGAAGTCAACGCTACGCCTTCCCTCTCCCATTCCTCTTTCTGAATTTTTCTGAAACAGTGGCCTGGTGTCCTCTTTGGACGGATTCTGAGATGATCATGTAAAGTTGACTCTTTTTTCTCTTGAATATGCCACTATGGATTACCCACGGATCCTTGATTGTGCAAAATCCGCTGTGAAAGGGTTTCCATGTGACTGGTTCTCGGGCTATCTGACTCGCCGCCTGCTGTGCGGTCTCTCGACAGATGGGCTACGTGGGCCTTCGCCTACTCTGCTTAAAAACGAACCCAGAGAGAGAAGATGGACTCCAGAAAGTCGGGGAACCCTCTCCCTCGCCCTCTCCCTCTCCCTCTCTCTGTCTGCCTCTCTCCTCTGTCTGTCTGGCTCTTCTTAAGGTGTAGTAGTCGTGGAAGGTGCGGGGCGCTGTAGGGAGCTCTGGAGGTGCGAACTGGTGGGGAGCTGGTGAGGAGGATGCTCCCTTCTGCGATGGCGGCCAGTTCTGCCTTCGTCCTCGTATCGCTTCGTCCCTGTCTCGCTCACCAGCCTCGAGCCGCAACCAGGAGGGGACTCGTAAGATTGACGCTCTCTCCTTCGTCTACTTATCATTACGACTGTTTAACACCACAGATTCTCGGCGCGTTGTGGTCTCTGTGCATTGCAATGGAGTCGGATAAAGTGACGAAGAACTAGTTTTCACACCGGCTGTAGTTCTCCGTTGCTGGAATTTTCTTTCGCTGGTTTTACCCGGGAGAAAATCGAGAGCGGCTGCAGTGTGCTGTTTGGCTTGCTGCCTATTTGATTGGCCTTGGCTACGCGGCGGTTTTCTTTCTTTTACCTCTATGGTCTTGCTGGGACGTAGTCCAGAGGCTTGCCCTTGTCCTTGCCCATGCCCATGACGATGCCCATGAGAGTGATTACATCTAGAAGTCTGGGAACTTGGGGGGAGGGGTCTACGGAGCTACATTTTTAATTCATCAAAGTCACGAGGATGATTTTTCTCAAGTTCTTCATGACCTGAAATCACAGCAGCTTGGAGTCAAAGGTTTAAAGCTGAGTAGTGGCCAAGGAAGTACTACCGACAACTGTCCCCTGTGCAGTCCTTGGGAGGAAAAAATCCAGAGTAACAATCACGTGAAGCATTGGGAACCAGTATAAAGTGTTTCCAATTAAGAAGCTTTCCCAATATTTACTTTATTCTCAGCTATTTGACCACGGGGTGTTTGATAAAATCTTTCATCTTGGAAGTCAACTATCAATGAAATCTCTGTGCATACTGCTTCTATTTTCTTTCCTAGATAGCTCAGATGGCCAAAAGTCTGGAAACCCCATCGTGCCATTCTGTGGCATTTGGCTTCTGTCATGTCGTTTCTATCTCATCATGAAGAGTCGCATCAGGTTGTGGCAATTGAGAGACCGTATCACACAAGTCATGGGCTCTCATGGAATTTACTGTTCTGTATTCTTTTCCATCTTTCTTGGCTGCATTGGCTATCAAAAGGCTTGGTGCAGGAATCTAACTGAACGGTCTCTTTTACTTTAGATATTTTAAACTCAGATGAAAGGGATATGCTGTTATCTGTGCGTTCTTGGTGTGAGAGGTGTCAAAGGCAATATTCTCTTGATTCAAGGGCAGAACACTCGTCTAGAACTTTTATTTTTCTTGTTTAGAGTTCCCAAAGCTTTCTTGCAGTTCAATGCGCGTTGTGGAACTTGTTTTACACAATTTCTTTAATGAGATATTTCATGGTGGTCCAGCTGAACTTAACATTCAGTGATGGGTGGTTGGGTATTCGCCGGGCTTACTGCTCATGATCTGCAATAATAAACACGATTCAGCTGTATCTGCTCATGAATGTGTTTATGAACAAATTTATTGTACGTGTCTCAGCCATTGTTGGGTATTATATTTCTTTGAGGTTGCCTATAGCCTTAATTAGCTTCTGCTCTAGGTTATACTTTTTTTCCCCTGGGACTGTGCTCTTCATGGCTAACTCGTGTTTGGTGATTGATCTCTAATTTTCTGTTTAACATCGGATAATTTTGTTACACGAAGTCTAAACAATGTTGTCTTTGAAAGTCACCCGAGGAATCAGATGGGGTTTTGGTGCCATTAGAGCATGTTCTTAATGGGGACTAACGAATTCCTCTCTTGTTCACAGTTCCATTCAACTGATGTGATTTTAGAGGATAGGAAGGGGGATGATCTTCTCCAAAACAATCTCCACTTTTGACTAAAGATTCTAACAGTTGTACCATGCCAACTTATGTTTATGTCCATCTTTCTGTGACCATGTTGTGGAAATTCTTCTGTTAACCATAAACTTACTTATGATCGTTTTTCAGAACCCTAAACCCCAGTTTATCTCTTTTTTTAAATACACTTGGGAAATTTTCGGCTGCATTCATCTCATTTAACCGTCTGCTGACCATGTACATCAGGGAGTCTCCTCGGCATTAATGTGGTTCAAGGGGCAGGAACTCGAGGCTCATACGAGGCAAGAGTCTTTGATTGGTATGCTTTTTCTTCTCTCTGATAATGCACTTGACTTATTTGAAACTTCATATCAAGTTCTCTTTCGACTATGCAGTGACAAATCATCTCATTAGAGTTGACTTCTTGGCCGACTTCAGACATGAAAGTAATCTTTGGATGAGTTATGGGCATCTCGCCCCCCAAAACAACAGTTTTATTACTCTACTTAGCAAATTGCCCTCCATAATATCTGGTTTTTGGATGGGACCCGATGCAGAGGATGGGTGGGGATTTGTAGAGGCTTTTGTGGATCATTGTTTTTGAATAAATGTCTCAGCTTCTGGTCTCCTATTACAAATTCTATATGGTTCATCGTCATGTTCATAGTCACAATGTCAGTGATTCTTCCGAGTGAACATGGGATTGTGTAATTTAGTTCCTCAAAGTGCAATGAAGAAGTGATGACATTATTTTGGACTTTGGGGTAAACTTGAGGGGCAGTGAGGAAGCCTTGATTCCTCAGAAGAGCCATATCTTACACAGGTAAGCATGTGCAGGGTGCCAGGTCACTCTCCACGTTCCCCAGCCTCCCTCTCTTCCTCTCTTTTGGGTAGTAGGGACATTGGGGAGACTCAGGGAGTCCACCTACTAGAGGAAGAGGGGAAGAGGAGGTTCTTCATTGCTTAGACACTAGTTCCTCATATAGCTGTGGAGGAATGCCTCCTGACTATTGGGATCACAAGGTGACTGTTAGGTTGCTTCATGTGCCACGCTGCTTGTTGTGTGTCCTGTTGTGAGTGGATGTGTTCTCATCATCACACAAAGATCCTGCACGCAAGTGCATGTTCATGCTACTGCTTATGTGCATGTTTGTGTGCCCATTCCTGCCCATATATGGGAACATTTACATGTTAGTGTAGTTTGTGCACATTATGCTGCTTCTTAGCCTCTCATGTCATTCTCCACCTTACAAAGTTTGATACCCTCATCAGCAAGGAGGAGAACTAGTGTTCCACTTGGTCCTTGAATTATCACAAGTTGGTTTGAGAATGTTAAGTAGTCACTGACGTGACTTAGTCATTGCATAATAAATTACATAAATTTAAAATTTATAAATTCATAAAATATTAATTTTAGATATTTAGAAGCATTTTTGAATAAAGAGATAAATTATAATTCAATAAACATTTTAAAAATAGTAGAAAATTTCTAAGTAGATCATAGGAATGTAATATAATATTAGATAATATTTTAGTTTTTCTTTAAATAATATATATTTTTATGAATTTTAGATTAATAAATGAAATTAAATTAGATTTAAAATTTACAAAAAGGAAAAATAAAGGGTGTGTGTAAGAATGATGTCAGCACATCAATGAATGTGAATTAGATGGAAATAATGTTTTGTATAGTGATTTTTATGTAAGTGATTACAAATGATTTAATTGGTCAAATTAAGATTTGTAATAATTAGAAGAATTGTAATTGAACGAATAATAACTTTAAAGTTTACATCACATTAATTTATCACTAAATGAAATAAAAATTAAGTTTAAAATAGTAAAAGTAAAATTTTAGTTTTGTGACAATAATCGTTGGAATTTTATATGTTTGTGAGGATCATTGAATAGTGTTCACAACCTTAAAATTTCTTTTTAGATATAAACGACTTAGATAATTTTTAGATTTTTCTTCGAAGTTTTGAAATTAATGAAATGAGTTGTTGAATTATTTTCAATGGTTGTCACCTAGTGAAGTAAAAAAATGATGACTTTGTGACTCTCTAACGATTGTCATTCAATGAAGATGAGTTGAATAGAGGTGGGGTATGTCTTCGGGAGCTTTATCATCAGATTTGTGTTGCAAGAGAAGGCTCTTCATCACATCTGGTATGCTCTTAAGAGGCGGTGACTCATCTCTCAATAGATTGTCCTCTTCTCAATGACGGATTGTTCATCAATCAATCGAAGATGATTTATTTTATAAATTCATGATCATTTTATGATAAATCGTTTAACAATTTTAATAACGATGTTCTATAAATTAAGTTGACAAGATTTTTGTCGATGATTGAACAATTCTAATGACTTAAATTTTTATTAGTAATTTATAAGAAAATCATAATTTAATCAGATAAAAGATATGAGTTTTGACTTTGTTAAGATTCAAACCCACGTCAATTATTTATCTATATGAGAGAGAAGAAAATAAGTTATTAAATACCCTTATATAGTGACATCATCATGATATATCGTTGTTATAAATAAGAGGTATTTTTGATATTAAAACTATCAAAAATATTTCGAAGAACATGTGACTACTAGTTTAGTCTCACATCAATTATATGTTAAATGTTGAGATGAATATATAATAATATGAGATTTGGAAATTAATAAATTCATTTCTGACATGTTTATGACCACTTGTTGTCCCACACCCAATTGACCATTAGTGACGTAGAAGGGGAATGACCCATACATGCCCCTAATTGGTCACCCTTAATCA